TGTTGTGGGTGATGTTGCCATCAGTGCGGATTCGGCCTGTGCTAAGGGAGTAAAAGGCATTGCTGTGCTCGTCAGGTTCGGGATCCTCTTGTAATTCGAACCACTCGGTGTCAACGGTATAACGGAGGTAAACGTAGTTAGAATCTTTGAGGTATTCGAGCAGGACGTCGTTGATTTCGATGCCGACAATCTCGCGTGTAGCAGTCATGGGCTCTAGGTCGCCGCTAGCTGATACTGATGGCTGGGATGACGGATGGGCTGCCAGAAGCATGCTCTCTCGGCGGTTGGAGAGGCAAGCTCGTACTGGTACGAGAGGCGGGCCCATCTGTGATTGAGTAGGATCCTGGGAAGCTTGCCCGAAGGTGGCACCGGTGGCTGAGGTACCTTGGGTATTCTGGGTATTGGCCGGGTTTGCCATCGCGATGATCTTTTCGTGTGTGTTGCGCAGGGCTGACCGTAGGGTCGCGCTTCTCGAAGCTCGATGCCTTGCCTTCTGCCTACTTGTCCGTTGATGTAGGTGGACCTGTCCTTTACCAGCGTTGGTGACAACCCCCACGAGCAATACTTGCCTGTTGAGCCTGGTGTCTCTGGTCTTTTCGTGTGTTGCGCAGGGCTTACCGTAGGGTCGCGCTTCTCGAAGCTCGATGCCTTGCCCTCTGCCTACTTGTCCGTTGATGTAGGTGGACCTGTCCTCTACCAGCGTTGGTGACAACCCTCACGAGCAATACTTGCTTGTTGAGCCTGGTGTCTCCACCCGTGGGCTTCTAGCGCAATACTTTGCGATCCTCGTCGTCAAGACCTAACCCGTCGCAGAACGTCTTGTTCTGCCCGATGTAGCAAGTCGCAGTTGCTCAATCGGCGGCGGCGCTCGGCGCGGACGGTGTTTCTGATAACTGAGCCTGATGCGAAGTATCCTAGGTATGTAGGGGTTGACACACAATAGTGTAAAGGCACTAGTACACTGCAATAGTTAGGATGCCTCTAATAAGTGAGATTGTGTGTACAGATCTATATACAAGTACGAGGGGAACTTTATTATTCCTCGCACGGGCCAACTGCCAGCGTGGCACGTGATTGTATGGCACGTGATCGCGTGAGGGATCGTAGGTTTGATCCATCACAAACCCAGTGCCTATTGACAACACCAGAACCTATCAACAACCACTTCATCAAGATGAAACTATAATTAAAACTATCCAACTGTTGATACGGCTAAGGTATCGGAATCACCTTCGTTGCAACGAGTTGAAATGATTGTGATTGTTCTTGTTGTTCTATGGAGGTGGAGGGAGGTCGGCAGTAAGGCAGCAGCTAGAGCTCGGACCACACGGCTTAGTCAGCCGTGTAATCCAAGCTCGTGCATGCAGCAACCAGCTGCCTTATCTACCGCAGGTTCGATTCCCAACACCAACCCTCAACGATAAAAGATCCCAAGGTCGTCCAACCCACATCACGATCTGCAGTGTATATTTCTATTTTGAGCATATTACCTACACGAGAAGGATTCAGGTTGCATTCCCGCTTGATCAGCCCAACAGCCTCGAGCCGCCCGGGAAAACTCTTGTGTCAAGTAAGGGTTCCGACTAATAACACAAGCAATCGGCCGCATCTGGGCAGCCTTAAAGGAATGTCTTCTAGAAGATGGTAGAATTCACTCTTTTTCGTGTACATGCATACGTCTTTTATAGGCACTCAGACGCTTCATCTATGGCTGTCAGCGTATGGAGTGCAGCTTGCCAGCGCATAGCAAATAATGAGCCTATGAGAAGAGGAATATGTCGCTATGGACAAAAAGGTATGTGGCTACTTTGTCGCGGGTCACAGAGAAATAGTGACGGGCATGCGCAGACGTTGGGTCAGCGTGCGCTCTACACCACGTGCATTTGTGGCTTGCGCGGGTGCACAGACATTGGAGGATACAGTTCGGAGACAAGGCTACGCCGTGTGGTGGATGATTCAGGTTGACCCCAGGGTCGCGTTATGGCTTTTACCAGTGTGACGGTTGTGCTCAAGAGGCGTCAAGGCCGCTGAGCTGGCGACGCTCAATCTGGCGGTTCACAGTTTTTCGGGCCAGAAGACGCCAGTCGAGTGTCATGTGGAAACGTGGCTCTGTGGTGCTTTTTGGGGCGCTCGTGGTCTGATGTTGAAACGGTACACTCGCGATTAGGGCGGTTTATGTCGAAGCGATATCAGGTCGGAAGTATGCAGCCTCAGCTGGGGAAAGGGCTTATGCAAGGAAATTCGTCCGGTTCGCGACCACTGACGTAGGTTGGGCCAATGTGGCTGGAAGAAGGCCCGCGATGGCCGCGGAAGAGCTATTCTACTTTGGCGGTTAACGAGGGCGAGGTGAGGGAGGGTGTGGTGTTGGTGTTGGGCGTTGCGATGTTTGATGTTCTGGGATGGTGCGGGATTGTGAGAATAGCATAGGTGTGGGTCAGTCGGCATAGTTGCAATCGAGGCTGGGCAAGAGTTAGGTGGCTTCTAATATGCCACGGGTGTGGTTATGACGCGTATACTTGTGTACCTAGCTTCGGCGGATGACTGCAGGGTGGTGAGGCTCGAAGATGCCGTGGTGATGCCGGTCGGCCAGACTGGCGGCGAGCAAAAAGCAGGTAAGTTCCGGAGGATTTGTCAAGGGTGCACACCCCCCTCCCACACAGCTCCAGCAGAGCGTTTGACATGTGCGTGTGGTGGGTTCGCGACATTCCCAATCAATTCAGGATGAAACCTCCGCTGGGTGTAAACTCCAAGTTGCTTTTTGACGAGTCAGGCTGGGACAAGCGACTTGCCCGGCTAATTGGGATGGGCTGATGGCTGATACATGACCATGATAATCGTTGACTGGATATGACGCAGTGATATAGGACAAAGCAGCGCATGTCGTGAGCATGCGCTGTGTGGTCGAACCCCGCGGCATAGGGTAGCGGTAGCGGTAGCAGCTTGAGCGGATCTGATCGCCCTGGCCCCATCCGCTATCCACGGTCCCTGTCGGTCGCGGCGCATCCTAACCGTTGAGGCATCCACGCAACATTGGCGGAAGTATACTTCCGGGCCGTCACACAGCGAATCAAGGGGTCTGGAGCGACGGGTAGCAAGACGACTTGGCGCATCCAGCAAAGGGTCGGGTAGGGGTGCAGGAGCCACGATGATCCTTTGGGAAGTGGACCGTTTCCCGCCGCTGCTCGGTGCTGGGTTTTCCGCAGAGCTGGCCATTGGATTCCAGTGCGGCAGTAGGTCGCAAAAAAAGCACAGTGGCGATGGGGTGCAGGCCAACGGTTGGCGGTAGGTGGTTGGCAGTAGGCTGCACAAAGACCGACACACACACACACACATGCACACACACAAACGGCACAGATTACTATAGTAATCGCGGAGACATGGCAGCGAGAGGGTATGAGGTGAGGTTGCCATGGGACGGCGATGAAAGAGCATCAGGCCATTCTGCTGCTGTGTGCGCCGCCACTAATCAGCCAGGTTGCACGGCAGGGAGCTTGGCACGGCGGCATTCCCCGGCCTGCTGGCGCTGCAACTGCATGGACCCATGTCCCCAATGAATTGCAGGCCGGCCTCGACGCGGGCGGCCGACGGCAAGCCCAGCTGAGGGCGCCATGAGACGACGTCGTATGAGAGAGTCATTCTTGCTGTTCTTCTCGCGACCCGGCCACAATCGGGTCTATCTACTTGGTAACTACTGTAGGCTAGTAGTGCACGCCGTCTCTGCTGCTGAATTGATCAAGGGTACGCCAGCGCCTTGCCAGTGTGATGGAGCGACGCCATCGCCGCCCGCAAGGCCGGGGTCTTGCTGGAACCGTGTGACCGGATAGGTTTGCAGAGACCCGTGGTGCGTGCTGCGTGCTGCGTGCAATATGTTTTCCATACCCGCTCGAGGCGTACGAGTCAGTCCAGCTGGCCCTGCTTTCACACTCGCATGTCCCATGTTCCTGGCACTGGCTATATGGCTGCGGACAAGACGTCTGTCTACAGAAGGTGTCATATGGCAATGGCATACCGTGCAGTTGCAGCCGTAAGCCGTCGTTCTCGTGTGGAGGCGCTCGCTGCGCCATGCGCTCCAGTTGCTGCTAGGGGCGCGCGATGCAGGCTCGCAATCAGGTCTCGGGTCCGCGGAGCATCCATCGGTTGCACACGACCCATGTGCGGGAGAGGCTTCAAACCAATCGCCGTACCAAACTATCCTCTCTTTGTTCGCTCCAGTTCGGCTAAAACTGTCAGTGCAAATGAGCCTGTCCCAGCGGGCCACCCAGCCGTCCCCTCTCATACCCGCCTGCCCTCAGCTCCAGCTTTCTTCGACCACCCATCGTTGACCTCGACTTCACCAAGCCGAAGAGGGAGCCACTGCAAATCGCAGCTCTCGACCACAAAGGCCCCTGCATCATCTTGTCGACGACGACGTTGCCATCAGACAACCACTTCTGATCTCTCTCTCTCTCTCTCTCTCTCTCTCTCTGTCAGCCTCGCAGTCGCGTCGCTTTGGCCCCCATCCACACGTCGCCCTCACCATCCCCAGCCCGCTTTCGACCGCAGCACCGGTACAGGCACTCCGTCTCCCCTCGGCCAAACCATCATCTCCCCCAAACCCCTCCGCCGACTACACCTTTTTATTTGCGCATGCATTCTGTTGTTCAATCCTCACTATCGCGAGGTAAGTTGACCTCTTGACGTCGTTTTCGGACCCGCGTTATTCGGGTGCCGAAAACCTGGCCCCGGGTCAGCTGTAAATGCGGACACAGCCCTGCGGTACACACGGGGCTCCACGTCAACAAGCGTTAACAAACGTCAAGTGCATGTACTGACGTGAACAGGCCGCTTCCAATCCGTGGTTAAGTAGATTGTAGTTTGTTCTGTTAGTCACCCAAGGGCCAAATCCAGTGGTCCCCAACGTAAGTGCACCTTGCTGGCGGGTGCTGTCAGTCCCTGAGACCGATTCGTGTCTACTCCACGACCGCGCCGTATGCTGACTCGCTCTAGGCTCACCACACATCATGTCCAACATCGTCGTCAGCAACGAGACGAAGAGCCAGTCCGTCCGCACTACCAAGGATGGCAGGCAGATTCGGTACAACCTCCAGGTCATCCAGCAACCAGAGCGCGCCCGTGCCTGTGGTAGCGGCGCCAAGTCAAGTGCCGACCGGCGCCCAGTAGACCCTCCCCCAATTGTTGAACTCCGCGTCTTCGAGAATGACCAGGAAATCACTTTCGCATACAATGCAAACTTCTTCCTGCATGCCAGCTTGGAGAATGCTCGTGCCATCGCTCCGGGCCGCGCCCCGTCTTCGGCGGGACCCAGCTTTCCCGTCCTCACGGGTACTCCAGTTGCGGGCATGGCCTACCTCGACCGCCCAACACCGGCAGGCTACTTTATCTTTCCAGATTTATCAGTCCGCCACGAGGGCAAGTACCGCCTAAGCTTTGCACTTTTTGAGAATTTGGCAGAGGTCAAGGACCTGGATCCCGAGGACCCCGATGTCATCTATGATGGCAACCACTTTGTCACCCACCGCGCCGAGGTCAAGTCGGCACCGTTCACTGTCTTCTCCGCCAAGAAGTTCCCAGGACTGTCCGAGAGCACTGCTTTGAGCCGCATGGTCGCCGAACAGGGATGCCGTGTCCGTATCCGTCGTGATGTGAGGATGAGACGCCGTGAGAACAAGTCGTCCAAGGAATGGGATGAGTACGGCGACGACGAGGGTGGTTACGATCGCGCGCGGGGCACAGCGACGCCCGATAATTATGGTCCTCCACCTAATGCACCTCTTGATGACCGTCCTCGCTCGGTATCAAACGCTAGCAACCCTTCGCTAGCCCCGCCTCGCCGTCCAAGCATGGAAGAGATGGCACATAGCTACCCAGCAAGCACTGGCTACCAACAACAGATGCCCCCACCCCAGAACCCTGCATACTCTCAGATGCCGTCTTATGGATCCAACCACCAGTATCCGCAGCAATACCCTACTCCCCAACCGACTCCAACAATGATGCAACCCCCTCATCCCCCACAGCACTCCGCCCCATACTCGCAGCAGCACCCTCAACATCAAAGCTACGCGAGCCAACATCAAAGCCAACACCAGAGCCAGCCTACAATGCCCATGAACCAGCAATACGGATACTCCAACTACCAGCAGCAACAGCCACAGCAGCATTATGAGCAGGTCACCCCCACGCGCCAGGAACAAATAGCTCCCGACTACAGTCACCCTGCAGAATACCGTCGACCATCCCTCACGCAACCTCCACCTCAGCAGTATCCCGCTCCCAGTCACCCTATGCAGTCCTACAATTCCATGGATCAATACAGTCGACCACAGCCAATGAGCCAACCTTTGCAACCTCTCCAGCCTTTGCACACCTCGCCGCAATCGTATGCATCCTCTGCTCCTAGCGGTATGCATACGCCCAGTCATCAAGCACTGCCGTCTTTGAGACCTATTGTTGCAGAGAAACTCGAGCCTGTCTCCCCGTCGTACCAATCTCCACCTGGCAGCATGTCCGCTACAATGTCGGTCAACTCGGATGGTTCTAACCAGAACTACGCATTGCCCAAGTTCAACCCCCAAGCGCAAGGCTTACCGCCCATGTCTGCTGGTAGCAACAAGCGTTCCTTTTCCAGCACATTCGACTCTCGTCATCTGAACGATCGCATGGTGGGAGGAAGTAGACCTCAACCCAGCGGGGCTGGCTACAACTACGATCCCGAATCCCCCGACATGGAAGAGCCAATGGATCGGGCTGCCATGAGCTATAGGCGCGCAGATGGAACGCAACGTCAACGTCATGTACCCGAAGTCGGCGTTTGAAAACGTTCCTTGCTGACGGCCGTGCAGCTATCATAAAAAGAGGCCCCAGCATGACAGTTGCGTAGGGATATACTGTTGGAGTACGGTGTTTGGTGTGTTGTCACGGATCTAATGTGCTCTGATCATCTATACCCCCGAGTACGACGAACGTGCGAACTCCGCGATGGCGAAATTTCTTTCCATTTTCCCACATTTCTAGTTGTCAGTTTTTTCATGCAGCTAACATGCCCCACTTTCAAAGTCGGTGAGCATTGAACAAACTTCTGTTTCCTTTTCCTTGCCAGTTTCTATTTCAACCGAACACGCCACGTTTATACACACATATATATACATTGAGGTACCGTGGCCTCTGAGCTGTCCTTCTTTCTCTTTTGCTTCTGTTTGTTCGTACTGGTGTACGCTTGCTTGAGATTATCGGAACGGTAAACATGAACGCCCAGTGCACATGAGTCGCACACACACACACAAGTCATCCTATCTCCTCTTTCCAACATTGGTGGTACCTTCCGATTTAAGTTTAAACGGCCGCTATCATCCACTCGATGGCTGCTCACCCTGGCCTTAAATCTGGTTGGGTGAGATGTATGAGGAAACACAAAAAATTTATGCATGGTCCCAGGTTCAAAAACATAAGGGAGGCTGCACGTGCTTGCATTGTGCGTGTATGCACGGAATTCCCCATAGGCTAGAAGGCATTTTAACTGCACATTTGGCACTAATGGGATAGCTACGTTTGTTTGAATAAAAAAGTTCAAAATCTTCACTCTTTCTGGCCTGCTGTGCTTGTGACCTTTATTCATCCAATCACTTTCTTCTCTGCTGTGCTGTGATAGCCCTGCTCATTCAATGGTTCACTGCATATTGAATTTGCTATGCCACATACCATGTGCTATGGTGATCTGCTGCTGTGTGGGGTATTAATACGTGTTGGATATAGTCTCGCTTCGTTACCGCAATCTTCCTTTTTGGGGGTGTGGAGCGCAGTTGGCGCCCGGGTAAAGGTAGTAGTGTTGACATGGGTGGTATACCGGTATTTGTTGGGTAGCGAAGAGGGGCTAGGTTAGAGGATGGAGGTTTCTGGTAGTGGGATAGTTTGCATATGGTAGAAAGGAAATAATGTGGGTTTGGAAGTATGCGTCAACTGGGCTGTAAGGGATGGTCACGTGGTCACTGGAGGATACCGCAGAATGCTGTAAGCTTGGGAAACGCGAATTCTACGAGAAAAGAACTGTTATCAAGTCTAGCAGTATACAAGATTATAATCAGACATGATCAAACATAGAGAAAGCTTGCTTCATCTCATCTAGGTGCTCGTAAATGATGGTGCTGAGTCGGAGCATCATTCACCTCTCCAACAAGCGAACACACATGTACTCAAAAAAGCAACATGTATTAATCCTGCCCATATAAGAAACCCGAAGGAACAAGTTCCCTAGGCTTCGCACATGCCGACATCTCCTCGCTATGTTCGCGTATCCCACGCGTCATCTCCAACTCAAACTTACCCCTCCATACCCCGCGCGCCAACCACCGCCCACGGGATTGCGTGATCGCAACGCGACCCGCTCATGACAGTATGCTCTTACACCAAAGCGACCGAGAACGACATAGATGCACATTGTTCTTACTCAAACGGACGTCTGGTTGTCAGCAGCTAGAGATAGCGGGGTGGGTGACTGTCGTATTCGGGAAGGCAGGAGCAAGCTGAGAGGATGCGGACACGGCAGGAGCAAAGGAAACGGCCACGTGAGCGTGGGTTGGTTAGATGACGTGACGGACGCGACTTGTGGTGCAATTGGGGTTGGGGTTTGTTTTTTCCACCCTTTTTCTTCTTTCTTTATCACAACGTTGTTTGATACCAGCTGCGAGTTTACCCAGTTTTGATACTTACCTACCAATCAAGAAGATAGTTGAAGTTACCTGGAGGTTCAAACATGGCAGAGGAGTTGTCTAAGAACTTTGAGACGCTGCAATTGCATGCTGGTAGGTTTCTTTCTATAGTAGTAAAGAATTTGGTGGTTAATGTGGATTGTTATAGGACATACGCCTGATAAGGAGACGAATTCGAGAGCTGTTCCCATCTATGCGACTACCGTATGTTTGCTATTGAACACCTCCACGATTACAATTTTGGACTAACAGAAATAGTCCTTTGTCTTCAACGACAGCGACCATGGCGCAAGACTATTCGGACTCAAAGAGTTCGGAAACATCTACAGTCGCATCATGAACCCAACTGTCGATGTCTTCGAGAAGCGGATAGCCGCGCTTGAGGGAGGTGTTGCTGCACTGGCAACATCATCTGGCCAGGCCGCCCAATTCATCACTATAGCTGCTCTAGCGCATGCCGGTGACAACATCATCGCTACTTCAAATCTCTACGGAGGCACATACAACCAGCTCAAGGTCTTCTTCCCGCGCCTTGGGATCCAGACGAAGTTTATCAATGGAGATAAGCCCGAGGACTTCAAGGCTGCTATTGACGACAAGACGAAAGCTATCTATGTAAATATTGCGTGAAACGACAAGTCGGAAATAATTGCTGACGTATATATAGATTGAGAGTATTGGAAATCCAAAGTATAACATTCCGGATTTCGAGAAGATTGTGGCCATTGCACACGAGGCTGGTGTCCCAGTCGTTGTAGACAACACATTCGGCGCTGGAGGATACTTTATCAGACCCATTGACCATGGTGCGGATATCGTTGTACACTCTGCGACCAAATGGATTGGAGGCCACGGAACCACCATCGGCGGCGTCATCGTCGACAGCGGAAAGTTCGACTGGGGCAAACACGGCAAACGCTTCCCTCAAATGGTTGAGCCATCAGATGGTTACCATGGCTTGAAGTTTTGGGATACCTTCGGGGCCATAACCTTCATCATCCGAGCAAGAGTTGAGATACTACGTGACCTAGGTGCAGCACTGAACCCCTTCGCCGCACAGCAACTACTTCTCGGTGTCGAAACACTGTCGTTACGAGCCGAGAGACACGCTTCCAACGCTCTGACACTGGCCAAGTGGCTTGAGACCAACGAGAATGTGAGCTGGGTCTCATACCCAGGTCTAGAGAGCCACCCGTCACACGCGCTCGCGAAGAAGTACCTACCGCGTGGTTTCGGTGGCGTACTATCTTTCGGTGTCACAGGAGGTGGTAAAGCAGGAAGCCAGGTGGTCGATAACTTCAAGCTGATTTCGAACCTGGCAAACGTCGGTGATGCGAAGACATTGGCGATCCACCCTTGGACTACCACACATGAGCAGTTGAGTGATGAGGAGAAGATCAACTCTGGTGTTACAGAGGTGAGCATACATGGTATTTACAGTAGGCATTTGCTAACAAGACGTAGGATCTTATTCGAATTTCTGTTGGAATCGAACACATCGACGATATTATTTCAGACTTTGAGCAGTCGTTCAAGAAGTCTGCAACGAAACCGGGCGAGAAGGGCAAGCCGCAGAACGCGGGCAACAAGGGCGACAATGGTGCTTCAGCGTCGCTGTCTGGCTCCACTTAGGGATCAGGTCAATGAGCGACAGCGAGTATAGTTTCCAATTAGGTATCTTGAGTAAATTTCCGATGCTCCTTCTTAACACCAAGAGCGTGTTGTTTCCCATCCATGTTGCTCACAAATACACCAGCTTGAGCCTCGGTACTTTCCCCATCGGTCAAAGACTTCGGCCCAGGTGTGATCTGCACTGGAGCCAATGGCAGCCAGGCCGCGGCCGTTGCACCCACGCAGGGATGGAGCCGTCCGCGTGGTTTCAGTGTTCCCCAGACTTTGTTTTCGCGGGCGGACATGTGAAAAAGAGGCGCGGATTGGCACATGCTTTCCTCGTCATGTGCACATGTGTAAGCTCTTAGCACTCGATCATATTGCGCAGCAACCACGCATCTTCCCCGTAACAAGGCGCAAAATGACACGGACGCGTCGGCGCATCCCCGCAAAATATGAAGGGAAAAGGAATACACAACCTCACCGGGGCTGCGTCTGTATCTAGATAGGCACATTACAAGTCGGTGGCATGCCCGAAAGCAGCATACCGGAGCGCGTTCTCTAGTGCAGCGAAAGCCCAGCATCTACCTTGGCCCAGTTTTCATCCTAGTGATTGGTGTCCTTAGCATTTGCCTCGGCATGTTAAGGAAATGTGGGTTTTGTCCGAATGATCAACCCTTGCCTTAGGGTCCGTTTGAGGGCGCGCTCTGTCTCGCTTTGTCCATCAATTCGAACTGCTTCACTATCCTCACTCTTTGAGAATATCTCGCCAACCGGGTTGTATAGAAGGTTGCTTTTGTCCCCCCGCGCACAGGAAATAGTGGCGCGCTAAATCTTGGTACGTATGTCAGCTGCAGAAGCGGCGAAGCTGGACTTGGAGCTGTCCTCCGGAGACGCCGACGGTTCCAATCACGCTTCTATCATGGCTATGATTTATGCTGACTTTCGCTATGGAGCAGAAGGAGTACTCTCAGCCGTCTCTTGGTCGTTTTTCTCGCGCTACACAGACGTGTGCCTTTGACTGCATACCCGTCGACGTTGGAATCCCCACAAGGCGAAGCTCGGCACACGTACAAGGTTGCAATCATGTTTGGTGTATCGGATGCCCAGATTGACATCGCAAATGAGCTTCATGCGCCGCCACCGAGGGGACAGCCGTACAGTGTACCGCTGCCTGGCTCGGAAGGTGTAGGCAGGAGTGCCATTTACAGGCATTGGAGGTTCACGGACAAGCCGCTATTGAGCAGCCTAGTCCCAGAGGTATGTGGCACAAGAGCGTACTCGAGCATGTTGGGTGCTTGTTTTGGAGGCGCAGGACTGACGCGTCATGGCAGATTACCACACCACACGAAGCCTTCGAGAACGCGGTTACGAAATGGGGCAAGTCCAAGTGTCTCGGACACCGGCCCTACGACGCTGCCACCAAGACGTTCGGCCAGTTCGTTTGGGAAGACTACGAGACAGTCGCGAATCGGAGAAAGAACTTTGGCGCTGGTTTGGTACATTTGCACAAGCAAGCTGGTGTTACTGCGCCAAAGTACGGTATTGGGCTGTGGTGTCAGAATAGGCCGGAATGGCAGATTACGGATCTGGCGGCCATGTCCCAAGGTCTATTTACCGTGTCCATCTACGATACACTTGGCCCGGACACAACTGAGTACATCATCAACCACTCTGAGTTGGCATGCGTTGTGACTGGCATGAACCACGTTACTGCGCTGCTCAAGTTGAAGCCCAGAATCCCAACGTTGAAGATCATCGTGGTACTTGACCCATTGTCAGCTGGCGAGCTACCTGGAGAGTCAAAGGGCGACCTTTTGAACTCATTAGCTAGCGAACAGGGCGTGACTATCCACTACATCCGAGATGTTGAGGCTTTGGGCGAGAAGCAGCCAATTCCCATGAACCCACCCACCCCTGACGATATCGTTACCATCAACTACACTTCTGGCACAACTGGGAACCCCAAGGGTGTCGTTCTGACCCACCGGAATGCACATGCCGGAGCCTGCACGAGTATGGTTCTTACTGGTACCGGACCTGAAGAAGTCATCTGCTCTTTTCTGCCACTTGCACATATCTACCAGAGACTGGGAGAACATGCGGGACTCGCATCGGGCTCGGCTATCGGATACTTCCATGGAAACATTGCGGAGCTGGTTGAGGATCTGCAGATGCTGCGACCGACTGTCTTTTCTGGTGTCCCCAGGCTCTACAACCGGTTTGGGGCCAAGATCAAGGAAGCGACAGTCCAGACTACTGGTGTCAAGGGTGCGCTCTCTCGACACGTGGTATCGACCAAGCTAGCGGCCATGGAAGACAAGCATAACCCGACCAACAAGCACATGCTTTACGACCGCATCTGGGCTAAGAAGGTCGCGGCAGGCGTTGGACTAGATCGTTGCAAGGTCATGGTCAGCGGCTCCGCGCCCATCGATCCTAGCTTACACAAGTTCTTGCGTACCGTGTTTGCGAACAACTTCACCCAAGGATACGGTCTTACCGAGACGTATGCTGTAGCCCTGGTCCAGCACGAGGGCGACTTCTCGGCTGGTAACTGTGGCGGTGTAACACCCAACGGTGAATGTGCTCTGGTTGATGTACCTGACATGGAGTACTTCTCCACCGACAAGCCATTTCCTCGCGGTGAATTGGTGATTCGCTCAACTACACAGTTCAGGGAGTACTTCCGTAACGAAGAGGAGACAGCTAAAGCTGTCGATGCGGAAGGCTGGTTCCACACTGGCGATATCTGCACTGTTGACGAACTTGGCCGCTTCAAGATCATCGACCGCAGGAAGAACGTGCTCAAGCTTGCACAGGGTGAATACATCTCGCCCGAGCGCATCGAGAACGTCTACCTGGCAAACTGCAGCTATCTGGCATCTGGCTACGTACATGGCGACTCACACCAGTCGTTCCTCGTGGGCATCTTCGGCGTTGCTCCGGATCTGTTCCCACAGTATGCGTCCAAGGTGCTTGGTGAGAAGATTGAGCCAGGCGACATTGCCAAGCTGAAGTCTGTTTTGAGCAACAAGAAGATTGAAGCAGCAGTGCTAAAGGATCTGGACAAGGCGGGACGAAAGAACAAGTTCAACAGCTATGAGCGTGTACGGGCCGTCAGGCTGTTCTTGGACCCTTTCACCATTGACAACCAACTCTTAACCCCAACGTAAGTGACTTTCCTAATATGAAATGAAGCATAGGCTAACAATGTGCAGATTGAAATTGAAGCGTCCGCAGACAGCCAAGGCGTTTAGGCAGCATATCGATGACTGTTACGAGGAGGCGCTGGTTCAGGAGTCACAGGCAAAGGCCAAGTTGTAGATGGCGCATTCGCATGTTCGGCGTCTGGCTATACTAAGATAGCCTGTGTATTTGCTTTCCTGGGGCACGGATATTCTAGGTTCTTGTGCGACCACTGCCATGTGCATATCGATCCGCCAATTGACTGTACAATGCCATGTTCTGCAAGCTGATAGGGAACGTTTGAGATGACGAGCATGATGCTACAATAGTTTGTTTTACTATACTAGGCATACACAACATTGAAACTTAATCGAGTATGCGCATGTGGCATCTTGCATATGGTCTTGCATGGCTGGGGAGAGTCCCAAGATTCGTGGTTGGTAGCATGTTCCTCGACATGGAAAACCGTGCTCGTGGAGACGAGTTTCAGACGTTGGAAATAGCGAGCGGTGAAATACGTGGCACAGAGCATTGTGGAGTGTAGCGTAGGCGCACGAGCAATCAGTGAGCGCCAGGTATGTATGACGCAGGGGCCACTCCTAGCCCATGATGGCTTTTGGGTAATCTCCGTACGGCAACTTTACGCCGGGCGACAGCAAACAACAAATAACACTCACCAGGCTCCCCGCATTCCAGCGCAGAACTCGACCTTCTCCCTTGCTTGCTCTTCACCGCTTCTACGCGGCCACCCTCTCTTGTTCCCGGGTTCCTGCATGAGCTAGTGCTAATGCCCATTACGCGCGCAACCACGTTGGCCATGACTGTGGACGCAGACGACACGGCGGTCCCGCGCATTTCGCGCTTCAGGGAGCACACAAACACCAGCAGCAGCATTCGGGCACCACCGGAGGAGCTGTGGAAGGATGTGGGCATTGAGGACCTGATTGACCAGTTCAACGAGGAGAATGCAAAGCCGGCACCATTGAGGAAGACGTCGGCGCAACAAGCTGCTCGGTATTCCAGGTCTCAAACTGGTTCCAGGTCGCCTTCTGGTACCTCGACCCCAAAGCGCTTTGGCACCCACCTCATCACTGGCACTGGCACTAGCACACCGACAATGGCGAACATACCTACGGAAGGAACATATGCGCGCCTGCGTAGCGCCTTCGCGACCATGTTTGGGGGTGTTTTGGGTAAGCGCAAGGCCGGACAAGCTGATGCGGAGCGGGAAAAGGACCTACACCAGCAGCTGCTAGACGAACGCAAGACGGCGGCGGAAATAGCTTACCATGAGGCTAAGAGCCTTGGTCTATTGCCCACGCCGAAGGTTTACGTGAGGCCTGCAATGGCCGCAAGGCAACAACAACAACAGAAACTTGGTACGCCGGCTCATCCTCTGCCCGCCGAGAAGATGCAGCGTTTTCTGACTGCAGCAGTGGCCGAGGCAGCGACACCAAACCGCACACCACGAACGCCGGGCCTCTACCGCACGCCCAGCAAGAAGGATCTCCAGAAGCAAAAAAAGCTGTCAAAGCGCGTGTCGGACCTCGAATTCAAGCTCGCCTCTGCGCGGAAAGAGCTGCAGACGGTCCTCTACAAGGACATGTCTCCTCCCCCCAACCAACCTAACCTTGCTCCCATCCCACCCCCGACCCCCGACTTCTCTCAAAGCGAACCTGAAGCCGCATCGCCCACCACGAACGACGACACCCGCATGTCCGAGCCCCCATCCAGCATCGGCAAGATTGTCAAGAAGCGCAAAGCAGCCATGCACGAATCCGACTCTGAATACAAGCCCGTACCCACGGATTCAGAAGCAGACTTTGACCTCCTCTCTGGCCCTTCTGCCTCTGAGCACGAGCGCGAGCGTGAGCGCAATGTCGTTCCCGTCCGCTCTATCAAGCGCCTCAAGAACTCTGCGAGCCGCAAGAGCCTCAAGCGCCAGTCGTCGAGGCTGCATAGGAAGTTTTCGCGCGGCAGCATGAAGAGCGAGGAGCCGATTAGAGTTGTACCTGACGGCGTTAGCGTGCCTGAGGTTCCTAGTATACCCGTTGAGATGGAGGCCAAGGGCGAGAGGGTTAAAGTCGGGGATGATGGGTATGGCGGGTTCGCTGATGAGATTTTTTAGTTGTGCAAGAAAGAGATGATGAGATGGGAAAATGATAGGGGATGAGAGCTGGAGTGTGTTTCTCTCGTCATGAAAAAGATTGGAAGGTGCCTTGGAAGACGAGAGTAATCTCTGTCTTTGGGCGGAGAAAAAAACTTCCCTTTAGTCTTTGAGTTCTGGCAGAACGACGCCTTTTGCATAGGCGTTGTTTGGGTATTTCTTCTTTTTCTTTTTTTATTTCCTTTCCCGTCTATTTCCTTTACACTTACCCTTCTCACTTACGTTTTGTTTTCATCATCATCATCAGCCGCCTCTCTCTCTCTCACTCTCCCAATCAGAGAGAAAGAGATGAGGGCTTGGGTCTGCGTGGATTAATTTCCTAATCTTCTCCTTCTCTCGCTTGTCCGTCAGAAGTCATCATCATCACTGCTTTGTTGCTTTATCTGGATATTTTGTTTGGTTTTTACCATATGAAGAGACGAACAACGACATAACTATTTTACGATACAGGATACGCGGACTGGACTTGGCATATTTGTATATACGCTAGTCGGTTTCTGTAAATGGATTTCCCCGTCGCTCTTTCTCTTTTGAAGGGAGGGAGGGGGAATGGCATTAATTTCTATTTTACTTTTTGATCGAGTTTCTGTGGGTGGTTATGGTGAATGTGATGGTTCTTGATACTTCTCCTTCTGGCACAGTACAGAAGATGGTAGATGGATGAGCAAACGTATAGGTATAACAGCCCCAGATCATATAACAGGCAGGTTGTCATTTTTCCCATACAACACACAGTCCCTCACTACAACTCACTAAACAACCTTTTTTCGCAACCAAAAACCAACATGGAAAACACGCCTCCCCCTCCTGTCTTAACCGTTAAAATCCTCATCCTCAGCTTCCTTATAGCCATCACACTCACTCTCGCACTAGCAGCCTGGCTACTATATCCATACCGCTTCCCACGAGCATTTCCTAGATTGCCTTTGGAGGACGATGTTTGGGATAGGGCGATTATGCGTGTGATTGGTGTGTATGATTTTGAGGGACGGGAGATAGAGATGGGTAATAGTGGGAAAGAGGGGGATGGGTATGAGGATGAGGGAGTGGTAGAGGAGAAGAGGGAGGTTGATAGAGATGAGGATGAAGGTGTGGTAGAGGAGGAAGATAGTGAGGATGAGAGGGAGGTGAAAAGGAAGAGGTACAGGTACAGGAATTTGAATAGGAAGAAGATGGAGAAGCGGAAGGAGAGGAAGAAGGCGAGTGGGGAAGGCGTGTGAGGAGAGCGGGAAAGTATGGATAGCATGGCTGTATGTGGCTGTGTGTGGTTGTATGGTTTGAGGCTGATGGAGATGGGTGGGTTGGATGAGCTAGAGTTGTTGGGTTGAATGATGGGTTGTAGTCTGCTTTGAGTGGAGGACCTGCGGTTTCAGAGCTGGGTCGGTCGTGGGCTGTAGTCGTTTGTACTACTATTACCACTGCCTCCATGTTGACCAGTGTTGATTTTAAACTGAGCATACAGGCTTTCCTACTCCCACTAGAAGAACTCTGGTATTAGGAGTAGTTATAGATTGTGTGTTGCTGTTACTACTGTTGGGTCTATTCCGGCCAAATTGATCTCAAAATAAGCATGCAGGCTATCCTTTTCCCCTAAGGGCACTGTGTTGAAGAGAGTGTGTTGCTGTTATACTATACCATAGAGATCCGGCTGGAAAAGTACTGCGGAGAATTCTTTAAGGAGAACATCTTGTGCAAGCTTTAGCGGGACAGCAATTCGCGGGAGATTTATACTGCGCCTGATATTGCCATGGCGGAAGTACTTCGGCGCGTCACCATGTCGGCGTGGGCCGGTGATGTGGATTCCGGAAGCGGACGCTATCAAGGCCGTACGTTAGCGATCCCAACCCAACCCGGGTGTATTGATTTGTTTATTCTTACCTCTATGTACCGGGTAATGCAACTGGTTGTACGCCTCGGCAAGGTACATTATAAAGCACCTGTTCTGGTTCAATTGAGCCCGACAAGCAAACCTGTTCATCTTTATTGCTCGCCCTCTTGTCGGGTGGGTATCTATCGCGCCTTCACGTTGCAATCTCCCGTACGGTGGTATTACGTGAGAATAAATAGGCCGGTGAACGTTCGAGTTGCCAAGTCGAATGATTGGTATCAAGTTACCATGCCGGGAGATTCCTATTCGTCCAAGATGTACCCAAGGTTGTCAGTAATCAATATCTCATCAATATTGTTGTTTGATTTGTTTGATTCGGAGCCAACCAACTAACCAACAGTTAGCCACTGTATTTCTGTCAATCAATCAACCAATCTTGAGAACAAAATGTTGATAGGATTGGTGTTGTTTGATAGTAAGCGAGGGAGGGGGATACCTAGGTGAGGCCTCTGGGATAGCTGCTCAACGACGAATTCTTAGTGTTGGATCTTGCTTACTAAGCCTACTCGCGTGTAAGTTATATGACCTAGGTTCCATCCCATCTCTCACTCACTCCAGGCTAGTACGTACGAGGCTTAGCGCCCACAACGCTAGCTGGCAGAGACATAGATCTCAATTCCTGTAGCACAATACACAACACGATTCACACATGTTCTATTCCTAGTGCTACTGACATCAGGCTTATAACATTTAACAACACCTTACTTTCTCGCGGCTCCGGCTTACTTTTAGCCTTATCCATGCCCTCTATACCAGCAAAACGCAAGCCCGAGGCTGCCGAAGAAGCTGATACTCCCTTCAAGCGAGCACAACGTACGCGCAAACCTACGCTCAAAGCGCTGTTGGGTGACGGCAGCCAGCCAACCCAGCCGATAGAGCTGCCAGAAAGTACGCCGGATCCGCCTACAGAGCCGCCTACACAAGTTATCGAGCCGCCCACACGGGCTATTGAACCGCCATGTAAGCCTGTACAACAACCCGAGGAGCGCCCTCGGCGGGCATCACCACTGCCTATTTTGGCTGCCTCACAAGCCTCTCGGCTCACTGATGAGCCAGCCTGGGAGTCGCAGTTAATGTTTGATAAGCCAGAGGACTCTATTGTACAGCCTTTAGCTTTCTCTAGCGCTGCCACTGAGGCTTCGGTGGAGGAGGATAGCGCTGTGAGCGTCGATTTTCGCGACTTTGAGGGCGTCGATTGGTCGCGATTAAAGGGGTTTGTCGCGCCGCTGAGCACTCCACGAGGCAAGGCAAGCTGGATTTTTCAACACGGCTGGCGTGTCTGGAAGGAGGGTACTCACCAACCAGATGAGTTGTACTTTGTGTGCAAGTACTGTCATATTCATAAGCTACCTAATGGTGTACACCGAGTAACGAAGTCAACCACTGCCGCCAACGGGCACCTCCAGCTTGATAAACCTGGTCATCGGCTCAGCAAAGATGGTCCAATCCTAAGCAAACCTCTCCGCAAACATGGACAACAATCACTTCGTCAGGCAGCTCTAAGCGGTGTCAAATTTAGTCTAGAGGCGTACAAGACTATAGGAAACTTCGACGTACAAGAATTTCGGCAGGCAGCTGCGCTCTGGCTGGTCGACAACAACAGACCACTCCGCGAGTTTGAGACGCCGGCTTTTCGCAAGATGATCAGGCTTGCTAATCCTGAGGCAGAGGCGGCGTTATGGAGGTCTCATAACAGCGTGTCAGCGTTCGTGATGAGGTTGTACAGTTGGCTACGGCCTCAGGTGGTGCGCGCGTTGGCTGAAGCCGAGAGCAAGGTACATATAAGCTTCGATGGGTGGACGACAAAAGGCGGCAAACGTGGCTTCTTTTCTGTAGTTGCTCACTACGCCAACAGTAAGGGCGCGATAGTTGACCTACCCATCGCGCTGCCGCAGCTGGTGGGTGCCCACACTGGTGAGGCGATAGCTGACGCTGTAACCAAAATCCTGCAATCCTTCAGCATTAATCGCAGCAAACTCGGCTACTTTGTGCTCGATAACGCTTACAATAACGACACCGCTGTTAACAAACTCGCCGCGATGTACCACTTTTCTGCCTCCGATCGCCGCCTCCGCTGCGCTTGCCACATACTTAACCTTGTTGGCCAAACGATTATGTTCGGGAGGGATGCTGACGCGTATAACAACGCCCTGGAGAACACAAAGATGGAGGATTTTTACATGAAGGAGTGGCGGAAAGAAGGACCGCTTGGCGTGTATCTTGATATTATCAACTACATCAACACGCCGAAGCAGTGGAGTATTTTTGAAGATTGCCAACGCGAGGCAGTTAACAGCATGCCCACAGGCGCCAGCGGCGGCACTCGCGAGCCAATTAAGCCGTGTGTTACACGTTGGAACAGCTATTACGACTGCTTTAAGCGCGGAGTTCAGCTCCAACAAGCTATCAACGCATACGCCACGTACCACATTCGCGAGACTGAACAGGCTGACGAACAGGCAGCTATTAGAGGAAACAAGCTGCCTGATGTGCCGCGGTGGATGAGGTCAGACGGCCTTACGGCGGCTGACTGGGCGGTGATTACTGAGTACATGGCGATACTGCAGCCGCTCAAGTTTGCTACAGATCGCCTCCAAGGCCGCGGCAAGTGTGGCCGTTTTGGCGCACTCTACGAGGTCATCCCAGTATTTGAGAGTGTGATAACTGAGCTGGATGCACGCCTTCGGCCATACGAATCGGTCAACCACGAGCCATCTGAGGCGCCCGAAGATCACATCCCGATCAACCTGCGAGCCGCGAGGCGAAAAGCGAGCAATTACTTTACTAAGATCCTCCAAAGTCCCATTTACTACGCAGCTACGGCACTACATCCACGATATAAAACATACTCTAAGCGCTTCTGGCGCGACAAACCTACACAATTGAGCACCGCGCACGCGAAGTTTCTGCGGGTTTGGGCTGCCTACAAGCCTGCCGCTGCTGCCACAACACCAACCCCTGCGCCAAAACCTACCATGAGCAGCTTTGACGACGCTATCGACGCTATACTAGATGAGGACGGCGAGCATACATTGGAGGTGGAGGATGAGTACGATAGCTGGTTAAAAGAGCCTATGTGGACGTCTGATCAACACAAGGAGGGTCCAACAGCTGTACAGTACTGGTTATCGTTGAAGCCGAAGTATCCACATCTTTCACGATTGGCGATCGACGTGTTGACTATACCCGCCTCCAGCTCTGATTGTGAGCGCGTTTTTGCGGGAACTGGCGATATAATTGAGCCACAAAGGCGGAAAATTGGCGCGCAGTTACTGGCTGCTTTGGTGTGCTTGCAACGGTGGACTCGTGCAGGTTTTACAACACCAAGCACGACAACAGCAGCAAAGCATACTGATGAGGAGCTCACGGAAGAGTTTGCGATAGGAACGTGGGAAGAGCCGCCTGCAGAATTGTCATAGAAACGTCCCTTCAGAACCTTAAGTCTATCAATATTCAATCAATCAACCAACCAAAAATTGGCTCTTCAGTCTCATCAACTCAAACAAACAAACTGTAGCCCTAAGAAATGAGCCAGTCAATCAACATCTATGCCTCAAATGTTGGTTGTTTTGTTTGTTGCCATCTCTGGATGTACCCCTTGGTCCCAACACTCACCACCAGCAATAAGCAATTCTCTCGTTCCGGGCTTCAAACACGAGATTTCTACGTGGAGCGAACATTCTATATGCTCTAGGCCGAGCCAGGCAGGCGCGAAATGAACTTCTGCACGCACGAACTCAATCTGGGAACTTTCCATAGATAACCCCGCAGTGTTGGCGAGATGATGACCGCGCTGAGCTCACTAGGTGCACAGGTAAGTTAGTTAGTAAACCTACCAAGACTGCTCAAGCCTTCCAAGACGATCCCAAGACTCCTTAAATACGCCGCGGTACCGTCTGGTGCCCACACTTTGGCTTGCATTGTTTCCCAGGCACTTTTCGTTTGCATCACGGCCATCATCATGCTCACGAAATCGGTAGCCACGCCTTTGTTGGCGCTTTCTTCGCTCGTGTCGCAGGTCTCTGCGGTCTCAAAGAGGCACTGGACTAAGCGGAGCGATGCCATGTATCTGCCAAAAGACACTACAGACTTCAAGACTGCTACCGCCCCTAATAATGTTAAGATTCGGTACAAGAACCCTGGAATATGCGAGACTACGCCTGGTGTTAATAGCTATTCTGGCTATGTGGACCTCACACCCAACGTACGTTTACCCAGCATTCTGTCTTGCATATATGATGCTCATCTAACCTATTTCAAGATCCACGTTTTCTTTTGGTTCTTCGAATCGCGTAGCAACCCAGCTTCAGACCCCTTCACCTTGTGGTTGAATGGAGGACCTGGAGCTGACTCGCTCATTGGACTCTTTGAGGAAAACGGGCCGTGCTCCGTCGATAAGAACCTTACGGTTACATCGAACCCTAACAGCTGGAATAACGTTTCAAACATGTTGTACATCTCTCAGCCTGTTGGTGTTGGTTTCAGTTACCAGAAGGAAGGTGTTGGTAGCCTCAACGAGTACACCGGCGACTTCCTTTATAACTCCACCCGTAACCCTGCTGATGGCCGATACCCAATCTTGGATCCATTGAACGAGGGCACTATTGATACTACCGATCTCGCCGCTGCTGCCACATGGGTAAGTCTGAAGCAAGTACGATGAAGTGCGCATAGGCTGATTGTATTGGATGTAGAACGTCTTCCAGGCTCTTCTAGCCACCATTCCCAAGTTCGATGCTAAGATTGGAGCTCTCAACCATTCCAGGGAATTCAACCTCTTCACCGAGTCGTATGGAGGTCACTATGGCCCTACCTTCTACAGCTATTTCGAGAAGCAGAACGCCAAAATTCAGAACGGAAGCATCCCTGGTTTCCCCATGAACTTCAACTCGCTTGGTATAATCAACGGCATAATCGACGAGGCCGTCCAGGCTGAATCGTACCCTGAATTTGCAATGAACAATACCTACGGAATCAAGGCTTATAACGACACCGTCTACAGCTTCGCCAAATTTGCAAACAACATGTACAACGGCTGTGTCGCACAAATCGCTAATTGCCGCGCTGCTGCCGAAGGCAATGCGAGCCACTACCACACTGACGCGCGCATTACCCCAGAACAACTGACTACTGGTGTCAAGGCGATCTGCAGCGAAGCTCAAAGCATGTGCCGTGACAATGTCGAAGCGCCTTACTACTATTACAGTGGTCGTGGCACCTACGACATCCGCTTTCAGTACGACAGCGCGCAGCCCATTTCTGGCAGAATAGACTACCTCAATTTGCCATATGTCCAGGAGGCGCTCGGTGTGACGGTGAACTATACAGAGTTGAATGGCGCAATCTATTACGCTTTCCAAGGCACTGGTGATTGGATATTCCCCAACTTCAGGCTCGATCTTGAGTACCTGCTCAACAAGGGTGTACGCGTTAGCCTGGCATATGGCGACGCTGACTACATCTGTAAGTTTTTCTACGCTGATAGCTTTAGTTTTGACTCTAACACACCCATACAGGTAACTGGTTCGGTGGCGAAGCCATCAGTCTAGCACTCGAGTACAAACACAGCGCCGAGTTCCGCGCCGCCGGCTACCAAGCCATGATGGTCGATGGCACAGAATACGGCGAGGTACGCCAGTACGGCAACTTCAGCTTTGCGCGCATTTACGAGGCTGGTCATGAGATTCCTTACTACCAGCCTCTCGCTGCTCTGGCCTACTTCAACCGTACCCTCAACCACTACGACATCGCCACTGGTGAAATTACTGTCACTGCAAACCTTACCTCTAGTGGGCCCTCAAAAGCTCAGCATACGGAATCTTACAGGCCGATGCTTAGTTCGATCCCTCCGAACGTCGCGACGCCGATTTACCCAACGCCTACTCCGGCTTAGTAGGTTGTAGGCCTTGTTTGCACGGAATGATGCTATAAACATGATCAATTACACAAGCTTAATGACTATTAATAATACTCTTGTGCTATGCGCACGTAGCTATGCGTTTTGGGAGACATGTACGGAGTGATGATGATTGAACCGAACGATGACCATGTCTAGAGCAAAAGAAAAACAGCTATGCCAACAAGATTCTTACCAAGAATATCTCATTACCCAGACGTTTCGATCACACACTCCCAAAATCTACTCATTCCTAGCATCTTATCATATTTCAACAGTGTTCTGCCACATACTCACCCACACCCACAAACAATCCCTCTTCTTCCAGTCTTTATCCCCTAAGCAAACCAGCTATACTATAAATGTTCCATCCCTCCGACTGTCAGACCCTTGAGGCTAATCCCAGCATCACAATCAACTCACTACAAACCTCAACCCAACTAAACCATGTCTAAAAACTACACCATAGCGGAATCTTTCTACGCAGCCCTCGACCACATGTCCTCAGAACTCCACACCACGTTCCAACAAGCTATTGCCCGCCTACCCCCTGAAATACGAACAAATTTCTTGCTGCAGCTAGTTTACATACTAGGTGTTCCCCTTGTTACAACAGGCGTGGTATGGTATTTGATAAGGGTGTGCGCGCAGGAAATGAGGAGGGTGGATATTAGGCGCTATGCTTGGGATGCCCGTTATAACAATGGTCGTTATCGTGGTGGTCACAACAACTACCGCCGCAATTTGATTATGGATGGGCGTGGTAGGATTCACCGAGCGTTGCCTCAGCTGCCGCTACAAAGGGTAGTTGCAGACAAATACGAAGATGAAGACCAAGTTAGGGATGAAGTGGAAGAAGATTTCAAAGATGACATGGGCATCGATATAGGCGCGGATTCAGACGCTGATGTAGATTTCCCCCAGAGTGAGGATTCTGGTAGCGAGCAGGAGAATGGCAACGCTGCTCAGCACGACAACGACAGTGACGACCAAGGTCCTTGCAGTGATGATGAAGGTCTTCATGACAATGACGACAACGACGATCGCTGTTGCGCGGGTTCTCGTCCTCGTAGGCCCAAGCCGTGGGATAAGGCGGATAGAGACGCAATAAGGGCGGCTGAGGAGAGAACCTTGCTCCATATTAGAGCGCTCGTTGCAGCAAGAGACGCAGTAGGAGAAGTAGCGGAGAGGGGAAAGGAGAGGGAGAGTCACAGACGGGCTGCTGAGGACGGTAGATAGGTTGTAAGGGAGGTGCTGATCAGGACTTGTGGTGAAGGGGTTTTTGTTTCAAAGGAGGTGGGACTTGACGATCAATGTACCGTAGAGAGAGAATTCACAGAAAAGGAACTAGTCTTGCAAGGTAACACGGGTTGGAAAATCTTCTGGTGGATGTTTATTGCTACGATACACCGAGACATTGCTCACTGTAGTTCTTTGAAATCAACGCCAAACGCCATGCTAAACGATGCAACATTTTGCACAAGACTTTTTGATATATTTATTTCATTTCGTTGGGAGGACAAAGAGCTGGGGTTGCATGTTTATCTTGCATAGGCGAGCTATGCAGCCAGAGAGTTGGAGAAGGGTTTGTACGCCCTCCAAGATACGCATGTGTGTGAAACCGATTTCCTGTTTTATTGTTAGTTTCATGTATCTGCTTGCTGTCTGATATTTGCTTACCTTGATGAACTCCAACTTGGCATGCTCGCTCAGCGTGTCAATCGTCTTTGTGACTTTGAACATGGTGCTGATGATGTCGTGACATGAATAGCCTAGATCCCAGAGTTCCTTAAGCGATGCCAAGGCGTCATCTATACGCTGTTCGTGACACGCCTTGATCATGGCTTGTACTTTGATGGGATGTGGGCTGTCCACCACCTTGAACACGTTGTCCCCGTTGACAAAGCCGAAACCTGCAAATGTAGATTGTAGGTTGTTGATGGCTTGTCGCATATCACCCTCTGCAGAGAAAACCAGGGCTGCAATTCCGTCGTCGGAGTATTTTACGTCTTCGGCTTCGACAATTTGCATAATGCGGCGCACGACTTGGGCATCGGTGAGGCGGGCGTATCTGAGGATGGCGCATCTCGACTGTAGCGGTTCGATGATCTTGTTGGACTGATTGCACGCAAAGGCAAATCGTGTTGTCGCACTGTAAATCTCCATGGTCCTTCTCAGCGCCTGTTGTGCACCACTCGTCATGCTGTCTGCTTCGTCCAGAATGACCAGCTTTTGCCTCCCCGGGGCGAGCGTAACCTTCTTCTGCGCAAATCCCTTTATCCGATTGCGAACGACGTCAATACCACGTTCATCGGAAGCGTTGAGCTCGAGAACAGCTTCTTTGTAGGCGTCACCGAGAAGTTGGCGGGCGAGGCAGAGAATGGACGTAGTTTTGCCGATACCTGGCATACCCGAGATGATCATGTGTGGCATGTTGCCGTCTTTGGCAATGATCTTGAGGCGCTCAATCGTTTCCGTGTTGCCGACGACATCGTCAAGGTAGACAGGACGGTACTTTTCAACCCTGTAATCGTGTGAGTCGAGGTGAAATTGAACAGTGCGGGACGGTCAATTACCAGGGCAGCTCATAGTTTGCGCCCCCGGCAGCATTGGGATTGGGCTTGGCACCATTGCCAGCGGCAGCTTTTGAAGATTCGGCTTTGGACATGGTGGGCTGTGGTTGTTGATGACGCGAAACGCGACAGATTGACAACGCGCTTTCACGGGTCGTCCATTTGCGGCCTAGTACTCACGTGCCGTCACAAGTCATCTCATCTCGGACTAGTGCTCACGTGCAAGGATTGCCGGTGCGACCCGCAGCCAAGACAAGATGACGGGCATGAACTCTCATACTAAACATAGAGATAGGCTGCACCCGCTGACAGTCTGACACAGACGTCGTTTATGCATCGATATGAGAACACTGGCTGCCGCCGCACGTGGAGCGCACTTGTGTCGAGAATTAATGGCGAGAGCGCATTCTCAGGGTCTTTGTGGGCGATGGGAACAACAAAGCGGCTACAGCAGAAGATGGGTGTTCCTGCATCGGTAGTAAGTACATGGTAGGATTAGGTTTCAGCCTCAAACGCAGTTTTAGGGGCGGGCACTGCCACGGAACATGGCTGGGCCGGAAACACCACAGTCCGTGATCAGGTGAAGCGTCATGAGCCAGTCGTCTGCAGCAGCAGTCCTAATCCGGCCCAGGAAAGGCAAACGGCGCCAGGCATGTGACGGGCTGGAAGCTGACGACGTAGCGGGTGCAAGTGGAGTGCGAGGCGTACGGATCGGACAGGGACGGACTGCTGTAGCCGTCTTCTAGTCGTAGCCGGCCGTCGTAGTGAGGTAGTGAACAAGACGCCACACGCCTTCTCTGGCCTCGCACGGCGCTAGAAAAAGTGGTGATTTTTTTCATTTTCATCTTCCGTCCCCAGGGCGGCAAGGCTTCGACCCATGACCCTAAGCGCTTGGCTTAGCGATACAAGGCGACCAGGGCAAATGGTTTCGCACTGGCACTGGAGCACTGGAGCACTGCAGACATCTGCACGGCCACGCCATGCAAAGTCATTCATTCCTTCACTCGCGAGTCGCGCCTCTCCTGTTGGCCGCAGCGCTCTAGCCCCGGAAATATAGGCGGTTGCCCCAGTTTGTTACGTGGGCAGCTGCACTACGGCGCAAGATCCGGAATACATCCAGACCTGATCTCATAGTAAACGCGTCGTCATCATCTCCCGGGTCTAAGCCTCTAACGCCTCCTTCATCGACAAAAGGCCTTGCCCTCTGCCTTGTATTATTTACATCTTCTACCATTGTTGCGTTCCCTTGTTTCCCGCCGCCCAGTACTTGTCGGTGATTGCACCTCGGCGCTTTAAGACAGGCCAGCCTCAAACACTTTCTATAGCCGTTATAGCCGTCTCCGACCACTCGCGCCTCAGCTTGGACAGGCCTTGCCGGGGCCCCATATCGTGGTATACATCCATCGCTTCTCCCTAGCATTGCAAACCTCAAGAAAAGCACATCATGAAGTATACGACCATCCTAGTCCTAGTGGCGCAACTCGCGGCGTCAGCAGCGGCTCTAAAGCTCGTTCCCCGAGAAGTAAGTTCATGTCTTGGCTCAGCACTGCGCTGCGGTCCGCAACAAATCCGCGATCCTCTGGAATGCACCACTAACCCTTCACCAGAACCCCGCAGTAGTTCGACTCGACACCCAGCGCCGAAATGTCATTAACCCAATCGCCCACGACCAGTTACGGAGACGGCAAAGTGTTGTCCAACAAACACTCGACAACCTGGAGACGCTCTACTTTGCCAATGCAAGCATGGGCACGCCGCCGCAGAACTTCCGGTTACACATCGACACGGGGAGTAGCGATCTCTGGGTCAATTCGGCCAATTCAAATCTGTGCGCCCAGGGCGGGAACCAGTGCGGCCAATCGGGCATTTACAACGCGAATGACTCTTCGACATACAAATACGTCAACAGCGTTTTCAACATCTCCTACGTAGACGGCTCAGGCGCATCCGGCGACTATGCCACAGATACCTTCCGCATTGGCGGAACAACAGTTCGCAACCTGCAATTCGGTATCGGATACGTATCGAGCTCACCAGAAGGAATTCTCGGCATCGGATACACCATCAACGAAGTCGCTGTAGGCCGGGCAGGACTACAACCCTACCCTAACCTACCTCAAAAATTGGTCGACGACAAGACCATCAAGACAAACGCATACTCACTCTGGTTGAACGATTTGGACGCATCGACTGGAAGCATTTTGTTTGGTGGTGTCGATACCGACAAGTTCTCCGGCGAACTCCAGACCCTACCAATCATCCCCGACCGAGGAGAATTTGCCGAGTTCATCATCGCCTTGACCGGCATGGGCATGAACGGCAAGAACGGCTCCCTCTTCGAAAACGACAATGTACCCGTCTTGCTCGATTCTGGCTCCTCGTTGATGTACCTTCCCGATGCTGTTGTTAGATCTCTATACTCGACTTTCAACGCCCGCTACGACTCTTCGCAAGGCGCTGCTTTTGTGGACTGTAAATTAGCGGACCAGCAAGGTTCGGTCGATTTCAACTTCTCCGGTGTCATGATATCCGTCCCAATCAACGAACTCGTCATTGTAGCTGCCGTTAGTCGAGGACAGCCTGTCTGTATTTTGGGCATCGCACCAGCTGGAAACTCTGTATCCGTCCTCGGCGACACCTTCCTTCGATCCGCCTACGTCGTCTACGATCTCGCCAATAACGAAATTTCCCTAGCTCAGACAAACTTCAACGCCACCACAGAAAACGTCCAGGAAATTCAATCTGGAACTGGTGGTGTACCCAACGCGAAAGCTGTTGCTGGAGCCATCTCCACGGCTGCTGTCGGTACCGGCGGACCCAGGGTCAATGGCCCTAGCGTCACCGGTGGTGCAGGTGGCAGCATTAGCTCGTCCACGGGCGCAGCCGTGCCCTACGCAACTATGAACCCATGGGTCAGCGGTGCTGCTGCGCTAGCAGGCGCAGGTATCATGGTGGGTTTTAACGGGTTTTGATGCGCCTAGCCATCTCCATGTTTGGGTTTCCTTTTCATTTCTCGGGGTTTCCTTGCGGGCAAGTCTGTTATGCGTGTATCGTCTTGTAACGAGTAACACTACATACGGCATCGGATCAAAGGGTTAGTGTAGCATCAACACTTTTTGTGTTTTCTTTTCTTTTCTGTAGAATTACAATGACATGACGTGGGAAGGATTGTAAAACATTGCGGCATACTGGGTATAGCTGGGAAACTTGAGGTTTTCCTCTTTTCGGATTACTGTTTTTTCATTGCTGTTCTTATTCCCCACCACTCTATCCAGATGGTTGCGAGCGAAAAGACAGGGACAGGGGGCCTTTAGAGGTACATAGCATCAATAGCTTACAAGAACATTATTATCCTAATAACTTTGTTTCGCTCAATTGTTTGCTCTGGTTGTATAAACTTTGTGCCATGGAGTGCTGATCTTACTTTAGCACTTGGTACAGTAGTTAGTGCAACACGTACACAACAGGGAGAAGTATTGGTACGATACACGCGGCATAGGTGGGTATACACGTCATTGTGACGGAGGGAGATGTGCACCGAGGACCGTTCCGAGCGTGAGATAAAGGTCCGAGAGGGGGGTGAGACTTATTGTTAGATTTTAGGTATGTGTGTAAGACTATAGTTTCCGAAATAGGAAAGTGGGCTCTTCAGATTAGTAGGTGGTGCAGGAGGGTACAGAGACGCGTAAGAGGGGGGGAGACTGAGAGTTAGGAGGGTTGGGTGTGATGTTGTTCGTTTTATGGGTTGGCCGGGGTGGGTGTACTGTTTATGTGCGCTTTTTTTGGTGTCTATCCACGTGTACTTGGGTGAAGAGGAGGACAGGGGCGTATGGAGTAGCTATGTGCACTCTCTTACTTCTTGGTTAGCTTACTTCATTTGCAGCTAAGTGATATGTTGGTGTGTACGAGGGAAGTTTTATATAGCTCTTTCTGTCAATCCGAGAGATTTATCGAAGCTAGGTTGCTGCAAGATGGATCAGCTCAGCGTTCTTTGGAGTAAACCTTGGCTTGCTCTTTGTTTCTATTGTATCTCGTACTCTGACATTTATCCAACGACTGATTTCCAAGGTCTCGAATGTTAGGCGGTAGAACCACTTGTCGCACAGTCTAGAACCGTGTGAGCCAGTGTGCTGGTTCAGGTTCCGTGGCAGAGAAGGCAGTGGTTCTTATATGCAGCGAAGGAATCTGGGAGTACCAGAGGAAAGAGATAGGGATGAGTTTCAGAGTATGGTTTGGTGTGCCCAAGATAATATGCGCCTTTAGCGTTCATGCAGTTGGTACCTTGGAAGCTGTTCGACATACCTAGGTATGCACTGCACAAGCTTCGATCTACTTACGTACATGTAGAACCCATCCTTGTGCATATATCCCACATAACGCCTACCAAGATGGTCAGTAGAATGAAGCTAACCCATTCCCAACCCAAGGAGTCGGTCTTCTCCCCCATTTGATCCCCAACCGCCACCACCACACCACCCAAGCCAAGTACCAAGACCACATCCAACAATCTCTTCCACGCTACTTCGCCGTAAGAACCGGTAGAAGCACCTCTTTTGTACCTTTTCCCACCAATGACTAACTTCTAGTATGCTGCTTTTCGATTCTTTTATGGAACTAGAGTACCGTAATGGCCTTTGCCAAGGGTATCCGCCGCCTTGGCTCTGCGCCGAGCCGTGTATCTGTGGATATGTTTACATTCTAGGAAACGACCTCGGGAGGCCATTGGGAAGTTTTTAAGAGTATAGATGCCGGTTAATTCATTTTCTTTGCGACTTCTCACATCGAAATCCAAACCAACACAGACGAAACACACCCTTATTCCCTAATCAACTCAAACAACATCATGAAACTCTCCATAACCCTCATCCTCGCTGCTGCAGCGACAGCAATCGCACAAGATACCGTCTCCGCGCCTGCAGCAGGCGCTGGTTGCACACCTCACGGCGACCACTGGTACGTCCTCTTTCCCCATTACACATGCATATCCCCTACCAAACCCAACAAACTAACCTAACCCACAAAAAAGGCACTGCGCAAACGGCGTCCCAGAGCCCACAACACCCCCCTCACCTCAACAACTCGCCAGCTACTCGGCCGCGCAAGCAGCTACAAAGACGTCTGTCGCAGCTGCAACGACCACGTCTGCACCTCACAGCGATGAAGATGACCATGACCACGAACACAGTGTAAACGCTACCGCTACAACGTGTGAACCCCACGACGACCATTGGCACTGTCCGGCTGGTGTGGCGGAACCTACTACGCCTCCTGCTCCTTCTGGTACCCAGGCTTCTGGCTCTGGTGCCAGTGCTGCTGCAAGTGCTACGCCGAGTGGTACTACAGGAGGGTCTGGAGCGACGGCAGCTTCTAGTGCTGGTGTTGCGGAGCAGACTGGTGATTCGGGGGCTGCGGCCATGGGAGCGAATGTCGGCAAGGTTGTTTTGGTCATGGCTGCTGGATTGTTGGTTTTGTAAGGAAAATGCTGAAAGGGGAGAAATGTGTATATATGGATGGTAGGGTAAGGAGGAAACTGTGTACGGAATTTATTACTTGGATTATGAAGATGTGTAAGAATAGGTATTAGGACTCTTCTTCTACTTCTTCTTTTTTGCGCTAAAATGTCTTCTTCTCATCTTCTTCCATCCATCCCCTATAGTCGAACCCATCCTCCAGCCTTCCTATGTCCTCTCCCTCCACAAACTCACCCCTCCATTCATCAAACACCACCCCCTCACACCTAAACTCCCCCCTCCCTTTCCTCTTAACAAACATGCCCGTCTCCGCCTCCCACTCAACATTCCACCCATCCACCCCTTCAACACTGACATCCCAGCTTATTCCATCTACCCCCCTGTCTTCCTCCCCCTTCCCACCATCAACACGTTCCTGCTCCCGCTGCCGCTGCCGCTGCCTCTGCCTCTGTGCAAGACGTCCAACGCACTGGCGCCAAGCATCTTCTCGTCGCTGCATGATGCGTTGTCTATGCGCAGGCCCCGAGACGCGTGCGTGGGCAAAGGCTGTAGTAGTGAGGTAAGGAGCAGGCGGGAAGGTAGATGGAGAGTTTTGGGGGAGAGGGGCGCGATAGATGAGGCCTGTGTGAAGTGGTCGTGGTGACGATGGTGGTTTACTGGGGCGGAGTTTGAGGAGCTGGAGGAGGGTGGATAGTGGCATTGTTGGTTGTTGCTGTTGTAGTTGCTGGGTAGTGTGGATGGCTCGGTGTGATGTGGTTGTGATGAGGTACCTGTACATGAGTCGCGAGAAGGCTACTTATTTAGGGCTGATACGTTTCTATGTGCTTTGTTGTAAAGGACTAGCGAGGCTGTGCTTTGAACCTGTCTCATGTCTTGAAATGGCTTCGTTATGTGTTTGTAAAACAAAAGTCGTAATACGAGGTCAATGAGTCTCACTTGTCTCATGCGAGCTGCAGCATGTGTAAACAGTTTTAACAACACCTGACAAATGTCAGACGTATTGATTCGTGGCATGGTCTATAACCCTTTTGCCCCCTTTCATGCTATTAGAAAGAGATATGGTCTAAGAAAGTAACAATCATCATGAACTAGAACGCTCCAACAAAACATGCACTTTTCGCGCCCGCGCGTACTTCTAGTGAAGACCACTCTCGCCAGTCTCGGCCATGTGGTTCTGGCACTCGACCATGATCTTGACCATTTGCGAAATCTGCTCCAGGCGGCTGATGACAACCTTGTTGCCCTCAACGAAGCCGTAGCAGTGGTACTTGACACCGGTCTTGGCGGAGAACTCGCGGACCAGTTCTTGACCTCGGCGGAGGTTGTGGCGCGGCAGACGGGGAAACAGGTGGTGAACAGCCTGGAACTGCAGACCACCGTGGAACCAATCCAACCAGGGCGGGCAATCGACGTCCATGGTGGTGCGCATCTGGCGTTGGGGAAACGACTCTGTGGGCCCGAGGTCGGCTGTGGGCATGCCCCAGTGAGAAAGAGTAATCTGCACATGGAGAACCATGGTGACCATATGCGAGAGGATAACGTATGCGACCCTGATTTGCCATGTGGGCAGATAAGTCCATACCAGAAGGTAGCCGAAGAGGTACCAGTAGCAGCACATGAAGAGAATTTCCACAGGTCGTGTCCAGGATGCCGCGCCTAGTTGGGCCGCGCGCGGTGAGACCAGATGCAGCCATCCCAGGAAGTACAAGTTGAAGCGGGCGAATGCCATAATCGGGTAGTACAGGTACTTTTGGTAAGGGACCATGACATCGCATGCGGCGTCCCATACAAAGCGAAAGTTGTAAAAGGACGAAAGAACGGATTTGATGTAAGTGGGAGTTGTGGAGAACAAGGGAATGTTCTGGATATCCGGGTCGTGCTCCGGCATGTTGGTGACAAGGTGGTGAACGTTGTGGCTGGATTTCCACCAACCGATGCTGAGGCCACAGCAGAAGTCTGCGATGAAGGCGCCGATTAGTGTGTCTGCAACAAAGTTTCCTGTGATGCCGCGGTGACCAGCGTCGTGTGCTGTGAACATGATTTGTTGCTGTGATGGGGTTAGTTTTGGCAGAATGAAGTAGTAGCGTGAGACATACCCAGAACAGGCCAAGGAAGATGGCTGAGGTCATGTACCACTTCATGTAGAGAAAGATAGCGAAGCCGGCGAAGAGAAGGCCGTATCGAATTGACTCTTTGGCGTATTCAGAGTAGCGGCACTGGTAGAGACCTTCGTCCTTGATCTGTTGGTGCAAGGCGCGGTAGTTCATGATGATGGCGTTTTGCGTCTCGACATCGAGCGATGGGTTGTCGCGAACACCCTCTTCTATCTCGCGCTCTTCTTGCTCAATGCCAAATTGCTCCCTGTGTCTCTTCTTCTCCTCGGCAGCGCTGATGGCGGGCGTTTCGACTTCATCCTCGATCAAGGGCTGCTTCTCGGGGTCGCTCCGGCGTCTGCTACTGGATCTGTACACACACGTCTCTGGCTTCCCAATCAACTTCTTGCTGATGATGGCGGCGGCCTGGGGTTATGTCAGCAATAGCCAGGATAAGTCTCTGCAAATAGAGGACTATGGTGCAGAGTGTTGGGGGGGGGGGGTAGACGCACGGATCCTAGATCGACGCTCCTTCCGCGACGTGACTTGTCGGTGGCAGGCGCCGCACCCAATCGCTCCAATCGCTTTCTCTCGTCGAGGTTCTTGTAGTAGTCTGGGTGCCGGATTGGCGGCTCCAGGTTAGCCCAGGGCAGCTGAACGCGGCCGATGCGATGCTTTGTCATCATGAGCAGGGCCTTATTGGAGTGGTAGCTGTAGTGAGGTCAGCCTGAGGTCAAACTTGAGTGCTGACTCAACCACGCGTCCGCAGCCATCCGACGATGTGGTGTGGCCAGGCCGGTCCATAAAAGGGCAAGGCCGCAGCCTGTTCGAGACAACATGCGCTTTTACCTACATATTGATTTCGTCCGTCGCATCGCGGCCAACCATGTGCAGGATGGCGAGACGACCACCCGGGTGCCGGTTGATCCATTCGCCGAGATGCAGGGCATGCCCCTCGTAAATCACGATCGGTTCGCCTTGGTCGATCTTGCGTTCGATCTCGACCGGTGCGATTATCCTGTGTCGCGACATGATGTGGGAGTTTGTGGGTGAGGGTGAGGGTGAGTGGGAGCGGGAGGGCGTGGGAGTGTGTTAATCAGCGGGACAGCAGCATATATACGGGAACGGCAGATGACTGCCCCTCTGGCGACCAAGGCGAAGGTGAAGAGCTTTGGGGGGACCCTTCCGGCCTACGGCCGTGTGCACGGTCACCACGGTCACGGCGCTGGCAGAACATCTGGAGCGTTTGGGGGCAAAGGGGGCTGAGTCTTGGTACGTCACAGGTGGCACACAGGCGCACGCGAGAATTGGACGTGCAAACTACTGGGAAGAAGCGACTCAGCAAGCACAAACGTGCCGCTCATTGAAAGGATTGGGGCCCAAGCCTGCACCAGTAGGTTCAACGCAAGTGGGCTACGAGGACAAGGCCGCCACTACGCTCACGCCGAGGCTCGACGGCTCAGCCTATCTCTAGCATCTGGTACTGCTGGTACCGGTACTCTAGGCGTGCATGTGCGATAGATGGAAGATCAATCTCGCAGCACACGCGGTAATCCAACGCCCCTGGCCATTACGCGAAATAGGGGATCTCGGACAACAAGTGCATATCCGTCCCTCAGGCTGCCCACGGGCCTGCGATAGGCAGGTGCAACGCACAACAAAAGCTCAAAATGCACGCCAAGTGCTTGGGGGGGGTATCGAAAACCGGCCCAGATGGAGTGTATGGAAGGCTACGCAAGCTACGCAAGCTACGCAAGCCACGGTGAAACTAGATGCTCTCCAACAGCCCGGAGACGTGTGGACCCTTTGGACCCTGACGCGGGACAGGAATGTCGCCCCGCCAGAAGAAACGGCGCAGGCGCTTCCTGCTCGTCCATGGGTCCGAGCACCCCGTGCCCCAACCATTCAAGCGCAACCACTTTTTCCTCGCACTCGTCTTCTTCGTCTTCGCCCCTGCTCCCTGCACGGCACCGTTTCTTGGGCCATGGTTGAAGTGAGACAACCAGGCACTACTCGGACGCTACCGTTGGTGACAGCCCCGACTTCCGACTCCGGTGCCGGTGCCGGAACATTACTGCATGTCGACTGCACGACGGCTTGTCACGTCTCCACGGTACATAGCGACACACCGTTTCAGTAGCCAACCTAGTCGTATTGCCTATCCATCACCCTTGCGCTATATCAAGTCGCTCCACTTACCTGTGCCGCGCGTACTCGGAAGAATCGCCACTTCGCAACAATCTCCCCGGCCATTTGTACCAGATGCAGATCTAACGTGCTTTTCAGAGCATGAGAGCACGCCCTGGTTTCATCTGCTTTTCCTCCAGTCCACTCGGCCCCTCTTTGCCATTGCAGATCAGATTCGTCTTTATCCACTCACTGCACACCGTAAGCACACGCCGTCAGCTCACCCACGTCCGCCGCGCCGTGTACCAACACGACTGCCGCAACTTTGTTTGCCAAATTGCGATGTTGCGTAAGCACCTTCGTATCCACCCTTGAGGGACCCTGATCCACAGAGCACAGATACCCCGATCGTGACATTTCTGAAATGCAGGGCGCATCGGACGCCCGAGAAAGCCTCCGTCGCGACCGAACCAACATTAATGTACTGCAATATCACTTGCAATGTCGACTCCAATTCAAAAAATATCCTCTGCTATTCTTCGTGGTCGGTGTTCTGGGCAATCGGACATCTAGGCAAATCCGGAAAGTTGCTCATCTCCCCCGTTCCTGCTACTGCAGTTATCCAGGAGACACAATCTCAACCCCTCACATCTCCTCAGCAGGGGTGCTATGCTGTATGTAAGCGGGTCCTGAAATAACTTCGACAAATAACATCCACATTCGGTAATCTCAGGTACAATTCTATCAACAGATTAAAATCTGACACCAGCACACACCACACCGGATCAACACCGTCTATGACGACGGCACCTACACTGTAACGTACCCGCTCACTCCCGGCGCGTAACCACTATGACGCAGCCGTTAATTGATTCACAAATTCAAATAGCGATAAGCATCTTTTCCATAGTAAGCTTGCGACCACTCTTCGGAAGGACGTCGGACGACCATGGGATGAACCTGACCTCACCATGGCTACCAAGTTCATGCTCGTCTGACATAGACTACACTGCATTGGGAGGCGACTAACCGCTTTGGGTAATGCATCTGTACTGGGGTCACCCCTCGGTAGACTTGAACGATGCAGACCTGACCATGCGTGTAGCTCATCCGACCATGGCCACGAGGTAGCCTAACCATGAACCGATGATGACTAAGACCTCATCCTGCCATGCTAAACGCTCATCTGACATGGACTATACCGTATATGGACAGTGTTAGGCTGTTTGGGGCTTAGCGGCACTCGTGGGAGAAGGTCGGCTCACCATGAGATTTTGCCAGGCTGACCATGACATGGAGTGGAGGTCAACCGACCATGGACCAAAATCTTATCTGACCATGGCTGCGGGGTAAAGTGACTATTGATCTCCAAGAAACATAGTCGGTTGTTGCTGTCTGCCCGGGCAAAGTTCGCACGTCAACATGTTTCGTCATATTGTCAGCAACCATGGCCGTACCAAGCCGGACGCATGCTAGTAAATGTATCGAGTTAGATGAGTCGTTGCTAGCATTGATAACAGACGTTCGTTTATTCATTCCTTCCCGTCAATCTTCAACCTCCAATCCTCTACGATTCCTTACAACTCCGCCTTGTCATCTTCCTCACCAACCTCCGTATCCTTGATCGGATCGCGCTCCGCATCCCTAATGGCCCTCTCAAACTCCTCTGCCTCCTTCGGACTACTCGCGAACAAGTGTTCCTTGACCAGCCTCTGCGGCGTCTCGCCAAGCCACTGGAATAAGCTAAAGTCCTGATACTTGTCCGTGCGGAAGATTTCCAAGACCTCGACATCTTCGTCATCAGATAGGTTCTCGATGAAGTGGCCCATGTTGCGGGGTATGACACCCACGTCGCCGGCTTGGAAGTCAAAGGTACGCGCTGTGCCCTTGGCCGCGAAGATTGTAACGCGAGCTCGACCTGCGATGAAGAAGGACCATTCGTCTGCGTTGGCTATATGACGTGTTAGTATCAAGTTGCCTCCAGGTTTATGACCGACTTACGGTGCCAATGCATCTCGCGAATTGCGCCAGGTTGGATGCGCAAGTGCGCTGCAGCGACCGTCTTTGAGATGGGAAAGTTTGTGGAATCAGTAATGCGAACCTGGCCACCGGTCGTGTTTACCGGCTCCTGAGCAAGCATCTTGTGTGTAAACTGCAACTTTGACTTCTTGTAGCCCTTGCCACCGCTAGGAACCTCGCTGTCGATGGAGCCAGGCTCCGAGCCTTTGAAGATGTACTTTTCCTTGTCCGGGATGGCCTTGAAAACCTCGGGAGCAACACGGAAGTTCTCACCCAGGACGGACTTGGGCGTCAGTCTCATCCAGTCGGTCAGCAAAAAGGTAGAGTCTTCAGAGAAGTTGCCGTCATCGAAGATGAGCAGAAATTCTGTGCCGTTGGGACTGAGACCTTGTAGGGAGTGAGGATGTCCAGAGGGGAAGTACCACAAATCACCCTTTTCCAAGTCGTCGACGAAGCTGCCACCCTCCGTATCTAGAGCGGTGATGCGGACCTTGCCCTCAAGAACGTAGGCCCACTCAGCCTCCTTATGCCAATGGAGCTCACGAATGACACCCTCATCGAGACGCATATTGACACCGGCTAGTTCCTTGCTGGCGCCTAGCTCACGGATGGTAGTCTCACGGGTCCAGCCTCCCTCTTCAATACGAATATGGGAGTCGGCAAACGACCAGCGCATGTTTGGAATGGCACCATGGTCGGTGCTAGGCGGACGGATGAGATCGGGGTTCTGTCGTTCACGAGCTCTGTTACGAGGACCTAGTACGCTTGCACCGTCGCCGTTTCGCTATAAAGTTGTTAGTATTCATTGTTGTTGCTTCATGCTCATTCCAAGAACACAGCATTGACAAATGAAACAAATACTTACGTATGGTAATGGCTGCAGTTTATCCCCCTGAGGATCAACCTTCCGGTCATAGGGGTCCTTGACACCAGGTTTATATGGGTTGACGACTTTATGTGGTCCGGCATGGTGTTGAACATTCCCGGCCAGCGGCTGTTGTTGTTCCAAGGGCGCAGCGATGGCACTACAGACGCCAAGCACAACAAGCAGTGAAGGAAGATGCATGATTGCTTCAATTGACCCCAATTGACAGAGGAGATGAATCGCAAAGTCGAAAGCCTCGTTTAGGACCGGAAATCAACATCCTTTTGACGTGTCCGCCTGCATTGCGCGTTTGTCCAGTGCCGTTTTACCGATGACGACAATTTTAGCCATTATGACCTGAGGCCTTGCCGATTGTACCAAGTACACTCATTACATCAGCATCACTCCGCGGCTTCTCCGCACGCCAATGCACGGTTTTCCTACGCATCAGCCACACGGAATCGTTCCCCTGCACACTCAGCGTGTGTTTGTACGCGCCTAGAGCTTCTGTCAGCACATTTGGCATGGGTCGCCAAAGCGCCACTCCTTGGCTATCCTGCAATTGCCGTCAGCAGCCCCAAAAGCTTGACTGAAGCTTGAAGCTAGGTACCTGACGATCTGCATGTTCGCGTGCGCCGTACCGGTCTACACTAAACCCTCAAACATTTGCGTACGCAGTGCGGTATCTTGCAATGACACCCAAGGTCGTAAAAGAAACCACAGCAATCACTGCAGTCGAGCCTTACTTCGTGCTTACAGCCGAAAAAACGTATATGAACATGCCTCCCACCGTGGAGTCCCCTGAATCCATTCACTCTCCTCAAACATATCTATTTCTGCTAGCAATACTCGCACAAACTACTCTTCCAAAGCCCCGAAACTCACCCCACGAAGAACATGCGAGCCACTCTACTGTACACGCTCCTCGCATTGTCCGCGACAGCGTTTGCCCGAGATATAAACATTCGATACCATTGTGTTATAAAACATGTTCTGACACGTAAAGCGATGCACCTCTACTGAACCCGGAAGGATTAACGGGATGTGTTTTGGTAATAATGGTCAATCCCAACCTTGCCATCCATCGGTGAGCAACATCATACTTTACGACTTGAAATGACACTTATTGAATGAACTTAGGCACCTTGCCTTGGCACCGTGTTAAAGCCCAGGGATTGCCGACTGAATGCATTTCAGTCGATGTTTGGGCGTAGCAAAATTTCGTCCGCATTCTGTACATGAAGCGATCAAGATCGACCTATCAACGGCAGTGTGGGAAGTCGTGCAGCTATACTCCCATCATCGATATTTAATACATCCTTGTTGTAACAATTGGAAGCTCTTTATTCTCCATAAGAAATATTTGCTTGCTACTTGCCTGACTACCCATTCCGATATTCTTCTCTCGTAAAAAACACGCCATGTATTGCATACAAGGTTTCCAGTATTTATCTAGTCGTAGCCCATGCGGGATTAAGTTTTTTACCCACCGGAGGTGGCGGGAAGCCCTTGCTCCCCCACGCCCCCATCAACATAACTACCCTGCCCTCGCTCTCTCCTAAGAAGACTCAGCTGACGCCTTTTCCCACACCAAAACCCAATAAATCAAAATGAGCAACATACCGCGTAGAGACGCCACACAAAGCATTGACGAGGAAACCCCGCTTCTCGGCCGAAACGGGGGTGCAACCGGCGGAAAACCGGACAAATGGAGCGCCAAACATCTAAGTAACTACATGGGTAGCAATGTGGACAGGGACCGGGCCGACGTCGTCTTGATACTTTGCTATGTCATTACCGGTTTACTGGATAGCTCTGCTGTTTTCATCTGGGGCTCCTTTGTGAGCATGCAGACGGGTGAGTAACGATTCAACAAGCATGCCGTCGCTGAAAATCTTCCGGGTTGCTTACTCAAGATTAGGAAATACGGTGTATCTTGGCCTGGGAATCGTGGCGCCTTACGAGGGCATCCGCTGGATCAAAGCAGCCGTTTCAATTGTGGCGTTTTGCATTGGGTCCTTCTGCTTTGCGCGCTTTCACCGCTACTTTTCTCCTGCTAAGAGATGGGTGCTTATTGCATCGTATTCGTTTCAGGCGCTGCTTGTTGCTGTCGCGGCGACGATTGCGACGTTTGGGAAAGATACCAAGGAGGGCTTGCATTGGCAAATGCTTGTTCCTCTCGCTTCGCTGTCTTTTCAGTCGAGCGGGCAGGCGGTTACGTCGCGTGCGCTAAAGCATCACGGTTTTACTAGCATTGTGCTTACGAGCAATTACTGCGATTTGTTCTCCGATCCGGCTTTGTTCAAGATGTCCAACTTCGAGCGCAATAGGAGGATTGGTGCGCCATTGGCGTTATTGACAGGAGCTTGTATCGGAGGGTTGTATGCGCATAGCAGTGTTGGCCTTGCGGGTGCGTTGTGGACTGCCGTAGTACTCAAGGTGATAGCCGTCTTTGCTTGGTTGTTCTGGCAATCTGAAGCTCTGGAGTCTCTCGAAGAGTAGAGGTGTGTTTGATTGGACTCTGGTATACCCTATTAGATCTTTCGGCTCTTTCACACTAAGCGCATATAGAACGCATACGACAAGAAGTATAGATATCACCTGTAAGACTATAGCCTTTTTAGCGTTCAACAATACACATTAATATCCCATGGCAGCATCTAGCACGTGCTTGGGTCCTTTACTATTGCGCATTTTCCACCTAGCACGAAAGTACAAGCACAATCAGGTAATTGGTGCATCTTAATGATAGCTGCTTTGATATCTTCGAGCATTCAATTAGGAATAGACCTGCAAAACGGAATATTCGAAAACTTTTCGTACCACTTTCAGTCGCGGTCTGATCCTCGAAGCCAACAGAGTGAGTGCGAACGGTTCGTCAACAGAGCTTCGAATAGCATCAATTGGATACCAAGGTTCTCTGGCGGTCGAAGGACAGCACTGGCTGCGGGGATAGCAGCAAAAAGTCCGTACAACGGAACTTTGTCATTGTTTGTAAATGAGTTGCATTTCTCCATGTTGACGCAGACAGTCAAGTCACCAAGCGTGGATTTCATAGTACTAATTGTCCACTCACCAACACTATAGCCAAAAACCCTGGACAGCTTGACAGTCTATTAACGCACCGACAACCCGTAACTAGCAACAAGAACCGAAAATTGACGTATCACTGTACCAGTCGCCTCTGCACTGCTACACTGCATCCTTGACCTTTCACGTCATCGCCCCAGACACACCATATACGCTCGGCTCACCTAACATCCTGGCGCAGAGCAAACGCTCCCTCAGCTACCCACATAAGCCGCTGCCTGACCACACCACTCACACGACTCTGACACGAAACTACGGCCCTCAACCCGCGAAGAGACAAGGAAAGCATGGCGCGCAAACGTTCGTACAACACCATGAGGGCGCTGGAGCAGCCATCTGAGCTCGAGCAAGCGTTTTCCCAAGAGGTTGAGACAAACGAGACAGCACTACCAGCCCCGAGCTTCAGCTTCACTAGCAATTTCGACTCTAGTCTTGATAATTCGGATAACTCTTCTGAATCCTCATCTGAATCAGAGGATGATGGCAGTGGCACGTCAAGTAACGGTTCCATAACCCTGAATCAAGGAAATGGACAGCAAACGGCAACACCTCCTACAACCATCCCAGCCCCACCCGCAACACTCTCCCGTCTTCCACTCCACATCCAAACCCAAATCTGGACGCTCGCCCTCCCCAAACCACGCACCCGCATCCTCGAACTCCACACCTACAACACAATCGACCACTTACCTAGACTCATATACCACCCACCCCTACCGTCCCTCTTCTCCGTCTGCCGCGCCTCACGCTCCCTCAGTATCACCCATGACGGCGGAGAAATCGTAACCTTCACCACCCCATCATCCACGCTACTATTCCATTCTTACGGTGAGACAACGGACACCACGACGACCACCGACTCGACAGACCCTAACACATCACCATCCCCATCCTTCTACCTCAAACCCACCCTCACTATCCTCTTCCTCCCCGCCCGCTTCACAGCTAGCTGCCGAACCCCCGAAACAGCCCGCCTCCGCACCCTAACCACGCTCTTCCATCCAAACCTACTATCACGCCTCTCCCGCCTCCTCATCTCCTTCAGCGGCACCGACAACTTCAGCGCCATCGGCCCCGTGCTGCGGCCGTACGCGCGACTCGAGACGCTGTATCTGTGTATGAATGACTTGCGGGTTGATATGAGGGTGAGGAGGTTGGTGAGGCAGGGGTTTTGGGGCAGAGACCTGTTTGCGGCGAGGATTGCGAGGGTGCTGAGGGAGACGGAGGACGAGGAGACGGATGATGAGAGTGAGGGAGTGGAGGTGGCGAGGGTGAGGGAGGAGGTTAGAGAGAGGAGGAGGGTGGTGGAGGTGGATTTGTTGTTGGGGTTTTAGATGATGGACAGGAGGCAAGGAGGAGGGTAGGAGGATGCTAGTTTTCTGGATTTGTGTAGGGTTTTGTTGATTTTGTTGGTCTACGAGGATTTCTTTGTTGAGGTATGGGTTGCCTAGGGTGGTTTCCAAGGGTTGAGTGATTGTTACTTTTGAGATTGTTCATGGCATGGTGTTGGCTGACACGATGGAATCAAAAATGGATTGGATGGAAATGATAAGTGCAATTAAATCGATCCATGACGTCTATAATGAACTTCCCATTTCCATGCACCAAAATCTCCTGTTCAGCACACACATCTATGAGTTCCTAGACGATAATCTCATCTAGACTAGGCGCCTCACTCGTTTTCCGTTTCGACAGCTCAAAGCTCAATACCATAGAGTCCGTGTAGTGCAGCAAAACACGCCATCTTCTCGGTTGTAGCACTTGTTCCTCTCGATCTTCTGGATCTGGATCACTTGTTTGATCAAACATGCCTATTCTCAATATCAGCACAAGAGAGCTCACCAAAGATACAGTGGTAAAACATTCAAATCCAACTTACCTTGTACAGGTGCAACAGCCACACCAGCCAACCGTGACTCTAGGTACATACCCACTACCATATTCTCGTTCTTCTCTCTGAACGGCAACAAATACTCGAGTTTGAACCCATATCTTGGTTGGGGATTACCCTCATCCTTGGTCCAGTACAAGGTAAACACTCCAACGCGACCGATTGGAGAACCGACAAGAAACACGCCCAACTCTGGTATTTGTGCAAAGTAACAATGGCGATCTTCAGGCACGAGATCGAGTGACCATTCGCCCGGATGTAGTGGCCGACGCATTGTAACGACGCATTCTGGGCGGCTCTGTCCTTGCTTCACCTGAGGGCTTTGGAAGAGGAAAATCTCCTCTTTTGTGATGATGAGGAAGGGGTTGGAAGGCTGTTTGGTCTCTTGGTGTTAGCTTCAGAATATTACGCAGGATGACTTGTAAAACGCAGGGCTTGGCCAATTCCATCAAAAAACAGGGAAAATGTAGCATACCATTTGGATCTCTTTCGCGGTTTCTGCAGATTCCGAATTGGGTTTGATCGAGCAGTACGGTTCACTAAGAGGTTGCCGAACTCTACGTGGAGCAGCATCCGACGACAGAGCTTCCTGGACCGCTGCCAATTGGATGTCCATGTCACTTTCTTCAGTTTCGCTTTCGCTTTCGCTCTCATCGCTGAAATAACAACTGAGTCCACTCAAGTGTTCGCAACTTTCATGAATAGTAAACTGGGTTTTGTGAGCAGTAACATCGAGGAAAACCGACTCCAACGACTTTGGTTCCAACGCCGTCTCTTCTTCCAACGTCAATTCGTAAGCGCATCGTGTGTCTAGCGCGATAGCGCCCCAGTTTCCATGAATGTAGACTTGGGCATCAGGGCAACCGCACGAATTACCGCGGCCAAACACCCACTCCTTGGGTGGCTCTAGTTTGTTTGCCCATAGACAAAAGCCTACTTTGATAAGCGATACCCAGGTGCGATCGCGCAAATTCCACAAGATGGTTTCCCCGTCGATGCTGCAGCTCAGAAGGAAGTTTCCTGATTCGTCGTTGAAAGTTATGGAGGGGATGTTGCCCCTAGCTTGGAGAGTAAAGACATTCTCGGTTTCTCTCGTTGGGTCAGCATCTCGTAGTGCAAGCGCGTATGCAATAACGGTAATGCAGTGTGTGTTGGCGCTGATAGCAATGATACGAGCCTCTCGATGTACTGCTAATCCCCAAGCGCTTGCTCCAACATTACGAAGAAGAAAGCAATGGATATCGTCCTCACTAGCAGGCTCGTCTTTGGTGGTCCGCCGTTCTAAAGCTCGATGGATCTCTTCTGTTCGATAACCAACCACATCGCCGTCGTCGCGGGCTAGTAGAAGGATTTCCTCATTACCAAGGTAGTCCACAAGGATTCGATTGATTGACCGGTGGTTGTCTGCAAATATACCTGGTCCGGTCTGGCCAGTTGATGGGGGGTGGATGACAAGCTCAGGCTCAGATAGACTCTGGTCGGGGAAGCTTGGCTGGTAGACATGTATGACGTCGTTGGACGCGACAAGATAGATATTGTACCGTTGTGAGAGCGCTGTCAAGTCGCAACGCCATTCCCGGATTTGTGGGGCTAAAGCATGGTTGGGAAACTGTCTACAATCAGCAATTTCTTCTGTCGATAGTACTGAACGTATTGAACCATGAAGTATACGAATACAGCAAACATTCAAGAATGAAGGGCCATATTCGAAGGCGACATAACCAAATAATCAGCCAAAAGGGCCCCTCTACACCATTATGAGGTGAAGTAATGTATTCAAAGGGCTGGTCCAATCTGTGAATGGTATGTACGTGTAAGAAACGAATAAGCTTACCCGCTCTTTTCCGCCGTGTACGCCTGTCGGGATACAAACAACATGTTTTTCCATGCTGTAAAATGCATTCTCACTGTTGAAAAATAGGTTGACAAAAGTGAGTGCCGTGATCTACGGAGGTTGACGACTGCTTGTGTGACGTGAGCTAGCGCCAAGTGCCGCTCCTTGGACAGAGCACCACGTGATTGTACTATCACAACAACCAGAGCTGTAATACAGACAAGAGCGACCGCACAATATTTGAACAAATGCGACAGCGGAAAAAGACAGAAATCGAAAGCAGCCTCCGAGATTCCAGCCTTTTCAGGCGGGAAAACCTCGCGACGCCAATTATTTCAAGGCTCTATCTAATCCTAATAATGTCTCCCCGATGGTTATGCATCATATAAACCTCATGAAACCTCTAATAACCGTCGCGTAGATCATTGACTGTACATGACGCCCGCTAGACCAAGTACGCGAATGTCATCTAATGCTTTGCGGTAACCTTGTCGCCAGTGAGCTTCTCGACAGCTTCCTTTGCACTGCATTTCTGTTAGTAACTGTTTTGCAATGAATAATGAGGATGAAAACTTACACATCACCGAGGGCTACCATGCAAACTGTCTGCCAAACACCAAGCCCGATTCTGGGGGCGACACCTCGGTAGAGGCCCTTGACACCGTTGTTGGAGTAGATGTACTTAAAGGCCGAGGCAACATTCAAGTTCTTGGGGCGGTTGGGATCAACCGTTTTGGACTGGAGCTCAACACGGATGACCTCAATGGGCTGGTTCCATGCGCTCAATCCACCACCCAAGGCTGAAGCGGTGATCTTCTCAACCACGGTGAGCTTCTCGCCGTTCTCCTTTTTCATGACCTTCCGGATACCAGTCTCGGCAACACGCGATAGACCGAAACGAGATCCCCAGTTGGTGACCTGGCGCACCGCGACGGCGTTGACACCACGGTTGATACCGCGGAGACCTTCCGTGCGCCAAATCTGCATGAACGTCTCGAGCGTGCCTGGGGGCTTTGCGCCAGTGGCAGCGACCTTGTGTTTTGTAATTTCGACCGTCTTCATGCAGGTGCAGAAACCCATGGTGGCATAGGCTTGAGCAAGACCACCAGTCATGCCACCAGAGATACCGGCAACAAAGTCAGGAGCGCCAAACGACTTGGCGTAGTATTCGGCTTCCGAGGCGACGAAGAGGAGGACGGCTCCCTTGGTGGAGGCTTCGATCCAGGCCCAGGGGATGAGGCCTTGATAGACTGTTCACCACCTTGTCAGCAATTGACTCCCACAACTGGCCATAGCAGTACTGACAGCCAAGAACACCTCCTCGCGACCAGATGCGGCCGATAGCACCTCCGAAGCCTTCAGACCTGTTGGCAGCCATGGTGGTCTTTACGACTTCCAATGGCTATCGTCGGCTGTTAGTTTTGGCTTCCAATGACACTGCAATTGAGTCGCATACCTGTCCCAGAGTTGTCACTCTGTAACACTCTGTTAGCGACCATTCATCCTTCTTGCTTGATAACGTAGCATCTACTTACTCAAACATGTTGAGACCAGCACCAACTGAAGGCTACAGTCAGCGCACATTCACACAACCCCGCGGTCGACGGCAACTTACGCAACAAGTTGCTAAACTTGACTGGCTTCTTCTCGAGCACTGGCGGCCCACTGGGCAAGCCCGTCACAGATGTGGAACTCATTCTCTGGGATTGTCTTGTCGAAGATACGGGGCCTGACCAAGGCAAAAGGGTGCTTCGTCGCAAATGTAAGTAGGATCGAGTGTGTAGAAAAAAAGAGGAAAGGGATGCATGAAAAGACGGTATGGGATTGCGAGGTGGTCTGTGTTGCTCTGGTACACGGGGCAGGGTGGGTTGACCGGCGCGGCGCTATAGTCGGGGTCCCAACATCGTTCCTGAGGCTATCGGCTATGGGCTACTGCTACGGCGACCCTTGGCGGTCCTTCCCATAAGTGCGGGTATCGGGCATGCCAGGCCACCAGCATTTAATTTGTGATGATCGGCTTCGCGACGATCTTTACCATATATCGCGAAATGCTTTGTATTTTTCTTTTCCTTGCCCTGAACAACATGCCTACAGATGCTTTCCGAACTGCGAGTTGATGTCTCGGAATGGGAACCGGGCCAAATGCTCAGCTCAAGGGATCCGTATCGGTTCCCCAATGACCCATGACCCATGAATCATCGAAACTCCGACCGTCCCGATTACTTTTCTTGCCTTTATTACTTTTTTACGCCGCTGCGATTGGGCCGATACTACATGCCTTCAATTACTCCGACGAGCCTTCGCTCACCGTCATTCCCCCGAAAGCTGAGGTTACAGAGGCAAATGGGTCGAGTGTAGATTTTTAGTTCATCAAGATAGAATTACAGCAAGTCGTTCACTAGATGCTAGTGCTATACCGCCGCAACGCATCCATTCCTATCGTTACATTTCAAGTTTTACACAGGACAAGGTATCTTTGAATTCAAGTAAATTCCTCCACATTCTCATCCCCGCGTAACACGCCTCGGTGACATGTTTACAACTTAGCGCCGACCAGCTTGGCGTAAGCCTCGGTGCTGAAAGACTTGGGCCTCTCAATTGGGGCACCGACGGCACGGTCAATGATGAGCTGAGGAAGGACACCGAGCGCACGGGATACACCGAAGAGGACGGTGTAGTAGTTCTGCTCCGTGAGTCCGTAGTACTGGAGGAGGACACCGGAGTGGGCGTCAACGTTGGGGTATGGGTTCTTGGTCTTTCCGTGCTCGGTGAGGACACCGGGGGCAATCTTGTAGACCTGGCTGACGAGCTTGAACATGGGGTCATCGGGCAGGTGCTTCTGGGCAAACTCGCGCTGGGAGACGTAGCGGGGGTCGGTCTTGCGGAGAACAGCGTGGCCGTATCCGGGAACAACCTGGCCATTCTTGAGCGTGGACCAGAGGTAGTCCTTGATGGCCTGGTCGCTGAGGTCGTTGCCAATGGCCTTCTTCATCTTCTGGAGCCAGACGAGCACCTCCTGGTTGGCCAGTCCGTGGAGAGGACCAGCAAGACCGTTGAGACCAGCAGCCAGGGAGAGGTAAGGCGAGCTGAGTGCGGAACCAACCAAGTGGGTGGTGTGGGCGCTGACGTTACCACCCTCGTGGTCGGTGTGGATGGTCAAGTACAGGCGCATCAGCTCAACAAAGTCCTTGTTCTCGGAGAAACCGAGCTGGTTGGCCAAGTTGAATGAGTAGTCCTTGTCCTTCTGAATGGGCGCGACCTTGCCGTCCTTATAGATGTTGCGGTAGATCTTTGCGGCGAGGGTGGGGAGCTTGGCAATGAGGTCCATGGCGTCCTCAAAGGTGTGCTCCCAGTACTGAGACTTGGGCATGCCCTTGGCGTAGGCCTTTGCGAAGTTGGACTCGTGCTCGAGAGCAGTGACGGCGAGAGAGAACTGGGCCATTGGGTGGAGGTCGCTGGGGCAGCGGTCGATGAGCTCCTCGACGAACTTGGGCACATCGGAGCGGGCGGCCCACTCAGCGGAGAGGTCGCGGACTTGCTGCTCGGAGGGAACCTCGCCGGTCAGGAGGAGCCAGAAGAGACCTTCTGGAAGGGGCTCTTGACCACCGGGAGCCTTGGGGAGGAGCTCCTGGCATTCAGGGATCTATCTAGTGTAAGCAGTGCGTCTGATGAGATGATAAAAATGCCACATACAGTCTTGCCACGGAAACGGATACCCTCCTCCGAATCGAGGACGGATCCTTCCCAGACGAGCGACTTGATACCACGGGCACCGCCGTAGACCTGGTCGAGGGTAACCTCGCCGATAACCTTGCTACCGTGCTCCCTAGGGTATGATGTCAGTTCTGCGTTGAGATAGCTGCGGGGGTCATAAGCCGTACTTGCGGAGCTTCTTGATCTTCTCGATCTCGCCGGGAAGCTTGTTAGCAAAAGTCTCCTTCAGCGACTGCAATTGAGGCGGTTAGCAGTTTCCTTGGTCTCAATGGGCCGAGTGCGCATACGGTGGTCTTGCTGGAGTAGCAGCGGAGGCCATTGAAGGCTGTAGTCCGCAGGGGAGCAGCGGCGCGGAGAGCGCCCGACAATCGTAGAGCAGAGGCCATTTTGATGTGGTGTGAGAGAAGAAGTGATCGAACGGGTGGGAGGGATTAAAAGGCTGCGATCGGGGGAGAAAATATCGGTGGAGCCCCCAGCACGGTCGTCATGCCGCAGCCAAACCAAGGAATCCATGGATCCAACCGTAGTACCCGCGCGGGTATGTTCGGAGGTCCCTCATTGCCGATGTTCCTTGCGAGCTGAGTTACAATGATTAGCAAACCATTGCGAGCAGCGAGAATGTAGTCGATTCTTGGTCTGTCGTTCGGAACCGTTCAAGCACTTTGACCTGCATCGGAACCAAAAAGCCCGCTTGCGTTCCGCGTGCAAAATGTCTCTCCCGCTACAGCCGCAACTTGTTGTATACAAACATGCTATCATGGCCATTGAGCAATTGCCTCGGCCTTGCCCTGGGGCCGATGCACGCCTCGTAATTCACGTGGCCAGCGCAGAAAAAATTACTCTGCAAGGCACATCATGGCGCGCATGGACCCCTTGTAGAAGCATAAGCCCTAGCGCTTCCGCCTTAGTATTTAAAGTAGAAGGTAGTTGCGATGGCATGTATGATTCCAGTAGCAGTCATCGTTTGAATACATGTACATGTATGCAGGGTCGAGTGTCTGGCCGTGGCACCTGGGTATCATAAGATACATGTACTGGACAGTGTGGGTAAGTACCCAATAGACGTGTTCGGCGACTACAGTGGCTTTTTTACACTGGCATGTCCAATATCTTATGACACCCGGGTGCTAGCTAGGTAGGAGGTGAATGCTGCACAGAATCAATTGGGTATGCTGTCACGTGACCCACTAGCGCTGTCTGTCCAAACTCGGCAGCGACCAAGCACCCAGCCATCTCTCCGTCACAGGTCTCTCAGGTCTCTCAGGTCTTACTCACCTGCAACCGCGCTCTTGACGTAGATCACACCGCTTTCGCGCAACCCATCTCTATTGCATCTTTGACTCTCTGGCGCGTCGCGACCCTTGCGCTCGTGTGAAACGGTTGCGCATTCCAATCTCACCGCGCGGTCGCAGACTAAATCGCACAAGCTCGCTCCTCAGCTTCAAAACACGTCAGCGCAGCCGCCACTCTGGAGTGTTGCAAGACGCTCAACGCGCTCGACTCCCTCTTTCATCTACACTAGTCGTACTACCTAGATCTGCCCGCTTCGGCTATCGTCTTGCGGGTTCGAGTAAAGTCTGCGTGTTTGCCATCTCGGTTCTCTCACCACACGCTCCACTCTAGTAGCATACTCAACCATACACTTGTTTCTGTGCGCTTTGAACCTAATCATGGCAGCTATGGATGAGCTAGGCACTCAACTACAGTCGCTACAGGCTCTCAAGCCCCCAGGTGTTACACCGACCAAGATCAAGGCCATCACGCAACTATGCGTCGACAACATTCAGGTATGCCAGCCGCCAGGACCTACACATTATCTGTGCATATGGGACGTAATACTAAGGATATGAACTCACTTGTAGTCCCACTCGATTATCGTTCAGAAGATCGCAAATCAGCTCCAAAACAGCGTCGCCACACATAAGCTAGGAGTATTATACGTTGTAGATGCAGTCGCTCGCCAATGGGTCGAAAAAGCCAAGCAGGCCGGCCAAACCGTGTCCAAAAATGCTGCACAAGGAACATATGCCTCAGGCGTGCAGATGATGAGAGATGTACTACCAGCTATGATGGATAACCTTATCAACGCGGCACCAGACACCCAGAAGGAGAAGATTTCGAAACTTTTAGACATCTGGGAACGTGGCCAAACGTTTTCCCTCGATATGCTCGCTCGCTTCAAGCAGCAGCTAAATGGCGGTCAGCATAGTAGGTCCAGACGCACTAGTTGGCTTTCCTCTAGCTGACGTGTAATGATTTTAGGCGTACAAGCACCTTCAGAGCCACCAAAGAGCAACGGCGCAGTATCGACTTTCAATGGACACACTAACCAACAGCTACCACCTCAAGCACAATCGTCACAAGATCAAGCTGCCCTCTATGCTGCACTTGCTGCTGCTGGTCAGCAAACTGCGCACACTAACGTTTCTCACACAGCACCTTCTGCATTTCCTTTCCAACAGAGCATGGTGCCGCCCCCACCCCCTGGTTTCGTGCCTCCCCCGCCAACTGGAGCGATGCCCCTTGGAGCAATCGGGCAACCCGGGCTACCTGTCCCACCTGCTGGCATGAATGAACTCGCAGGTCAAATTTTGCAAGCCATGAGCTCTGGGTCTATTCAGCCCGACCAGGCTATACAGGTACTCAATGCATTGGCCACAGCTTCGAATGGAGGAATGACTATCCCCCTTCCACAACCGTCAGTTGTTACGCAAACCCCGTTGCAGACTCAGTCCGCCGCCCAAAATGGTGGCCAAGCAGAGCGATATGATCAGAACGACAGTAGAATGCGAGACCGTAGCCGTTCACCTGACTATCAACGTCGACGTTCGCCTGCGCATAGATCTCCTCCAGTTGCAAATCGTCGCGAGAGTCCTACATATGGTGTCTACGACCCTAATGCAGGCCCTGAGGGCAATGCACAACGCTTTGAGCGAGGTGAGCGCGGCCGTGGTCGTGGTAAACAGAGGGGAGGAGGCCGTAATGATCGTAATGAGTATCGACAGCGCACTCCACCTCGACGACAGCCAAGTCCGCCTAGAGCTGCTTATGGACAGTCAAAGTATATTGAGTGGGATGACACTCTACCGCGCGATCACATCCGGGTACTAAGTCGTACATTATTCGTAGGCGGTGCTGGCGGAACAGAAGGTGAGATAAGGAGCATCTTTGCTCGTTTCGGTAGAGTGCAAACGTGCATTGTCAACCAGGATAAGCGCCATGCTTTTGTCAAGATGTTGACCCGACCGGATGCCGTTGCTGCCAAGCAGGGTATGGATTCACTTCAAGATCCCGCTGCGCAGTCCAAAGCGCGTCAGGTAAGAAAGAGGGTGATCTACAAGGCGCAGGACTTGACTAATTATCGTAGACTCGATGGGGTGTCGGCTTTGGTCCTCGTGACTGTAGTGATTATACAACAGGCATCAGTGTGGTTCCTATTTCCCGACTTACAGATGCTGACCGCAAGTGGGCTTTAACTGCTGAACATGGTGGCACTGGCGGTCGAGCACTTGAAGGAGGCATGGTAATCGAAGAGCCGGACATTGAGATTGGCGCTGGTGTCTCCTCCAAAGGTATTTCCGGTTTCATCCTGGTCGTTACAATACTAACATTGCATAGCAATTAGCCGTCGTGTACCCACTGACGCTCCACGCGGTGGGCGTGGAGGCTTTGGTGGACGTGGAGACTTCAGTGCCCGTGGAGATCATGGCGGGCGTGGTAACTTCAACGGACGTGACAACTTCAGCGAGCGTGTAGACCTTGGGCGCAACGACTTCGGCGGCGGACGTGGCGGCGGCGGTGGCTTCGACAACAGCGGCCCAGCCAAGTTCCGCAAACAAGACCATCGTCCCGCCAACGATCCTCGCCACATATCTCCTAGGCCTGAGCAAGGTGTTGCCGTTCCGCCTGCAGTTCCTGGCTTCGGTTTCCAGCTTCCAGGGTTCTCATGACTCGTTCCACAACCAGGGGCCACCTGGATGTCACAAAATACTTGACGTACCAGTGTACGGATGCCACTGTAGTCGCCAGGCACGCCTATTAGGTGCTCACTCTACACTGTTAAGTATTTTATGATACCCAGGTTGGGTCTCGAACACAGTAATTATATCAAACCCAGTAGTGCGAGAGTCTTCATGGACGAATTCACCCGCAAATCAATCGACCCCAGGATGGTAAGCTTTTCGTGCGGGTCTTTTCTACTGGCTTTTAGCATGATTATGGCGGTCAATTTCTCTTCATATTTTCAAAAGCATTGCAAGGCGTTGTGGCGAGCGACTGCGACTTTGCCAATATGATATTCGTTGGCGGCCTACATGGGCACGACTTCTGAGCTCTTGTGTATAAATACTTAGAGGTCGCCAGCTATTAGCATGACCGGAGAGCGGTCACAAAATGAATTGAAGTTCTACTATTTGATCATATTATATCCGTACGGTACTATTCAGTGCCCTCGCGACCATGGTCGCCCCCAATGGGCGTCGCAGCCTATTAGTGTTTCGTTGTGTGCTCGTTCGGTACCAGAATCTTCATCGTGGACGGAGCCCGGGCTCTAAAAAACTCGTATTCGATAAATCGATAGCAATATAGAGGAGTCGTCTACATTCGTTATATTACTCTAGATACCTGTCATTTATGCTCGCAGAACACACATACACATCAAATCCATATCCATTCAGTTCTCTTCCCATGTCAAGTTGAAGCGCCCAGGTGCACTCTCGTACTCATTCAGACAAGTCACCACTTCTTCGGCGCTCAGAGCCTCAGACAGGATCCCGGCATTAGTAGGCGCAATGAAGCCGCTAGTTACAGCGTTCTTGACCCATTCAATCAGTCCAGTCCAGTATCCGTCAACATTGAATACGATGACAGGCATGTTGTGAATGCCCAGCTGATTCCAGGTAGTAACCTCCATCAATTCCTCGAATGTGCCGTAGCCCCCTGACAAGGCAACAAAACCACCGCCAGGACCGCCCTTGATGACTTCCTGTGCCATCATCTGCTTTCTCGTATGCATATCCTTGACGACAGTTGTACGACCGTATATGGTGTGGTCAATAGAGTGTCCAGAGGGATTGGCGGGGTCATGATTTTGCTCCAGTCTGGTCAGGGCGGCGGGGATAATGCCGTGGACTGAGTCGGGGCCGGAGAGTGAAACGAGAGTGCGGGCTACCTCGCCCATGAGGCCGACGGTACCGCCGCCGTACACAAGCTTGATGTTTGCTTTATGGAGGGCTTTTGCGAGGTTACGGGCGGCTTCCATGTGGACAGGCGATGTGCCCTCTGACGCACCGCAGCTATGGATGGTTAGTATGTGGATACAGGGCAAAAGTTTGAGACTCTGGGCTCAACGTACAATACACAGACTACGGGCTGATTAGTTGTGCCATTGCTGGCTGCTGTCTCGTTGTTGGTCATGTTGTTGTTGTATTTGGAATGTGAAGACCAGGATCGGAACGACGTTGGTCAAAAAGAATTTATTTGTGTTGAGTTTACGGTGTCACAAGTTTAGGGGAAACGGCACGGGCAAGTGGGAGAGGAATACTTTATATCGTCAGCCTGAAGTCACCACAACTGCACATAATGGCTTGTATTTTCACTGGCTCATAGGTAGTTGCCTGGCACAGCCCTTATGGACCGGTGGACTCGAAGAAGAAAGGCAATTCGGCAAGCCGCGGCCGTAAGCCGCATGTCGTCACCAACACCTGTGCCGCCATCTGGCCGGCCCATGTGGCTAGACCCTGAGCAGGGATAGGCGCGGGGACTTGGCGAGTGTCGCGAACCCCCAATTCTCGCGCCTCGCTATCTGTCCAGAAACCATCGTGAGGAATATTTTCTCCTTCACATAGCAAGCTGCTCAATCCGGAATCGCGATTCCGCAGGTTGCCATTATGCCCGAGGCACAAGCAGCCGCAGCCGCACCGCCGGCGGAGGGCAAGAGCGTGAGTGAACAAAAAAACGCCCCTCTGATATGTGACAGTCGCTGATGTGTCCTATAGCTTGTCACTTCGATCGCGCAGAGTATCGGTCTCTTCCTCCTCGTTCAGGGTGGCATGAAGTATTTCATGCCAGCAACGCCGAAATCAGCCCCCGCCGTCTCCGATCCTTCACAGGCAGGGTCCGCCGTTGTTGCGAAGCCGTCCAATGTCGTGATTCCCGCATGGGAACAGAGACCACAAGCGCTCGATCCCGGTGTCCAATGGAGTCCTATACCCTATGCCGCTGCGCCCATGTGGCCAGCCGGGACCGAGATGGATATCGCCATGTACATTTCTTCGTCCATCGCTATGCCCCCGCTCAAGTCGATGCCGCAGGACACACTCTTGATCGATGAGAAGAATTTCAAGTTTGGAGACTACAACGAGAACAGGGAGATTAATACAGAGTTCAAGGTGCCAAAGGCAGTGCAGCAAAATGCGACTCTGCTCGCTCACTTTTATGTGGCGCAGAGCGGCAGTGTAATCGATCCCACGCAGCCCGGCTACGATACCGCAAAGGCCTACCACTTCATCCGTCCCTTGTCCCAGTACCAGCCCAAGAAGAAAATTGCAAAGACAAGGAATCTGTTAAGCGATATGCCGGAAAGAGTGGAGGCTGAAACGGAGGAGGAGAAGAACGCGCCCAAGATCGTGGCTTCGTACTACCACCCCAACTTCACCGTCTCTCTGATTCCAGACGCTGGTACCGTTCAATATGCCAACATGCATCCTGGTCCGCGCAAGTTCATCACACTCGAGGCTACCGGCGCACGCGACGCATCTGGTCAGCACAGCTGGTACTATCCCATCGTCTTCACGAACACCTTCTGGCAGCTCAAGAAGCACATGATCGAACTAAACGACACAGTCACAACTCTTCCGCTCAATGTCAAGCTCAACAACTTCGCCCACTGGAAGTTCAACATCATAGCTGCCATGGATGAGAATCTGAATGCAAACGCCAGAGCTGCAGCTGCAGGCCAGTCGACACCCGGAGGAGGCGACGGATCCGAAATGGAAATGTTCAAGGAGATTCTCATCGACAGCAACTCGTACCTCCTCGCCATCACAGCCGTCGTATCCGTCTTCCACATGATCTTCGAGATGCTCGCCTTCAAAAACGACGTACAGCACTGGCGCAAGAAGAAGGATAACGTCGGCACCTCTGTCCGCACCATCCTCGCAAACGTCTTCATGCAAGCCGTCATCTTCCTCTACCTCATAGACAACAACGAAAACACATCGTACATGATTCTCTTCGGCCAAGGCATGGGCATGGCAATCGAAGCCTGGAAAATCACCAAATCCGTAAACGTCCGTATTCGGCCTACAGCCCCTGGCTCCCTCATCCCTTACACCATTGTCTTCGAAGATAAACACGTCCTCTCGGAGACGGAGAAGAAGACGGAGGAATACGACGCCATCGCCTTTAAATATCTCTACATGGTCGCCGTACCCCTCCTCGTCGCCTACGCTATCTACTCCCTCATGTACGACACACACAAATCGTGGTACTCGTTCATCATCACCACGCTCGTCGGCTCCGTCTACGCCTACGGCTTCCTCATGATGGTGCCCGCATTGTACATAAACTACCGTCTCCAATCCGTCGCCCACATGCCCGGCCGCGCAATGACGTACAAGTTCCTCAACACCTTCATCGACGACCTCTTTGCATTCACGATTAAAATGCCGACGCTACATCGCTTGGCTACGCTGAGAGACGATGTCATCTTCTTTGTGTACCTATTTCAGACGTGGAAGTACAAGGTCGATTATAACCGTATCAATGAGTTTGGCCAGGGCGGCGATGACGAGGAGGTCGAGGAGAAGGATGCTAATAAGCCGCTGGTGGCGAGTGCGGGTGCGGATAAGGGGTTGAAGGTTCCGGATCAGGAGAAGGTGGAGAAGTTGAAGGAGGAGAAGGAGGGGGTGAAGGCTAGTGGGAGTCAGAAGAAGGGTGGGGCGACGAAGAGGAAGTAAGGGTTGTAGTTCTGGGGGTTCGAGGTTGTTGTTGTTGTATGTTAGGTGGATGGGTTGGGTAAAAAGGTGGTTACAAAAGTAAAGTTATACGAGTAAATATATAGAATTGAAAACTCTGGATTCGCAACCCCATTTTGTGTCTATTTTTCCTTTGCCCCCTTTACTAATTATACACTTTATACTTACTAGTTATACCTTCACCTTTATCTCACAGACATACTATTTATGTCGGCCCTTACACTAATGTAGCCTCTGCATTAAAAAATATAATTATCTAGATATGCTTAACCTACTCAACAACAACACCCCCTCATCCTACCCCATCTCCTTCCTTTCGCTAAACCGCCGCTACCCCCCCAACCCCTATTCATTGTCCCCAGGATACATGACAACCCCATCAGCCATCTAGTTTCACAACCAACACCACTGTTTCCGCCGTGTTACTGACTCCACGTTCAGTCTGCGGTGATGTAGATAGTCTCGGTATCTCACCTCACTTCATACATTGAGAAGCTCAGTCTATAGATAAGTATAGCTTGTCTCTTCTACACCTCCTCTTTCTCCTGCAATTGTAAGATAGATGTGCGTGTGCTAAACCAATCCCATCATCGGATGTACGTAAGAGATCAAGAAACAAGGGAAGCTAGGGTAGTGGTTGGGGGTATAGCGAGATGTCTTGTTTGGCGGTCAATATGGGGATGAATTGGGCTGAGTTTATATAGACATAATATAGAATGCGAATTTATGAATATTATGATTTTGTCGACAAGTGCGTTTACTCTATACTTGTATGCTGGACTATGCCTGGTGTTGTCAAAGAGGAGATGGAAAAGGTAAACGAAAAGAGACATAGACAGCGAGAAAGTGAGAGAAGGATATTGACGAGTCTACCCAATTACTAGAAGAACGTCTTCTACACATATCTCTCATCTACTTTCCACGTCCATCCATAGTCACCCTAGTCTACTAGCCGCATACACTACCTTCGCACCGTTTTCTCAACCAAAACCCTATATATTCCAGCTATCGGCATCAATTTTCTTATCAAGTTAAACCATTTGTATAATCTTCATATCTCACACCTACCCACATGCCCTAATATCCTCCCACGCACCCACGCATCTTCTCCATGGAACATCCCAGTAAATCCCGCTCAGTAGCACGTCTACACTGACGCCCGAGCCTCCTTTCCCTCTAGACTAGTGGCGCAGGACGACACTAGTGGAGCGTCCTTGCGTTACACATACATGGGGCAACTAGGGCGTGGTGAGACGTAGGTAGACTGCACGTCCATTTGACTCTTGCATTGCTAAAAGCAAGTATATGGACTTATGTGGCGATTTGTTTGATACTGAGACAGCGGTTATTTGGCTAGCATCGCTGTGGCGAAGGAGGCGACGACAAGTTGTGGTGATGGAGCCAGAGACGCACTTTTTTGGCCATGCTCGAGGTTGGTTATGTGCCAGGGTCTTTTCGTACTGCTTGCTGTAATATTACCTTTGCGAACTACCTTTCTTCCCCAACTCATCCCAACTCTGGTCTTGTTTCCACAGCAACTCAGTTGATAGGGACGTAGAGGAAAAAGGGGTGAGGTGGAGCGCGGAGAATTAGGTCACAAGGCGCATATGCCTTGCATGTGCATTGCTGCTACAAAGTCCGTCGACGATCAAACGGGTTCTGCCGCTCACGCGCAGTAGCTGCTGAATATTGGAATCGGTCATGTTGGATTACAGTGACAAAGGCGAGGATGGGAACTAGTAAAAGCAAATTCTGAAGGCGCAGCAGCTACCTCGGAACAACATGTGAAAGTCGGGGTTTGTTGGGGTATGAGCTTATATGCTCAATTTCCATAGCCATGTGAAAGTTGGGCTGACAGCAATCACGTCGCTGGTCTTCAGCTCGTGCTCAAGGGTCCTACCAGAAGCTGCCTGGCGCAAAGGAAAACTCCTAGCTCGATCGCATGACGCCCGATGGATCCGGTAAACACATGGTAGGGGCGATCCATTGCTTATGATCCACTTCCCGCAGGGTGGTGGTGGGGTTGACATGTGAAAGTCTGGAGTAAATCTCCGGACGACCGTGCAGCGACATGAAGCAAGACTGGACAAGAAAGGAGGAGACAAGACAAGAACGAATCGTGACCATTTCTTTGGATGAATCGAATTGACTGCTACTAGACTGTTGGTGTGAAACCCTTACCGTTTGCTGCTAAGAAAAGTAGCCGGAAGTCCGTGGCAAGGTGAATTTGGCATGTACGGGGCTCGAATGGAGTCAATGATGTTGCCTTAGCGGGCTGCATCTCATAGGGGGGTCCTGGTATCACTTGAAATGCCTAGGCGGACCGTTGCAGCGTAGCTTGCGAGCCGCGGTGTGGCTGATAGCAGAGATAAGATTGATGGACTCCTGGCAGCCGAGCAGGCCAAGCAATGGGCTGTAAGCTCATGTGTGATGACGCCGACGATTTTGTTGGGACGGGAGTACCAAAGGCAGCCGCATAGCAGTGGACATATCGCCAGGACAGCCATTGGACGGGTGTCAAGCACGCGCATGGCGGTGGTAGCAATGTAAGATGGGAGGAGGGAAAAGTAGCTCTCAGTGTGGCCCAAAAGACCCCTCCACGTGTGGAGACGGATTCAACAGATCACGGGCAGACGTCGGCGTGCGCATTGGCAAATCAGATTGGTGAGTGGGTTCCTGATGCGCTAGACGGACCCTGCAGGAGAGCCCTGTGGGAAGGATTCCGACTTTTTGCGACGAGCACCCACAACCTTTTGCAGCCATTGCGGGCCCTCGAGTGTTGAGATGTTGCTCAGCGGGACCTGGTACACGTTATTGATTATGCAGAGTGCGATGTCGGTCTTTGTGCACCGTCACGACGTGTTATCGCCCCTCGAGCAGGGGTCTACGTACCCTAGCAGCATAGTTTCATGGGCCAACAAGAGGCGCTTGTTTTGGACTCTAGACAAGGCCGTGGGCCGTGAGCGCTGAAATGCGGGTGAAGATGGGCACAAACTGGCGGTCTGCTCGGCGCACTCGCCGCACGGCGTACCATGGCTCCAGCCTAGCGGGCTGCCAAGAGAGATGAAGAAAAAGGGATCTGCTGAAAAATTCAGGGACTTATGCTTGCCGCTCGCGGCATGTCTAGATGGTCCGGCGTGTTTGGCGTACTGCGTAAGTAGACGTGGCCCTGTGTTCCATGGCCCCGGACAGTGCTCTGCGTGTTCAATGCGGTGGCAAGCCATGGCGGATGCGATAGTAATTTTTCCCGAGTGGAGCGGCATGTACAAGTGCAGAGTCAAACGGTGCTAGTTGGGCGAGCTGGAGCTGTCTGGAGGTCGAAGCGAAACGGCTTCTCGAACGCCCCTGGCGCAGGCGACCCGACTATGCCTACCCTGGCACATACCCAGAATCTATCGACACCGCCCTCCACGTTGCTCGTTTAAAATCTGCGGCATCCCGCTCTCTGCTGCTTCCCTTCTCCCTTTAACACTCTCTCTTTGTTTCTGACTTGATTCTCTCCCTTTCGTTGTGCTGCCTGTTCATTGGCACCCCCAACAACTCGCGGCCCTGCATCTCAACAGTCTGTAGCCCTCAGTGCTGCAACTGCATAGGCTTGCCTCTACACAAAACCCCTTCCTCTCACTCCCCCACACTCCTCACAGCACATGCACTCGACTGCCCGCCCCAGCAGCTGCGCTGAGAGAACATGACGACGACTCGGCCGCCAATTCCGTCTCGGCTCGCCTTTGACTCGCCGGCCGGGTCAGCCTCAAACACCTCGCTGTCCTCGATGGACGAGCAGCCTGCCGTCCGCAAGAACGGCAAGAGGTCCAGTGGCAAGCTCCTTGACACGTACGGCAATGAGTTCGAGATCCCGGACTACACCATCAAGGACATCCGCGATGCCATCCCCAAGCATTGCTTCGAGCGCTCTGCTGTCCGTGGTCTGGGCTACGTTGCCCGTGACCTTGCCTCGCTCGCCGCCACCTTCTACGTCTTCCACAACTACGTGACGCCCGAGACGATCCCTTCAATGCCGCTACGAGCTGCTCTCTGGACCCTATACACTGTCCTCCAGGGCTTCTTCGGCACTGGTCTTTGGATCCTGGCCCACGAGTGTGGTCACCAGGCTTTCTCAGAGTCCAAGCTGCTCAACGACACCGTCGGCTGGGTCTGCCACTCCATCCTCCTCGTCCCATACTTCTCATGGAAGATCTCCCACGGCAAGCACCACAAGGCCACTGGCCACATGGAGCGTGACATGGTCTTCCTTCCCAAGACCCGCGAGACCTACGCTACCCGTGTCGGCAAGATGGTCCACGAGATCTCTGAGCTCACCGAGGAGGCTCCTCTAGCTACCCTCATCCACACCTTCGGCCAGCAGATTGGTGGATGGCCTCTGTACCTCATTGCCAACGTCACCGGCCACAACCACCACGATCGCCAGATCGAGGGCAAGGGTAAGGGAAAGAAGAACGGCTTCTTCGGCGGTGTCAACCACTTCTTCCCTTCCAGCCCCTTGTACGAGAAGCGTGATGAGCACCTCATCCTCCTCAGTGATCTCGGTCTTGCTATCGTCATTGGTTTCCTCACCTGGGTCGGCAAGAACTGGGGCTTCAACAATGTCTTCGTCTGGTACATCATCCCTTACCTGTGGGTCAACCACTGGCTCGTTATGATCACCTTCCTCCAGCACACCGACCCTGCCCTGCCCCACTACGACGCCGACACTTGGACCTACACTCGCGGTGCCGCTGCTACCATCGACCGTGAGTTTGGCTTCATCGGACGCACTCTTCTCCACGGCATTGTCGAGACCCACGTTCTCCACCACTACATCTCCACCATCCCCTTCTACCACGCCGACGAGGCTACTGAGGCCATCAAGAAGGTCATGGGCAAGCACTACCGTTCCGACACCAAGGGTGGCCCAATGGGCTTCATGAACGCTTTGTGGAAGACAGCCCGTTGGTGCCAGTGGGTCGAGCCGAGCGCCGAGGCTGAGGGTGAGGGCAAGGGTGTTCTCTTCTTCCGCAACCGCAACGGACTAGGTGTACCACCCACGAAGATCGAGCCTGCCGGAACCAAGAAGGCAGCCAAGATGGAGGTCGGCCCTGAGAGTGACAACGAGTAAGCGACGATTACGAATCTCATGTATTAGAGCAGAGCTTTCTGCATTTCCCAGAGCGGCGTTCTGGAGTCGGTCGCCCTCACGAGGCCGATCACCTTTCTTCCTTCATGGTGTTGAGCATTAGATCTTAGACGGACCACTCAAAAATCTCGAGACCGCTATCCCATGCTGTATACGGCGGGCAGAAGTTTGTAGATGGATTGTAGGATTGTAGTAGATGCTTGAAAATTTTAAACCAGTTCAAAAGTTCATAATACTGAGCCCAACGTGGTGATTGTGATTGTCCAAGGGTGGATGAGTGCTTGGTCTTGGAAGCTTCCCCGCACATGGTGACCCAATGCCGTGGCGGTCCGGCGTGAGCGTGACGTTTGCAGAGCCTCATCACGAGCTCATAGGACTAATGATAGTTTGTTAACACATGCTCTACACGGTTGCACAGCATGAAGATAATCTGGTGAACATGGTGCGTGCTTCATGGCCGAGTTTTCTCTACTGCATACGAGGTCTCACGTTTGCACACACCGCCTCGAAGGCGGCAGCGAAATTCAGCCACGATAGAATGCAAGTAACTACGTAATCCATCATTGGAGTGATGATGGCAGCTATTAGATAGCATCATCTAGCCCTGTCTTGGCTGTCTCAGTAGGCGGCGTTGCAGAGTGCCTCGAGAGCTATACAAGCTTCGTCGAATGAGCCAAAGAGAACTACGGAAAATGTAGCGACGTTGGTAAGGAACAAGATATCATCAGAAAACCTCGTCTGCTCCAGCTACCTCGCACGGTGAGTCGTGCTCTTGGACACGTAATAGAGGATAGCCAGGTAGAGTTGCCAAACTTTCCTACAATAAATTGTGCCCGAATGAGTGAAGAAAAGAAGACGGAGGGCGGGCGGCGAGAATTTTGTGGCAGGCGCGGGCGGCGCTTTGGCCAATCACGGGCGGATTATTCAAACGCCAAGCAATACGCTCCCATCGTGAACGTCAGTTGAGCTCCGCAGCAGCAAGTCCATCGCCATTGCTCAGAGCCTCACGATGCTGCGGCAACATATGATCCGGTCGCTACAGAGGCCTGCCCACCGCGCAGCCCTCAATGGCTGCCGGGCCTTTACTGCCTCGGCCCGCCGGCCAGCAGACGTAGAACTCACTATCGGTTCGTGCCACTCGCCATTGCGGGCGGCGACACATGCTAACAAGTCGTGCAGATGGAAAGAAGGTATCAATCGAAGGTACGAACATGAAATAAAGACCCCCTATATCTGTACACACGATTCTGACGCGCCCAAACAGCCGGTTCCGCACTTATCCAGGCCTGTGACAAGGCCGGAGTTACCATCCCACGATACTGCTACCACGAAAAGTTGATGATTGCTGGAAGTTGCCGTATGTGCTTGGTTGAGGTGGAGCGGGCCCCTAAGCCTGTGGCTTCTTGCGCCTGGCCCGTACAGCCCGGCATGGTTGTCAAGACAGACTCGCCCCTAGTACACAAGGCGCGAGAGGGTATCATGGAGTTCTTGCTTGCCAACCACCCTCTGGATTGCCCTATTTGCGATCAGGGAGGCGAGTGCGATCTCCAGGACCAGTCGATGAGATACGGTGCAGACCGCGGCCGCTTCCACGAGCTGGAGGGCAAGCGTGCTGTCGAGGATAAGAACGTTGGACCCCTGGTCAAGGTATGATACATACAAGGTCGGTTTCCAAACACATGCTTACATACGTCAGACGTCGATGAACAGGTGCATTCACTGCACACGCTGCGTCCGTTTCTCCAACGATATCGCCGGTGCTCCGGAATTTGGCTCTTTCGGTCGTGGAAACGACCTGGAAATCGGCACATACCTCGAGACCGCCCTGGACACCGAATTGTCTGGAAACGTCATTGATCTCTGCCCCGTCGGTGCGCTCACCTCCAAGCCCTACGCTTTCAAGGCCCGTCCATGGGAACTGTACAAGACTGAGACCATCGATGTTCTTGATGGCTTAGGTTCAAACATTCGCGTTGATTCTCGTGGCATTCAGGTTATGAGGGTTATTCCGCGTCTGAATGACGATGTCAACGAGGAATGGATCAACGACAAGACCCGCTTCGCTTGCGACGCCCTCAGCACCCAGCGCCTAGTGAACCCGCTTGTTCGTGTCGATGAACAGTTCCAGCCTGCTACTTGGGAGCAGGCCCTGGTCGAGATCGGTAACGCATACAAAAAGATCGCACCCAAGGGCAACGAGTTCAAGGTTGTAGCTGGCCACTTGGTCGAGACTGAAGCACTGGTTGCCATGAAAGATCTCGCCAACAAACTCGGTTCAGACAATCTGGCCCTTGACCAACCGGGAGGCAGCGAGCCTATTGCCCACGGAATCGATGTCAGGTCGAACTACTCTTTCAACTCCAAAATCTACGGTGTGGAGGATGCTGATGTCATGCTCATCATTGGTTCCAACCCTCGATGGGAGGCCGCTGTCCTGAACGCTCGCATCCGAAAGCAGTGGCTCCGAACTGACCTTGAGATTGGCTACGTTGGTCAGGACTTTGAAAGCACCTTTGAGTACGAGAAGCTTGGAGACAATGCCAACGATGTGAAGAGCGCTCTTTCTGGAGAATTTGGAAAGAAGTTGGCTTCAGCGAAGAAGCCCATGATCATTGTTGGCAGTGGTGTTACCGAACACCCTGACGCCAAGTCTATCTACGAGCAAGTCGGCGCCTTTGTTGAGAAGAACAAGGCCAACTTCCAAACTGAGGAATGGAACGGCTACAACATCCTGCAGCGAACTGCTTCTCGAACTGGCGCATATGAAGTTGGATTCACTGTTCCTTCAACTGAGGTTGCGCAGACCAAGCCCAAGTTTGTTTGGTTGCTTGGAGCAGATGAGATCAACGAGACCGACATTCCCAAAGACGCTTTCGTTGTTTACCAGGGTCATCACGGTGATCGCGGCGCACAGTTTGCTGACGTCGTTCTTCCCGGTGCCGCTTACACCGAGAAATCTGTTACATACGTCAACACCGAGGGTCGTGTACAAATGACCCGCGCCGCTGTTGGTCTTCCCGGTGCTTCGCGAGAAGACTGGAAGATTGTCCGAGCAGCTTCAGAGTACCTGGGTGCTGAGTTGCCCTACGATGACGTCGAGGCGCTGCGAGATCGCATGGAGGAGATCTCGCCCGCTCTCCGGAGCTATGACCTTGTTGAGCCCGCATCACTGCCAAGCTTGAGCAAGGTTCAACTGGTTGATCAGAACCAAGGCGCACAAGCGACTGGTCAAGTGCTCAAGAACCCGATTGAGAACTTCTTCTTCACAGATGCGATTTCAAGAAAGTAAGTCATGCAGTTTTTGTCCTTTTCTCTGGATTTCCGAGTGCTAACCGATACGCAGCTCACCAACAATGGCCCGTTGCTCAGCCGCAAAGGCCCAAGGAAATCCCCAGACAAACTTTATGGCGCCGGGCGAACCATACCCGCAGGTGGGCTATGGTCCACAGGTCGCAGCAGCGGCGAATGTCTAGACAGTTGGATTATGGATTTTTTGAGAACGTAGAAGATGGAACTCGTCTGTACATAGCATTTTTGGAGGTTCGAGCACGTGGTTTGGAAGACGTTAGAGTGTACGGCAAATACCAGCGCTACCGGCGTCAAACAGTTCAAAATATGTTCCCGTGCCAATCGAGTGAGAGTTGAGGTATTTAATCGCAGGATGCCAAGGCCTAACGAAGCCAAACGTAGATCGTCAGCCAAGGCGCTACGCGTGTGTGTCCCAAGTCCGCCTCTCTCGATGATCTCTTCAAGATGGCGGTCTTCCCCATAGTTTCCCAATTATATCTCCATTATCTGAATTATCTGAACTTGTTTTAAACGACAAGCTTCCCTCACTTGTACCAAGCTTTGTCGCCAAAATCTGTGGTGTTTGGAACCTGCAGACCGCAACATCAACAAACGGCCGAAGATACCCCACGAATCGCCGAACCGTTCGTCGATCGAACAGCACGTGAAGTGAGGCCGAAGAAAGATAAATACTGCAGTCGCTTTATCTGTTGATCTGCTACGCCAAAGATTCTGTGGAAAAAGAAACATTTTGTTAAGCTTCGCCGTCAAGCTTCGCCGAGAAATTCGCATCGTCAAAGAAGCCGACTTAGCCGTTAGTCGGATTTTGGGGCCCCGACTCGGGCTCCGTGGCAGGTATGCCTACTCTAGCGCTCAACAACTTCAACATTGTCTGTGCGACTTTGGGGGGGTTCATCACCGCTTTTGGGCTTGTTAGTTATTTGATGAAAGAGAAGTTCTACCTTAGTGAAGCGCGTAAGTCTGGGGGTTGAAATCCTATGCTGAGGACCATTGTTGACTTTAGTGCCCTTAGTGATATCACTAGTCGCTGGACTCATCTTCTCTCCGCACGCCACAAACTGGATCAGACCGGAGGAATACGCACTTAACAATGAAGTGGTCTTAGATACCATCACTCTTTACTTTACACGCCTGGTTCTCGGCGTTCAATTGGTGCTTGCAGGCGTACAGCTACCGTCAAAATACTTAAAGACAGAATGGAAGAGTTTGGCGCTCCTGCTCGGCCCTGTCATGACGGTCATGTGGCTCGTTACTAGTCTACTAGTTTATGCCTTGGTTCCGCACATCAGCTTCCTGCATGCGCTGGCTGTAGGTGCTTGTGTCACACCTACGGACCCTGTGTTGTCGAACTCTATCGTCAAGGGCAAGTTTGCCGACAAGAATATTCCAAAAGAACTACAGAAAATCATCGTTGCGGAATCAGGCGCGAACGACGGTCTGGGATACCCGTTTCTATTCCTCCCTCTCTATCTGATTCAGCACATTGGCCACGGAGGTCAGGGTTCAGACAATAGTACCCAAATAGCAGTAGGTTTGTGGTTCGGCGAGACGTGGGCATATACCATCTTGCTAAGCGTAGTCTATGGTGCTGTGGTGGGCTGGGTTGCAAAGGAACTACTACATTGGGCTGAGGAGAAGAAGTATGTTGATCGTGAAAGTTTCTTGGTGTTTGCCATCACCTTGGCTGTAAGTTCCCCTGGTATACCTATAGGGATGAGAAATTGGAGTTTTCTGCTAATACAATGATAGCTCTTCATCGTTGGCACTGTTGGTATGATTGGCAGCGACGATGTGCTTGCTTGCTTCATCGCTGGAAATACATTTACATGGGATGACTGGTTTCGCCTGGAAACAATGGACGACTCGTTCCAACCTACCATCGATATGCTGCTCAATGTTTCCATCTTCATTTGGTTCGGAGCCGTTGCTCCCTGGCGCCTCTTTGCGACTTCGCCTGTAATTCCCATTTACCGGCTCATTCCTCTCGGCATCTTGGTCTTGATGTTCCGCAGGCCTCCCATCATCTTCGCCATGCACAAACAGATTCATCAGATTGAACAGCGACGACAAGCTTTGTTCGTTGGCTTCTTCGGCCCAATTGGCGTAAGCGCCATCTTCTACCTATACATCAGTCTCGAGTTCTTAAGCGGGATCCGAGTCAACGGCGAGATAAGAGAAGATTGTGCGTATCTTATGGAGGTTATGAAAGTAGTCATCTGGTTCCTGGTGATCTGCTCTGTCGTAAGTTTTTTTCTTACCTAGCCTTGCCTTTTTCTGTTAGCTAACAATACCACTCAGATCATTCACGGCCTTTCTATTCCCATGGGAAAACTCGGATTCCATATCCCGCGTACACTCAGCTCAGCTCTCTCTTTTGGTCGCTCAAACTCCGGCTTCCCCGATGAACCGGAGGCCCCATTCCACGTTCGCGACGAAAATATTACTGACGCCGAATCCCGCGTGCGTCGCCGTCCTGGCTGGTCGCGTAATGGTGGAGATTCGCTGCCCAACCGTGTTGTGCGTATCGGAAGGAGCTTGATTTCTAGTGGGACAAGCTCGGCGAGTACGTCGAGAGCTAATAGTACTGCAAGAGTAGCAATGCCGATACCGCCTTTGAGTGATGCAGGGAGCGAGGGCCGTCCAGATGGCGGTGTTACTACTCCTGCGGCTACTGCAGCGCTCGGAGAGGGTGTCGTTCCTGGGCGGACGATCAGGTTCAGGGATGAGCAGGCGGAAATGGGCACTTCTAAGGCTGATAGAAAGGACTAAAGAACAAGATATAGCAGGCATTCAGATCTCCAACGGTGTTGGAATTTTGTATTTGCGCAATACATATTTGACGTTATGACGAACATTTCAGACATGTATCAGGGTGTAGATAATTATATAGTAATGATAATCACTCATACTAGACACAAACATTACACTACGTTTGCATGAGTTCAACGACATGGGTCTTCTACGCTCAGGCAGAAAAATGTTTATGTGAAGAAACCGCCGTCAACGTTCCTCCAACGTTAAACGGGCCCGTGCGCTATCCATGCATCCACCTTCCATCCCAGCGCCGCATCACTCATCAACCCTCACAACCCGCAACCCACGCCTCGGCACGATGAAGCTCTCTCTGAGCGCCCTAGCGACTCTCGTGACCCTCGGCGATGCCGCCCGTCTGCTCCTCCAAATTCCAAACACGCCTCTCGTGAACCCGTCCACGCTCCCCTCCACAACCCACGCAACCCTCCAATCCAGCGGCTCGCCCCATGATGCCTCCCTCACCCGTTCAAACACTTTCGTCTTCAACAATGTAAGCGCAGGCAGCTACCTTGCCACCGTACATTGCCGCGACTACTTCTTCGAGCCGCTGCGCATTGATGTCAGTTTGGAGGAGGCGGTTGAAGGAAGCGGCGATACGAGGGAGGTGATACGTGCATGGCAGACATTCTTAGGGAACGAATGGGATAACAAGGGAGAGAGTAGAGGAGAGGGTGGGAATGGTCTTGTAATTGAGGCGAGGCCGGTGGGAGCCAAGTATTTCTACACGGAGAGGCAGGGATGTAAGCTGTCACGCCCTATCCACGAAGAGGGGAGCGTCTGCTAACATATTGCGAATAGTTTCACCGCTGTCATTTTTGAAGAACCCAATGATTCTCATGGCCATCGTATCCATGGGTCTCATCTTCGGCATGCCCAAGTTGATGGAGAACAGTACGTTTGCTGGATAAGAAGTTTGGTGTTGAGAGCTTTTACTAACATGTTTGCAGTGGACCCCGAGATGAAGGAAGAATTCGAGGAAATGCAGAAGAACGGAGTCCTTGGTTCTGGCCAAACGAATACCGCACAACAGCTTCAGAACTTCGATCTTGCATCGTGGATGGCAGGTAAGACGGACACAGCCGGTGCTGCACAGGCGAAGAAGAAATAAAAACTCGGAATTATGGCTTTTATCGGGCTCAATGGCAGTTGGGCCTAGAATCAAATGTAAAGAATGTGTACAAGGTATTATAGTCCAAATGAAAGATATCGTCGAACCAAACCAGCTATGTTGTTCAGACCACACAAGCCACTCAAGAGTCGACCGTGATATCATCTGCATAGATTTTCACCTCGGTTCAAGACGACTGCTTTGGGGTCAAATTATGGACTATCTTATATCGCCCTTCCTCACCAGGAGCGAAAGTCTCCTAGACTTCACCAGTGTCCTCACACGGGCATCCTTCAAGAATAGTGGGGTATCATTGTCTTAAGTGATAACATAGCACAGCGTGCATGGCCTTGCATACATGACTTGAAGTTAGTAAAGGACCAAATGCAGTTGCATCGAGAACTTCGTAATGTGCTCGTGTTAACCGACTTGCATGCCGCGATGTGTCAATATTGAATGCTGACCTATAAATACCGGAGTTTAAGAGCATGTTGCCCATAGCTCAACAGGGTATCTGACCGGTGATCGTCAGGTGTTGGTAAGCTTATCCTGGGTACAGGTGGAGGGTCCTTTCACGTGATTCTGTGGGGATAGTGGAAGAGCTACGACGCATGCGACTAGCGTAAAACCTAGCGGTGAAGCCACCCAAGGCGCAACGTTCATCTCGCAACGGCATCATTAACGGCAAAGTAAAGCAAACGTCGCCTATCACAATAATCCGCTAGCTACACCGCATATCTCAGGTGCACACGTTTCATGAGTTTGGCTGGAGATGGTGCGCCAGCCCTGGGTGCCGCAGAGCATGGTTCTAGGCAAACTGCAGCCGAACCTACGGTGATGGATGGGCTATCAAGTTCGAAAGTCACGGGTATGCACCCTTGCAACTCCAAGGTTGTAATACTAACTCATTTTAGTCGAGTACCATGACCCATCTGGCGTCTTTTCGTTGATACAGGAAGACTTGGCTGCACGTCTTCCCCTTCGCAATTTACATTGGAAGGCTCCTACACGGCCACTGAGATCCATCGACTCTCTCCATGTCGATCTCGTGCCTAGTAAGGGTTCTGCACAGGCAGCCGGTGATACTTCGTCAAGCCTAGCGCCTGGCCACGGTACGTCCATCAGCAACACCAACGTGATCTTCAGACCGTCTGACAACCGGAAAGAGAGACGACATCAGATCCCAGGTCTGCGTCAGACTCCTTACCTAAAGCTGTACCTTTTGAGATGCGATGACTCAGATACGTACAAGTCGACCGCACGTAAGCAGGTCCGCGAATGGGTGAAAGAACATACACCACCTTCTCAGAGTAGCACATCAAGCACACAAGAGAATCATGATGCATACGAATGGATGATTTTACATGTCGTTGTACCTGAAACACCAGCAGCAAGTCAGCCCCGGGGGTCTTCAAGTTTAGCCACAGGCGAGAAAGAGAAGACTGGGCCGACCTCCAGGTGGACCCGTGGCACGACGACGCTATTAGAGAAGCTTCGCGCAGACTTCAATGTGTCGTCCAAAACCGCACCTGATCGAGTGGCTCAAATAAGGGTGCCGAAAGAGAGAGTTCCACCGCATATGCTTCCAGCACCGGCACCAGCAGCCTCTCCAGCAATCACTGAAAGCCCCCAAGAACAGGAACGAGCTTGGGCTGATGTCATATCCAAGTTCAAGGTACTCATACTTCTCTCATTTGATCTCCGAGTGAGTCAATATGAAGAAGATATCAGGAAGAATGACGCACAACGCTCGTTCCCTGGCTGGAACTTCAACACTTTCTTCATCCTAAAAGAAGGACTGGCCAGAGGCTTTGAAAGTGTGGGTCTGGTTGAAGATGCTCTACTAGGCTATGATGAACTGTCAATCGGTCTAGACAGCGTAATCCGTGACCAATCGAGTGAGCAGGCGCAAGGAAGTGTTCTACTCAGCTATTCCGATGATATCTATCAAACAGCAGCGGAGATCGCGCAACAGCAGGAAGGGGGTACTACGAACGTCTCCCAGCCTTCAATTCACGACGACACCCCAATAAACGCTCTAAAGAAAGACTACCGCGGGCTGATCCTTGCCAACAACATCTCCATCTTCGACTTTAGACTATACATCTTCGCGCGTCAGATGTTTTTGCTTCTGCGGCTCGGCAATTCGATATCAGCACGTTCTGATCTCGCAGCCACGCTACAATCCCGGCCTAATACTGGTGTGATTCAGCGCTCAACTGATGATAGTGGTATTGGTATGAAGTCGGCTGGTCAAGCGAATGACTCTGAAGATCTCTTTTCACTTGCTGAGCTTTGTTCGCGTGCATTGAACTTTATTACATTTGCTGGACGACTCCTGCGAGATGATCTGATCAACGGGTAAGTTCACAGAATATGTAGTGAGTTCCTAGTGCTGATTTTTGTGTTCAGTGCAAAAGCTCATGATAACACGTTTCCTGAGCATTTAGTCGAGAACATTGTTCGTTCCTGGACTTTTGCTGCATTGGATCAGGTGCTGCGAGAAACTTCCACAGGATCTCTCCCATTTACTAGATCTTCGCGAGATCTAGCAGCAAGTTCTTCGGGTAAGAGCTTATCGTTTAGGGGCCGTGATAAGGAGCAAAAGTCGAAGTCGTCAGACCCAAAGTCCCTCATCCATCCTGCTCGTTCAACTTCTTTGAACAACGGACGGCCCGTTTCAGAGCTGCCATACTCGCAAACAGCACAAGGCGCTCAGGTAGTATTTGAGAACGGAACATACCACGAACGACAGACCGTGCCACAGCCGAGCATACTACCTTCCACGAAAAATGGCTTACAAGAATTGGCTGGGACCAGAGCACAGCTGCTTGCCATTCAAAGACGTTTGCTTGAACACGTGGGAAAGACTATGGGCTGGAGCATAGGCTGGAATGCAATTTTGGCCTCTTTGAATGCGAAAGAAGAACTCACGGAGGTCGATCTGGAGGATGACGAAGAACGTGCAGCAGAGAGAGGCGATCCAATTCCTGAACCAGCGATTGACGCCTCAAAGCCACGTCTTGGTATATCTGCTGGGGCGTTGGTCACCGCAACTGGATCCATTGCACATTTCCGACAGTTCTACGAGGTTAGTAGAAGCATGACATCGTGTAAAAGTGGTACTGACTTCATTAGACATTAAGTGACCTGATTGTCAAGCACTATATGGCGGCAGGCCAAAGTAAGTCGGCAGAAAGCGTACTCGGAGATTTGGCTGCCCTTAGATTGTAAGTTTGCCCATATAGGCATCCGAATTTGATACTTACCTCATTTTAGTGAGCTCGGCGACTTCGCAGCAGCAGCAATGTACTTTGGACGCATGGCTTCATACTTTGCCGAGTCTAGGTGGAACACTGTCGAAACCACCATGCTTAAGATGCATGCTCGTTGTTTGAAGAAGCTGAACCGTAAAGATGAATACGTACGCACAGTACTCGATCTCCTAGCCAAATCGGCGGTGAGTCGAATGGCGTTGAAGAGTGCATCGAAGCAAGCCAGCTCGAACGAAGTATCTGAGATACACCGTGACTGGCTAAACGATGACAAAGTGGATACCACTGATGTATTTCACGAGATCATCGGCTATTCGCAACAACTGCCATACGATGTTACAGTTCAGATGTCCAAGTACTTCGGCGACGTCTCTGTGGAGCCTTATGTCCGACATTACGACGACAAAGATGGATTCCAGCTACGTCTACATTTTAGGCATCTCCTTGAGGATGAAATTGAAATACGAGCAGCGAAGATCCGGCTAGTTAGTGCGATATCGAACCAGACCAAAGATGTGTGGCTCGAGGAGACTGGGGAGATACAGTTGAAGAAGGGGGTGAACCGCATGTGGATTGGATGCAATGTAAGTCTGCAACCTTCACTTTATATCAAGCTAACAGAGTATAAGGTGAATACCATTGGACCATACATGGTGGATCGGATCGTCCTAGAGGCGAAGCGCATCGTGTTTGTGCATGAGCCATTCCAGAAGACTGAAGCGACGACACCCCTCGGCATTATCACGTCCGTTTCCGCGCATTCACTCAAAGCTGCGAAAAAAGCTCGCATCCTCTGCTTTCCCCGCACTGAAGCGTTCCAAGCACGCATCTATCTCTCGCATTTCATTCACATTGACAAGCCACGGCACGTCGAAGTTGAATGTTCAAGCGGCTGGAACGAGATTACACATGCAGAGGTTCGACTGAAATCTGCCTCCGCGGGCCTCCGACTACGAACGGCAAACGCAAGTGTAGTCGCAGGTGAGGTTGAGGTCGATGATAGCAAGCCCACGCCTGGTGTAGTCGCAATCGGTGCAATGCCTGCGCATACTACCGTCACATTGAAGGTACCTTACGATATGGAGACAATACTCCAAGACCTCAGCATCAAAGTTGACATTGATTACTACACCGACAAAGGGCAGTTTCAGTATACATCGTCCTTTGTTATCCCCGTCGAGCTACCCCTGGACGTCAATGTGCACGATCACTTCAAGAACAAGTCTTTGGTATCCAAATTCAATATCAAGACGGCCAATCAAGTTCCACTAGAACTCTTGGACGTTTCATTAGAAGGATCCGAAGAGTTTGACGTCTATGCACCAAGGCGCCCGAAGGAATCACTTCATGTGTTTCCAAAGCAGCCAGTTGCAGTCACGTACAAGATCACCAAGACAGAGACGGAAGCGGCGAACAAACGACAGAGTCGGATCTCTACGACTGGGAGTTTGTCGTTGTCCGTGGAATACCGATGCCTGAACGAAGACGTCCTAGATCGGGTACGGAAGCTATTCGCTGATGCTGTCGAAGATAGCCCAGTTCACCGTCTCTCCCGTCTCCTTGTAGAAACGTTTACCGGTCGCCTTGAGCACAACGTCCTACCTCATCAATACGAGAAGATTGCCCTACTAGAAAAGCTCGACTAGGCACATTCGAGACATGGTTGACAGACTGTCTGGAAAGTCTCCCGCTCATCATCAGAGATGACACCCACATATGGCTAAGAAAATGGCACGAGGTACGTACAAACCCCTATTCTCTCTCAAGAACACATCAACTAACGCCTGTTCTCCCAGAAAAACAAAACCATTCTTCTCACCAAAACCAACCCCGATCCCACCCTCACCACCACCATCGCCCCTCCATCGCCCCACCCTCCCCGCCGCATGGTCATCACTGTCTCCATCCCGCAAACCCATATCCTCCACACCGCCTCCCTAATCCTCAACTCCCCCCGCATCGCCTCCTACACAACAATCGCAACAGTCGGCCAGCCCCTCCCCGCTACCCTTCGCATCTCCCACACCCGTCGCTGGGCAACCCCTTCCTTGCTCGTCTCCGCCGCCTCCATCGACACTCCCACCGATCCCATCGACTTCTACTACACAATCGACGCCAACCCCGACGTCTGGCTCGTCGCCGGTCCGCGCCGCGCACAATTTTCCGCAAAAGAAGATGAAGTCATGGAGTGGGATATCGTACTTATCCCGTTAAGAGCAGGGAATGCGTTGATGCCTAATGTGGAGGTTAGGGCGAAGGTGAAGCCCAAGGATGAGAGTGCGAAGAAGGGCGACGAGGCGGAGCCGCTGAATTGCGAGACGGATTATTGGAGTTATGGCGATGTTGTTGTTGTGGTGCCGGATGTGGGGACGAGTACGGTGGGGTTTGGGGGGATGGAAATGGGTGGGAGGGGTGTGGTTTGGTTGGAGAGTTGTGGGTTGGGATAGGTGGGGTGGGGAGTTGTAGTTGTTGTAGGTGAGGATGGACGTGTTTTTGTGTGCTGCATGTTAGAAGAGAAGAAGTGCGGATGATAGCTTTGAGGAGTCATGTATATTAGTATGAATGAGTGAGTTGAAATTCCCTCACCATCTGCATCTTCCCGCGTGTCTTACATACAAAACCTGCACTTTCTTACAAGGATTCCATGATAGTGCCATCCCTCCTCCACTTGAAACACAAAGATGGAATCATTGCTGCATCGAAAAGTACCCGGACAACGCGACCAACATGGTCGACTTCGCAGGTTGACGACAAGGTCAATGCGTAAATTGCCGCTTTGGTGCAGTCATTGCCGATAACACGGAAGGTCGGAAGGAGCACATGAATCTATGAGACTCAACACAAGTTACCGCATTAAGAAGCAAAAGGCAAAACACATGACATCACGGAGCAAAAGCATGTACCACGAACTGAACTACCCCTAAGCCGCCTCCATCTTTGATTCTTACTTGTCATGCAATCCGATGCTACAAACTATACCGCCATCAAGCGTCAAAACATGACTTACTTAGCCTACAATGTATATTCACGTCTCTCTCTCTCTCTTCATTCTCTCTCTATAATACATTTCATGTGTGGTACCTACCTACCAGCGACGACCCATGCTTTCCCAACCAACCAAGCCAAGCCATGCCCAATCCTGAAAGATCAAATAACTACAGCCCAGCCCACCGAGATTTCCAAGCATGCTTATAATGCGCCGAGGAACACCAAAGTTTATGCATCGCTGCGAACAATGACTGAAGCCAACACATACACACTCACTCACTGACTTGCCCATCCTATTCTTTGCAAATTTCATGTCCCATTCTTTAGATCATACCGGCCATGCCGCTTGACGCGTACGCCATGGGTTTGATGTTTGGATGTGCGACGGCGTCGAATTGGGTGAATTTGAGCTTGTATTCTGGGCCAATTTTGATGAAGGCGCCCTTGTTGTGGGTGCTGTCGCAGTAGTTTGGTGCTGAGAAGACGGTGATGCAGCGGCCGTCGTGTTCGACTTCGTAGCCCTCCATGCGGACTTCGTGGGATCGGATAATAGCTTCGAGACCGTTGTTTTCGCAGAAGCGCTTGGTGATGTCCGGGCCGAATTGTAGGCCTACGCCGCGCTTGCTGGGTCCTCTACCGGGGTTCGTTTGCGGGTCGGTCCAGAGCATCTCCATCATGAGGCCGGATTGTCCTGGCTGTCGCTGCTTGAATCGATTGAGTTTCCTTACGTCGTCAAGAGTGACCTTGTCATCTGAGAAAAGACCGCCATGAAGCACAAAGTACTTCTTGCCGATCAGCGTCGCCAGAGGAAGAGCGGAGAAGGACTCTGAAAAGAGCTTGAAGACGCGCTCCGTGTACTTTGCCTTGCACTCGCCCTCGAAACCATACATTCTGTTCATGTCGTCCGTCTCGTGGTTGCCGCGGTTCAGGAAGAAGGAGTTGGGGTATAGCCACTTATAGGCGTACAAGAGGAGTGCGATTTCGGTAGACCAGGAGCCTCGATCGACAAAGTCGCCGTTGAATAGGAATGCGTGCTTCTCGGATGGCTTTCCTGCAAGACGGAAGATCTCCATTAGGTCGAAGAATTGACCTGATAAAGTTAGCAAGCCATTTCGCCAGCACAGTTTTATCCAGCAACCTACCGTGTGTGTCTCCGCATACAGTAATCTCCTGGCCTTCGGGAATGTCGTGCTCGACCATAGTCGGCTCCTTCTTTACAATGTCCATGACGGCGATGATGATCTGGTAGACGTACTTCTTCGCCAGCTTCTTTCCGTTCTTGAACCTCTCAATCATGTCCTCAATGAACTCTAGTGTCATCTTGTCTTCCAGCTTGGCGCCATCATAAGAAGCGTCCACCATCATATGTTCCAGATCGAGGCCCTCGGCCGCCGAGGGCGCATCTTCGACTTCGATGGCTTTGAGGAAGGCATCTCGCTTGACAACCTTTTCGCACTCGACCATGCGCAGCTTCGCATTCGCATCGTTGGGCGCCTTCTTGACGACAAGCTTCCAGTCGCGGAGAGCTTCACGGTGTTTGAGGATGGCAGTGTTCGCCGAGGCGCGACGGTAAAAAGCCTGGTGCTGCGATGAGCATTACGTCGACTGAGTAAGGTGGCGATTATAGTACCTTGACATTATTGGGGTCGAGTTCAATAGCCGTGTCGGCATCTTGGATTGCGTAACCATACTGTTCGAGCTTGATATATGTCTGTAAAACAGTTCAGCATCTGTCTGATGTATAGTGTGCAGTGAGTGGGCTGTCAACATACCTGGGCGCGATTGGTGTAGAAGGAGGGCTCTGCATTATATGCTTCTATGGCCTTTGTGTAAAACTCGAGGGCCTTGTCCCATTCCTGATTGCGAAAGGCATTGTTGCCCTGGTCCTTGAGCTTGGTAGCTTCCTCTAAGCCCCCCATGATGTTTCGATGTGATGCGGGACGCACTGGGGATTGCGAGGCACAAGGCGAAGGCGCGACTGACACAGCTGCACCTGCAGGCTGATGGGAAAGGAAGCTGCGTTCCCTGCGCGGAGGAAAGTGGATTGCTTGATAACAAACAAACAGTGACGCAGGATAAAAAGCGTGAGAACGTGTCGCTGTACCGCCCGCCAAAAGTTATCAAGCAATTCGGTCCCGCCTTCTCGCCTCGCCTTACCAGTTGCCACTAACCCCTCCACGGCTGCATCCACCAACCAGCGTCCTCGGCGGTCGACTATCCATCATGGCACGCAAGGGTCGCGCAACCATAAAGACGCCTGACAAGTACATCACTGTCGATTCGGATAGTGGAGAGGAGAGTCCTTCTGTCGTCGTCTCCAAACAGAGGAGTCGCAGAAAGTCAACTAGACCTGAGGGGGAGAACGTCGATCCCGTGGCTTCGCGTGATGGCCTAAACCTCTCTAAAGCGCCAGGTCCACAAGACGGCCGCCGTCAGCCTCGCCAAGATGCCCGAACCGGGGGACAAAGCACCTCACTTGCGGGTTCGCTGTTTCCAGACAACCATAGCGACGCGGATTTTCCCTCCATCCAACCTACCCACACTACACTCTCTTTTGCAACCGATTCTCAAAACCAGCCAAAATCGTCCTCTCGCGCTGAGACATCTGCAAGACGTGTGCGCACTACTGGCCCAGCACGCGGTCAAGGTCGCGACAACACTGACGATTCCGACATGTCCAACAAACCTATCCAGGGTGGCGCCTACATTCCGCCTAATCAGCAACGCAACATGCGCGCCTGCATGGTCTGCTCCGTTGTTCGAACCCAGCAGCAGTTCCTGACCGAAGGCTGCCCCAACTGCGAAGACGTCCTCGAGCTCGCCGGCAACCCTGAACAGATCAACGACTGCACATCCCAGGTCTTCGATGGCCTCATCTCAGTTTCGGATACCTCCAGGAGCTGGGTTGCCAGATATCAACGTCTCGAGGGCTACAGGCCAGGTGTCTATGCTACCCAAGTCGAAGGCATTCTTCCGGAAGACGTTATTGGCCTTGTGGAGAGCGCCGGCATCAACTACGTCCCCAGGGACGGCAGCGAGCAGGACACACTTCCCCGAGACTAGAAGTCTAATCATACTGAACACGAGCGACGGAGTTATGGGGAAAAACGTTATAGTCTTTGGAAATTGCATTTCAAATGAAAGTATACAGGTATTCCGAGCATCAATCCAACTAATTTCACTTATTGACCGCTCTACACATGCGCTTGAATGACATAAAATACTTGACACACTAGGGTACCAAGGCCACTCTAGGCGCCAGACATGCCTATTAGGTGCTTACCTACACTATCGATTATTCTATGTTACCTAGGTGCAGGCACCTATAACGTGTCGAATGAAGCCTTGGCTCAGTTGGATCTCAACCTTGGATCTAGACTTAACGAAAATATCTGTACTAGAATTTAACTTAATAAAGACTGCTGCTCAACCTTAGATGGTACTGTTGCCTGGAGACTGGAGAGGATAAATTTCGCGCAGTGCAGGCACTTGATCACAGAAAACTTCATCTTGAATATGCAATTTACCAGCTAGGTTGTCCTCCGTTCTGCGAGACGATCCTGAATACCGAAGCTCACCAGTTCTGGGAACACGCTATGTGTGTACATGGGGTGCTACCTTTTTGCTCTACCACGATCACGGAATGCGGAGATGCCGAGGATGGCGGTGCCTGCATCGAGACCAACTGGGGTTGGCGCTTAGCTTGGTAACTTAAGTGGGGCACGCCGCGGTGATGAAATCGGACCACAACCACATATCTATCCCTCAACTTACAATTGACTTCACTACCGCACCGAACTTACCAATTCCCCCATGTCTACAAAATCCCATGTTTACCGACACGAAGATCTCATCGATGCCACAAGGCCAATCCTCTTCTCCTCCTTGGTTATCAGTTGGTTCGTATAGAGCTGTCAATAATCTTGTGTGCCAGCATATCGGTATATTATCGATCTACTACGCGCATGTTGATTTATCTTGGTAGTTGAGATCGTGTGCGAAGATTGTCTGAGCGCAGCTTCGGCTTCTTATACCCGAGGAGCGCACCCAGCATCTGTGTGCTCGCACGGAAATCGTATCGTAAGGTTTTACGTATGAACACGCATACAGCTCCTTGGCATGTCCTTGTTCCTTGCTTTTTCTTGCTATGTTTGCATCAGTGTGGTTTGGAAGCTCTCCATGATTTCGTTATACCTAATGTTTATCCCTAGTGTTAAAAAGGCAGTCTCCCCCGCCCTCTTTCTCTGTGTGTGTGTCCGTGTACATAAGTATATATGTGTGTACTTGGCCAAAATTGAGGCAACTATACCGATGTGTTGCGGTGATATGCTTACATCCGATGAAGGTCCTTTTGCAGTATGTAGATCTAACACTATAGTGGTGATTATCTATAGTACCACATCTATGTATTTATATCGCACCCTCACCTACTGATTATCCTATATCGACAAACTCAAAAATCCTATCTTCACGATAGGAGGCCTCCTCATCTCTCATCTGTTCCACAAGCCATTTCCAATTTGCAAAATCGTCAAGTCGACTCTTTCACCATGAAGCTCTCCGTTGTCGCTGCAATCTGCCTCGCATCCTCGGCGGCGGCAAAGTGTACAGATACCAGATCGTGTACAGGCAACGTACGCATTCATCCCATCACCGTAGAAGAGCAAGAGACTAACAAAGTACTCCATAGCCTGCTTTTCCTTTATGTTTGCCTGGACAGGGCGACCAGCTGCGCTTGGCTCGGTTCGCGAACCCCATGTGGGTCACACCAAACATGCCAGGATGTCGGCTGTGTAAGTATCTATTTTCCATGTAGATTGATGTAGCATTGGTAATCTGACAGGATTCTTCTAGCTCGATTGCTCAATCCGAGAGGACGGCGTTCGCGCCTGTGTGACTTGTTCTGTCCAATGCTGCGATCCCTAGTCGAGGAACGTATACGACTAAAAAGCCGTTTCTATGCAAGTGTTCTTAGTACTTTCGGGAAAAAGAGATGGACACTTAGTGGTTACATGACGCGGGTGGCCAGCGACGTACTTATCAAGAGGCAGTAGCAGCAGCTGTGCATACACAGACATTAGAAACGATAGTATTAAGGCAATCGTGTCACCGAACGAAAATGGGAATTCTGAATATAAGACGGTGCTGGCGCAGTTGAATCACCTTCCGAGATCCACTACGATTTCACTCCACAACTCGGCACTCGCGGATAAATATTGAGGCAAATCTAACGCGAATGAAAATTTGGCGATTATTCTTTATGTTATTGGTAGGAACTATGGTGCAGGCAGAAGGTACGATACCTACGGAGTCACTCACCACGAGTGACGGACGCGGTCAGACTCTGGCGACATCATTTTCAGTAGTGATACTCCCATCTCATAATATTCTTTCCTCGTCGGGTGACAAATTTCCGGATATTGCAACTGACCCAGATTGCAACGTCTCCGAGAATCGTCCCATGCTTCCCATAGCACATCGTGCACCTTGTCGTTAGGCGTACTGCATATGATAAGATTCCAGAACGCTCTCATGGATTCCTGGACCTTTATTTTGCCCAGCCACGGATATGGGTTTGTCTCTCACCATCCGATGATGGTAGACGTCCACCGTGTACTACCTGATGGCAATCGCACTTGTTCGCCGTACCACCCTATCACATCCAAACAGAATTTGGGCAACGAAGGATCGTGGTGGATAGATTGGGCGGGGTTGATGATAGTTGCGCAGATCTTCTTCTCGTCTCTTCGATCTATCATCGTCTTCTCATTCCGTACGAAGTACCCGTGAACTTTGCGGACGAGGTTCGATTGTTCCAGAAGATCTGCACGTTCAGAGTCGCAAAGGATCGTGTTCGTGCTGCTTGATGGGGAGATGTTGTAAAGAGCCGCATTCAGCTCATCAAAGTTCGCGCCAAACGTCATTGCGAGGATTTCGATGAGGAAGCGACGCACCTGCTCGGTCTTACACTGCGGCGGTTGAGCTTGTGATGGAGCATAGTACTTGGTATCAATTTCGACGATGTCTTTATACTCTGGTGGCGGTGTTGAGAGTGGCTTCTGATGCTCTGTTGGCGATGAGGTGTGTGAAGGAGGAAGACGTGATATTCGGAAGCGACCTAGACGGCCTAGACTGAACGTTGGCATAACGGCAATATCTTAATGCAACTGGAGTGACTTTGGAGAAAGCAGGACAAGGATAGGAATAAAGAGAATAAGAGCAAGGTTTTGTACATCTGATGAGAGGGCACTAGTCAGTGTAACCATGGTTCATGGTCGCTTAGGTCAGCAAAGAGGGGCCTTGTACCAAGGTAAGTTAAAGTACGCGCGGGTTCAATCACATGAAGGTAAACGAGAAGTGACTAATTGGAATTTTTTGTTGGCTTTTCTCGGACGATACGAGCTACCTATGCTACCTGTCGGCCATAGGGCTTATCCCTTGGCTCCTCCTTAGGCAACCAGGCAGCCACCCATTTACCCGCTAGTACCTTTACGGCCTAGCTCCTTCACTCCCTCTTCCCACTGCGCATATAGACCTCTTTCCAATAGCTCTAATACAACATGATTCTCCCCAACCTTGACGCTTGACAGGTTATGAGCCCTCACCCGCTCCCGTAGTCGCTCACGATAATTCTATCAGATATTTTGACGACCCGCGCGCCTCATCACAATCGCCACCCCGCAACTTGCAGCTCATCGATCGCTTGGACGACAACGAGCTCTCCGCTGCTCACCAAAAAATCGCCAGCCGAACGATCTTCGACGTCCGCCGCGATGGCAACTCACACCTCCTCCACAGCTGTCACCGCGCGCCTTGCAGCCGACGGCAAAAACTGGAAGGACTGGATTAAACAACTCATCAATTACGCAGCCGCCGATGGCGCTGTAGCCGTCCTAGATGGGGCTCCGCGCCCAGAATTTGACGCTACAGACGACAAGTATCGCATTACCGCCATGCAGCGCCCGATCACTCATCCATTAGGCACCTCAACAGACGTTATCCAAGCCGAGCTTGACCGTGTCGGCAAACTCAACAAGACTATAGGACCGTTCAACAATGAGGCTCGACAGCTACTTAAAGAGGACAAGCTTGCGCTTGACTCATGGGTCGCCGAGATGCCCGACTCCAAAACACCATACTCTCATCCATTGACAAGCCTCTCGTAGCTCAGGTGCGCACATGCCCCACCGCCCACGATATGTACAAGGCTCTCAAGGACCTAAACAGCAACGGTGACTACGCCAATGCTGCTCTCGCGTGGACTGCCTTCATCGACCTCCGCGCTAAGACCCAACCCACAGTCCGCAGCTATATTGGACAGTTTCGCGAGACGATTAATGACATCACGGTACAAGGCATCACACTTGGATGGAAGAAGCCTTCAGCAGTACCTGGTACATCCGCTGACCGCGACGTCGAAGACCTGCTCATCATCCACTTCCTTCACGGCTTAGCTCGTGTACTCCCACAGTGGGTAGAAGCTCGCAATAACGACCTCCGCCAAGGCCATACATGGTCTATCGACACGCTCGTCGCGTCTCTCGAGGATCACCTACGCCATGCCCCAGATGAGCCCGTGAAGACTTTTCTCCCCGTCTCTAAACAAGCGGAGGAGAAGCGCGTTCTCACACGCCTAAACGGCCGCGGCAATGGCAACAACAACAACCAGAACTCTACTCCTCCGTCTCTGACGACGCGCAATAGCACCCAACAGAAGCGTACTCATCAGCCTGTTGGATTTGACACTAACTATATCTAGTGATTACATACATGATCCGGAGACAAGTACTGATGTCGAATGCGGAACGACGTGCAGCACTGCGGACGGCAGAAGGATTTTGGTATCAAAGCGCGATACAGACTATTCGTATGGATGGCCTGGATTGTATGTGAGCTCGCGAAAGAGCTGGAGAGCGTTGTGGCTGTGGTACAAAGGCGCAGGATAGACTGTTTGTATGTATAGTCTGAGTTGTGTGTGGGCTACTGGAAGAGCGCTGTGGCTGTGGTTGTGGTGTTCACGGTAGCGGCCAGGTGTGAAGCTGCATTGCAGTCTACCGCAGCTCGTTTGGTGTGCTTCCGAGATGTTGAGAGTCCAAACATGGGCTATAGCTGGAAGCTACACAGCTTGTGAGGAAGAGGTTTCTCGGGTTTTTTACGGTCTCGGGGGACTACATAGGTGAGGAGGAGAAGGTTTCTCAGATTGTTCGCGGTCTCGGGAGACGACACGGTGAAGAGCGGAAGCTGAGATAGGTAGCTCAGCTGCGGTTGAAAGGTACGACGACTTCGCTGATAGGGCCGCTGATAGGGCACTCTGGATGTCTTCGCCAAACCGTAAGAATCGATGTGTGAGCTGAGACGAGCTGCACTCTCGGTGCTGTCCTAGATAGTGAGTAAGAACAACCCCCCGTTTGCACCACTCCCTTTCGTTATTGAGAGTGGCCCCAGGCCTAACCACGGGGAGGCGGGGGACAAGGCCCATAAGAATGACAATAGTAAAAGATGTAGGGGATACAAAAGAAAGGTGATACAGGTAGTGAACAGAAAAGAAAATTAAGATGATGAGGGAATCCGTTTTCGAACCGTCCGGCCACCAACCTCAACCCCAAGCCCAGTCCCAAGCCCGGAGGACTGGACAAAGCCCATGACCTTGGCCTCGTCCAACTCTTTGCGCAGATCAGAAATCTTCTTCTCCAGCTGCTCGACCTCCGCCTCGTGCCCTTTTTTGGCATTGTCCGTCAACACCAATTCTCGCCCCAGCCTCTCCTCCGCCCCCCTCAATCTCTGCTGCAATGCAGCATCCCCCAACTCGATTTTCGCACGCTCGAGGTCGTGTATGAGCTCTGCCTTTTCGGCCTTCTTCCACGGCCAGCTGCATTTGAGCAACCATACGGAGACGGCCGCACACAGGAGGCCTGCGCAGAAGAAAATTGTGTCGCTAGTCAAATTGACCGGGATACTGGTCCAGTCCGGCATCTTGAAATTGGAACTAGCTATAATAAGATCATACGAATTAGCATTTTGAAACAGCATTAACATCCTGGTGTAGCATATCTTGCTTGATAGGGTATGAGTAGTGAAGGGGAAGAGAAACATTGACATACTTAGGTTCCGTCGTGTAATAGCTGAAGAAGAGAAGAGAAAACACCACGGGCAGAAATAAATACATCAGATCTGTAGGGCCGGCAGCCACTGCTACGTAGCTGCGGCGTTCTAGAGGAAGTGTAGCCCAGAGCTCTTACCTTCTAGGTTCGGGGATAATTCGAACACTGATATATTGGCAGGAGAGGCTACGACAACAAGCTACAACGGCAATTACTGACATCACCAACGTGGACCTAGTTGCCCGGCACATCCGTAATATTTTCAAGTGATCTCGTGGATGTCTCGGTAGTTGCCCAGCTGCTATGCTAGTATTAAAATCTACATTATAAGAATGTTTTTCCCGGATCGACTAGCGCAAACATACAGGCCTGTCGAGTAGCCTAGAAGTGAGGCAAAAGGTTGAACAGAATGAAAGTAAGAACAAACAAGGCGATGGCGAGACAGTACTTCAACACCCCAACCATCTTGCCACGAAGTGAGCTTACCACACTTGCCTGTGGCTGAGTATACGCCAAACCACCCTCAAGCATCAACATCTTCCTCTCCAAACCAGCTGTATACTCCTCATCCCCCTCCCTGCTATCTCCCACTTTCTCCACTGCCAGAACCCCACACGTATCCGGCAGCCCAAACCGCTCATCAACCTGCGCATTACTCCTCGTGACCCTCTGATCCAGCTCATACACCTCATTATCCAAGAATTCACGCACGCCATCATCCCACCTAGTCTTTGCAGCGAAGAAATTGATCAGCGTGGTGCACTTGTCGATGGCGTCGCGGGCGCCGATTATCTTGTTGAAGGAGTTGAGGTCGCGGGGGCTGAGGTCGTCGGAGTCGGAGTCGTCGTAGTGGTCGTGGCGCGAGGATTGGTTGAGATAGGTATGGAAGGTTATGAGGGGGCCGAGCTGCGCATGGGTATTTGGGAGGAAGGTGACGTAGCCTGGGGTTTGTAAGTTTAGGTGGGTAGTGAGGGGAAAGGGAAGTGAACTCACCATCCTTGTCTCGGCCGGCGAGATCGTTGGGGTTCTTGAGACGGCGTAGCGTGTGACCAACTGCGTAAGAGTCTTGGATCATGTGTAGACATACTCCCAGAGCTCGGTGGGAAATGTCTGCCTTGCGGTATTCTGGAGTGTTGCCGAGGAGGAGGTCGCGCAGAGTCTGGTTGCCTGAGGTGGAAGCTTTGAAACTGCCTGGTAGCTTATCGCAGAGTAGATCGCGTTCGTTGACTTCCTTGCCAACTGCGAGCTTGTACATGACTTCTAGCCAGGTAAGGATGTTTCTCTTGGTCGTATTGGGATCTTCGTTGACGTCGCTGGCCATGCCGTGGAGTAACTGGAGATCGCCAAAGTGGCTGCGTTGCGTCATGCACGTCTTTTTTCCATGGTTAAAATCACCTAGGAAATCATCGCCGAGATCAAAGGTGCTGTTGTTGTCCCTGAGATTTTTGAAGAGCAGGCATGATGGATCATCGGGCCACACGAGGCCGCGGACGTACTCCCACTGCTTTGCGTCGAGATTGTTGTATGTGGTGCCCTTGGGGAAATGGAGATTGGAACGAATGAAAGCTGCAATGGCGATTTCCTCGTGGACGGGCTGCCAATGGAGGAGCCCACCAATGGTGTCAAAACCGATCTTGAATTGGGCTTCGACGCTGTCTGAGTAGTCGTCGTCGCCTGCGAGGTATATCTCAACGTGCGCTGTGAAAGTTAGTTTGGTATATGATAGGATTGCGCAGTGCCACTTACCGGTGAACGGATGGCCCTTGTTTTGATAGCTCAACACGTTGACAGACACCTGGTTTGGTTTACTCGATTTGGCATACAAGTAGTTATCGTCCGTGGCGGAGTAGGGATCAGCAAAGTCGAGGCGTACTGTCACGCGCTTGTTCGCCTTGGGTGTGTAGAGCTCGTACACTACGAAGCCCTTGCTTCCATCAAATCCTGTTTCAAGTCAGTCACTATGCTGGAAAATTGCGGGTCTAGAGACGTTGTCCAGATTGACAAGGAAAGTAGTTGTTAGCTTACCAAGAGTATCTTTGAGATGAACGATCCCCTCACCCCCTGCCTCTATAGTATTCGGTGGACTTCCCTTAGCCCATTCGCCCTCTTCTGCACCAGAGTCATCAAGTGCGATGTCGACGCTGGTCTTGTTGTGTACATGGATGTAGCTTCCGTAGTCGGCATAGGTATGGATACTAGATGCATGAGCCATGGTGCTGAAAGTCAAAAGTAAATAGTTCGGATGTTGATAGTTAGGAGTACTGGACGAACAACAGCAGCGTAGCATGCGGAGTATTTAATTGCCTCTCGTCTCATTTTCATGTCCTCTCTTAGGTAGTCCACATATTCGCTTCTAAGACTTGTACGGGCTCAAACAAACACGTTAGTCCCATCTTGGACGATATGCGATGGTGTTAGTATACGAATGTTGTCTCGACTCATCCAGGTTGTCGCTTAGAACGTGTGGCTGAAATGGGCTGGCTGAAAAAGGGTCATTGTGATAGCCGAGGCGGTTCGGCAATTCCGTAGATTCTGGGGATGAGATGTTCATGGTTCCTGATTGAGCAGCGAACGTGATGTCGCAGCTGAGGTTCGATGATGAATTGGGTTTGGGTCCTCCCTGATGGTCTTAGCGTCGGTGCCTGAGTCGGAATAGACTATCGAAAATGGGCCGGACCGAGTCTACATCGACGGGGCTGCCGCCTGTTCACAAACCTTTCAGCTGCCCATGCTGACAGCTGCAGCCACGTGTTTTAGTGGCAACAAGCGGACGTCTAGAACCTGCATCTGCATACTCTCCAGTGCCTTGGCATCCAACGTCAAGTGAACGCGACATACCATCACATGGTCTGAATACAAAGATGCAGGTGATTAAAAGACATGTCTCTGTTGATTCACACACCAAATATTGACACCTAATATGTAGCGGTGTGAGGAGAGGAGGAGGACTGCGTTGCATTGTGTAGCTATGGAGGAACTGCAGCTATATAGGTGTGTGTGATGAGAAAGTGTGGTAGCGATAGCCGTACCCAACTCTCACCCAAGTCGGTCTTGGCAAGTCCCAAACCGTTACATAATAGGCGTGTCTGGACACTAAAGTGGCCTTTTTGCCCCAGTATGTCAAGTATTTTATGGGATCAAGGTACCCAGGCACCTGGGTGTCATAAAATACTTGACACCTCATAGGCGTGCCTGGCAACTACAGTGACCCTTTTGCCCTAGTATGTCAGGTATCTTATGGCACCCAGTTGCTTAGGTACCCTGATCCTATAACAACGATGTGCCCTTGCACTTATTTTGGGTACTATAGACTACTGTACCCGGGCTTTCTCTGCTTAGCATTATCTTGTTGTTCTATAAGTTCTATAAAAATCCTTATAGAGAGAAAGATAAATAATTACGAGATTAATAGAAGGAGAAATTAAAGGCTGCTAGGCGTGTTGACACGGCAAAGGTGTCGAATATCACTGTCGTTGCAACGAAAAAAGTATATGATATTTGATTAGTAGTGAGCAAGAGCTGGATGGAGAGATCTCCATATGTACGGATGCGAGCTGAGCGGGAAGCTTGGTCTACCGGTACCTAGTGATCCACGCTTCCGGCCCGGAAAAACTCGCCGGGCTGGCTGTACGCGCATGTCCCAACAAGGCGATTCGTATCTGTGTTTATATGCAGAGAATTTAGTGGCACTTTAGTCCTCTTATATAATGTAGATCAATTATATTTTATACAGAGGTTTTACATCTTATCCACTAATCCCTGCCCATTCTACGACTTTCGAAAAAGACTCCTTCTCAAGCCCCTATGTATCCGTCTAGCAAAAGACCCTGTCTTCCTGTGTCTACCTTCACCTTCACCTCCCTCCCTTTTGTCTTTGCTTAAGAAAATGTTCCAAAACTTCGAAAGGGAGCCAGAACACTTGTGATGTTTCTCTTCCTTTTGCGGAGAAGAGTGCGGCGATAAAGGAGGTGAATCGCTCAGCGTATGCATGCTTGTTATCCGGCTTGCAGTGTCGTGAGGAGAGAAAGTGAAGTCGCGATTCAGAATGCTTACGTGTCGGGGGACGGGGTGGTGGACAGCTGTAGACTGGCATGCCTTTACTTCAAATTCTCGCGGCAAGGGCTTACGCCTCATTCCCAATGCTGGGTCAATCCCCTTAACACTATCTTCCTGTTCACAGTCTATCTCGTCCTTCCAATCCTTATTCTGATGCGCCTTCCTGCCACACACTGCCCTTGTGCTTGCACAAGACTCAGAGCTCGAGTTATAATTTACGCTGGGGGCATGATCTGACTTTGAGGCGAAACGCACATGCTTTCCCCTTGAGTCCTTGGGATATGCAAAGTCATATACTCGGCAGCCATCTGCCACACCGCCATACTGTACGCTTTCCGGAGGGTACAGGCCCTGGGCTTCTTCGGTCCTCATATCTTCGAGAACAGGGGCCATAGGTGTGTGAGAACATGAGCCAGTCTCTAAGTTGAACTTGGCGACGCGGCGGAGGGGTCGGTCTGGCCCTGGCCCGTCAGTGGGGGCTGGGTTCCAGGAGCCTGATTCGAATGTCGAGGTCGAATCGAGGGAGTCTGTAGAGGCCCTTCGCTCAAGAGCCTGTGAAGGAAGGATCATAAGTCCCTCTTTACCACTGGATGCAGACTCGTTATGCATCTGAGGTGAGGCGGAGGAATAAGGTGCAGAAGGTAGGCAAGAGTCGCCTTCAGTCTGGTTACTCAGAGCACTTCCCAAGCATGACCGATCCATCTTCGTTATGTCAGAGATCTCTGTCCTATTGCGTTGATGCCCCCGAAGATGCTGCGAATTTATCGCAGCAATGCCATCAAAAGCCTGGCTTCCCAATGTGCTGGTAGTGGAGTAGCCCTCACTTCGAGATATACCGAGGCCAGATGTTGCTGGCAGTGGCATAGAGACTCGACGAGATGCATCTCCTTGGGTTACATTATCCATTGCAGATGAGATCGCAGGGGTTGAGATTTGCCTCCCACATGCCACAGGTCGATATCGAGAAAGTGAGATCCGGGGAGATCTACTCTCAATCTGGGAGGGCAGAGGATTGTGGTTGTTTGCACTCCGCCGACGATAACGAGTAGCTGAGAGGTGTGTAGTTGGTGATTCGAGGCCTGCTTGTCGCCCTTGATCTTGTGGCGCGTCAGGAGGGACTGGCACAGGTGAACTGGTCGACCCGGTAGTGTAGGCATACGGAATCGCCATGTTGATCTCATTGACCCTTGAAGCGACGAAGCCAGTAGGAACAGATCCATCTATCATTGCTCGAGCTATCGGCGTAGGCCTAGCGATAGGTGAGGCGCATGTGTTGTTCTCGGATTGGGTAGAAGACGTAATTCGGTCAGCCATGTTCTAGACTGGTTGCGCACTAGTGTTGATATGTTTGTTATGCGATAAACGAATCCTAGGCTAAAGATCTTGTCAGTGCGCAGTAAAGGTTGATTGCGATAGTTGCGCAGACCTGATCAAGAACACGGTGTTAGTGTGTAGAGAGTGTAGTGCAACTCCAGTAGTGAGTGTTTTGAGAATTAGATATAGAGTTGAGTGTTCTTGTACTAATCCGAATACAGGCGCGGGTGCTTGTGCTTTTATGGCCCGGTGCGCAACGGTGAGTGCGTCATGGGATTGCGACAGGGTCACGCTAAGGGGAGAAGTGGGAGGAAGACGCGACGTGAATTGAGGGTTCAGCAAGGTGTACCACCAGTTGCTTCCCTTGGGAACTAACTGATTACAATTTACTCTCTAAAAACTTTCCAGACGACACTGGTATACGCTGTATTAATTCCTAGCTTTTTGTCTGACTGCTCATTGGCAGCCGTGCAAACTCCTCGTGCCCGCACTTGTCCAATGACTTGTCCAATGACGAGGCGCCGAATTGAGATGCTAGCGCCATCAGCACTGCGATAACTGCCCAGGTGATTACTATGCTATATACCGAAAGCTTTGGTAGTCTGACGCCCTCGGAGTTGTTTGCTGTAGTCGTTTGATATCGATTGTGGACTGCGGTTTTGGTGACTTGCTGTTCCAAAGGACACAGACAGGTGCCGCAGGATATTCTCGTACCGGGTCACCTACAACAAGCCATGCGACGACAAAGCTGATAAAGGAATATGAAAATAGAGGTCATTGTAAGACTTGGTAAGAAGGGAGATTGCTTGTTTGCTTAATTCCATCGTAATTACAACTAAAGAAACAAAGGTATCCTCAATTGACAGAATAAAAGCTGGCACATTCCTCAACCAGAACCCATCTTATTCGTAAGATCACATGCCAGGACACGTGTCGCTTGTATACTTGAGTAAACGCCATAAAGCAAGAGCAGCAAAGCACCATGAGCTACGGCTATGATGCTACTATGAAAGGCATCTCAATCCTCCCCAAAAAATCCTTGGAGTCCTTCAGCGTTAGCCCAGAATTCGTCATAATTGTCGGCTTCGGCGTTCTCTATATGCTCAACACCAAGATCGTTGTCAAGCACGTGGAAGCGAAGCGGTTCGTAGATGTGAGTTGGTTCGTGGGCGTGAATCGGTTTGTCGTCCGAGTATGTTATATCATACAGATTGTGCCCATTGCGATCCAGACCCGTTTCAAAATGGAGGCCGCGCCATGATAACTCGAAGCCTTCTTCGTCGTAGCCTGCGGGTGGATCTCCATATGCAGGACATCCTACTTCTTCATGGAAGCCGTCCCATAGCATCATGCATATGAAGCAGAACTGAGTTCTGCAGTGGCAGCAATACATGTGGTTGCATGACTCCTCGAGTTCGATCCATGCAGTGCAGTCCGGGCACTGTTTTATGCGGCAGGTCGGTGAGTATTCGGGTAGCCACTTCGGTCTGAGCGTATTGTCAGATTCCACGACGCACTCATGGCATTTATGGCCTTCGCTATCCCACTCTTTACTGCATTCCGTGCAGGTAACGCAGCCGCATGTGCAGGGGGCGACAGTTTGGATGAAGGATGTGGAGTCGAATTGTGTTGGTGGGATGAAGGAACTGCAGGCTTCTTTGGAACAATAGATTCGAGAATGGATCGGGGTATTGTGTTCCTTGATCTTCATCGAGTATGCTTCTCGCATTTCCGGACTTAGTAGGTGTTCTACTTGTTCAAAGGGAATGGGGGCGCAGCACTTGGTTGGGAAAGCCGAGTTGTCTTTAAGGGCGATGGCGTGGGCGTCAACGATGCATTCGTTGCACATTACGTGCTCGGCGCAGGTAACGACGCCTTTGGAAAGCAGAATATCGTCTCCGCAAATACAGCATTCGTACTTGGCTGTATCTTCGTTCAGTTGTAGGGCTGCCATTTCAGCCACTGGCATGATAATGTCTTTCGATGTCCTCGCCGTCTCGGCGGCATCACCCACGGTCTTTTGGTCAACGGTTGGAGTAGATGACATGATTTTGTCGACTTGTTTGTCTTTCCAGAAAGTTTTGCTGGAGACTTCAGATTATAATGTGTGTGTCGTTGAGGAAGAGTTGTGGTAGGTTGCAGTCGTGGTTTGAGTCTGGAGTAGAAAGCTGAGATATAACTGTCTTGTGAGATGTACGAGAGATACAGAAGTTGGCACAGAAAAGCGCATCTTATAGTCGGAAAAAACTCATAAAGTGTGATGGTAATCATGATAGCGAAAATGTAGTCCTCTTAGAATACCATGGACCATGGTAGGTCTTCTACATACTCAGCGAATGAAAAAATCCTTAGCGCAGGCAACTGCATCAGAACAACCCATCAACCCACCGCTACGATACCAACCGATTACAGAGTACAACCTCATCATGGTCACTAAACACGACCTTTGATTACATAAAACACTTACTTTACGCATTTTTATGTGCCCAGTGGGGACTTATTACATTTAGAGACACCACATCAGCTTGCTAGTGTGCTTCCGATGACGTATAGCAGGCCACATTGAACCAGAGATCACTCATTAACCACATTTTTGTATGATCATGACGTTGGAATATGTAGTTAAGCGAGGGGGGTGTACGTCACGGATGCTCCGTGTAATCCAGTCGACCAATACAGAAATAATACATTGCACCAATTCCAGCTACGACTCAGAGGTAGAGCTCTCCACTCGTGATTCCTCCAAAGTGAATACGGCAGGCTGTAACCTATTCTTCCCATTTGGAAATGCTCCTATAATTCTTGTGCACGATATTTGCGGAACGCCTAGCAACGCTCATCCGCTTCACCAGAGTGCCGTTGTCCTCATCCACCTCGATGCACCCATCAATATCCTTCGAGGAACAGAGCGGAATGAGAGTCTTGGAACCCATATCACAGAACTTGCCGTCAGAGCCGATGAAGTCGGGGCCCCAGGACGTGGCAGAACTGCAGAGCTCCTCTGCTGGATGGCTGGTGAAGTTGGACATGATGAGACGCTCCGTCATCCAGAGAGGGCGGTCTTCAGTGCCTCGTTTGTCGGGCTGAGCTGCATGGGGATGAGCTGGTTGGGGAAAAACTGATTGGGGATGAGCTGATTGAGGCCGAGCTGTATGTAGTGGTCAGCCATATGACTTTGCAAAAACATATAGTTGGTCAAGACGTACGTCCAATTGGTTCATTGGCTTGCGCGAAGATGGTAGGCTTGCATACGTTACCGCGGAAGGTATCGATTGAATCCTCGCCGTAAGCTTTGGTATCGAATTTCAGAGCACCGGCAGTGATGTAGTTTGTGTTATCGGCGTCGACCCAAGTACACTTGGGGAAATAATACAAGTGTGAGTCTAAGAGCCTTCCTGCATGGTTAAGGCTGTTGTACCATTTTTGTCCGCAATACCATCCGATGTCACCAGTCCAGGCCGTAGGTGGCATGTCGCCAATCTGCGTGACACTGATCCAAGAAATGCATGTCGCATCTGTGGTGCTGGTTACACTGATGTAGCGGGGTTCTGGGCTGATCCCATACTGGTACAGCTCTTTTGTACAGGTGCCGCCTGACTCAGTGTGGCATCCCTCTCGGTTGCCCATAAGTTCATTGCGATTATTGAAACCATATATTCTGTCGATTGTGCCAGCCTAGAGCATTGTAAGTACCTTTTTGGTTTAGATATGGAGATTCAATTTCACTCACAAGACTGTCGTGTGGCTCGTTGACGACTTCAGACAAACCAGCTATGATGGTATTAGTGCCATCAGTAAGGAATCACTCAGCCATCATACTTTTGATGCTCACGACTGCACCCTTCCTGCCAGGAGGGGCGAAATTTTCTTGGGAGAACCCAACGATACCCAACCTTCCCTGACTGCCGACGCCAATTGCATCGTAGAGAGACATTGCGAAGTACGTAGGCGGAATTCCCGGGGTAAGAGACAAACTGTATCAAGCAAGATGTTTTGAGAGCGATGGTTTTATCTTGTTGCAGAATGTTGAGTAAGAAGGACGGGAGATGAGTTCTTCTGTGTGCGCGCGAAGATTTTTATCTCTTCTACAGTACCACGGTACCCATCCTTGGCGTACCAAACTGAAGAACCATCGATTCAAATAGTTTCGACGAGAGCTCTACCGAGATTTCTCATTCTTACCTTATCTTCACAACTATGCACTTTCTCCGGGCCGCTAGTAAAGTAGTAACTATATCTCTGGTGTCGCTTCCTCTCCGAGTCAACGCGCAATCCGAAAGCAACAAGTTCTTACCCTGTCATTCTGCACTTCTTTTTATCCAAATAACTAACCATCTCGCAGCCAAAACCTAACACTGCGTTTCTTCCAAAACAGCCCAGATTCATGCGACTACAGCGCAACGACCTTTGCTCTAACCTTCACCACATCCAGCATACTCCTTTTGAGCCACTATTCTGACGTGGACGAGCTCTTCGGTGGAAATGCAACGCAGGGCTTTGTCAACCAGACCGGTAATATCGCACTCCCATATACAAGAGAAGCAGGAATATACTAGCACTTGAGAATGTCGACACTTATGACCCGCAAGCAAACTACTCGAGCGTCCCGTACCGCCAGCACATCACTAACCCATTGAACGACATTCAACCCCATCGATTCGCTCAACGCGGTGTGACGCTGTACTGCAGTACGACGTCTTGGAAGATTGGTAGCTTTAACGTGCATGCGCCTAGTGATGATGCTGAGGGTACCTGTTGGGTGTTTGCGAAGAATGGAAATGGTGCGCGGGGATTTTCTTCTTCGCAGGCTATGATGGGTGTGGTTATTGCTACAACGTTAGCCATCTGGCTGGCTTGATTTGAATATTAAGAAATCATAAGATAGTCTACGATTTTCCAAGCATACCCTTCTTGCGTACTATCCTCTAAATGGATAGAGTATAGTATCAGACTTCTCCGTTCATCCCATCCTTCGCTAGCACCGGCACCGCACATCCCAGCCCCTCCTCTTCCTGCATTTTCCTCTGCCACGGCAACATCTCCTTCGCCGGTACGGCTGGCCCCACCTCACCACCCAGCTTCCTCTTCTCCACCCACGCATCCATATCCCTCTGCTCGATAAAATTCCCATGCAAACCCAATCGTAGCTTCACCGGCAAATGCACCACAGCCAGCGGCCCCTGCGCCAGATTCTGCGCATCGAATATCATAATATCGTTGTGTAAAACATCGAGATGATTAAGCAGCGCGATGATGTATCCCTCTCCTTCTACGATTTTCGAAGTGGCAGTAGTTTTGGGTACGAAAACGGGTTCCTGAAATGTGCACGTCGAACCAGCCCAATATGTGTCTTTTCGTCCAGTATCCCACTCGTAATGACCCAGGACATTGAACAAGCCTCCAGCTGGGGGTCCGCACTTGGCGAAGTCGTAAGGCTTACTTGGGTCGATGTTGCATTGCCAGAAATGATTGTACTTTTTTGTTAGCACTCTATCGTCGATGCGCGAGAACTCGCCATTGATGCCGAAGAGCTTGTGTGGCTGAACGCGCGTGTTGGTAGGGGTGTTGGGGTCGAAGACCCAGCGGTATGTGTCGGATACCAGGGCATTGCGCTGAAGGAGCGTGGTTGGTGTGTTTGCTTGGCTGTCTGGGGGGAAGAAGTAGAAGACGTTGTCGGAGGCTACGGTTAGGTCTACCACTATTTTCCCGTCGCTGTCTTCGTAGGAGCCGGCTACGTGACCATGGAAGCCTGTACGTGTTAGTTTGTTTTATTTTCGAGCAAGGAGATTATCAAAGTGGGTTTCATACCGTTGTCGGCGCGCAGCCAGACAATGTCTTCGGGTTTACCGTTACGGCGAGGCACTATGCCATACCACTGGTCCTCATCAGGGTCCCAAGCAAAATGGTTTCCACCTTTCTTGAGGCGATCTGCGTTGACTTTGATTGGTGTCAAGGGCAAGATGAGGTAATTCTTCGTGATTGCACAGTCGTGGATCATGCCACAAAATGGTGCTTTGTACCAGGTCTCCTCCGTCTTCTTTCCATCTTTGTCAATCGTGTACACGACGATATCGCAGCTTGCATCGTATCCATTACCTCCTGCTTCATATCCAAAACAGACCATCTCTCCTGTATCAGGATCAAATTTGGGATGTGCGGTGAATGTCGGAGACTGTACTTGGCCGTCAAAGTCATAGCGGCCAATAGTCTCGAGCGTCACAGGATCCATGGCAAATGGTGGGCCATCTTCTTTGGTGGCTAGAAGTACGCCACGCCAGAAGATGATGTTGGTATTCGATGCTGTTCTAATAATACCTTTTACCATCTCATTGTCAGTGTAAGGGTTCCTGTACCGTCCGAGCAACGCCTTTCGAGCTTTCGCTTCCGCTTTGAAACGATCTGTATGCACGTATCGTTGTCGAAAGTCGACATGACCGTTTTCGAATCGAAATGCTGATACTGAGCCATCTCCATTGAAATGAATATCTTCCTCAAAAAAAGGCGGGAAGCGATGGTCCGGTTGTATGCGGAAGAAAGTCCCGTTGATATCTTTGGGTATCTGCAAATACTAAGCTATAGCTCAACTATGCAAAGCGATAGAATTACCGTTCCCGTCGTTTCAAGCTCGAAGATGTCGGCTTCTAACCGCGATGGTCTGTTAAAACCCTGGAAAAAGCCAGTCTCCGGAAACTTGACTTGATCACCCGAGTGCTTGCCCTCATGGTAGGCTGATTGTGCTGGAGTAGCAAGAGAGAAAATGTGTGCCATCGTCTTTGACTGGCAGCGATTTGCCGCGCCGTATTCGGCCGTAAGACGGGACGTTTGCTCTTGGAATAAAAACACCTGATTTTGTCACCGAATATAATCCGAACCCCGGAGATTACAGGGTTGTATGTGGGGAGAAGAACGTGCGGGGTAGCTTGTGGGTGTATGCCGAGTTTGTACAACGGGAATTGCAAGACACGGGCTGATAACCCCGCGCAGGATCGACTGCAGCGTAGTTCGTCTAGCAGTAATTTGAGCATCCATCATCATAGACTCTTGATGTCTCGCATTGCCGTATACAGATCATGCGAAATGTATACTCAGGGAGATCATACGCTTCTTGGTGCCAAGATAGAGCGACACTGATAGTTGAACACGGGGGTTGACTACCACCAATAAAGCATGTTGACCGTCAAAATCCATAGTGCAGCTAGCTGAGAACCGAGATGGAAAGGGGTCGAACATCTAAAACAAACCATTAGGATCGATAAGACTTTTTGAGACAAAGTTAAAACCTAAAACACACTCAGGTACACAATTCGAAGCCGCCGGACAGTGATGGCTCATTCTTTCTAGTACTGCGTCCATACCAGCTCTGCCATAATCCTGAACGAAGGACACATGGGAGAAACCCTTATCGAGTACTTGTTGATATCCTCGATGTGGGTAACAGAGTATGAAGAAGATCATGCCAACATAATGAACACAGTGAAAACGCCATTTCGTATGAGCCTACGATTGTACACAAAGACTAAACACCTTCGTGTATGGTTACGACTTATGGCACTAAATCCATCTCCGACTGGGGCTTGCTAAGCACAAGCGGAGGGCTGCTAGTTGACGGGTCTGCCCCAAAGTGTGGGGCTCTCAGATCGTCATCGGCGACCTGGTCACCGGTAACGGGGTGGTTGTAGTGAAAAGGCACCACACGCGTGTCGGGCCAGAGCATCGGGGATTCGCATAGGACATCCGGCCCGTTTGGATCTTCCGGGTATGTTTTCGAAAGGAACGGCACATAGTTTGGCTTTGTGTGTGCCCAGCCTTTTTCGAAGGTAGCATGCCAGAAGGGAAAGTACTTCAGCCTGAAGATTTTCCATACGCCATTCTCTTTAATATACTCGTTCTCGTATATGCCACCTTCCCACCATTGTACCAATCCACGTGGATGGGTGTCTTTGATGCTCTCGTGTGTGCCGGCGGACATCATGCTACGGAAGCGGCCTGCGGCTCGGGTGCCTTCCGCGTTTACATCCACTATGCCCTGCATCTGCGGGTGATCTAGGAGAAAACCGTGTACCGGGCCATTGCGGCCAGCTACAAAGGCATTTGCGAAGCGGCCGATGTAGAGCCGCTTGACACCCTCTTTGCCATGAAAGCGCCCTCCAAGGAATTCGACGCAGGTATCAGGATGGTCAGCATAGAGTTCGGCAACCTAGCAAAGTCAGTGAAGGTGCTAGTTTATGTCAGGAAGAAAGCCTACCTCTTTGTAGAGACATTTGTCGAGATAGTAGCCGTATGTGTACTGAAGCTTGCGGATGTTCTCTTGGTCCGCGTGGGGTTAGCGCAGACGCCAGTAAGAATTACTAATCACCTACCACTCAACCGCGTCACCTCAGCCTGCAGCTTTTCCACCGCCGCTTTCAATTGCTCGATTTCGCTGCTCATTATAGCAAATTTCTTAAGTTGGATACGATTGCACAGCCTCAGTCAGTTCTCGAGGCTGCGCACCGCTTCTTAAACTCGGTGCTATACCATTCCAAGGGTGATCCCAGAGGCTTCACAACACTGCAGCTACCGCATTTAGCCATATGCACAACGTGTAAAGCACTCGTATTCCGCATGCGCGAATGAATCCTTCTAATAAAGCGGTATTATAGGTGCGAGATGCACGAAGTTGCGGCTTGATATGGCCGACGGCACTTCTTGAGCAAAGATGCGGAGCTCGATAGCAGGGAACGATCCATGTGGGGTCATCGAGGCAACGCCGCGGGACAGCTCCATTATTCGGCATCCCACAACACTGCATCATCGCGATTTGAGTCTGTAACAGTAAGCTGTGGCTGGCATAGATCCCGAGCTTAGTGCATTCTTAGTCACGGCTAGTGTGAGCTTCTGTGACGGCATTTCTGCAATTATATCTCGACGCGCTGCAGAAAATAGAATTTTCACATCGCTTGGAAAACACTTGCAATATGGGCCTGCCAGAAAAGATTGAAACGCGCCTCTTCATCAATGGAGAAGTTTGTGTTTTCTGTCGATAGAAGAGACCTGAGCTGACGATTGCACAGTTTGTCGAATCATCCAATGGCAAAACATTCGACATAATAAACCCCTCCACATTGAAGCTGGTCGCCAAGGGTCCGTCTCGTTCAACTCACAAGCAACCCATGTATACTCATCATCTCAACAGTACACGAGGCATCTGAGCAAGACACCGACAATGCTGTGGCCGCTGCCAAAGCTGCGTTCCCTGCCTGGTCTGCACTATCTCCAGATCAAAGAGGCCAGTACTTCAAAAAGCTGGCGAAGCTCATCCGGGAAAACAACGATGAATTGGCTACTCTGGAGGCAAGCTCTATGGGTCGTCCCGTAACCGAGTTTTTCGAAGGAAATGCCGCCGCCGCCAAGTGGGATCGCTACGCAGAAATTGGGTACAATGTGCAAGGTAGGAGGTACGATGCATGGTCAAGGTAGTATGCTGATGGAAATCAGGCACGACTAGCGTGGCTACTCCAGGCTATGTCAACATGACATTACGCCAGCCATATGGTGTCGTGGCCGCCATCATTCCATGGAACGTACCCTTGTATTTCATGGCAGCCAAATTAGCGCCGGCATTGATTACAGGAAACACAACCGTCTTGAAGAGCTCTGAAAAGGCGCCGTTGACGGTAAATATCCCGGTGGCTTAATGTTCAATAAGCTGACTGTAGTAGTCAGCTAAAGTCGCGGCCTTGGTACAGCAGGCAGGATTCCCCCCTGGTGTGATCAATATCATCACGGGCTTCGGAAATGTCAGCGGATCCATTCTGAGTAGCCACATGGATGTCAGAGCTCTGTCGTTCACTGGGTCTAGTCGCACAGGACGCATCATCCAAGCCGCTGCCGCCAAGTCCAATTTGAAGCAAGTGTACCTTGAGCTTGGTGGCAAGTCACCAGCAATCGTTTTCGAAGATGCCGACATTGAGAAGGCTGTAAAGGACACAGCGCACAGTGTTCAGTGGAACAGCGGGCAGGTTTGCATGGCCAACTCTCGTGTGTATGTTCAGGATACAATCGCCGACAGGTACATTGAGCTTTTCAAGCAACGCTTTGAAAACGATACCAAGATGGGCGACCCACTCGATGCGGGTGAGAGTGGCGTCAATCACGGTCCACAGGCAGATGAGGCGCAGCACAAGACGATCATTCAGTATTTGGAATCGGGGAAACAGTCTGGTGGAGAACTCATCACGGGTGGTGGAGCCCCGTCAGATCGCCAAGGCTACTACATCCAACCTACCATTTTCAAGAACACGCCAGAAGACGCCAAGATCATGAAAGAGGAGATTTTTGGTCCTGTCGTCAGCATCAATGTGTTCAAATCAGAGGATGAAGTCCTTGCAAAAGCCAACGCAACCGAGTTCGTCTCATCCCTCTTGGCGAGTACAAGATGAAACACTCTGACTAAGGTGAATCTAGGTTCGGATTGTATGCGTCGGTATTTACAAAAGATATCGACCGAGCAATGCGTTTCGCAAAGGCCCTCGAAGCTGGCACGGTTGGTATAAATTGTACCTCGCCTGGTGAGTGATGACAGGGTGATGACATGTGTGTCGCATGCTAACACTGCCAACAGTGACTGCCGTGGACATGCCGTTTGGTGGATACAAGTCATCAGGATCGGGTCGTGAGGGCGAGCCATTGTACTCTCTTGACAACTTCCTGGAGACGAAGACGGTTCTGATTAAGATATCCTAGAGTTGCGACATGAATCGAGCAAGTGCCATATGATTTGCTGTCCTCGTAACGCTATTCCTCGTTTGCTTTGGAATTTGATTAGCCGACCCGGCAGGACCTGCAGGGTGGCCTCGGGTGCGCACCGAACGACCAACGCGCCAGTAGATCCCCCGCTAGAAGTGGCGGCCCTTTTCCTTTGCTCCCAACAGCGGCAAGCACAACGCTCCATGTTTTCTCCACGAACTGCTGCAAGTCTGCCGAATGAGTACCTTGTATCGTTACTAGTGCCATCCCATTCGGCTGGGCTATCGCCGTGGTTGTCGGCTGGATATGGCCGACCTCTCCGCCCCCCCGCCACGACCGCTGGCGCCACCTAACGGCAGAGCGCCAAATCCTCATCGCGTCCACAGCAGCTGCGATCGCTGCCGAAGCAGGAAAACAAAGGTAGCGCTCCCTCGTACTGTTGCGCCTGATAGTGATTAATCGTTTTCGCAGTGCATTGATCCGAGTACGCCTGTCCATAAGAGGATGGTCGCCTTCTGTCATGACTGACTCTCTCTAGTCCCAGGCCCATGTCGTTACTGTGCTCGCACAGGGGCTGTCTGCACCATCGCCACCCCAAGGAGAAAGAGACCCTACTATCATGTCACCGAAGAAGAGTACCAGTGTTCTATGCGAATCTTGGAGCACTTTTTTCCTGGTCATGAATTGAACTTGCAATCACTCCGAACCATTGCCAAAGCCATCAAGGACGGCACTTTCAATGCTGAACCTGTCCAGCATACAGAAGGCCTCTTCACGAGTGCCCATCCCTCGCCCGACGATGGCGAAAGCGTCGAAGATGGCGAGGAGCAGGATGTCCAGGAGCTCCACGAGCCTCTAGGATGTATGATGAAGGACTCTAGAGGAAAGTTCCGCTACGTCGGTGCTCATAGTGAGATACCCTTCAACGCTGCAGTGGCAACCCTGGGTATGCAAAGGAAGAACCCCTCCATCATCCCAACGCCCAAGGTAGGATCATATCCGCCTACGCTTGCGACTGCATCACCGGCCACTACCCCAGGAGGCGTAGAAGAGAGCTACTATCTACCCGGCCGAGAACTGTGTGATGTTTACATCTCGCGCTTCTTGGAAGAAGTTCACTGCATATTTTGGCTCTACCCCGTTGAAACATTGTTGCGGCGTGTGGACAGCACATACTCCGAGTCAGCGCCACGTTCGTCAAGCTCCTGGATGTGCTCCCTCTACATCATGTTTGCCATGGGCGCTGCGAACTATGTAGGCGATAATGGCAAGTCTCCGCCACCAGACTGGCCAGCTGCGTTGGACTTGAAGACTTCTGAGGACTACATCACGCTTGCCAAACAACTCATTCCCACAGTGTACGACGAGGCTGACATTGACAGCATCCGTGCCATGGCCATGATGGTATGGCATACATGATACCTTTGTATGATTGCACTAGCTAACCAGCACCAGTCTCTTGCCATGGAAACCTTATGCTCCAGAGTCAGCTCCTACTTGTACATGGGAGCCAGTGTGCAGATGGCGTATTCACTCGGTTTACATCGCGACCAGACGGCAGAAAGTGCTAGCGCAATGGATCGAGAACAGAATCGCAGGATTTGGTGGTCACTTTTCATGCTCGATCAAGAGATCTCGTCTAGAGGCGGCAGCCCAACCGTTATCGACGAGCGCTTCACCAAAGTCACCACGCTCATGCCCTCCGAGCAGATTCTATATCCAGGACTACACACACCACTAGCGTGGCTAACGACAGCAGTTTCTCTTTGTCGATTGAAGCGCGACATCATCCAATCCGTCTACATGGAGCGCTCATCAAATTCGATATCCTTCTCAACAGTATCAAACTCGCTACTCCTACTCCAGAAATGGTATCGTCAAGTTCCAGCGCATCTCAAATACGACGTACCTTCACCCCCTACGCATAAACGCGCAGTCGCCATAATACACCTCCAATACTGGAGCACTACAATTCTCCTAACCCGACCCTTCCTCCTCTACCTCGTCATAAAGTACAGCACACTAGCGTCAAGTAAAAAGATATGGTTCGAGCGCATGGGCAAAACATGCATTGACGCAGCACAGAAAAGCGCTGCGATCCTAGCGCAAATGGCGGATGACGGTGTACTATCTAGCTTGACGGCTTTCGATAGCACATGCATCCTGCGACTACTCATGGTTTTTGTACTTGCATACGCGCATACAAGAACACCGCAATACAACGCAAACATCGAGAAGCTAGTATCGATTATCCGCGGTATGGAGCAGATTGGCTTTACGAAAATGGTCACTGAGGAAACACCGATGCGCCTTGCAGAACTGGGCATACCGGAGCGTGTGAGCCCGAGCAATGGAGATGCGAATGCACCCGTGCATTTGGATGACGACATGATTGCCCAGCTTTGGGGAAACTGGGACCCGTAAGTTCTTTTTGTGGTCATGGTTTGTTTTTGCAATAGATAACTAACGCTATGGACACAGCAACTTCATGACGCCGTTGCAAGCACAGCAGAGTCTGGACTTGACATTTGACGATTCTGGCGCTTTCGATATCAACTCAGAGATCTTGGCGTTTACAAATCTGGACGAGTCGATTGTTATCGACCCGGTGCATGCGTATTCGCATTTTGAAATGCAGCAATGAACGTCGTACGATATTATACGGCTGGTGTATACCGGCGAATCCATGCGCCACGCTGAGCCAGCCACCACTACCAGCGTCAAGTCCTAACTTGGTTCTATTGATATCCACCCACGGGCATAACGGACCGCCACCCCAGACTACTCCGGTCCTTCGTCACGCCATCTAAAATAAGGGCTGCCGGTATGAGCAACGAATCGCTCCCAGCACCAGCGTCAGGGAACAGCTCATTGGACGCGACTATGGCGTTTTGAGTACCAACAGAACCATAAAGCGGTCAGCATCGCCAACAGACACCGAAACGGCAAGGAATGTAAACGAATAAACTGAGGGTACACGAGCGGAGCCAACGCCATTTGTGGATTATGGAGGAAATAAGGATGAAGGGAAGGAAGTGTAAGGATATACCAGGGAGTAGATAGATAACATTCTTCATAGTAACAATAACATTTTTCTATTTGTATAGGACAGACGATATCATGTGCTACTTTCTCATCATCGTCTACCACCCCACACTACTCTCGTGTCAGGACTGAGTAAAGCTGTCCGTTCGGAATCACGCAACGCGAGCGAAAATACAATATCTGTCTCGAAAAGACAAGCGTAGCAGTGAAATTCAAGGGGGGAAAGATATGTCATTGCTAATTTCTCACAGCAAATGAAATCCTCCACACGTGTCTCCTCCCACGTAACACTATCCTCTATCTCTCTTGCTTAATAGGGCAAGGCCAAGAAAACTTCCCTCATCTTCTCGTAATTCGGCGTCCCCAACCCAGTCACAGGATCCCACCCTTTGCTCGCCGGAAACCCATTCGTCCCACATCCTGGATTCCAGCCTTCCGTCCCATCATTAAACATGCCGGGATTCTCATACATGAAGGGATTCAAAAAGCCCACCGGTCTCTTCCCCGCCTCCAAACGCTCTTCATTCAGCAAGTTGATAATAGATTCAAAGATGGGTGCAGACGCCGAAGTGCCGCCAACATCAATTGTGTTGTTTAAATACACGATTACGAGATTGAGACCCAAGGCAGCGACATCGGGGTACCCGCGGCTGGAAGAATTGAAAACCGACTCGCCGTATTTGCGCGCGTAAGACGTGAGGTAAGTCTCTACAGCCGAGGACTGAAACAAAGGCCTTGGAAAAACGGAAGAGAAGCCGCCACCGGAGCAATAAGAATTAGCACCATCCGGTACAGCGACCGCGACCTCACCATTGATCCACGCAGACTTTAGATCCGTAGCGCCCACAGCCGTAATATACGGACATGTAAGCCGGGAAACTCGGCGAGAACCTTTTCCCGTTCGGATCCACATACCCGTACACTTCATTCAAACACGCGTTGGGGTAAACGGAGTTGTACGTGTTGGCGACGCCGGAATCGCCAGAAGCGAAGATTACGGAGACGCCTTGTAGGGCTAGTTTCATCCATTCGCGGCATTGGCGCTCTTGGTAGAAGACCGGGAGGGCGCCTTCGATTTGGGCATAGGAAACGGAGATTACGTTTGATACGGGGGCGCCGCCGCATTGGAGGGGTCCTGAGTAGCCGCCTTCGTTGGGGTCCGGGTACGCGGAGTCTACGTAGGGTTGGTTGCCGCCTTGGTAGGTGCAGTAATATCCGTCCTGTGTTTGTGTGTGTGTGTGTGTGTGTGTGTGTGTGTTGGTTAGAAAATGGGGGATAGGGAAGAGGTGTGGATGGGGGCGTGATTTACAAGAGCGTCGAGGAATATGTTAAAGGTACCGACTGAATCTACGTTTACAGAGTCTCCGATTTGGCACAATCGCGTGCTTTGGGAGTGGATGATTGAATAGGCGGTTTGGAAATCTAAGGCGCTTTCGATGACTTGTGAGGCTTTGGCTACGGTTAGGTTGGAGTGCTTGCCGCCGTCAATTGAGATGAAGTCCACGACTACTTCGGATGTGATTTTGGGAGATGTCCATCTCTGGAGGAAGACTTGGAGATCCGGGAGGTAGAGGTAATCTGACCACTCGGCAATGCCTAGCCTGTTGCTCTCGTGCTTGAACTTGGCGACGGGGATCTTGTAGATGGCTCGCAGGCAGTTAATTGTGATTAGAATGCGGCACATGTCGAGATTGTCAAGAGAGCCGGTCTTGGGGCTGACTTCTGTCATCATTTTGGGCAGTTTCTGCGCTACTGGCTTCAAGCTGTCGAGTTGGATCGTGGGCATGATGAAGTCGACATGTTCGCGTACTTCGTGGGGAAGTCCGTACTTGTCACATGCAATGCGAGAGCCACCAGTCTCGTGCTTGTAGTGGTAGTACTTGGTTTGCAACAAGTCCTCTAGTTCTGAGACTGAAGCTGAGAACTCTACCCAGTTACATCCTATACCTTATCAGTAGACATATATTTCAGGTTTAGGGACGTGACTAACCATGTGAGTGCTTGACACGGGCGCGGTCGATTCCTGATGAATGAAGCCAGTCAAGAGTAGCATCGGACGTCTCCGGGTGTGGTGCAAACATGTTAGCGACTTGTTCACCGGTCCAATGCTTCCCTAAAATCAATTCTCAGATGAATCCTCATTGTAGAACAAGAGTAGCACATACCAAAGTTTGGCGAATCTGGATCCGAGATATCGTGAAGAAAGCGGTCGCCATGCTCCAGGTTCCGCTGCTTCAAACCGATTCGAACAGGCAAGATGGCATCTCTCGGTGCACGCGACTGCTTAGTCCACGCAGAAGGGAGCGCATCTCGCTTCTCGTGAAGTGTGCGTGTGTGTGTTGAGGGGTTTGCTGATCGCCAACCCATTGAGGGCGAACACGATCCATGCAGAGAGAAGCATCTTATCTGGAATTGTACCTGAGGACGATGGGGTGAAGTGACTATTTAAATAGCAGCCCGGCAGAGATCTGCAATATACACAACACTGTAACATTTACGACTCGGTGTCATGGGCTCATTATCAGCCAATGGCGTCGTTCTACACCTCATTCTTGCAGATACGATAATCTTCCCCACCGGGGCTCAATTATAGTTCAGAAGGGCTTCAGGTTTATAAACCAAGCCCTGCAGCAGCGAACAGGATTACCGAGCCGATGGAGATCAATCCGTAAACCGGAACTTATGGCGTAGTCCAAAGGCCGCATGAAGACTGGTGGTTCTCCCTGATTGCAGATCTGGTGCGTCGATGTAATCATTTGAAGACTTTTGGATGCAGTAGTTTTGGGTGCCTCGTTATAAGGTCGACTGTACTATGAAAGGCGGCATGAAACACTCAGATTTACGGCCCATTGAGAAACTGCCATAATTCCCGAATGAATCTCTGGAGCATTGCTTACTACCCAGCACATAGTCGTCTTCGGTCTCGCGCGCAGACATTGACTGGCGCAAATGTGGGATACCATAACCACATTACCTACCTAGCGAACCCAACACCCCCCCCCCCATCAACAACGCAATAAACGATATCAAACATGCACTAGCAACCCTCGCTACGGTACGCCCACCCAACATCCAGTAAGACCATGTTAGCAAGGCCCGAATGCATCGGGCTGACACTGAAACGCTTGAGCCACCCCGTATTGTTGGGCTCTGTCAACTGACCAAATCTCGTCGAACAGTGTCGTGAACAGTAATTCATCTATTACAATCGCACTATCTAAGGGTCGAATGATGGCTCCGCTATGCAAAGCAATGCATGCCAAAAGGTTGTATCCACGGGGGTAATGATGTTAGGTATGATGAAGAAAAGGCCGCTCATTCCATCGTCGCCCAAGCTCAACAGCAACTACCCCAGCCCTGTGCTTTCCCCTTCTTACTCGCATCGTTCAAATTGACGCCTGCCCTATTCGCACCTCCCCCGCCCGGGCCTTTGACCCCGCTCCTCCGATCGTTCAAGTCGTACTTGCCCGCTTCTATGTTCTGGTATATCCGCTCCGCGACTTCCAGAAAGGCTCGTTCCACACCTTCGCCACTCTTGGCGCTCGTCTCAACGTACTGCATGACGCCATTTGCTTTACACCATTCCTCGGCTTCCTCCTTTGTGACTTGTCGCTTGTTCGCCGCCTCTGAGTCGGTGACGGTGGATGAGCCTGCCAGATCCGACTTGTTGCCTACCAATACCACGACGATACCCTCCTCTGCAATCTGGCGCAGGTCGTGCAGCCATGATGTAGCAGATAGGAATGTGTTCTTGCGCGAGATATCAAAGACAAGTAGGGCGCCTGAAGCACCTCGGAAGTAACTCCTTGTGATACTCTTGTACGTCTCTTGCCCCGCTGTATCCCAGAGCGAGAGCTTCATGTGCTTTTGTTCTTGTTTTTGCTTGGTCGGCGATACGGGCGCTTGTGCTTGTGGGGATTTGGAGGGATTGTTGATGCTGAGGGATAGCGAGGCTGGAGGGCCCACGGGGACGATGCGCGACCCAAACTCTACGCCGATGGTTACGTCGTGATGTGGTGAGAAGCGGCCTTCGCAGAGGCGCACTGTAAGCTATGAACAGTCAATATAGAGATGATACGAGGTAAGAAATGCTGTCGCATACACTTGATTTACCGCATCCCGAGTCACCCAGCGATACAATCTTCGCTATGTAATCCCATGGCTGAGCCATGTTGCGTGGGTTGAATTCCCTCTGGTGGCGCAAGCTTGGATGATGATTTACAGCAAATTCAGCACGTGTCCTCGGAGATGTTAGGGGATTCGAGGTTTATGCAGAGGGCAGTGGTTGGTAAGTTGTCTGTTTGTGTGTGTTTGGTGAGCACCAAGCTAGATGACGGTGACTTGTGTGAGGGTTCAACAATGCGGTCATAGCTCGGCAGTCGCTTGAGTCTCGAGCCAGAGTCTTAGGATGCGGGCAGCCGTCAAAAGCAAGAATCAATGAAGCTATCGCAAGCTCTGGCTGGCAGAGAAGGGGTTCATGTTCTTTTTCTCTGTGCCTAGTCTGTCTCTATCAAATTCACAGCTCGTGATGTGGTGCATCGTCTTGGCGTGCGCGGCTTTTAGTAAGTGAAGGCAACCATCAAAGGAGCGACAGTCAAAGCTATTAGCCCGGTCAAAGGCCCATATAAATTCAGCTTTAGCAACTTTAGCGACTGCGCGCAGCTCCAGGGGTGGAGCATCTGGTGAGCTAGAGCACTATAGCGCGTACTGCATGTTCACGAGGTACCGGCCCCGATATCGATAACCCGAGCCCGATGATTGATGAGCAACGCAGCGGACCTGCAACACAACTCCGACGCCACAAACCTCAGCACCTATACATGTCATAGCCACGCGCTGCTCTATTGATATCATCCTCCAGACGCTGCGACTGTCTTTTCCCAGTCTTCACTGCGACTGCCGCTCGCGTCGGGCTGCATGTCTCTTAGGACTGCGTCATCCGCGACTGCCTCTTGTACTTCGGTACCCTTGCACCCGACAGCCTCACAACCGCTGACCTCCAGCTTCTTTCACCAGAGGCATACACCACACTCGCGATAATTCTACCGGCGTGACGGCGGACGCTTGTATACTCTCCAGACGATCCATCGCTAGCTTTGCCTATCATGTTCTCCGAATGTAAGTAGCGCGCTGCCTTATCAGGTACATGTGACAGAGCCACCGCCTCTGTCATGGATAGCCTGCGGACTCGCGTGACTGACATGCGTGCCCTCAAGATGCATCCAAGTTCCTTTCACAGTCTCAGTCGCGACTGTCACTGGGTCAGCCCGAGTCGGTATCGAACCGCAACGCCCCCGAGAGGCAACGGCCTTCATCGCGAGCTGCCCAGGCCTACCAACAGCGTCGCAACAACATGCCGAACCCCTACAACTCGCAGGCCATGAGCCGCTTTGCATTTGCTTCTAGGACTTCGAATGCGCCAGCCCCATTATTCTACTCGGCCACGGATGACTTTCGCGAGGAAGACGACCATGTCGAGCATGACCGCGAAATGGCCGACCACTACGCACTGCAACGATCGCGGCGTCAGTTCGGTGCGAGCCACCTCTCAGAATCTTCCGAAGTTGAAGACGACCTCGCACAAGCTTCCGACCACACCATAGGAGCTGATAGGGACGAGAACGATGCGCCGGGCTATGGTTTGGGAAGAGGAATCAAGAGCTCATGGAGAGGCGACAAACCCGCACGCGGAAGATCAAACATGGTCACAAAGTCCGAAGACGAAGAGCGGGAGTCGAGCGTTCCACTTTCCGAGACTACGGATCGCAGCAGCAGAGGAAGGGGGCACATGGTGGATGTCGAGCTAGAGTCTACAGATCGGGGGAGCATAGAAGAGCTGGATCGGGATGAGCTGCTCGGACACCAGGACGAGCCGCCACCGCCATTCCAACAATTTCGTAACGCACGACCGAAGCGCGGCCGCAGTCCGCTACGACACCACCTGCCCATACCCGAAGAGACAGACGAAGACACGCTGTTATCGCATCCGCGTCCCATAAGTCCAGACCGCCAGAGCGTTCCCCAGGACGTCCCAGAAAATCCGGTATCGGCACCACGGCATAACTTCTTTTGGGCTGAGCTCTTCATAATCGTCCAGTGTGCCATCTTTGGCACATGGTTCATTTCTCTACTCCAGGAATCGCCACCGAACAAGAAGAACCCGTTGGGCGACACCATCTACACGGTGCTGCATTCATCATTCCATCTCATCGGGGTATATTCTTTGGTTTCTGTCCTTGTCGGAGTCTTGTGGCTATCGCTACTTCGGTCTTTTGCGCGACCCTTGGTCAATCTCATGCTGCTGGCGATACCAGTCATCTCCATTTCCTTCTTCTTCTACCCGTTTGTGTCGAGCTTCAAGGGGTCATGGCATGGCGACAGCGTGCAAGATCGGCTGATGCGCTGGTTCTCATTTGGACCACTATGTTTTGCGTTTTTCTGGGTATACACAGTCTGGAAGGCACGACACTCATTAGACAAAGCCACAGGAATGCTCGAATTCTCAAGCGAAATTCTTAGAGCGCAGTTCCCACTCCTACTCGTGGGCATTGCGACATTGGCTGCTGTGATAATCTGGTCTTGGATCTGGATCTTGATGTTCACTCGCTTGTTTCTCGGGGGTCACTTCGCCAGCAACAAGTCGCGATGGATCATCGACACCAGCACGTGGTGGCTGGGCATGGCTTTCTTCCTCGACTACTTCTGGACCTTGTCCGTCATCGCAGGCGTACAACGCGCCACCACCGCCGCTACAGTATCTCAGTGGTACTTTCATCGCAATAGCGTGCCAGCCCCCGCTGCCAGCACCGTCGTCCAAGCCTCACTCAGTCACGCGACGTATACCATGGCCGGCACCATCTGCATGTCAACCCTCATTTCCCTCCTGGTCCGCCTGCCGCTCATCGTCCTGCCGAGACGCCTCGCGGGCATGATTGGCATGTGCGCATACTCCATCGTACCGACGCCCATCGCCGCTCTAACGAACCCACTCACTCTAACCTTTGCCTCGATCCACGGCGTCCCCCTCAATCAAGCCGCACGCGGCCTCTCACAAATGAACTTCATCTCCGCCGCCTCACCCACCACAACTCTCGGCCCCAGCTCCTTCAAAAACCACGGTCGACCCTCCATCCAATCATACCGTCTCGCCAAACTGCTTCTTCACGCAATCCGCTGGGTCATCACCCTCTCCCTCGGTTTCGGCGGTTGGGTTTCCACCGCCCGTATGCTCCAGCTCGGCAACGAAAGCGTGCCATACAAGGGTAGTTTGTACGCCTACGTCGTGGGACTCATCAGCGCAGCCATTGGTTGGGGTGCCCTCGGTGCCATGGAGGGTGTTCTAGGCGGTATCCTCGATGCGGTGCTTGTCTGCTGGGGAAGCGAAGTGGGCAGAGATGGTCAGGGCGAAGCGAGATATTGTGTTGATGCTGGCCGGTTGTTTGGAAATGAAGTCACGGGTCAAGGGAGGGGGAGGTATGAAGTTTAAGATGTGGGCATTTCCTGGGCGTTTTTTTTTTTCGATTAATGGGGTGTGCGGGTAGGATATGGGATAAGGAAATGGATGGAACGTCGTGTTGGGTGTACGTGTGTGCTGCTGCTGCTGCTGTTGTTGTTGGGGCGCTTGGGTATACCTATTCATTCTTCTTCTTCTTCTTCTTCTTCTTCTTCTCTACAGATATTGATATAGGTGGGGACTACGGTGGGGGTGTAGAGACCGTCATGAATAAGCAGCGCGAGGTCGTATAACTCTATTGCACCCCTTTTTTCAAACACTGTCAGACACGAAGACTTGTGGTCGGCGCGTTGTCAGCAGGCAACATTGCCTTGTCGCATGAGTAAGACACATAACATAGCCCAAGGTTTATATGTTTATATCCATAATTTTCCCATTCCCAACTCCCACTGCTCACTTACTTCCATTCCAAAGCTTGTCTCCCCAAACGGAGAGGATGTGTAGTCCAAAACTTTATTCTCGCAACTTTTGTCATGGCATGATAAGAAGGATAAATGACAAATACACCGCAACCACCCACCCACCCGACTCATCAGTCCTATTCCAATTACGCCCTTATGATTCAGTCAACTCTTTTTTTAGACTTTCCCTTTGCATATAACTGACTAAACGAAGCGGTTAATTGAACTGAATGGAATGGATTGACAGTGGTCCGCCTGAATCAATGAATCCTCTCATCTATTTGCGTTTGCGAACTGCGAGGTTTGCCTGAATCGATATTCTTCCTCCCTTTCTGGAAGCCTTAAAACTCAGCCTCAGCTACAGGATTCTTGCTTGGCTTGCTTGGCGGTTTCATGCGTTCAGTTGGGGAGGATGGAATTGGTACTGGGTACATGTTCCCATTCCCTATTTCCGTGTTCGTTTATGCTTCGCTTCACTTGGGTTGAAATGAACGGAGAGTCAATGCACCGCGGTAGTTGAGGTACGCATAATGTTGAGGTTTTCCCTCTCATTTTAATTGAATAGTGGCGTTGTTGCGTTACGTTTTGTTCCAACGGGTGGTTCGTTCGCGTAGATTTTTCAACTTTAGGTTCTAGGCACAGCCGCTGCCGCTGTAACGTTACAAGCGTAGGTATACATCATGTCAAGATTGATTAACTCGTACGTTTACAAAAGCTACACTGTATGGTTCATGCTTGTACATCCATGGTCTCGAATAGATGATGAGGGCTTTGCTTGTAAGACATCTAGGACCAGAGTAGGGACCCGAGTTATGGAAGCCCGGAATACTTACCCAATCGCAAAAGACACGTGATGTGTGCAGGCTTACTACGTCGTACAACTGCCGAATGATGGATTTGAATGTGGATATGGGCTCACATGTAAGCCCACTTGATTACAGGTATACTGTTTTACGTGTAAATAGGGTTTATGAACGCGTGTTGCAGTCGAAGGGTCACCCTATCTCTTCAGCGTATCGTAACGTAATCTTTGGTGTTTCTGATCACTGAACCGTGGAGTAGTAGCGTTGCAGCTCCAAATGTCCAACCGATACGAGGTTCTTCTTAAGTGTTAGTACAGTCGGCGGCTTAGTAACCCTCACAAACAATGCGCGCCTTGTTAGGAGAGACAGACAACCCCTGACATAGAGTGAACACGAAAGTACGGTTCCACCGTAACAATATGTAAGCCTCGTACATATACCTAGGAGCAACATAGACCTCTACAAGGGAGATGCATGAACCCAAGGAGGGTTGTCAACATTTCGAAGGTCCGTTGGAAAGTCGAGCATGGATAACCGATGGAGTGAGAGTGCCGGGCCCAACAACGACCCCTGCTGGTTTAGCGGCGAATAATCCAAAGAGCCATTCAATCAAACCTACCATCCACAAATCATCAGCCCTACCCACCGTGCCGGTAACGTCTTTTTTCCTAGCGCTTCTCACCAACTGCCACGTGCAAACTTGCTTGCCCTTCCTGTCTTCCTGCCTACTTGATCAGGCAACGACGATACCAGTACCACAGTCACCCTCATGTGTGGATGTGTTTATGGATGTGTCTCCGGCCCGTTTTCACACCAGTGCTTCAGGAACGTGCTCTTCTCGCGCTCCCGTGCCCAAAGTGGGCTCCTTTACGAAGGGGGGTATTATCACGTGCTGGCGCCCAGCGCAAGAAAAGGCCATATGCTCGGAAAGAAGGGTAATCTGTCTCTCCGCCGAGTTTGTAAGAGATGACGTTGTTGGCAAAAGACCAGCTGACTTGTTGTCGCAATCTTTCGACAGGAAACGCGGTCCTATATGGGATTGGTCGATGGTGGCTTGCTGATTTGCTCCATGGGTCTGGCATGTCTGCATCTCCTGCATGTCTGACGTGACGAGTCTTGGTATGGCCAATCCATCCGCCAGTACCAATCGGAGATGGCATTTTTGGTTTTCTTGCAAATGCAAAGAAAGGCTGGCGAGAGCGTTCCTGCACTGTAGGCTGGCGTTGTTCGGCTACGGCACGATCCTCTGGGCTTAATTTACGGCCGACGGAGGCGTAGACAGGCCGGTTGTGACGGCAATCAGAGGTCAGACCATGTCCCATGTTCGGTGAGGGCTGCTGCTCCCTGGATAACGGATGAAGGGGCCATGTTGTGTGTTAGCAGCATTGCGTATGCGCTGGAACCCAAGGACAAGTCCCGCAGGGCTTTGGGGTAGGTATCCTGTCTCATGCACCTTGACATCATGCTTTCCCGATGCGTGCACCAGCATGCTTAACGAGCAACAGTACCAACGGGACCCTGCGAGGCAGCGACTATGCCCGAGTCAGGTGTTTTGCTCGTAAAAAGAAGGCTAACTTTGGCTCACTCAGCGCGCAGGACTAACTACCCTGGACTGGAAAAGGCTCTTTTCCATCGTGAAGAAGCTCGGGCTGCTTGCTGCTGGCGGCTGTCGGGTCGCTGGCGGGGGCTGAGCTTGTTACGGCCTGCCTCATTATTCGCGGCCGCGGTGAGATTGCGACGATAGTGAGTTGGTTCAAATGGACGGGTGTGCGCGGGGGCCCAAGTTGGGGAAATTATATATATATTTAAGACCCTGGATGCTTATCATCGGTACCTCTTCTCACTCTGCCAGAAAAGATTTTCGTGTTGTCTCTCGTGTGTGTTGTTGTTGTCTTGTATTGTCTTGTTTCGAAACAAAAAGGTGCAACTACCTCCTCCTTCCTCATTTGATGCCTGCAACTGCCTCCTTCTCCCCAAATCAAGACCAACGACTCAATTGACCGCCGACGCTCCTTCCTCCCATTGCGATCGGCTTGGCTGTTACAGCTTTTATTCTGCTTCCGAATACATAAGACGTTGGCTTCACGCTCCTCTCCTTTCGACCGTCGACATACCCTCGCCCTTCCTCGGCTCCATCGATCCGCCCGCTCAATCCGGTTGACTACGCAAAAATGAAGGACTGCCCGACTTGTAAAGGCAACGGCACCACAAAGTGCGACGTCTGCAACGGCAAAGGCAAAGACTGTCAATCCTGCAAACGAACCGGCAGCAACAAATGCACAATCTGCGATGGCACAGGAGCCATTCACTCGGAACACTGAGTCGAATTTGGCGACCGGCGACGACGCGCTGGGACCCCAGAGAGAGTCAGAGGTACGTATTCGGTACTTGCCCTGCACCCCCAGCAGGAAAATCCCAGCCTGCACAGCCACAGCAAACCTAGCCTACCCTATCCCTATACGAAGAAAACCAACATCTATATCAGGCCACGAGCCGACTGCATCCGAAGCACGACCGAGGCGATTCCCAAACTGACAAGTCCGCAGATCGTCATGTCAATCATCGTACGGCCAACCCCAACCCCAACCCAACCCTTTCACTTCGATTTCTTATTAGCGGATTATTAGTCACGGTTCACTGTCACAAAAAAATTACACCACACACCCTCGTCTTGTTCTGTATCGTTCGCGCGGGAACGCAAACATGGAAACAAGAATACAACCCTGCTCACGGATGGTCGCGTGAGGGGTAGTAGCGAATAGCGAAAAGAACCCCAAAAAAACGAGGAGGAGATTTTGAGATGTTGCTGCTTTGTTGTGTTCTCCGTGGCGAAAGAACGAACAGGCTTCGTTTTGCGCCACCAGACAAGCAGTCCGCGGCACGGCAAAAGAAACATCAACCCGCTAGTTTGTGCGTGTGTGGTTTGCATGAGATTATACCCCCAAGAAGGCAATTTCCGATTTGTTCCCGCCTGTGTTTCACATGTCGTTTTTTTTCTCTCTTGCTCTTCCCGTCCCTTTTCTGAGCTGGCGTTTAGCGTTTGGGGTCGGCTTTATTTCATTGGGTTTGCAAGGGGTGCGAGGGGGGCCTTTGCGCAGGAATGACGGGTGGATTTTTGGTTTTAGTGGCTGCAACTGAAATTCGTGGGTTTAGTGGTTTTGAGGGGTACGGGGGGTTGCTGTGGTTTGAGACGCTGCTGGGTGACGTTTGAGTGAGAGGGGGAAGGGAAGATCTGTGTGGCGGGTGTCAAGTTGTGCCTGGCTTGGCTTGGGCCTTGGGCTTGGGCTTAGCTTAGTCCGACCGCTTCTCGATGTCATCGACGCGCCTGCCGATTTGCTCACTACTATAGTCTTGTAATCTTAGCTTTTCAAAGGGATATGGACATGTTAGACTTTTCCGCGGATGAAATCGGAATGTTCGTTCTTTCACACGTCATTTTTACTTAATTTCGGACGTGTGACTTGACAGTATAGGTTCTTTGGTACAAGCAGGAGCCTGCATGCTCACTTTGAGGCGGCTGGAATCGACGCAGTTGTGGTGGAAATAGAATGGCCTGCATGCTTAATCGCGAGATCTCGATAAGTCTAGATCTCAATGGTGACATCTTGATAAATATAGATATAGATCTTCGTAGTGACATTCTCATCGTAATTAAAGCCAAGCTTGAAATCCACCATCAGCCTTGGAACTTTGAAGCCTTGCATTCAACACGTGATATCAATCACGTAATACGTAATGAATTGTGAGACACAAATCCAGATGAAAGAATTGAGAAGCACACTAGCAACCGCTCTAAGATGCTGAAGCCTCAGCAACTACGTGCAGTTTTTCATCTTACTCATGCCAGGACGAAACCTTCCTGTGCTGTCGCCGTCCCCTGAAATACATTTTGGCATGTGGGATATTCCAATTAGGAACACGGCTTCGATTCGCGAAATTTGATCAGTTGAAGCTTACAAATAAAGCTACAACTAAAGCCTAGCCTTGACAACCGCCCTCTCCAGCGCCGGTCCATCCCAGATATCGCGTTCAACAGCGCGAGTATTGATATACTGCATACCCAACTGATCGACCCTCTCGACGCCAAGAAGACGCATACAGGTTTCCGTTTCCGCTTTAAGAACTGTTGTGCAACATGTTAGCTATCAACTCCCCATCATCACTCACCCACCAGATCAAAAGAAATCAAAGAATAAACTTACTCTCAAGCACCCTCGCCACCCCTTCCTTCCCACCAGCACCCAACCCAAATAGCGCCGCTCTACCCACACCCACACCCCTCGCCCCCAAACAAAGTGCCTTGACAACATCTGTACCGCGCTTGATTCCACCATCAACCCACACCTCGACGCGATCAAAGACTTCGGGACAATACTTGCGTATCTCCAGCAGTGTATGTACAGCGGGTGGAGCGGTATCCAGCGCCCTTCCCCCGTGGTTCGACAGGATAATCGCCTTAACATGCGGAGCGTGCAGCGAAGCCAGATAAGCATCTTCATGTGTTTGAATGCCCTTGAGGACAATAGGGAGATGAGTGTGTTCGCGGAGCCAGGGGAGAGTTGTACGCCAAGTTAAATCCGCGGCTGTGCCCCAGAAGAGGGATTGGCCTACACCCATTGATTTCGGTTTCGGCTTCCCGTTTACATCTGCGTCTGAGGATGGTGTCTGTGCCGACATGCTAGTTTTACTAACCGATTGCGATTCTTGCACCGCGGCGCGGACGGGTAAGTTAGACCCGATATTCTTACTGCGTTCGTCGTGTTCGCGTTTCCCCGGCACCGGCGCATCAAGCGTGAGACAGATGAATTTTATACACTCTAATTTATTCATGCGGGCGAGCATGGCTTCGCTTTTAGCCCGCTCGTTTTGCACGTAGAGTTGCCAGCCAAACACCTGGCCCGGGGTAGCGTCTGCGACGATTTGCTCGGGCGTCATGGATGCGTTTTGCGAGATTATTTGCATGGCGCCGTATTGGGAGCACGCTTGTGCGATGCCCCATTCGCCGTCGGCGTTGGCGAGTCGCGCCATGGCGGCTGGCGAGACGTAGATGGGGAGCTTGACTGGGTGGCTGAGGAAGGTGGTTGAGGTGTCGCAGCGGGTGCAGTCGACGAAGACACGGGGCCGGAGGAGGATGGTGCGGTATACGCTGTTGTTGAAGGATTTACTTTGGAGGTCGTCGCTCGCGGAGAAGTAGTATGCCCATGCTTTGTACGGTATTTGCTTTGTAGCGACTTGTTCAATCTCGTCAATGTTTAGTATGCTGTCCAGGTCCACGGGCCCTTCATCTTGTGTCTCGCCCGTCTCTTGTGGTGTCTTCTCATCTTTTGGTAGGGTATCTGGGTTTATGGTACCAAGCTTGTCCGACGCTTCGAGGTTTTCTTCGAGAATGCCCGGAGGGTGGATGGGATCGTATTCTTCGGTCGCATCGGTGCCGGCGAGTTGGAGGATGACTTTCGAACCACCAGGGTGCTTGGGCAGGAAGCGCGTGACATCGTAGACATTTCCGTAGAGAACTACCCAGCAGCTTTCTGCAGTATTGTGCTGCGCGACTGTTCCATCAAGTTAGCCAGTGGGAAAGTGAGGTTTGGAGTAGCCGGCGGTGACAGACCCTCGGCATAATCGAAGACCTTGGCCATTATTGCTTTTCGCTCAATCAAAGTCAATGCTAGATAGATTGCGCTGGTATCTCAAAATACAAAGGAAGAAACACGCGACGAAAGCTATACAAAAGTTGTGAGAAGAGCGCAAAAGCAAAGGGCCACGGAATTAATCCAGACGAACGAGCAAATGCCGACGTCTTGTAGCCAACTCCACCTGTGGGGAACCAGAGCTCGGGGTAGTGCCACCCCGAGTCGGGCAAGCCGGCCCGCATTTCTTCTTCTGCGGAGGTAAGCTGGATACACAGTTCATTGATTGGTGGATTCCCTTCACCTTAGCAAACATCGCTACTGTCTTGGAGAGCGTCTAGCTTTGGTCTGTGTACCTTGGATAATGACCATGATGATGCTGGGCTGGTCCAGGCGCAAACGCCGCGGCATCTGAACATCTAGCTAACAGTCTAGCACAGCTAGGAACCACACAAACACAACGCACATATAAAGGTGAGTACAAGTACATTCATTACAAAGCATGAAGCTATGGATATCGTTGATCAATTCACAAACCAGAGCGAAGCGACACTACATCTCACGTCCCCAAACGACCCCGTCTCACAGACTTCAACTGCGAAGTTATGCCCTCACTCTTTGCCCTACGTTCGCGCCACAACTCCCTCGCTCCTTTCCTCTTCCAGCTTTCCGAAGGGAGGAAGTTCTCCTCATCCTCTTTCGCCTTGGAGTCCTTTTCATCGCCCTTCTCATCCTCGTCATCACTATCATTAGTTGTCGACGCAATAACCAGCTCCTCAAGTTCCTTATGAATATCCCACGGACAAACGCGTTTCGATTTATTTGCGCCCGGCCAAGTTTTCAGGGCCGCTGGATCGGAAAGCGAACGTGCCAAAGACGGCCTGATGAGTTTCCCGCTTCGACCTGCTGCCCGGCGTCGATGCACAATCATTTTCGGGCGTGCGAGAAACTGCTCCCGGTCTGAATCATCTAGAATTTAAGACGTCAATGTGATATCCAAATCTGGATTATCAGGACGATTCAAGAGGGCAAAAGGCGTTGGAATGTTCAGGGGCGCGGCGTGCAAGATGCTCACCAACCCTCAACCTGAAGATCCGGCCAGCCATGCTCTAGCTCGCCTTCATTGACAATTTCATCGCCCCAATCCATCTTCTCGAGCTCGTTCCGGAAAAAGTCTTGCTCTTCTTCTAGCACACCAGGCTTAGCGCCTAGGCTCTCTGGGTACCGCTTAAGATTATGCCAATGTGTGAGAGAACGTAGGGCCTGTTCGAGCGGTACGCTTTCGTCGACTTCGGCGTCCACGTCGCTTCCAGCTAGCCAGTCATCTCGAAGCTCTGGTCTACAATGTAGATATACTGCAGTAATGACGCGCATATTGGACTGTCGCCATTTGCGACCACAGTATGGAACTTGATTCTTGAAGAGCTTGAGCGTATATAAGCGTAACTCTGGCTGCGGCACCTTTAGGCCCTTGCGGAGGAATTGCGAAGACTTGTATGAGACCAGCATGAGATTCCGATGCGCTTTGTTCTTACAGATCTTTTGCATGATGCGCAGGTAGTTGATGGACGTGAAGAAAGCCCGCCATGAAAAGTTGGTGATTGGCTCCTTTGGCAATTCATTGGTAGGAAAGCCAAGTTCGTCCACTTCTGGAGGCTGGAGCTGAGCTGGTGGCAGGGCCGGCTCAACGCCTGAATCGGTCGAGTCTTGTCTTGAAAGACGAATTGGAGGTGGAGCTGCATCGTCTTCTTCTGATTCGCCGTCCTGCTTTTCTCCGTCTTGCTGGTCGGCATTGTCCTCTTCAGACGCATTCCTCGAGTGTGTTCGGCAAAAGTTGAAGAAGTTGAGTTCTTCCTGTTCGCTCCTAAAGTTGACAATCTTCTCAACCTCTTGTAGCTGCAGTAGCTTCAAGATCAACGGAACATAGCTTGAGTCTACAAGCAGCTGTGTGATGTACTCAAACTTTAGGATATGCGACGCCTTGAACCACTTCAAGATCAATATCAAGGTGCCAGTGACTGCTTTATCCAAAACTTCTTGCGTTCGCATCGCATCCAGCTCCTCGTTCGTAGCTACGGTGGTGTGACCATTGAAACCGTTCATATCGGGCCGTCCAGCTGCCGTACCATTCTGGTCTTGAAATTGGAACCCACTCTGAAGGCCATTCGCTCCACTAGATTGCGTGACGAGTGCTGTGACATGCGCAAGGATTGCCTTGATGAGGACAATGATCAGTGACTGTAGATTCGGCAGCGCGACACGGTAAAACTCTTCGACGAAGCCCAACCGCTCCTCAGGGCTTCCAGGAGGAGGCGGTTGCTTCTTCGGCTCATCTTTTGGTTCGAGCGACAGTTCCTCTATATCACGATGTTCATCTGGACCTGTCCAGCCTCGCTCATACTTCATAAACGCTACACGCTCCTCCCATAGTTGCTTCATTGCGCGTGTAGCTTTCATGCGCTTCGCAAAGAGTTCTGCTGCCTCGAGAATTGAGGCGGGTATATCCGAGCCTTCCCATTTGCGTCCTACAAGCAAATCCTGCAGGTCAGTCGAGCCTTTACCGCCCAAATTATTGCTAGACTCGTCGAGCGGAGGATACAAGAACGGAAACATCTGATTCGTTTGATAATTCTGTTTCTTTCCGCCTTTGCCACCAGGGCCTGCAGGCGAAGGAGGAGGGGAAGGCGCTGGGGTCGCAATGTGAACTGGCTGGTGGAGGATAGATGTGCTGTTGCCGTTTGATTCCCCAAGTCCGGAACCGAAAACATGATTGCCGGCGACTTTATTTGGATGATTCTTGAGGGGTGGTAGAATGGAGTTGTTCTCGGGTTCGAGAGGGAAGAGTGGGAGTGGAGGATTGTACGCTGGGTACTTTGAACTGATCTCCTGTCGGAACAGATGGTAATCGAGAGGCGAAGCAGTTATGAGCGGCTGTCCTTTGCTATCTTTCGAATCAAGACTATGATCCTGGAACGTTTCTTTTACTTTATCAACCTGCTGGAGGCCGCCAAAGGTAACCAATATCGTTTTCCATAGTAGTAGAGAGATCTTACTCAAGGGCAGACTGATCGTCTCGTCCCACCTAAGCTTTGCAATGAGATCCACAAAGAGCATAAGCAGACCTGGCTTGTCTAGACCAAGGATAGCGCCTCGGAGTTTGAGGCCCTTTCCCGTCTTTTCCTCATCACGCGCAACTTCGAGTAGGACGTAGACTGCCGTCATCGCACACCAAATCTCACGCCGCTCTGCCTCTCTTGAATCGCGCGGAGCCTCAGGAATGCTATCTATTCCGCACGACCTCAAAAGCGAAGAGGTGAGTACGTCGACGACTGGTTGTACGCCATTGTTATCAGCCAATAGGTGTACATTGCGCTTGATGAGCGATGCTTGTCTTCCCGACTTCTCATATGCAGTGCTACGTGCTGTGCCCGCACTCGAGTCTCGGTCTGAGGGTGTCTTGCCAGCCGTTGGTGATTCAGATAAACCAGCAGTCTCGTGCCAGCACCCGAGAAGGACATAGACCAAAGCTTCGAGCTTTTTAAGCCTCAATGCAGGATCCACCTCCTTCAGTCCTCCCAATAAGTGTACTACAAAGTCTCGGTGTTGTGATGTTGTCGCCGTGGCCCAGTCCAAACCGTCCTCGCCGTTTGAAGCGTCGTTTAGGCCATGGTATGCGCTCCACTCAAGGGCGTAAGACGCCTGTGTCTTTAGCAACATAGCCTGCTCTTCCACAGCGTATGAGAACCATTCCTCCAGCTCCTCCTCGAAGAATGAGGCGTCATCGTAGGTGAAGGCGTACGGGGTAGGCTCGACTTTGGGTATACCCCTCATGAAACTCTGTTGCTGCGCGAGCGAAAGCGAGTCATTCTGCGGAGTATCTGGAGGTGGCACTGGGGGTGCCGGAGGAGGAAGGTGAGGTGCAGGCGTAGGCACTGAATTGCCTCGTTGCAGCCCTGGACGTCCTGGTAATGTGAGGGGAGGTCCAGCTGCGGGTTGCGCCTCGCCTTGGTCGAGCAGCAGGCGCTGTTGTTCAGCAGTATCAAGAGGCAAATTAAGCTCCTCTTCCGGCTCTGCTTCGATGATGGGGAAATCAGCGCTCGAATTGCCAATCAGCTCGGCCTCGTCGACTATGGGAGGCACGAGGGGCTCGATGGGCACTTTGTGGTTCTCCATGGTAGTTCGCGCCGAGTGTTCGCGTGCAGGATTCAGCGGTGGAAAACGTGTTGCGCCCACCACATCTGGGGGCAAATTCACGTGCGGCTCATGGTAGTGGGCGGGTAGCGGAGGAACGCGTGTTCACAATTCGAAGTGTTGATCGCTGTGCGTCTGCAGGTGGGGTGGGATGCGCCGTCCGCTAAATGGATAGTCAGGGTTCCCGGCACCTGCTTGGCGGTACTAATGCCGACGACGAAGCTCCCTTGTATGCAGGGCCTTTTAAGACACCAACTCACGTGAACGACAGCAGACATGTGAGCAAGTCATCAGAAATGTCATATCATTGAAATAAGCCTTCCCTATATAGGAATGTATCGCCGACTCCGCAAAGACATGAGGAGCAAGCCTCCGTTAGCTACGTGTGCGAGGCTTAAATCCACATTGCGATCGCTACCGCCTAATGCAGACATTCATACAAAAGCCCATGCTAGCAGAGCGAGTGATACCTCCACTGTGTACGCCGATTCGAAACTAAAAAGTAGCCAACACTCAAAGTGTGGATTAGAAAAAAGGGAGGCCATGCGCCCGTAGAAAAGTACAATTGTCCCGCACATGAATAACAGAAACAGACTTCGTCGACATCGTTTCGAACGAACAAGTTCGGTAAATAGACGGAAACAGGAGACAAGAGGGTTACATGTTACTTGCACCCGTTTGCTCGCCGTTCTCTTGGCGCTCCTTGATCTCGTCCGGCATGATGCCATTGTTTTCACAGGCCCTCTTGTAGATCTGGCATTCGTCCCAAGCCCTCTGGCATTCAGCCTTGAACTTATCGCAGCTGGCACTGAGCTCGGTAATGGCTTGCTCGGTGAGAAGTTTCTCAAGCGTCCACTTTTCAATATTCTGTTGCTCATTCTCCTTAAGTTGAGTAATAAATTGTACGGCTCTTTGCAGAATGGAACCCTTGTTCTTCTCGCAGCCGGGGACGATCTTGGCCAATTCGTTGATTCCCTCGTTGATGGTCTCACGACGACGACGTTCAACTACAAGTGCATTAGCGAATGTAAACCACAATGCTCCCGTAAATGCCTACCTTCTTTGTGATTGTCCCTCCGGACCTTGTGCCACTCTTCTGTGCCAACCTGAGGCTTGTGGGTAGCGCTTTGTGGAGGGGAGTCGCTCGGTGCGCTTTGGCCTGGGCGGCCTGATGAGGTGACAGCTTTCAGAGCCTCGAGGCTGAAGTCTTGCATGGGCGTCTGTTGCTGACCATGGTCGCCCATGCCGAAAGAACCATCGCCAGAGTTTTGTGTTTGAAACTGTAGTTCAGTAGCTTGGGGTACCGTCATCTGATGGTAGGCTAGGGCGGCGGCAGCAGTGTCGCCAACACTCGCCGTGTTGGTTCCGCCATTGTGGTGTACGTCGAACTGCTGCTGCATGTCGTCGTCGGCCGCGTTGTGGGCGGCTAGAAACGAGGCCGTGGCCTGGTCGGTCAGGTCGTTGTTGGAGCTGTGGGGGGCGGGTCGATTGATGCCTTGGTCGCGGGTGTCTCGCTTTCGCTTATTGGTATGAATGTTGTTGTGAGCATCCAACTTGCCTTCGGTTGGATAGCCGGCAGTGTCAGCCATGGCTCGCGGGACAGGCGTGGGGCCGAGGAAGTGGGTTGGCGGCGTGAGGTGGGAACAGACGCGCTCGAAGCCTGAATCGCAGGCGCAAACCACCGAGGCGGGGGAGGTGCGGCGCTTTGCTCACGGGTTCACGCGCAAGCCAGTTGGGCAGGGTCGGGCTAGCAATTATGCGCTTGGAAGGAGGCGCATTCAAGAGTCTGGGTTCGACAAACATTAGCACGGGCGCGAGCAGGTGAGTGTGTGAAGGTGGTGCGACAAGAAGCCAGCCGGCCGACGATTGGGCGCGTCCATTTGCCGTTGCTGTGAGACGAAGCTGTCACTGCTCAAACGAGTGGCCATCGTATCGTGCAAGCCGATGCGTCGTAGAAAGCGTACAAGGGTGTTGTGCGTCGTTCCGTCGTGGATGCGCGTCTCCCTCCATTGCCGCTTCCTCGCAACACGGCCGCCAGCAGGCTCGCTCGATGCACTGGAGGCAGCCGCGACCACGGCACAGCAGGCGCGATTGTCGTCGGCGCATCGCACCCAAAAGTCCGGCGGCAGCAAGCTTGGAGTCTTGCACCCGCAGTTGGCCCACGTCGACGACGGCTGGTACGGGCCATTCGGGGTTTGGGTGAGGATTATCGTACCTTTGAGGATTGATGTTCCCGGCTACTACACCAGAGTGGTCCCGGAACACGTGAATGATGGTCGTTATTCGTCGCGAGAATATCGTCGTCGACAAAAAGTGCTCGCGCTTGCGGGAAGCAGAAAGAAAAAGAAAGTCTCTTACCGTGATATCTCAGACTTGCAAAGCGCTTCAGGCAGGACTATCAGCGCAGTTGAGTGATCACCGTGAATCACGAGTGCGAGGAGGTCACATGGTGACGAGGTGCAGGGCGGCGGCGCTATATGAGAGAAGGCCACCATTAGATCCGAACGGAAACTTGGCGTAACCGCGCCAGGGTTGCGGCCAATCACCGCCGCCCTCGACGCCATGCCACCTTCCCCACTCCCAGCCTGCCGTCTCCAGCAACACCAGAGCACAGTGTGCTCGTCAGTCTCAGTGGGCCAGATAACACATGCCCCTATACTGCTTTGAAACACTCTACATGAATGCACTAGGCATGTTTGACCATGTTCACTGAGAGGCCAAATCAAGACGCCTTCAAACTTCGCTCCGCCGCCACCTACCCATCCGCCATCACGCCAGCCTCACTGCAATGACATGGTACGGATGACACCCCTCTAAACTACCTAGGCTCAGCCGACACCTCCAATACGCATTCACATGGCTCTAGCAGAGACAAAGGTGTCGCATGTGACACGCTGCCTGGGCTTGCCCCCACACATTCTCAGGCTATAGCGACTACGCTTTACCCTTTTGGTGATTTGCCTGGTCATCCAATACACGACGCTTTGGACATGGTTCTTGAAAGAAGTGGGTTTCGTATCGACAGGATGTTTAGAAGTCTTATCCATCTTTACTGTTATTCGTTATTCTTGAGATGATGAAGATATATGGCTCTTCTATAATTGAAGTTGGAGGAACGGGGGCCATCAGGCAATTTATAAGGCATCCATCTCCCATCACTTCCAAGCCGATAATCCCGCATCTCCCGATTATAAACAAGGTCAACTCCCCCGTTTGATTCCAGTCTTCTCCCATGCTCGTACCTGCACTGCCTACCAGGCCTACGTACACTCCACTCGAAGCACTCCGCGGAGTACATGCATTCCGCAGAACGGCTCCCCATCCATTCTACAAACCGAAAAAGTGGTAGGGGTTTTCAACCATCATCTTTGTCCCGGATTGGTAGGTTACATCGCTTCTCGAAACTCGAAACTAAGCAAGCAAGCACCCTTCTCGTCTTCTGACCTCAAAGTCACCCCTACTGTGCTAGCATAGTGTGTGTGTGCCCTTCTGCAACAAGACCAATATAGTCAGTTAGTAGTATGAAGCAGTGTACGATCCAAGGGGTGTAGGGAGATCAAGGACGATTTCTGTAGATTACTCATGTCAAAGTCTACAGTCCTCGTGCAGTGCATGGGTATACGCGTATTGTAGATGTCAATCAATGTCACGTGTTTCACACGGATCATGAGTCAAGAACACTCTTCAAATTCATAGGAAAATATATTGATCAGGGGGAGACTCGATTTAAGGTTGAGTCGCACAAGATAATACCATGGTCATGTGTGTATGCTTCAGAACATAACAACATACAATGTTATCCTTGACAGCCTTCTCCACTTCCCAGTTCTCTAATTCATTCTACTCTACCCATCTACCCACGTCTACCCAAACTCACATAACAGTCACAGGCTCCTTCTCAAACTCCATAGTATTAATAATACTGCCAATCCCCTCGACCTCCACCTCTACCACATCGCCATCCTTGAGGAAGCCCTGCGGTTCCATGAAAATGCCCACACCAGAAGGCGTACCGGTAAGAATGCACGTCCCAGCCCTATTCACACACCAATTAGCAAAAACTTCCCGACATCACATCAACACAGAACAGAAGAAGAAGAAAATGCCCACTCACTTAAGCGTCGTTCCCCTACTCAAATGCTCCACCACCTCCCCCACCCCAAAAATCATATCATCACACCCCCCATCCTGCCTCACCTCCCCGTTAACACTCGTCTTAATCCTCAATCCCTGCACCCCACCCAACTCCTTCTCCACCACCTCAGGCGCCACAACACACGGCCCCAACGGCGCAAACCCATCGAAGCTCTTTGCATATCCAAACTGTCCCCCGGACACACTCATCGGCATCTGGAAGTTACGAGCCGACACGTCGTTTGAGATTGTGTAACCGAGTAAGACGGATCTGTATGACGAGGCAGGTACGTTTTTGCAGTCGCGGGAGATGATCAAAGTGAGCTCGCCTTCGTAGTCTAGTTGGGTGGTGCAGGTGGGGTGGATGGGGATGGGGGAGGTGGGGTGGGTTAGGGCGGTTGTGGGTTTTGTGAAGATTGCTGGGTTGGTGGGGATTTGGAGCTGGTGGGTGTGTGTTAGATGGGGTGTGTGGATGGAAGAGGATGAAGTGGATGGGATGGGGACGTACATTACACTCCTCGGCGTGTTTACGGTAGTTTAGTCCTACGCAGAGGATTATGGGTGATTCGGGGATAGGGGATAGAAGCTATGTTCATTGTCATTAGTATCAGTATAAGTTTTATCCTCTCTCTTCTATCCACTCTCCACACACTCCCCCTCCCACCACATAACCCTAAATATAACAGAAACAGAAAACAACCATACCTTCCCGACCTTTGCCCTCCCCCCACCTTTCTTAAACCCACTCTTAACATCACCCTCCAACACATCAACTTCCCTCCCTTCGATCTCCTTCGTCGGCACCGCTTTCCCCAAGTCACCGTATTTGATCTCTCCGTCTGGAGTTTCGAAGCGGATTAGACGCTCAAAAGGGGATGATGCCATTGTTGCTGGAGACGACGTCGAATACTTAGACCTTGATTTTGGAAAGAACGGACAAGTGGGCTTGAATGTAGATGTAGGGGTACTTGTGTCGATGGATCTGTAGGTACGATATGCAACACGAGAAGGGATAGACCAAGAAGATTGAAGACAGAGACTCTTCACTACCGGGCGGATGAACATTCAAGGACGTATTTATAAAGAGAAACCACGGGAGAGGAGAAAAAGGACGGGGATTAACTAGAGATGTGATTCCTAAACTTCCGGTATCGGGTTGTGGAGTACATGGCCATTAGTGCAAATTGCCCCACGTACGGCCTGGCCGCGGGGTAACGAACTTCGGCATGTAAGATGTTGTTAATTCCGTTAACCACAGAGGCAAGATAGAGTACGAGTTCTCACGGGACCACGCGTTTTGGTGTGTTTAAAAGCGAGACCCAAAAGGACCTTTTCTCTTCAACAGCGTAGGGCGGTGGGTATGACATTACCCACTCATTACCACATCTCCATTCTGTCCCCCACTTGCCAGTCCACCAGACCCAGCCCCAGGATCAAGTCTTCCCAGACAACCAGGGCAATTATGCAATACCATGTGCGCAAACATGTCGCAATCGATACAAAAATGACTCTCGCATGCCCTACACTCATACCGCCCACTCTCACTAGCTTTCTGCTCCTCGCTGTCTTCCTCATCCCGCTTCGTGCCATTGACCTCGCCGTTCTGCTCCGCTGTGCTCCTTTCCTTGTCGCTGGTCGGCGGCTTGCTGAAGGAAGAGAGACAGCCCACGCATTCTTTGCTTCCCTTTTCGCGGGCGCGCGACCACGAGACGGTGGCCCAGTTGCGGAGGGGGAAGAGATGGTGGTATGAGCGTGCGAGATGCGTAGACAGGAGAAGGGTGAGTTGGCAAGAAGGACATGTGATGGGTAAAGAGCAGACTTTTGCGCTACATCGTGAGCACGTATAGCCGCCCATTGTGAGGTTTCCATGACATGCACACATGGTTAGTTGATCTTCGACTACGCGTGATGGGAAGCCCATCATCATGAGTGCAGCAGCAGATTCGGGTGACGGCGCTGCTGTAGTTGTAGCAACAGGGGCAGATTGTCGGATTACGGGTGGTGTCGTGGTTGCTAACAGCAGCTCCTTCAGCATCTCCTGGTCGGTGGCGATTGTGTATTCTGATTCATCGCCCGCGTTTGTTCGTGTGACGATTTCCGTGCATATCTTTAGACGTGCGCTCATGCCAATTACGCTCACGCGTATCCGGTCTCGCACACATGCCTTGACCGTCTGATGTATATCCCCAGGATCCAGACTCAACAAGCTGCCAAATACTACAATGACCTCTCGTGTGCCGTGACTAGGCGTGTGGTATAATGTTGCTCGTGCCAGCTCCAGCGCATTCTGCAAACTGGGCGCGCCCTTGGGCTCTTTGCCATCGTCCTTGCTCCGTATGCCTTGTATCGCAGCGACGTGTTCGGCTGGATTCCCCGACAGCTCTGAGACGCGTATGCAGACGCCGTCGTGCATGCCCAAGACGCTCATTTGCGATATAGGGTTCTGCTCGAAGAATTCGCGGACATATTCCTGGGTGAAGTTGATCATGGTGATAAAGCGGTTCGGTCGCATATCCTTCTCCAGCATCGCCTCGGAGAGATCGAGCACCAATACGACGTGACGTATAATGCCTCGTTGAAAGGGCTTTGTGTCCTTGCGCAAACGCTTGCGCTTCCTCTCTTCTTCCCGCTCCTGTACGCTCTGTCCCAGCGTGTCATCCTCGGCCGTTTGTATCGTCTTCGCTACCGTTCGTGAGTCTTCCGTCTCCCAGGCTTGCCGCCTGGGTGCTTCTTTGACTGGAACCTCCACTTTCCGCCTTTTGCTAGCTGTGGTAGATTGCGCGCGGGTACTGGAAGTCCCGCTCTTGTTCCCGACGTACTCATCATCAGATCCCTCATCCTCAAAGTCGTAGTCTGAGTCGGCCATTGCTCGCGTGTAGCTTTGAGCCCACTAGCAATGTGTCGTGACGCACGTAGTCTCCGCAAATGTAGAAGGCTATTATATTCGCTAGTAAATCGGGATCGATTTGGACGAGGTCTGGTCTAGGAGTGGGTACCTGCGTTCGTGCGTCCAAGTAGCAGGCGTTGAGGGCTGGGAGGGAGGCGAGGTCAAGGTGATTTTGTAAGCATTCATATGTGAGGTGCGAAAGAAAAAGGTACGACGTGAAGAGCTAGGACCATGCTTTTCATTGTCGCTGCAGCGCGATCGGAAGTGAATGTCGGAAGATTTGGTGGGCTCAATCAATAATGTTCATCTGGGCACAATGGACCTTTAGTTTCACGTGCTTAGGCGGGAGCGTGTCCCGCAACCTCGACGCGCTCTCACGTTTTGCACATGGACAAGTTCAAATTCAGAAGTGATATGCATTAGCAAAACATTAATTGTATCGTAGCACAAGCCGGCATGACGCATTAACTGCGTCCAAAGAGCTCCAATGGTATACGCTATGCCTGAAAAGCCATCATAAAAACATTACGCCGTCGGCTTACAGCCTAAACACTTTCCCACCCCTCTAATTATACGCGCCAGAGCCAGCTACAGTTGGCATTGGCCAGTCGTCTTCGGTGATGCTCGACCAGAATACCCAGATCATGGATACTGATAGTAATGTAAAGAGGGTTGAGAATAGTCCTCCGTTGATTTTGCCATCGGTGCCAGTGCAAATGTGGACGCTGATTACATATTGGAAGATTTGGCCAATAGCGAACAGAATCGCTGCGACGAGGAGGTATACTGAGAGTTGATGTTAGTGTGTACAAAGGGTGTAGAAAGGAACAAGACTTACGCATTGGTTTGCGCTCGCCAAGGATGCGAAGCACCAGGAAGGCTTCCAGAAGGAAGAAGATAACAATGAAGAGCAGCGGGATGAGCTGGTAGAGAGTATATAGCGCATAGGCCTGGTTTGGTAGGGAACGACTGGTGCCCCAGAAGTTTGTCCATTCCAGCCCAGTGTCAAGGGCGATGTAGCCGGTACCGACGAAGATGATGGCCGACGAGCCTAGAAGGAGACCGACGGACACTGCAGTGCCGTCGTCGAGTAGTTGGTAGCCTACGGCGCCATTGAGCATGAGCATCCATGAGGTAGCAGTGATGGCAGCAATGTGGATCGCAACGAATACCTGGACTGGGTTAGGCTTGACTTTGTGAGATATATATAGACACTGCCAACATACAATGCGCACGGTACTATTGAGGGGGAATCCGCCAATGGTGAAGATCTCGCAGATGGAGATGATGATGTAGCCGAGGAGGAAGAGCTGCATTTCTCTGTATGATGTCAATTGCATGTTGGATGTGAGAGGTTTGAGCTGCGCACCTTCTTCCTACAGCAGCCTTCTTCCGTTCTGTCCTCCATAGCAGGAACAGCGTGGATAAGACAGCGATAGCACATATTATTATTGAGCCTAGGTTGTGCAGCCTGTCGCCTCCACCGACGGGGAAGCCTCGCAGCGTGCAGCCTCCCCATCCGGCGTTTGTTTTTGTCGAGGCTTGATTGAAGAGCTGGAAGAGGACGGGTTAGCGGCGCGGTCGCAAACGGCGAACATGGGTGCTCGAGGTTCAACATACATAGCAAACTGTGCAGGGTCAGTATATACGAAAGACTAGTAACGTGTGCGTTATTCTATGTACCTGGTAACGTGCTCCAGTTGTTTCCGCTGTCCCGGCAAAAATCGTCAAACTTTCCGTAGCGACTCATGGTGTCGGGGTGTTTTGCGCGTGGTGCGCAGCCTCGCGGTGAAGAAGAAGTCGGTGTGGGAGAGCGAACGGCGTGGGGTGTGCAGACGCACAGCAAGCGTTCGGCGCAATGGCGACAACTATAGTCAGCTGGCGTGAAGGCGAACCGTGAAGTCTTAGACGGCGGGTTGGTCTGCTAAGTTGCAGCGGAGTCGCGCGTGGCTGGGGAGCTTCCTTGAAACAATGGCAAGCCAAGCTTTGAACGTTGGTTTCCCAGGGCGGCTTGGGTGCATGCACGATAGCGGGACCGAGCAAGATGTCAGTGTCGGTACAACCAACCCCCTCGCAGATGAGACTTCTGCGTAATATGGCGCGTAAGGCGGAGCGGATGCGATTATGTGAGGGAGGCTCTGCGAGTGAAAGAGGTCATGAATATCTCCCTTTAGCCGCTCTCCAGAAGCAAGAATCCACGACTCCGACCAAACCACAGCAATCTCGGACATGGCCAATCACGGATACCTGACCTGCGCGCTAAGACGTTTGAGAATAGGAGGCCGGAGATCACTGTGCCCATGTCAGCGGCAGAGCGGCTTGTCGTGTCAAAACCTGGCATGACGCACAAGGCCAGCATTGATGGTTGGGTACATGGTGTTGTACCTAACTTTGTCGCTATGCAATGGTGCATGAAGCCCCGAAGCCATGGGAGACGTCGACAACGACGATATCCAGCAAGAACCATCTGGACACACGTCTGCCACCTCATTTCTCTGGCCGTATTCTAGCGCCCAAAAAGCTGCCTGTTTCACGCTGGGCTCGTCTCACCACATCCGATCAACGTCTGGACGTCCCAGCACCAGCACCCAGCATCTCCGGCGTCGATCGTTCTTGCAATGGTACAGTACCGTAAAAGATTGAAAGGAATTCGAGAGGCTGCAACAACAAGGCGTTGATGGCACGTTTTACACGCGTGCTGGCAGAGCCTTGCGTGCCAACTACCACGCATCACGCGGACTGCACATTCTGCTCTCATGGCATGCCACACCTGTCTCAAGAAGCACACAAAGTAACAAAGATTTGCGCCATCCCCGACTTATCCGCGGCTTTCTTACCCATTTATTTTCCCATGCGGGGCTCCCGTTGTTGATAGTCCTGAGACCCTCAACCAACGTGACCAGTGACCCGCCTCCACAGCCCCATATTCGACTGGAGGGTGGTCGGTAAGCTTGGTATGGTAGCCCGGCCCTCGCAGGTTACGTAGCTGGTAGCGTGGTGGGTATGCAGCCTGCAGGTGGCAGCTATCAGCCTTCATGTTCGTCTATCGCGCCTTTAATCTCCGCCGCCAGACTGAACGTCTACGAGACAAATAGGGCAGCAATGATGACGGTAAGCTCATTTCCGCTACCCATATCGCATGCAAATCATGGCGCATTGCTTGACGCAACTCGGTCCGAGCTGGTAAAGAAGCACTTCCCTCCGCCATCCGCCAAGCACCCCCCGGCAGCGCTGGCCGGGCAGGGACTACATTCGTTCGCATGCATCCAAGTTGACCCATCTGCATCCTCTGATCACGAAGCGCCATCGTGCCCATCGTAGCCCCAAATCCCTTCTTGCGTAGCCAAATGTGACCGAGTTTCTCACCGCTCTCGCGCTAGCCTTGCAAGATTCCACTTTTCGGCGGCTTGACCCTGTGACGTGCCCCAGCAGCCGCGCTTTCGTTGCTTCTCCCCATTCACACCTAGGTTGGAGACGGGCTGCTCCCATACAGCTCGCAACCTTCACCATTCCTTCACATTCGCAGAGCAGCAGGAGGCCCGCCAATATCCCGCTCCACAACCTCGCCTCTGTAGCACGTCCACGAGACCAAGATTCCGCTTATCTGCTCGACGACCACGATAAGGAGAGTGCGCGGTCCTCCTTCGACACCCCGTCCGACGACTCGGACCTCTCCATCTGGACCGACACTGGTGACTTGGTCGACCAGCTAGCGGACCGCGAAGACCCCCTCAGCCGACGACTGCGGGATTCGCTCGAGGACGGCCATCCCTCCAAACCTCGCCGACACCAAAAGCGGGCTCGTTTCGCATCGCAAGATCTCGAAAAGAGCTCCCGCGGCATCCGCCTGGAAGACATTGAAATCCCCGATCCTGGTCCACGAACAATAAGTAAAGCTGAGAAGCTTCTCGCCGCTATCATGGCACCCAACGATAGGCCCTCCCGTATTCACGGGTTACACGGGAAGAAGCTCATGTTAGCTCAACACCTGCCCCGTCTACAAGTTCCTCGCTGATAGCCACAGCTACTTTACAAGTATCTTCGTCTCTTTAGGCGTGTTCCTGTTTGGTTACGACCAAGGAGTCATGTCCGGTATCATCACGTACGCTGCCCCGTCCCCCTCCCTCGTCGAACCCATCTGATCATGTCCCAGAGGCATATACTTCAAGGACTACTTCAACCAGCCCTCAGCCGCCGAGCTGGGCACAATGGTGGCCATTCTAGAAGTCGGCGCCTTCATCTCCTCGCTCGTTGTCGGTCGCATCGGTGATGTTTTGGGAAGACGTAAGACTATTCTATACGGATCGCTCATCTTCGTAGTTGGTGGAGCGCTCCAGACCTTTGCCACTGGCATCCCCATGATGCTGCTTGGGCGAGTCATTGCTGGTCTCGGTGTTGGAACGCTGTCCACCATTGTGCCAGTATACCAGTCCGAAATCTCCCCGCCCCACAATCGTGGACGCATGGGCTGCATTGAATTCACAGGTAACATTTCTGGCTACGCTGTCAGTGTATGGGTCGACTACTTTTGCACATACATCAAAAATGACTGGTCGTGGAGAGTTCCGCTCTTCATGCAGTGCATCATGGGTCTTCTTCTGGCTGCCGGCAGCTTGCTCATTTGTGAATCTCCAAGGTTAGTTGCTTGATTCCAACCCAATAACCCCTCTAACATGCATAGATGGCTTTTGGACAATGACCACGATGAGGAAGGTATTGTGGTTATTGCCAACCTGTACGGAAAGGGCGACATTCACAACCCCAAGGCTCGAGATGAATACCGTGAGATCAAGATGAACGTTTTGCTCCAACGCCAAGAAGGTGAACGCTCATACTCGGACATGTTCAAGCGATACTCCAAACGCGTCTTTATTGCCATGTCCGCCCAAGCCCTCGCGCAACTCAACGGCATCAACGTCATCTCATACTATGCACCGCTCGTCTTTGAAGAGGCTGGCTGGTACGGTCGCCAAGCCATTCTGATGACTGGTATCAACGCCATTACATATTTGCTGTCTACCATTCCTCCGTGGTACATTGTGGATTCGCTGGGTCGCCGAAAGATTCTTCTCTCTGGAGCGCTCATGATGATGGTTTCACTATCCGCCATTTCCTACTTCATCTTCCTGCAGGCGTCCTGGACACCCAACATGGTCGTCATGTTTGTCATGATCTACAATGCCGCGTTTGGATACTCATGGGGCCCTATCCCGTGGCTGTACCCACCGGAGATTCTGCCCCTCAGCATTCGTGCCAAGGGTGCCAGTCTGAGTACCGCGACCAACTGGGCCTTCAACTGGCTCGTCGGTGAAATGACGCCCATCCTGCAAGAGCACATCCAGTGGCGATTGTACTTGATCCACGCCTTTTTCTGTGCTGTTAGTTTCGTTATTGGTGAGTCGAATGCAACTATGAAGACAGTGACATGCTAATCTTGTGCAGTGTACTTCATCTACCCTGAAACCGCCAACGTTCGTTTGGAAGATATGAACTCGCTCTTTGGAGACGCTACCTCAGTTATGCCTACCCCAGAGACGCTCGCGCAAGCCGAATCCCTGTTCAGTGGCGAAGGTCGTGGCTCGCCTGTCCCATCGCTCGATATCCGAGGCGCACGCCGTGCTCAAGACGAGGCAATCCCAGGACTCAACATCGATCCTCCCGATATCGAAAGCGGCAGCAAGGACATGTCCAAGGCTGGCGCGGACAACGGCGAGGGAATTGGTGGCTGGATCAGCAATATGGTCAAGAGAACAAAAAGCAATGGTGAAGGTGATAGCTCAGGCGGAAAGTACAAGCAGGTGGGCCAGAACGAGGACTAGACGACGGTGGTTTATGTTGACGATATTGCATTTCCATTCACATCTGCATCGCCTTGCACAGACGACGGAAGTACATTTCACTATTCACGAGCCCATGGCCCAACGAGCGAGATTTTAGGGTTGATAGAGTGCGCAGAGCATTTCCGAGGCGTTTCTTGTACGAGTGTTGGTTTATTTTTAGAAGACTTGTCTTGTACGATAGACGGCAACATACGCTCCTTTTCTTCGGTCTTCGGCATCATGTCGTATATCGGTGCCGTGCCGCGCATGTCAGACCCTTGTTACAGCAATCTTACGTGGGCACAGAACCCTCTACCACAACGCGAAGATCCTCACCCAATAACTCCTGAAAGTTCGAATTCGCTTAGATCGTTTAGAACTCGTAAAAGTCGCAACTCGGACTGAGATTGTGGCGAAAGCAATAGATTTGTGGGTTTCACGTGACGAGGCGGCTATGAACAGGTGTCGCTTCTCCCCTTGCACCGGCCCTAGCTTCCTCCAGCTGCTCGTAGGCTAGTAAGTCTAATTCGGGACATCCCACCTCCTCGATTCCGCATCGCAGAGGGAGTATTCCATCTCTCTTCCCCGTGAGCCTTTTCTTGTTCACACTCTTTCGGGGCTTTCTTCTACGGCCCACGGCCACTTTTAATTGATTCCCTTTTTTCGACTCAACTTTGGATCGGCTACTGCACCACCGCGCGGTTGCGCAAGCCCCGTAGTACCGACTAGACGTTACAGCCTTTTTCGCAACACGCCACGAATCCTTTCACTTCCTCTAGCCAACGTTTCAGTGGCATCTGAAATCAACTGGAAAGTTGCCATTCCCCTTTCTTATGGAGACAACGGCGCGCACAACGGGTGCCGATGCCCAGGCGGAGGAGTTGCGGAGGAGAAATGTCACCGGGCAACCACCGGCCGCGCCAGTAGTGGCACCGGTACATGAGAAGGAGAAGTCCAAAGAGAAGGTATGCATCGCTGACGAGCGCTATTACAGTCTACCAGACGCCAACTGCAGAGATCAATTACTAACGGAGTTCAGCCCTTCGACCTCCTCTCTGCCCTCGACGAGTATGAGTTCATCTGGGCGCCTCTGATATTTACCTTCTTCGCCTTCTTCACGCGCATGTACAAGATTGGTCTCTCGCCAATTGTCACCTGGGATGAAGCTCAGTAAGTTTTCAAGCGTACGAAGTCTGGATTGTTCTAACCCTGTGCAGTTTTGGTAAATTCGGTTCGCACTACCTCAAACGCGAGTTCTACTTCGATGTCCACCCCCCGCTCGGAAAGATGCTCGTCGGTTTGTCGGGATACCTTGCAGGATACAATGGCTCGTTTGAATTCAAGTCGGGAGAAAAATACCCGCCTGAGCTCAACTACGCCTTCATGCGCCTCTTCAACTCGGCCTTTGGCGCAGTCTGTGTTCCACTGGCATACTTCACTGCGAAGGAACTGAACTTCCGTCGACCGGTTGTATGGTTTGTCACTTTGGCAGTCCTCTGCGAGAACTCGTACACCACCATCAGCCGCTTCATTCTTCTCGACTCCATGCTGCTCTGCTTCACCTTCACCACTGTCTTCTGCTGGTCCAAGTTCCACCGTCAGCAGCACGACCCCTTCTCTCCCGAGTGGGGTCTATGGTTGATGCTGACTGGTGTATCAATTGGATGCGTGTGCAGTATTAAGTGGGTTGGTTTCTTCGTCACTGCCCTCGTTGGACTGTACACCATTGAGGACCTCTGGAACAAGTTTGGTGATCTGAAGATGCCAAAGGTATGCAAGTGTGTATCTTTTTGTAAAATGACGCTAACGAACATAGGTTGAACTGGTCACACATCTTGCTTTCCGAGTATTCGGTCTCATTCTTATCCCTCTCGCCGTCTACATGTTCTCCTTCTACCTGCACTTCTTGATTCTCGAAAACAGCGGACCGGGCGATGCACAGATGAGCTCCCTCTTCCAGGCAAACCTACGAGGAACCGAGGTGGGCAAGAACAGCCCGCTGGAGGTCACCTTTGGCTCTCGTGTGACACTGAAGAACATGGGATATGGTGGTGGACTGCTCCATTCTCACGTCCAGACCTACCCCGAGGGTTCTACGCAGCAACAAATCACTTGCTACCACCACAAGGATGCCAACAACGACTGGTTCTTCTACCCCAACCGCCATGAAGTCGAGTACAAGCCAGACGAGGAGCTCCGCTACCCAGGAAACGGTGACGTCATTCGCTTGATTCACGCCCAGACTGGCCGTAACCTCCACTCGCACGCCGTCGCCGCTCCTGTCACCAAGAGTGATTGGGAAGTATCTTGCTATGGAAACACGACTGTCGGAGACACCAAGGACCACTGGGTTGTTGAGGTAGTCCGCGACGCTGCTTCCAGAGACTATTCTAAGCTCAGGACGCTCACCACTTCCTTCCGTCTCAAACACAAGGATCTCGGGTGCTACCTACGTGCCGGCAATGTTAACCTTCCACAGTGGGGTTTCAAGCAGATTGAAACGACCTGCGTAAAGAAGAACAACCCCCGCGATGTCTACACCCACTGGAACATTGAGAGCCACACCAACGAGAGACTGCCACCGGGCAACCCTGGTGATTACAAGTCGCCCTTTCTCCAGGATTTCATTCATCTCAATGTTGCTATGATGACATCCAACAACGCGCTCGTCCCCGACCCAGACAAGCAGGATGATCTTGCTTCTAGCTTCTGGCAGTGGCCCATCCTCCACGTTGGTCTGCGTATGTGTGGTTGGAATGACGACAGTAAGTATTCCCAGTCTTTTCAAGCTTCGTTTTACTAACATCAGCGTAGTCGTCAAGTACTTCCTCCTTGGTAACCCCCTCGTCTACTGGGGCAGTACTGCATCTCTCGGTATCTTTGGACTCATCGTCCTCTTTTACCTTGTTCGCTGGCAGCGCGGCTACAATGATCTCAACAAGTTTGAAATCGACCAGATCCACTACGCCGGCATCTACCCCATCATCGGCTGGGTCCTGCACTATATTCCGTTCGTTGCAATGGGCCGTGTCACATACGTGCACCACTACTACCCTGCACTGTGGTTTGCCATCCTCGTCATGGGCTTCTGCCTTGACTTTAGCACCAGGAAGCTCAGCAAGCAGGTCCAGTGGGGCATCTGTGCCGGACTGTACGCCGCCACCATTGGTCTGTACATCCTCTTCGCGCCCACGTCGTTTGGTATGGTGGGACCCAACAGCCAATACAAGTACCTCAAATGGTTCGACAGCTGGAGGGTTACCGACTAAGCGCTCGTGTTAGGGGGCGTAGTCGAAAGAGAATGAGACGTTTTTGATCTCTTTTCTTCCTCTTTCTTCTCTTTTGTAACAACAGATTTTGCTCTCTCTCCTTTTCATTTACTGGGTGTCTAGGGCATTTATGTATGGGAGGGCAACCATGCAGGCAGGGCAGACAGGCAGATGAGCATCTATATCAGGGCAGCGTTTTTATACAAGGCCGGGTAGCGAAGGTGTTGAATGGGATTCACTTTTTTCCTATCCATCGGTTTCGGGATTGTGAGTTTGTGACACTACCTGTTCTAAGAAAATGGAATATAATGTGATGAAATGCCGTTTTCTTTTTGGTCTAAATGAACATTGGTGTACGTGAGGGCATGTCTCATGTAAAATCAAACGTCAATGGTAAACTCTTTCTATCATATTTACATCACATCATCTATACTATATACAACACACACCCATCTTCACTTCTTCCTCGCCAAACTCCTAACCCCACCCCTCACAATCTCAAACTCGACACCCCGCCCCTCACTCGGCGGCGCCCACGCCGCAAAAACAACCTTAAACCAGCGCCGCCATTTACTCACATGATTGCCCCCGTCGTCCTCGCCATCATTCCATTGGTCCTGGCCGTTGACCGTGTGGATAAGCGGTCTAGTACTACCAGCAAAGACGGGCTGTTTCTTCAGTGCAATCCGACAGGCGAGTTGATTCGTCCACACGAGACCGAGCGAGGGCGTCTTTTGTACGTGGAGTTGTTCGTATTGCGAGTCGCCCCAGCCGGTGAACCAGCGTTGTTGGTGGTCTAGGGAGAGGGGGTCTGGGGAGAGTGTTAGTGCCGGGGTGGTTGGTTGGGAGGCGGAATCGTTTTCGTTGCTTTGACTAGGTGGTTGACTATTTGTCGATGTCGTTCTAGACGCTGTGTTTGAAGTTGAAGCTGATGGGGGTGCAGCTTTGGCAAATCGATCGGCGACTTGATTTGCAACTACGACAGCCACGCCTTCTGCCCTAGCTAGCTGTCTTAACAACGCACCCAACTGCACCAGCTGGGTACCTCGTTTCGCCATGGACGCCGCCGTGCCGCCATTATTGGGTCCTTGCTTTTCGAATTCCGCGCGGTAGTTTGCGGCTACGGAGTCGATGATGACGAGGCCGATGTTGTGCTTGCGGATGGCGACGGGGAGTTGGTAGCGGAGGATGTGGTCTTGGGATTCTAGGTCGGGTGTTTGTATGCTGAGGATGCGGGATAAGGAGGGTTTTTGAGAGGGGGGTAGGGTGGAGAGGGCGGGATGCGAGGAGAGGAGTTGGGAGAGGCGGGTTGTGGAGAGGAGGGCTTCGGTGGAGATGTAGACGCTGGATTTGGAGAGGCCGTGAGGTGGGGCGAGTTGCGCGGATAGGAGGAGGGTTAAGAGGAGTTGAGTTTTTCCTGCGCCGCTGAGGGAGCATTGTGTTAGTTTGAGGTAGGATGGTAGTAGTAGTGGTGGTGTAAGTATACCTTTCTCCAGTTATCTCAACCAAGTAGCCACGAGGTATACCTCCACCCAAAGCAGCATCTAGTCTCTCATCTAAAGTGCTTATACACGTCCACGTATCCTTCTCTTCACCCAAGAACTTGTTACCAGTATATTCAGTGTCCGTCCCCCCGAACCCCAATTGACCATGCAGTGCCGCTACAACACCATCTGCGAGCTTCCTCAGCTCTCCAGCCGGCACCTGGGCACGCTTGGCCACATCCGCAGCGTCGAGCGTAAGCAGATCATTGGTTGTGACAAGGGCCTTGTCCAGCGAGGGCAGCAAGTGCGTGTATGGTTTCTGGTCAAAGTCAGGCAGCACCTGCAGCAGATCCGTCATGAGCCAAAGAGCTGTAGCATCTGCGCGGCTCTGTGGATGAGGGAAGAAGCCAAGCGCGAACCAACGGCGAACAACACGGAATATCGGGCTTGGTCAAATGTCACGGTGAAATATGGTTGCAGGCTGAGCGTGGGATGTGAGCAACTTTTTTTCGACACGCGTGATGAAGTTTGGTGACGCGCCGACGCCGTGTTTGACGTGTGCCTGGTCTGGTCTAGCTGCCAGCGCTAGTTTGGTGGGGGTGGTTTTGCTTCCGTTTCTCCTAGGGCCCGTGTCCTACGTCACACCCCCGCTTCTCCACATGCCGCCGCCATGTTCATTCCATTCTGTATAGGTTGAGGCTGTGTGTAGAAAGCTCGTGAGGTGGAATGATTACACGCGTATGCCGTGTTTATCTTCATAGTCCCTCCTAGCTACTAGAAACACCAAACTCTAACAACCTGATCCTGTGTGCTGTTATCATCCAAGCCGTATTCCCACCTCATTATCCATCCTTTGGATCATTAGCCGTGCCACCTTTCTAGGCGGGAACCTGCGTGGTGTGTGCATTTCCCTTTATAAGACCCTCGCTCGTCTACCGCGCGGCGGAGGGCCTTCTTCCACTCGTCCGTGACCTTTGATAGCTGACGTTTGACCACCGACCCACTAGTAGTGCATACCTCGGGGCCAGCTTACGCGCTTGCCCGGTTCCTCACGACCGAAGTCTGCGTGTCAAGTCAAGGACTTGTTGCTTTTTTTGCTTTACCAAAGCCGCGGCACATATTTTCCGGCCCTTTATCCCCGTCTATACTGCTACTGGTGTCTTTGCGTTGGATAGCACGCCAGAAGTGTCCCCACACACGTGCGCGGTAAGTTGGTTGTGCGGAGAGGTACTACTGACTACAGCAGCTTTTGAGATAAACGTCTGTATTGGAGAAGAGACGGAGATTTTGTGTGCTCGTATAGAGCTTAACGCTACTAGGTAAGTTGCATTTTCTCTTGCATGAGGACGTTATTTTCTTGCTACGGTTGCATCGGGTCTTCACCTTTGGTCTGCCATGGCGGGTCACGTACCGGGTCAGCGGTCGGCTACTTGGATCATCTTTCCCATCTATCGCGGAGCCTATCGCCCGTTTCACATGCTTGGGTGCCAGGCGGGCTCGCCCTAGTGCTACCGCCCTTTCCCACCCGTCCTTAGTCTTATAAAGCTCTTTCCTCCCCGTCCTCAGGTACCTTTGATGCTCTTGGCAAATACTTGAAGTACTCATGCCGGCCTACTGTCTACAAGACTGTCACTATTTCTACCGCAGTGCTTTGCGGCACCTCAACATTTCTACATCCATTTCACCTCTCTACGCGTAACTGACATTGTTCGTCATGGCAGTCCGCACATTCACCCAGCCGTCATCTCTAGAAGACACACTAGTGAAAGCCTCAGCCATGTCTGGCTCAGAAAACATAGCAGTGCGCTCGGAAGAGTCTGCAAAGAATAGCACTCAGTCCTACTCATCAGAGGCACAAGCGCCGTTGGCGAGTCACACCAATCCCAACTCGAGGCCCGGTATTACATTTGCCCACCAGGACAGCCTTCCAAAGCTACCTATCCCGGAGCTCGATAGCTCATGCAAGAAGTACCTTGCCGCCCTCAAGCCATTACAGTCGCCAAAGGAACACAGCGACACGATACATTCAGTAGAAGACTTTCTCAAGTCCGATGGTGTTATTCTGCAGGAAAAACTGAAAAAGTACGCGAATGGAAAGGCCAACTACATTGAGCAGTTCTGTAAGTACCCATGTTCCCATGACCCGTATCTAAAGGTGTCATTCATATCTGCAACGCATGCGCTAACCCCATGATAAGGGTACGATTCGTATCTCAACTTCGACAACCCGGTGGTACTTAATCTAAATCCATTTTTCTTACTGGAAGACGACCCCACCCCTGCTCGCAACAACCAGGTCACTCGTGCAGCCTCGTTAGTGGTCTCGGCCTTGTCTTTTGTCAGGGCTGTCAGAAGAGAGGAGCTGCCGCCTGACACCATCAAGGGTCAGCCACTATGCATGTACCAATACTCGCGACTGTTTGGTACAGCCAGAATACCAACAGAGAATGGATGCCAGATAGGTCAGGATCCAACCTCAAAGCACATTGTTGTCATGTGCTACGGCCAGTTCTATTGGTTTGACGTCCTGGACGATAACCATGACCTGATCATGACTGAGAAGGATATTGCTCTCAATTTGCAAGTTATTGTTGATGACGCGCAAGAAATTCCCATCCAGGATGCTGCAAAAGGAGCACTGGGTGTGCTCAGTACCGAGAATCGAAAGGTCTGGGCTGGCCTACGCGACGTATTACACAGGGAAGAGGGATCAAACAACTCCGACTGTCTGAACATTGTCGACTCGGCCCTCTTTGTGTTATGTCTGGACTACACCGAGCCACAGACTGGCGCTGATCTCTGCATGAACATGCTCTGCGGAACTAGCAAGATTGAGCGCGGTGTTCAAGTCGGTACATGCACGAACCGTTGGTATGACAAGCTTCAGATCATTGTGTGCAAGAACGGAAGCGCGGGCATCAATTTTGAACACACCGGTGTCGACGGCCATACAGTACTTCGGTTTGCTTCCGATGTGTACACTGACACCATTCTTCGCTTTGCCAGGACCATCAACGGCAGCGCACCCAGTCTCTGGGCCTCGTCTAGCCCAGACCCAGCGAAACGCGACCCAGAAAGCTTTGGAGATGTGCAGACAACGCCGCACAAACTCGAATGGGACATGTTGCCTGAACTGAGTACAGCCCTGCGGTTTGCCGAGACACGTCTGGCAGACCTGATCCAACAGAACGAGTTTGCCACTCTCGAGTTCCCACATTATGGTAAGAACTTTATGACGTCCATGGGCTTCTCGCCCGATGCTTTCGTCCAGATGGCGTTTCAAGCAGCCTACTACGGATTATACGGAAGGATAGAGTGTGTCTACGAGCCCGCCATGACCAAAATCTACTACCACGGCCGCACAGAAGCCATCCGCTCCGTCACCGAAGAATCCGTCGAATTCCTCAAAACCTTCTGGGGCGAGAACCCCGCAGCGCAAAAAATCGAGGCCCTCCGCAAAGCGTGCCAGAAACACACTGAAAACACTAAAGTGTGTTCAAAAGCCCAAGGACCAGACCGCCATCTCTACGCCTTGTACTGCATTTGGCAACGCGCCATTGACGAATCCCAAGATTTCGCCAGCAGCGACGGCTGGGACTCTACCCGGCCCTCAAGCCCAGACGCCTCATCCCCAAATCGCAACTCGCTCCTCTCAGAAACGGGTTCCATCTCCAGCTCCCCGCCACCACAACATCAACAACAAGTCCAACACTCGATGCCCGCCCTCTTCGCCGACGCCGGCTGGGACAAAATCAACACCACCATCCTCTCCACCTCAAACTGCGGAAACCCTTCGTTGCGCCAATTCGGTTTCGGTCCCACGTCCGCCGACGGCTTCGGCATCGGCTACATTATAAAAGACGGCAGCATCTCCATCTGCGCATCGTCAAAGCACCGCCAAACATCCCGCTACATCGACGCGCTGGAATCCTATTTCCTCGAGATACGCAAGCTACTCCGGCAAATCAAGCGTAGCAGAGGCGCATCGTCGGGTGATAAAACGGCTACGCGGGCGAGAGAGGCAGAGGATAGACCGTCGTTGTTGAAGCAGAGGGGGGTGATGAAGAGTCGCGGACGCATTATCCTAGGTGATAGTGCAGGGAGGTTACAGACGCCTAGTGAGAGTTTAGTCGATGACGAAGAGGAGGATGATGGGTTGGGTGGATGTAGGATTCCCCCTTTTTCTTCTTCTTCGCCTGCTTCTTCGCCTGAGTTTTCGTTGTTGGGGAGGAGGCGTGTCTCGAGTGTTGATGATTCTTTTTCTTTTCCTTATCTCCCATCTTCTTCTTCTTTTCCATCGGATGTCTTCGACTTGGCTGTTAGGAGAGGTGCCAGTGGTGGTGGTGGTGCTTTACCACCTACACCCCCACACTCCCCTCCTTTTACCCCCATGACACCAGTCCTATCCTCCAGCCCGCGCAAATCTGTCTCTGTTGTCAAACCCCTTAGGCCAAGGGCGCCGACAACGACGACGACGACGACGAAGCGGAAGCCGATTTTCTATTCTTCTTAGCTTGTCCCCCTTATTTCTGTTTTTTCTTTCACACACCCTTTTCTTAATCTCCCCGCAAATCAACACTCGAGACCCCCCTTCCTTCCCCTACCCCCTTTCCTCTCTCACCTATTGTTCTTTTCGTATTGGTTGCACAAAGGCTAATTGTAACCCCCTTTTTTCCTCGCAATATAGATGGCTTCTTCGATGCAGGAATGCTGCGACATGCACTCAGTGCCAATCGAGACCACCAACAAGGCATGGAGCCTGTGGAGCGGGATGTTGTGAGAAGGAATATCGGAAGGAGGTTGAGGTTAGCCGAGTATTGAGCTGAGGTTATAGGTGCGTGGGTAGTGGAGAATGGGCTGGAGAGTCTCGTTCGATGGAAGCAAGGAGGGAAAGAGGGGAGATGATGGGATTTGAGTTTGATACAAACATCTCAGAATATGAATACACACACTATTACACCATTACCCAAATGCACAAAACTAAAGTACACAGTAAAAGATTTTCATACATTCATATCCATCCACCCATCCATCCCTTCCCCCTCCACCCCACCCCTACCAATACATATCCTTCCCCTTCTCACCCCAAAAAACACAACCCTACCTACATACAAATGAACAAAAGGGGGTATAAGTGACAAAACAGTATCCGTCTATACATCTTCACGCAATACAAATGCCACCAAACCTGCGCAATGCTGAACCAAACCCGATTCCTCGGCCCCACAAAATGCGTGATAAACAGATAAGAAACCAATACGCCATCGCCACTCTGCACATGCAAGTCCTGTCTACGCGGCACCCTGACGCTAACTCTCGCTCTGCCTGTGCTCCTGCTCCTGCTCCTTGGGTCTAATGTGGGAGGAGGCGACAAGGATGATATTTGCAACGAGGCGTGTTGTGTGGAAGGAGAGACGGCACTTATCTCCGGCCCTGTGGGGGGACGTGTTAGAAAAGAGGGCAGTAGGTAAGCGGATGTTCAAGGCGAGCTAACGTACTAAGACGCTTGCGCCTCCTCCAACAGCGGCTCGCTGTTTTCCGAGCCAGCCCTTGGGTGCTTCGGAGCGTCTTTGCAGGATGACGGTGTTGCTCATGAGGCGTTGGTTCATGTCGTACCACATGGACTTTACGAGGGCGTTTTCGCGACGGAGGTTCTCGACTTCGCGTTGGAGTTCGGCCTGATGCAACATTAGAATTGTGTATGATGGAATGGAGGAGCGAAGAACTTACCGAGCCCTTTTCGGCACTCTCCTTGGTGGCCAGCTCGAGCTGCTCTCGTAATGTACCGTTTGCTTCGACTTGGTCTTGGAGATCCTGTTGCAGTAATGTGTTAGCTAGCGATGGTGTGCTAATAACAACTGCGTAACTACTACAATGATGGAATAAGGGGAATCTCAAAGTCGTCTTGATAAGTATACTCAGGCAGCCAGGCCAGGGACAAACTTGCCGTCACACGATCAGACAAAGTCCGTGTCGTAGTGAGGTACTCTGTACCACGTGTCGCAGACTCAGGTTTCCGTTTTGGCGAGACTAACTGCGTTATGCGACCCCAGGTAGTTTGTCCCGTGCCAGCCGTCGAAGTAGACAGTTCAGATAATGACTTGTTCTTGCCCGAATGGCCTTTTTGCGGCGAGGCAGGTGAAACGAGTGTGGTAGCAGTAAACGACGGCTCAAGCTGGTGTCGCCTCATCGTAGAAATTGCAGTATCGAACGCAGAGGAAGAGGACTTGCTGTGGGAGATTTGCGCGCTGCTTACCTTTTTGGCCTTGTCCAGGGCCGCTTCTGCTGACAGGACAGTCTCGGCAATTTCCGAGCTCGTGCTGTCTAGCACGTTTGGCTGCGCTTCACCAGGTGCTTTGATCACTGTTTCTATCCGTTCGCGCATTTGGCGTATGGTCTCGACCCTCTTAAGCTCGAGAAGCTCAGCTGGAAGGTTTTCGCGGTCGAGTAGAGCTGCTCGCAGGAGGCTGGACTTTTCTGCATTTGCAAGCTCAAGCTCTCGCAGTCTGTCGTTGGTTCGTTCTTGCAGTACTAGCAGGCGTTCATGTTCTTTCTGGATACTGGCTGTTCGCACATCGTCGGCTACATCGGATTCTAGTAATGTTAGCGTCGTTGTATAGATGTGCTTGGAGACATACTTCTGTTGAGTTCATTGCGGAGTTCGGCCATTTTCAAGTCTTGCTCACGTAACCGGCGGCGGAGTTCTTCTAGTTCAGACTGTGCGGTTTGTAGTTTCTCGTTTTGCTCCAGGAAAGGTCTGCTGGCGTTAGTAAGGAAGAGAGTAACTGGAAGATACCACCTACTTTTGACTTGTCTCGTCCTTTTCCATCATCATATCGGATCGTAGGCCTAGGTTTTCCTGCATCTGCTTAAGTGTCTCACTTTCCAGCGACTTCAGGCGAGCATTGAGAATATCGACTCGTTGTTGTAGGGCAATCGCATCGGCGCTCACACGTCCATCGGTAACGGGCTTGGTGTCGGATTCTTGGTTGTTTTCGTCTTGTGAGAGCTCGTCTTCCAGACTATCGCCGCGGTCTGCGTGATTCGACGATTCCAGCTCGCGTATCCGCTCTTCAAGTTCCTGCTTTGCGTCCTCGGCCTTGTACTGTAACTCGCGTGTCTGTTCCAGCTGCTTCATAAGGAGCAGGTTCTCGTGTTCGACCCGTGTCCGTTTGCCCTTTTCTTCGAATATGGCCTGCTCACCGTTGGCAAGCGTCTGTCCATTCTCCTTGATGATGTTTTGCAAGACTTCATTCCGTTCCTCGACACTTTCCAGCTGTGCTAGCCGTTCGCGGGCCTGTTGGTAGTCTTCCCGTAGTGTTTCGAGCTGTTTAGTCTCCTTGGTCAGAGACTCAATCTTCTTCTTAAGATTCTCATTCGCCTTTGCTTTTTGGCTCAACTCATCCCTTTCGGCCTTGATGAGTTGCAACTGATCACGCAGTTCCTGCTTGGATCCTTCCTCGCCCTGTAACCGGTCGAGACGGCGCTTCTGACTGTCCATGATGTCCCTCGCGTTGGCCAGATCCTGTTCCAGTTGATCGATATATTGCCGGTCCCGTAGCAGGTCGTTCCTTAGGTTTTCGACATCGTCGGATTCGGCGCGTTGTGCTTGGCCAGCCCGGACGTCCAGATATGCACTTGCTTCCGCGACCTCTTCTTCGAGCTTGGCGATTCTCTCCCGCGAGACTTTGAGCTCCTCGCTCAGTTTCCCAACCTGCACTTTGAGTGCTTGCCGGTCCTTGTTGGCTTCAAACAACTGTGCCTCCTGCTCCAGTTCGTTCCCGGGTGGTGATGGCGCGCCAGAAAGTGTTCGTGTGGGCGTTCTATAGCCAGTGAGATTCGGCTCGGCTGTCAGTTCTGCGTCGACGCCAAGTTCTGACATTCTCTGGTCCAAGGCCTGCATTTCCTGTATGGCCTCGGCAATCGTCTCTGCGGTCTTGGTGCCCAGCTTGGGCATGACTTGCAACATTCGCTGGTTGCTGCGTGGCGAGAAGCAGGCGGCGAGCAACACGGCCATTGTGAGTTTTGCGACGAGCATGGTGGATCCATCCCGTGCGCCCGTCTTCAGATCCGGAATCATGCGCTTGGTGAGGACGGGCAGCTGCTCGCATTCCTCCCGTATGTACATGGACGTGGCCCGCTCGATGTGCTTGAGGTTCTGCCATCGCGGTATCCAGTTGTCTATCTTGGACTGTCTGCGGTGGTGTGTCTCTTCAAAGTTGGGGAGGGACTCGTTGAAGTAGTCCGAGTCGATGTCGGCGAGGATTTGCCATAGTATCTGGCCATCTTCCAGTTGGCTCAGTGTTGTGATTCTGTAGGGCAGGTCGAAGGTGTTGACCTGCGTATTGGTCGTCAGTTGTTTTTCTCATGATTGCCTGGGAAATGGGGGGCATACCCAGTCAAGGAGCGCCTTGAGCAGCTCCGGCTTGAAGTCGTCCATGGTGCAAAATGGCGGGGCCTGGAATCGGCGTCTAAGGTCAGTGTAGTGGTGTTTGATCGGGGCAAGTTGGGTCGGCAGCCACGCATTTCGGAGAAGCGATTTTATCGGTGAGTTGTTGGACGTGCTCGACGAAGCACAGGTTGTTCCTTGTTCACGGACGTGTCGACGCGTTCGGTGAGGTTGGGTGTCCCCAGCGCTAAGCCGAATAGCAGCAAATTCCGCGGCGGTGTAATTGCTGACCGTGACTTGAGTCGCAAATCGGGGCCGCAGCAGACGTCTTCACCAAGGCGCCGACAAAGGTCTGGACATGACGCGCATGAGGCCGCCGTGGTGCGCTGAGACGATATGCACGGCCCCTAACCGCACCCATGGCGGGGAAGGAGCCGCAGCCGGGTCCCACCATCGACTCGACGCACATGAAAAAAAACCTAAACTGTAAACACTACTTCGACTCTGTTTACGGTATGCATTTTGCTTCTTCTTTGTTGCTATGGCACTGCGAGAACGTTGCGCATCGTTACGATTCGCCAGCACACACCGGCTCGGCTCGGTGCCAAACAAACACGTCCCAGCCACTCCCGCGATGCGATAATCATATGCAATTTGGTATCGTTGAGTAACTTTATCCGGGACTCGGAAAAACAATACAAGCTCCCAGTGTAGCTGGTTCATGCTCAACTTGACACTACCACACTAACACGCTGTTATAACACCCCCTATCCCCCTATATCAACTAACCCCCCTCTAGTCCTGCTGCGTGGTAACAATACCATCCTCCTCAATTTCGCACTTGTACACATCGCTCAGCGCAGTTACCATCTCAAGCGCCGTAGACGGGGCCGTGGCAGCAAAGCCTTGGATAATGTTGTACTCGTGGGTAATGACGCCTGAAGCACCCAACGTCAGCAAACGTCCTCTGTCATGTTACATGCGCCCTGGACTGTAGGACCTAATGTAGCATATAGTCTATCATCACTTACCTCCAGCTTTCTTGATGGCGTCTTTGCCCTGCTGTACGATCTCATTCGGGGTGCCCTTTGGCCAGCTGATAATAACGGATCGCTGTGGTGCGACGGCCATGGCAAAGGTAGCGAGGAGCGCGACGAGAAAGGTGAAGATGACGGAGCGCATGCTGAAGGTTTACGGATCGTGCAAGGCGTGATGTAGTAGTCGTGCCGTGGGTAGTCGCGAATGTGGAGGCGGACAATAGGGTTGTGGGGCGGTGATTGCGCTTCAAAGACCTTCTTATCGAGATATAGTACCGTCAAAGTGTAGCTGGTTATTGGTGGTTGCTAACGTGTCGTGCGGTGCCTAGAAAGAAGGAGGAAGGTGCTGCTTCAAATGGATGGTCCGGATACGGCAGGCGCGTTGTGCGTCACGGTCTCAGGTCACGCCGCCGCTGGCCCCTCGTCACAGCCACGCATCAATGCCCTCTTGGCACCCTTTCATCATTCGAGACATCACAACGTCACTCATATGCAAACACACCTCATCTTGGGGGTTAATCGTGATTTATTCGCTTGGTCTTGTGTGCCACCTAGCTCCAGGCTCACGACAATTGCCATTGTAATATAACCGAAGAAGAAGAAAAGAAGCCGCTCCTTTGGCGGCAGTGCTAATGATCGTACTACGTCTCGTAATTGTAATCGTGCTTGTGCTGAACGTTCCTTCTTATGCACCAAAGTGCCATAGTCGTGAAGAACAAGCGATTGGCTGAAAAAAAGCAACGGGGCAAAGGAGGGGTAAAATACAAGCAGTGAATGCAAGGGGAAAAAAGGGGAAAAGGGGGAAGAAACAAGATGACTCCATGTAGCCGGTACCCATGCGCCATAAGATGCCCGAGGAAGCCTAGGCTTCGTGATGATGCTCGTGTGGTCGTACTATACAAGACCGGCCTGCCAGAGGAAAAATAGGTTGTTGATGGACCCAACCGACCCACAGACAAAGACCGGTACATACAAGGAAGATCGCCTCATATCATGACACCCGCCAAAACCAGCCTAATTTACCGGTATTTATGTTGCGTAGTGATATGCTGAGGTATCCATGTGCTTTTGATCGTACTTTTGCTCTCGTCAAGTCGTAACGTCGTCGTCCGTCCTAAAACCAGTTGCCGTGACCACCGTTGGACTGCGCAACTCCATACTGAGGTTGGTGCTGCTGGTAGCTGTTGTTGTGGTGGTGGACGGGGTTGGGCATAGGGTGAGGCTGGGATGCGTTGCTCAAGCGGTGCGGTTGACGGTGAGGTTGCGGAGACAGAATAGCAGGACCATAGTTGGCCGTAGCAGTGTACATGGGGGGCTGATACTGCGGAGTCTGAGTGTACACCAAGTTTGAGTCGGCACTACCTTGAATCGCGCCGGGAGAGGTTTGACCAGAAGTGCGACCAGTGTAGGCTGAAAGACGGCTCTCGCGCTCTCCAACCTTGCTCATGATGCGACGACCGTACGGAGTCTGACGGATAGACGGGAGAAGCGGACGCATCATTTCGATGAGATGCATGCACAACTCGGCAGGAGCAAACTCAAGCGCCGTCTGGATGACATAGTTGCCGAACGAGTCGCGCATGAGCGAGTTGAGCTGCTCAACGTCAAGCAACTCCTCAATCATCATCGCCTTGACTTGCGGCTCCGCGCAACGAATGCACTTCTCGATGACGTTGGAACTGAACTTTTGCATCGAGAGCTCGCAGATCTTACCCTGGAAACCTTGGCACATAGGCGTCGTGAAGGATGCGTCGTTGAGATCCAGAATGTACTGAATCACATAGTTGCCGAATGGGTCTTGTACGAGCTGGAAGCTGTGCGCAGTGATCTTGCGGATGAGATCAACCTTCTGGAAGCCGGAAGCATGGTCAATGCAGCGCTGGAGAACACAGCATCCATGGCGATGAGTACCGACAACAACACAATGTTCGCCTACAGCGTCAAAGATGAACTGAGCCTCAGGCGACTTGAGGTGGTTCAAGCACTTCTGGATGACGTGGTTACCATTCAGATCCTGAATAAGATCAACGACCTCTCCGGACAGAGCCTGAATGATCATCTGAGTCTGAAAATGTGTTAGCTTTCTGGTCATTCATAGTTGGGTAATATAACTAACCTGCTCGTCGGTGGAAATGAATTCAATCATCTTCTGCAGAGCCCGAGTACCGTGCTGGTTGAACGCAATTTGGACCATGGCAGAAGTAGCGTTGCGAACAAGTGTGTTGCGCTGTTCATCGTTGCAGTACTCGAGCAACTTCTGACAGAGATAGTTGCCGAATGGGTCCGTCATGAGCTCCACGACGTGAAGGGCAGTCTCGTCGAAGATGATCTGGATGTGCTCAGGGTTACGCTCCTCAAGTTTCTTCTGCAGGAACCGACATCCATGCTGGTCTTTGCACAAGCCGTAGATCTCCTGGCGGGGCATAGTCTTTAGGTCGTAGCTCATGTACTTGTTGGCATCGTTCTGCAGACGACGAGTCTGAATGACACGAGCTTGACTGTCCTGAATACGCCCACCTGGTCCGTATGTAGCATAGGGGTTGAACTGGGGTCCATTGCCATACATGCCGTTGGGCGCGTACTGAGGAGGTCCACCATACTGAGGTCCAGGTCCGGATCCAGCTCCAATGTTCAGGCCGCCCATGCCTGCGTTGAGCATCGACATGCCATAAGCATAGTAGCCGTTATTTGCGGCCGAAACAGTCGAGTACTGAGACATTGCTGGCGAACCAATCGATGACATGCTATGCTGAGAGGCGGCAGTGGTCGAAGGTCCAAAAGGAGCGGCGCTAGCGTGCAGACCTGACTGCGCATCCCTGGTACCAGTTGAGAGATCGCGACTATGGCGGTTTGACATGCCATTCTGCATACCGTTCTGCATACCGTTCTGCATGCCGTTCTGCATGTTGTTCTGCGGGATCCGACCAAGACTAACGTTGTGGTTGTGAAAGTGTTGCTCCGAGTGCGGGGTATAGCCATTCTTCAGTGTCGGAACATCGCTGGTGGAGTAGGACTGAGTCAGCTTGGGCATGCCGTTCGTAGGGCTGGCGAAGCTGGCGCGCTTGTTGTCGGCGTTCATGGGAGCAAAGTTGAACTCAACAGAGCGGCGGTTGTTGGCCATCTTCTTAGGAGTGGTCTCAATGTTACCACCAGTCCGAGCAGAGTCATAGTCATCAGCCTGGGGAGCTTTGCGGAAAGTGTTAGCAGGAAGCGACTGTTGAGCTTGACGATGGCGGTATCCATTCCAACCAGTGTATTGAGCTTCCGGGCCAGGGGATTGGGAAAGGGCCAAATCAAGCGCAGCCGAAGATGCAGAAAGTTTCGTACCATTGCCATTACCAGCACCGTCATGGCGTACTAGCACAGGAAAGTCGTCCTTGGTGTTACCCATTTGAAGGAAAGCCTTGCGCTCACGTGAAGCACTAGACTTGTCGTCTTCACGGAACAGAAAGCCGGCTGTGTCGATGTGACCAAGAACGGAAGAAAGATCTGGAAGGTCTGGACGATTGCCGTAGTCCATCCGGGTAACGGGCATAGACATGCGGTTGTTCCTATTTAGGTTAGTTTGATGAGTTGCCAAGGGTAAGGGTCAAGACAAATTGCAATTGGACTTACTTGCGGGCTGCTGGGCTTAGCGGGGTGAAGTCGTCGTTGTCGAAGTCGTCCTGTTCCTCATCCGAGTTGCGGCGAGATCCTGGCATGGAATGGGAAGGCAAGTTGCTGCCGTGGACGTTGGACGGAGGAGACGTGACTTGCGAGTTCGCGCGGCTACCACGAGGCGTAGTCATGCCCAAGTTGACGGTGGGTGGCATACTGAAGCGATTGGGTCGCGACAATGCTGATGGAAAGCCGTTGCCCTCGCTGTACTCAGGTGGTGTTGTAGGCTGGCTGTGGGCAGGGCCGCCATAGTTGCCATCACGGTCCATCTCTGCTTCGCCGTGTTGAGCCTGGAGGTTGAGCAGCGCCATCTCAGCGTCGAACCGCCGTTTGGCTTCTTTGAGATACTCGTGTTCGATCCTTTTTCTCTCGAGCTAGCAAGCTGTTAGCTGGTCACACGGGCCGGCGGATAGGTTTGTCGCGAGGCAACAAGATCCCTAGTGACGTAGGATGCGTGAAAGTAAAAACAGAGGTTACAGGTAAGCAAAGCGAGGATTTGAGAAAGCGGAAAGCTGTACAGATATGGTGATAGCAATGCCTGTGAGGTTGATGGTGTTGTGTATGAGAGAGAAAAGACAGAAAGTTGTTTATCACTGGCCGTCACCTAGGCAGTGAGTGGCCTGGTGGGTCCAATCCAATCTCACTTCCAATAGCGAATGAGGGGTAACGTGGTTGTGGGAGATTAAATCCGCAGTGAAGTTGACTTACAACTTGGAGCTTGTGGTAAGTCTGTCGCGATTGGTCGTTAGCCCAACTCTTGATCACCGCGTATGTTTACAACTGAAACGACAACCACTTCAACAACCGGCGCAGAATGTATGATTCTACTCAAGTCTATGCGCGTGGTTGTGGAAAGTGTGGGAAGCGGAATCGCAAAGCGCCTTTGAGGACCAGCACTTGCTTCCAGCTCCTGCTTGTATGAGAATGCCGACATACCGCTGTTGTGAACTCGGTCGGCTCTGCCGCCTGTCTACGTTGCTGTCCGATTGGCGACAAAGGCATACTCAGTGTCGGAATGTTGTTGGTCGTGAAGCGCCGGTGCAGCGTCGCGCGGCCATCGCCATTCTGGTTCTGGTTCTGGGCGGCGCGATTCAAGGAAAGGAACGAGGTTTCTTCACGAGGAGATCGAAGGCCGTTGCCTCCCCCCATGCCTTGGTAGGCCATGCTGACTGGAATACTAGAAATACACTGGCACTCAGGTCAGCGCGACTACCCTTGAAGCTGGTGTGGGGGTTCGGCGGGCGGTGTGAAGTTGAGATGAAACCGCAGCCACCCCGTGTAGCATGCCCGAAGCGCGAATACATACATGATATTTTGTACAAAGGGCAAGTGCCCTTACTGCCCTCACTGCCCGCTGGCTTTGATTTCACAAGGTACAGGTGGAAACGTTGTAGGAGGCTCGGTATGTAGGCAGGTACGGAAGGCGCTGTGGTGCGGGTCACGGCAGCGCGCACCTGATGGCCTATGCACAATACGAGTCGTGGGTAAAGACAGTCTTGGAGAGTCTGGAAGTATTGGCCACCCGTTCAGACTTCAGGCCGAGAGAGCGAGTCTATGAAGCAGATGTGGAGCGTTGGATTCACAGGTCAGGGTCCATCAGGGGACGATGTGGCGCGCCAACTAGTGCTGGTGGGATTCCGCACATATTGCGCTGCTGTCGTCGCGTACTCTGCCCAATTGAGGTTTTGGACCCTCGTGTTCACCCGCAAGCCTTTGATATGCAAAGGAAGCTCCTTGGAAAGTATCTAACCCTCAGGACTTAGTTGGGTCCTGGGATTGAGGCCTGCGGTGTGGCCGTAGCCTCTGAAGCAAGTAGCTAGTCGACCATATACCAGCCTATGCTCATGCCTGGTCCCAGCCATTTTGGACCGCTCGCCTCAACTGTCAGCCTTCCATCATTCCACGCGGCCCACTCCCGCTCTCTGCGCGGCAAACGTGGTCCAGCATGTCTCTCCAGACCCTGGGATGGGATGGAGATGCCGTCGGAGCGGTGGGCAATTCGGACCCTCACGTCATCCGGCAGCTCATCGTCCAAGAAGTAGCCCGACCAGTCAGACTTGCAGCCTAGGTACCACCATACGCGCAAGGAGGGGCAGTGTAGCTTCCACGGCCGAAGTGGAAGGACTGGCGGGGCATCCATCGTCTCAAACACCGACGCATGCCGCGCCTGTAATGAACATGTCGTGCAGAATGGGCGGACTGAAACCTGACCGTACACTGATGTTACGATTAGAGGCCGAGAATAATTGCCGATGGTGTATCATTTCAAGACATCTGGCCAGACTTGTTGGCTTACGCAGATATCCGTGTATGCTTCTTCGCAATGCTGTAGATCTTGTCAAATGAGGCGCCCGAGTCCGAACGCAGCCAATACAGTTCGGCAAGGCCTGACCGCTCTCGTTTCAGATTCGAGAACCAGGCATTTCCCCGCACGCGCCTTGCATCTACCAATCAGCAAGGGGTGGAGGTGGGATTCGTGGGACCGGCTAAAAGCAAGGCCACAGTGGTGCTCTTGTAACAATCAAACAAAGTGTACAAGACAGCGGAGATGTTTCGTTTTCAGTTGGCTCCTAGCTGACAGTTCGGTTGCGACGTTCTCATAGAGTTCCCGTGGCAAGAAGCCGCCACACGTGTGCTGATGAGCTAGCACTAATCAGGCTGGTTCCGGGCCATCGGTACCAACGCAAGCGAAAGCGCTGTAGATGAACTCTTGCAGCTTCCGTTCCTATGTGTGCCTCCGCGCTGATGGCCCTCGGAGACTGCTGCAGGGTGCCCGTGACAGCACAATAGCGACGTGCATTGTCACGAATGTGGCTGACAAGCTGAAAGATCTGCTCAAGAGCCCTCTGGAAGGAGTGGGAGGACTTGGCATGCACTGCCAATGGCAAATATGACCATGGGAATTGAAAGCCTTCACTCCTCGTTGATTAGTAGTTGTATATTTGTATGTACCTCCCAAATTTAATCGTTTATCCAATTTTCTATGCCGATAGTGAGTATGGTTTCTTTTTGCCAGCCTTCTTATCGCTACCCAGGAAATGGGTAACATGGCAATCTACTTCTCGCTCCTAGTTTGGGCCCGCATATATCGATGGATCCAAGAGCTCAACATGATCGAAATATCCCTCTTGAGTAATTACTGCAGGAGGATCGTGCCTTCACTAATGGAGGCCAAGAGGCGACAAGCGCGTCTTCAGCTCCTGAGGGCTGGGATATATCCATCGATCCATTTGCCTTCACGTTGCAGGTGTTTACCATATTGATCTTGATCTCACGTGGGGCACGTCTCTTATACATAACAGCAAGATAGATATTTGGTATGGCATATGGCTGAAGGTGAGCACCTGACGCAGCTGAACCGAGGTCTGCCTTAGTTCGTGCGATCCCATCGACGAAACACAATCGACTTGGCTCCATCCCCTCTTTTAACGGAGCCAAGCCCGCAACACCCTACTAACTTGATGGCCTACTAGTAGTCTGCCTTCAATACCGCTCAGTATTCGCATCGTATCGTACCTAGACCCGCATACCAATCCACAGATGGCAGGCTTAGTAAAGCGCGTACTCAGCCTCGTCACCACGTCGGCGGGCCATGTAGCATTCAACCCTGTCATCACAGCAGCTCTCCTATGGATTTTGACCAAAGGACCTCCACAGATCCGTGGTCAACTGACTAGCAGGATCGCGGCTCTTCAAGATCCTCGACGATATGCGCAAGTCGTGAGAACGCTGAAGTGGTGTCTGGCTTTCGGGACTATGCGAGTCGTCAACAAGCAGATGAACCACATTGCTCTGAACGCAGGAAGAATTCGAAGTGAAAGGGCGAGATGGAACTGGGACCAGGAAGTCGCTGCGATTACGGGTGGATGTAGTGGTATTGGTGAACTGGTCGTCACCAGGCTGGTCCACAAGGGAATTAAGGTTGCGGTTCTGGATATCCAGCAACTGCCTCCAAGTCTACAGGGCTGTAAGACTCGTCAGCTTTATATACGCTTCTTTTGAGCGCTAATAAAGATTACTAGACGCGGATATCAAGCTCTTTACATGCGACGTTACGAATCCATCTGCAGTCTACTCAGCCGCAGAGAAAGTAAAAGCAACATTTGGTGCTCCTACTATTCTCATCAATAATGCTGGGATCCTTGCAGCACATACCATTCTGACGACGTCTGATGATTATCTCCGGAAGATTTTCGACGTCAATGTACTTAGTAACTGGTACACGACCAAGGCATTCCTCCCAGATATGCTTCGAAACAACAAGGGTCATATTGTGACGGTTGCCAGTCTTGCAAGTTATGTTACCGTCGCTGGAATGGTAGACTACACAGCCACCAAGGCGGCCATCTTAAGTTTCCATGAAGGTGTGTTTTCCAACTTTATTTCTTCGTACGTTGAGCTAACTTGTGAATAGGGCTCAATCAAGAGCTCCAGCTTCATTACAATTCACCAAATGTTCTCACGACATCGATTCATCCTAATTGGGTTCGCACACCACTGCTCGGACCCTTGGAATCGGCAATTACGAGCCAAGGCTCTGAGATTATCGAGCCTGCGGCTGTGGCTGACACGATTGTCGACCGTATTGTTAGCTGCACCGGCGGGCAGATCTGCTTGCCGAATAGTGCAGGTAAGGCGAGTCTGCTAAGAGGACTGCCGAATTGGATCCAAGAAAGCGTGAGGAGTGAACCCAGCAAGCTCATCTTCAACAATGTAAAGTGATAGCAAATGATACAGAAGTCAGTTCATATTTCCACATGATGCCGCTCCTCCACATTGTGCGGCCGCCATGCAACCCTGACAAGCAAGGCGCTGAGCTCGGCGAAACTTATGCAACGACACACAACGGGTGGTGACACGAGTATGACTTGCAGCTGCCAAAATACCGCTTTGAGTAGGTTCTGGTCGAAGGTGTTGAACACTGCATGCAACGTGCCGTGTACGCATGAAGTGTGTGTGGGCTCTTGCCGCGCTCCCGTACCCTTCACATCGTTAGCGGCTCGGTGAATCGCGTGGAAAGCACCGAGAAACGCGTCGCGTCTCCTCTACAATAAACCACTTAACTACCCCGTCATTAACATCACAATAGCGTTACATCATTTACGATAATTTCAAATATGGCAGAACCACAAGAGGACGTGCAAATGGACCCGCAAGAGATTGAGTTGGAGACACCCCCTTCGGACGTTTTCATGGCACCGTCAATTACCAAGTCGGAGATTCTGGGGGGAAAGTCATACTCGCATTTTTCGCCAATACCGAAGCAAATTGCGGACAACATGTCTGGAGAAGTCGTACTAGGTGTGGACGAAGCCGGGCGAGGCCCTGTACTGGGTAAGAGGTCACCACCAAACTAGAGGCAATGCACCCCTAACAATACCAGGCCCAATGGTCTACGCCCTTTTCTATCTACCGATTGAGCTGCACCACTCCCTCCTCGCTGATACCCACCACTTTGACGATTCCAAGGTCCTGACGCCTGAAGTACGTTCCAACCTCATGCGCAAACTATGCACAAAAGGCTCAGATCTCTACGACGCTGGAGGGTGGGCTACACGGTTACTGTCCGCACAAGACATCTCAGCGCATATGCTGTCACCTTCGGTGTACAATCTGAATGCGCAAGCCATGGACGCGACGATCGATTTGATCAAGGGTGTGTTGGCGCAGGGGGTCAATGTCACGGAGATCTACATCGACACCATTGGCAAACCAGAGATTTACCAGAGAAAGCTGGAACGAATATGGCCTACTATCCGCATCACAGTAGCCAAGAAAGCCGACAGTCTGTATCCCGTTGTCAGTGCCGCGTCGGTGTGCGCAAAAGTGACCCGAGATGCGGCTCTCGATGTCTGCTACGAGCCTTACCACAACCGCAACAACGAGGCAGAGCGAGGCACAGATGTCAAGGTAGCCTGGGGATCGGGATATCCATCTGATGCACGGACGACGACCTGGTTGAAGCAGAACATGGATCCACTATTCGGTTGGGGCAGCGAGACTCGTTTCTCCTGGGGTACGGCGAAAGAGTTGCTAGAAGGGAAGAAGGCCGATGTCTCTATTGACTGGCCAGTAGAAGACGACGGCAACGATATGCGCATGACCGACTTCTTTGTTGGCAAGAACGAAAGCGTCGGCGATGAGCTTGTCGATTGGTTTGGGAAACGCGTTACTGAGGAGATGGAGGTTTTTTGAAGAATGGAGCGAACAAAGCTCGGAAGACTACCCAGCAAATCAAAAAGACATGTTTGGATCGCTACTAGCAGTGGAACTCGACTCGGCATAAGCTGCCGAGTTTAAAGGGAGGCTAAATGCGAGTACCATGTGCACAGCTCATCGACCCAGCCCTACGCCCAACGATACGCACAGGTACCAACAACGGCTTCCCAACACTGCACGCTAGTCTTCTAGGGCTCACCAAACCTATAGCTGAGGCTATACTTGACCCAGCATCAGGCCTGTAAGGAGAAACCCCTGAAAATACTTCAATCAAACACGCAGATAACCGAGGCTCCTTCTTGAAAAACAGCGTAGAAGTACTCCGAATTGCCCCTCTTCGGTAATTCTGCTTGTGTTTTGGTACATGCCTCTATTGGGACGTTTCTTTTGGGTGTCCAAGCTTGCAATGTACACCTGTTGGCAGGGGCTTTATGACAACAGTTGGTAGCGCAACGCACTAGCCACCAACAATCCGCACTTCACAACACCGTGCGACCAATTCACTATATAGGATTCCAGAAAATCGCCTTATTTGGCGACCTCTCGCTTACTCTTACCAACTGTTTTTTATTCTCCGCTTTTCTTTGTCAATCACACAGCTATCGACGTAATCATTTATTACTCAATACCACTACCTCGTCGCATTATTTTTGTCGGAAATTTACATTTCGCCCACATGTTCGCCGATACTTTTGCGAATTTTGCCTTTGGCAAACAAGCTGGCACGACAAGACAGCACAATATGGAAGCACCTTTATTTACGGACTACGCCTTACAGCCGTTTCGCGATACATATGAGCATGATCCAGCCTTCAAGCCCAACGAACCTCTGGAAAAGTGCACTAGAACTAGATGCTTCACACGAAGAGGCGGTATAGCCGATCGCGGAGAAGGCAGCTATTCTACAGCGCCTATCAAACGACGAAAAGCAAGCGATGGCGAGACTGATGGCTTAATTTATCAGAGCGATGCCATCCACGAGGAGCACGAAAGCAAGGATTCCACGAGCCCTCCCTCACCACCACTGTCCCCCAAAACGATAGTGTTACCAAGAATGCGAACAAGGCAGCGAGGAGAGCGCAAACGCAACGGCCACTCACATGCTTCATCGAAGCGCCGGCCGAGCTGGAAACCGAACCTCAAGAACGAGTTCGTACGACGTGGCTCCATCGATGCCATTATGGCGCTCTTCAACGAGCAAGTCTGGTATGACTCAGACATGAATACATGCTTCATAGCAGGGAGAAGAAGAAGCAGTGTACCGGCTACCGAAGGCAAGACAGAATTTGGATTCACCAACACGGATAGAACGAACCAACGTCGGCCCTCAACACTACTACACCCTTCATCGCCCACTCTCGGACCCACAGCAAACTACACATGCTACCAACCAACCCCACTCTCTAGTCCACCGCATAAACAAACCCCGTCAACGGCATCACCTACAAGGCCAACTATGCCCGCGAGAAGAGGCTCATCACTCCTCCACCCATCCCGTCCTTCCAGCGAAATCCTCCTAGAGTCCCCATTGAAAACCATCATAAAGCTACCTCCGACACCGCACAGTAAATCGCAACCCAGAACCCCAACCACCCGTCACGCATCACCATCCGCATCACCGAAACAACGACGCCTACAAAAAAGTACAGAGTTTGTGTTCAAAGTACCAGAATATTCTCTCGATGCTTCGTCATGCGATGTCTCTGGCTCCGCGAGCAAATACCGCAAGGGATCGGTCATACATTCTTGCCTATCGGAGTCGGAGAGTGATGACGAGGAGTTGGATGAACTGCCACCGCTGTATATGGGGAGGTTTAAGTGAGATCATGGTAGGGTTGCGTCAGGCTGCATTTAAGTGTTGTGTGTATATAATCGATGTGAGGTTGGAGGTGTAGTGATGTAGATACTATGGGGGTTTGTGCTTGTAAATATGGGTACTGGATAACTGGAAGGAACGTAGCCTGAATGGTGGGCGTTGGAGGATTGCGTGGATTAGGTGTATGGAGTAAAGAGGAAATAGATTATATAGATATTCGTCATTGATGTTGGGTCTTTGGACTGTGACATGAACATAGAGAAGAGTCAGGTAGCCCTCTTGTAAATAGTATAGATTGAGCTCGTAATTCATCGTCTTTTTCACAATATCATCATGAACTACGAATATAACTAAACGGTGGTATTGTGCGAGTGATGACATATCCACGGGCGCGCTAAGGCCACGCTAGGTATGACTTCCTCATCTTCTCCGAAGCTTTTGCCCTTCCCTATTCTATCCTTCGCTTCGATTCCAGCATAGACTCAAATATGATTGGGTTCAGAGCCTTCCCAGTGAGAGCATCCACCAGAATCTCACCAGCTCCATCGGGCCCATGAATTTCAACAATATTTCGGATATAAGCCGAGCTGAGATCCGACATACCCTGAGCAAGTAACAGGCTACGAGCGGGGACAAACCGAACCACGATCTCTGGATCCTTCCTATTCTTACATATCCATGGGTGACCGCTTTCCCGAAGAGAAACAGAAAGAACATTTCGCGCTTGCTTTTCTAAATCCTCTGGTTTCTGGAAGTCACGTTCGATTATCTGTGCCTGGAGAGGATAAAGGAGCTGTGTTATGACCTGGGTGGCAAACTCGCCTTGCTCGATTCGTGCAAGCAGCCGCTCATATACTTCAGATTGAATCTTCCAGTTCAGGTAATGATGAAGTTTCACAGGCGTACCGTTGTCCGTATGTTGTTCTAACGCCCTCCCTGCGTCGCTAAATACCGATTCCTCCCAGAGCTCACCGCGATGCTGCAACTCGGTAGTGCTGTCCAGACAATCTACGCCCCAAACAGTTACAGGCGAGACGCGGAAACCGTCTTTGGAGATTGCCTCTTCCAACGCTTGCGGGAACTTTTCGTCCAAATAATCTTCCTTCTCGTTGGGGTCTGCCCAACACCAAGGCGAGAGCAATTCATCCGACCAAAGCTGAGATCGTTCGTGTGCCGACAAGACGGAAGTTTTGGGTTCTCCATGATGACGCATCTTCTGTGCGACTCACTTACTAGGCCCAGGGAGGATTGTAGCAGCAACGGCGTTTTCAAACGATGATCGGAAGAAGGCGTGCGTTAGCAACAGTTTGTGTCCAAGATGCGGCGGGTTGAAGGAACCGGTGAAGAGGATTATAGTGTTTGTAACTTCGCTTCGTAAGTTAGGAGCCGCTGCGTATCCTGGATGTGGTTTGAAGATCGCTGATGGAGTGTAGTGGTATACTTTCTCTATTGCGGCTCGCATGTAGGGTTCAAACGCGGTAGTGCGAACAGGTACCGGAGTTGTTTTCGACATGTTTGAGTTGTCAAGTTGAAGTCGAATTTTACTCTAACTAATTATTCCAAGTTTTTATGTTCCATAGCGTGCCATAACAGTCTCAGGAGATCCCTAAGACAGTGTTTAGGCTCAAAATTGCGCTTAGAACATCCATGACAGCACTAGAAAATACGCCTAACAGATTTCCAGGCTCTAAATTTAGTATCTATCCCAAGGTAAAGGAATCCTGGAGATGAATATCCACTGGTGCATTCCCACACTGGACGTACAATCACTTAACACACAATGTTTTGGGTACACAACGTATATCATTGTGTAGGGGCAGTGTCGTAGACGACACGAATAGTACGCAGCACTATGAACGAAAAACATCCAACTCTACACAAGTGAGAGCACAGCGTATTATACATGAAAAGCTTCAACGATTTATATATACCCCTTCTATCTGTACCTTTCATAACCATACCTATCCCTTTCAACACAACCAAGAACATCCCTTTCAACACAACCAAGAACATCCCTTTCAACACAATCAAGAACATGCCGCAAATCACCGAAGATCAGTATGACGCTCTGCATGACGGAGGCGAGATCCAGATCGCTCGATTTTTCGAAAACAACCCTGAGTTTCTAGAACCCAACGACCGCACTCGGAAAATCTGGCAGGATATCAACGATGATGACGAGCTTCCCCTCTCAGCCGTATGGGACCAGTCTCTCGCTTGGACACAGCTGTTCATCACCGGGCCAGACCCATCAGACCGTGACGCCATTAAGGCCGTCACTACCGTGATAAAGCATGAACTCATCTTCAATTTGAGCAGCATTCACAACGCCGGCGTATTTGACGTGGGAAAACAGTTGGGTGGTCGCTGGATGATCATTCGCGGTCTCAACAACGATGGCTGCTGCAACCAAGGCGTTTACTTTGTACAGGACGAGACAAACGCAGAGACGTGTGTTATGAAAGTGCTTTCCACAGAAGCCATGGGGAGTAACGATGCTGCGCGAGAAATTGGAGTTCTCGCCCGTCTTTCCCATCCAAATATCGTGTGTCTTATTGATAGTCATGTACCGGATCCTACTCAGCGCCACGCGGCACCCTGGCTGGTGACTGAGTACTGCAACGGCGGCACACTAAACGACTTCATTATCTCGTGGAAGGAAAAGAAGGAATTCGTGCCGGAAGCTTGGGTGTGGCATATCTTTGAGTCTCTGGTCGCTGCTGTTCGGTACCTGCATTGTGGGCCTGAGGATTCGTCACAGGAAACATGGGGGCCTATCATCCACCGCGACATCATCCCCGGCAACATCTTCCTCACATACCCAGATCCATCCAACACCAACCCCGACCCAGCCTCTTCCACCGCACCACCCTTCACCATCACCCTTGCCGACTTCGGTTGCGCAATGCCCTACTCCCCCCCGGAAACTAAACTCCCAATCATAGACCCAGAGTACTGCCCCCCTGAAGGCTCAAAAGCCGCAGAGCCAACAGACATATACCAGATCGGCGTCGTGCTGATGAATATGTACTGTATGATCGATTGGCCTGTTCAGGAGAAGTCAAAGGCGGCGGCTTTGGAGCGAGGCGACTGTTGGCCGGGATGTAAGGGATATTCGGAGAATTTGCGGTGGTTGCTGGGGAAGTGTGTTTGTGAGGATCCCGCGGGTAGGCCGGGGGCCGAGTGGTTGTTGGAGGTTATTCGGCAGGCTAAGGCTGGATTATAGGTGGTTTGAGTGATATATATCACACAAAGGTAAGTGAGTGCGTCATTGATTGAAGAGTTTAGTTTATGTTTCAGCCTGTACGGTCGATATATTAGAGAATTTATTTTTCTGTTTTGCATATTACAAGAATGATCCCCAAAAACTTTGAACAAGTGATAAAATCTTGAGTTTCTGTTTCTGATCCCACTACTAAGACAACACAGCCATCGCCCTTTCCAAGAACCTTTTCACACCCCTTACTTCCCAACATGTTCCCTAATCTCCTTGCCCTCCTCCTTCTCAAACACACCATTCTGTCCCGCAGCAACAACCGAGCTTCTCCTCCTCTCCGCGTCCATAGCCTGCTCCGTATCCGCATAATCGATGAGCAACTCGCCACGCTTATCGTACCTATGCGGCATATTGTTTGCCACGCTCACAACATCGAAGGCGCCCGTAGTCTTGTGGAAGATCTCATCCATTTCCTCGAGCGAGCGGTACGCGGTTTCTGGGAAGAAGAAGTAGACGGAGGGAACCATTGCGGCGTTTATGACGGCGAAAATGATGTAGGTTTTGTAGCCGATGTTTGCGAAGGCGGGGGGTGTGATCATTACGACGAGGAAGTTGAAGATCCAGTCTAGTGGGATATGTGTTAGCATGGTTTTGTGAAGTATGAGATACGATTAAGTGACTTACTGGCTGTAGTAGAGATTGCATTTGCAGGGGCACGGATAGAGAGGGGCGTGATTTCAGCGGGGTACAGCCATGTCATGCCTAGCCAGCCGACGGCGAAGAAGGAGTTGAATACGAATAGGAAGACAGTCTACATGTACTCTGTTAGTATATACCGATTTTGAATGTTGACATATGTTACTTACGGCCAGGAGTCCCAAGCTCTTGTTACCAATGTTGCTGGTAGCGCCGGCTAAGACGGCCATGGACATTGACATTCCCGCAGCACCGAATATCATCAAGGATCGACGTCCAAACTTTTCAATTGTGAAGATGGCGATCCAGCTGGCGATCCAGTATTCGGTGCCGTTGCAAGCGGATAAGAGACGGCTGAGGAAGGGCGAGAGACCGATGGAGTTTTCGAAAATGGTGGCTGCGTAGTAGGTTACGAGGTTGATACCGGAAATCTTTGCTTTAGTTAGCAGTGAGTCTCGTATACCGTGAATTGCAATCTTACCTGCTGGAACATTTGGTTGACGTAAGCCAACACCGTGCGGTGAAAGTTGCGGTTCTTGTTCATCTTGAAGCAGTCCCTGAATCCACCACGAGCCATTTCTAGAGTAACATCCTTGACAGCCTGGAGCTCGGCTTGGATCTTCTTATCGGTAGGAGGCAGGTTGCTGAGCGCAGCCAAGACCTCCAAAGCCTCGTCCTCACGACCCTTCAAAACCAACCAACGCGGACTCTCAGGTAGCCCCGGAATCAAAGCCAGAATGAAGAGTGCGAGAATAATCTGAAAGGCGATGGGGAAGCGCCAGGCGATACTACTGGGTTCGAGGAAGGAGAAACCAAGATCGAGCCAGTAACTCAGCATGACGCCAAACACAATCATGGAACCCTCAATCATGACCATCTGACCTCTACGATGCGGTTTTGACGTTTCAGACTGCCATGTTGGGACCGTACTTGTGTTCATGCCGTTGCCGAGGCCGGTGATCCAACGTCCGACGATGAGTTGAGCAAGACCGAATGACGCAGTTTGAAGAATGGCTCCTACGACCATGATAGCAGAACCAATGAAGATTGTCTTTTTACGTCCGAGCATGTTACCGAGCCAGATGGTAGCTACGGCACCGAAGAAGCAGCCGAGCGTGTATGCGCCGACTATTGTATGTATTAGCGATGAATCATTGCACGATCTTTTGAATATATGGACACTAACCAGTGATGGCTTGGATCGTTGCGGCATGGCTTGTCGAACTTCCTGGAGGCGGGTTGACGCTGTCGATTTCCGGGAAATACTTGACGAACGACTTCAGTGTGAGCAAACCGCCCATGACACCTTGATCTACTCGATTGTCAGGTCGTGTTGTAACCAAAATCTCATAGTAATTGCATACCATAACCAAAGAGCGCAAAGTCCGTTCCTGCGATCACCGCAATAGCCACATTGAGCTGCGTGCCTTTGAGGCCGTAAAACTTCCCCATCTTTGAAGCTTGCCAGGGTGTTTGAACCAGACCGGGAATAAAACAAAATAACAGCGTAAACACCAATGCGGCAGGCCAAGCTCGTTTGCAAAAGTCGCGTACAAAAGATGGGAAGCAACAAAAAGATATGTTTTTACTAAGCGGGCGCGACAGCCCCGTCCTCTTAAGAGAAAAAAAGAAGCACTCGCGACTCTGCTGTGTCAATGCAACCCTAGAGTCCGTTCACACACCCCATCCCATGTACGGTAGGTAATGCAAGCGCGCCAGCGCTACTGCCATAGTTTCTCTCGCGTTATTCCCCACAATCGACTCCCCGTCATGACGTGTGTTGATTGAGCCGCAGATGATCTCAACCCCGTGGAGTTTGGCGTGCGGAGAAAGGCACGCTAAACGCTGGGTATGGGGGACGGCAAGGTTGCCGTTTGTGATTTGATCGAGCCAAACATTTCATCCGTGGATAACAGCCGGCTTGCCTTGTTGAGTCTTTCCGGCGCGTTATGATGTCGCCAGACTGCCTGTTCTGTTCGCGACGTTGCTTTGCTAAGCATTGTGGAGCCGGAGAGGGACCGACGACTCGGCACAAGGTCAAGGAATTGCTTGTCGGATTGCCGAGAAGCGTATTCCGTCGTCATCTTAAACAAGCCTCCTAAGACGACTCAGCGAACCCTCGTAACGAACGTATCGAAGCCCGTTGGAACCGCGTACCTGTTGTTGTTTCCGTGATGGCTCAATTGCCGGAATCGCTGATCCAGATCATCAGGGACACATGCGACCACGCGACAAGGCGAAGTTTGCTCGGGGGCCACGTTCAAGACTGTGGAGTCGACCAGCTATCTGTGGAGAAATCTAACCAGACTAGGTCGACATGGAAATTTCGCCAGTACAAGTCTGGACCTTGAAGCGCCCTGACCGCAGGTAAAATAGCAATCCATCCCATCATGCCATCGTCATTGTTGTTGTTGGATTCTCCACCCCAAGTGGACCTTTTGCGGATGCTCTACCCTTCAAGTATCGTGAACATCGATCGGAGGATAAGTACTTACCCTTTAAACCTCAAAACATGACGCCTTCTTCACAATCTACAGTTTTTAGGTAAAGCAGGTAAACAAGCAAATAACATATTCCATCAGCTCAGCATCTAAACAATCTCTAAATAGCAAGTATGCCGCAACCGGAATCCAAAAGCCAAAACGCCCAGGTTGTTCCCAGTCAAAAACATCGGAACGAGGCTAGACTATTAGCTCCTAATTAACTAGCCCTCAGATTGCTCGCCTCGTATTCTATGTACTGCGGTATCACTTCCCCTGCACTTCTACCGGTACACACCCAACCGGCCTCACAACCCCAATCCCAACCCCATCCACCACCTCCCCATTTGCTACCGACGTCCAAACCCGCCCCACATACTCATTACCCACAGCAGCCCCTGCTCCCACTACCTTCCTACACCCATCCTTCATAGCACAAAGCCTCGCCTTATTCCCACACTCACACTTCTTCTCCGTCTTTTTCTCCGCACCAACTTCCCGTGCCATATGCAACTTCCGTAGAACCAGCTTACCCGCGCGACGCAGACACCGCGTCGAGGTATCTTGGCTAGCGGTCACAGGCTCGACGAGGCCTACGCCGGCGAAGATGCCGGTGCGTAATTCGGGAGGGGAACCGATGGAGAGGGTGGGGAGGGTTTCGTCGTCTTCTTCTGTTGGACAGAGGATGGGGAAGAGAGATGGGGAGTCTGGGTAGATGGGAGAGTAGGACTCTGTAGCTTCGGTGTTGGCTGTGTGTGATGAAGACGATGGGGAGTCTGGGTAGGTGGGGGAGTCGGGCTCTGTGGTATTGGTCTTGGCTGTGTGTGATAAAGAAGATAGGCTAGTGTGCTGGTAAAGTGATGGGTCTGGGGATTCTGGGATGTCAGTGTCACTCACTGCTACGAGCTGTAGTGCAGGAAGAGGGGGCAACTCATAGACTCGGGTGTACGACTGCGTTGGTAAGGCAAAGTTTCTGTAGTTAAAAGACATGGTTAGCACTGATTACGGGAACAGAAACACAGTCAAGCTGGGAAATTTGTTATATGAAATGCATTGTCGTTCATTATGAAGCAAGACAAACATTGTACTATAATGTGTCACAGTGCTCTAGCGTGAGTCTACATGAATCATCGGGATGTTATGCGAAGTAATGATATCGGCGTGAATCGACAAACTCCAAAACTTTTGGATTTCCGCTTGCTGAAGGCAATAAAATATGAACCTGGCATCCCAACGATGAATGCCAATAGTATGTGGGGTATTATATGCGCATAGTCTCTCTCGCAGCAGGCTCCCTCTCCATTTCGTACTCGATTCCAACCTTCGGGCCCTTTGAACCCTTGGAAGGCTTCTTCTTGGGTTTCGGCGGTGGCCCAGCGGGACGCTTGCGCTTAAGGTTCGCGAGGGTCTTCTTGAGTGCTTCGGCATCCTCATCCGCTGACTCATCCTCGTCCTCTTCACTGCCAGTGCCGCTCTCATCGTCATCGTCGTCGTCACCTGAGCCTTCATCTGGGCTCTGTCCACCGATCCAGTCTTCAAAGTCCTCCATATCATCGTCGGACTCTCCTTCTATGTCGCTCACGTATTCGACCTCGCCGACGCCATTCTCCATCTCCTCTTCGTACTCGTTCTCTTCGTCTTCCTCCTCGATACCGTCATCTAGGTCTTCGTCGCCCTTGAGCTGACCCTCCTTCTGCAGTCCTTTCATGACTCGTTTCCAGACATTTGGCTCAACGTTGATCCTGTGATTCAGTCAGTCTCACATCGAGAAAATGAATTCCGTAATATGCATGAGAGTGACAGAGCTCATTGAAAAGTTGTTGTTGTTGTTGTTGTTGTTGTTTTTGGTCATCATTGGAAGACCTCAGGGTTAAAAAGCAATTGATAATCATAGCAGAGAGGGTAGCAAAGTGGGATGAACTTACGGTCGGTCACCATACGCGCCACTGCGCAGACGATCGATAAGGACTCGCTCGATAGCACGCTCAACCTTTGCGGCCGCAAGCGCCTTGCGCTCACGTCCTTCCTCTCGCCGGCGAACCTTGGGTGCAAGCCTGGGTACAAGCCTTTCACCCAGGCGCTCTTCTTCCTTTGCTAATCTCCTTATTCGCAGGTTCACCTGAGTAAGGCGCGTCAAGCGCTGCTTATTCTTGTGAACGAGGAACTTTGGGAAGTAGGCAAGGTGTTGGTCTACGAGCTCCAGCGCTTGAGCGTAATTCTTGGGAAGTTTTATCTTCTCCCACCACTTGGAGGGAAGGTGCGATCGCTCGATGGCCTTGATGTATAGGTAGAGTTCGCCGGTCGCAGAATCCGATCTTATGGTAGCATATCTTGAGTTTGCCAGAGGACAGCTCTGTCTTGAGCAGTAACCGGAGACGTTGTGTTCATTGCGACAAAAGGTCTGGTCCTTGGTAGTCTTGAGCTTGAACGAGCAAAAGTCGGTGCCAATAATGGACCACACGAGATCGTCGGAAGCCATGGTGTGGTTCGTGGCGCGTTGTTGTTGGTGGCGGCGTGGTGATTGAGTTCTGGTAGAAGCTGTCGCAGCCGTCCTGAGGGCGCTCGAGAAATAATTCTTAGCGCGCCAAGATTTCGAGAACCGCTGCACGGGCCCTCTGCGGAGGACGCCGGGGGTGCAGCGAACCACAAACGTTATGAGCATGCAATAACTCAGCTCGGGATGAGAACTGTCGTCTCTTCTCTCCGTCGCAATCAACTCGGTCGATACAAAGCGTCCCATCTTTTCAAATCCAGCATTTGCCGTCTCATTGGACCACGAAGACAATTACTACACAATGCACCCCTCAATCATATCCAGCCCACGTTGAGAATACCCCAATATCGTCTTTACCATTATGCTCACGATGAGCCGACAATATACGCCCTTTCAACGGCCTCTGGTAGGGCTGCGATAGCCGTTATTCGCATCTCCGGGCCAGCATGTAGGAAGGTGGGCCATTCCTTCCAACACATCCCATAGCCAGTCACTCAATCCTAGTCAGATATATGAAGGACTCTGTCCCTCCACTGCCTTTCCAAAGCCTCGATATGCGACTCTACGCAAACTCTACGCCCCAAATCTTCCTCCTTCGCCGACGACGATACTGGATTCCGGCGCACTCGTGCTATACTTCCCTGCACCAAACACCGTAACTGGTGAAGATGTCCTCGAATTGCATGTACACGGCGGTCCAGCCATTGTTCGTGCAGTACTGGCAGCAATACCAGAGTGTGCGACAGTACCAGGAGGTTCTGCGCCAATGCGCACGCGAATCCGGTACGCTGAGCCAGGAGAGTTTACACGCCGAGCTTTTGCGAACAATCGCATGGACTTGCCCCAGATCGAATCGCTCAGAGAGACATTGTCAGCATCAACTGAACAGCAGCGGAAGCTGTCTGTCAGGGGCACAACCTCGTCTTTAGCTGCGCGGTACGAGCACTGGCGCATGCTTCTGCTGCAGGCGCGAGGCGAGCTGGAGGCCTTGATCGATTTCTCCGAAGACCAGCACTTTGACGAATCGCCCGCCGTCCTGTGCGCCTCTGTCGCAGCACAGGTCGACGCCTTACGTGTGCTCATGGAAGCGCACGTTGCGAATGCCGTTCGCGGAGAATTACTGCGCAACGGGATCAGCGTCGCCCTGCTGGGGGCACCCAATGCAGGCAAGAGCAGCCTGCTGAACCGTGTTGTTGGGCGAGATGCCGCGATTGTCTCACAGGAGGCGGGAACGACGCGGGACGTGGTCGAAGTTGGATTAGATTTGGGCGGGTGGCTTGTCAAGATTGGCGACATGGCTGGTCTGCGCAAAGCTGGTCTCGTGGGTGCGGATGTCGTTGGTGTAGTCGAACAGGAAGGTATTAGACGCGCAAAACAGCGAGCGCTTGAGTCGGACGTTGTGATTGTCGTTCAAGATGCCACCGCTGATATGGACCAAGAGGTGATGGAGACAGCAAAGCAATGCGTTGATTTAGGCATCGACGTGATAGTCGCCATCAACAAGACTGATCGTCTTCCTGCATTCTCTACTGCGCGCTCGGCATGGGAGGAAAAGATCCAGTCCACACTGGGCATTTCCAGCGATCGTATATGCTTCATTTCTTGCAACGAAACCACACCCACCGCTGGCAACATCAAGTCTTTCCTAGACATCCTACAAAACACCTTCCAATCCATGACTGCCGCACTAGTCCCCGATTCCGATCCCGACCCAAGTATCTGGCAAGAATCCCTAGGCGCAACCGAACGCCAACGTCTCCTCCTCTCCGAATCCCTCAGCCACCTCTCCACTTTCCTCACAACCGTCGCCAATCCCACAACAGTTAATCTTGCAGCCTGTGAATCAGGCGCTGGCGAGGCAGACGAGGTCGACATAGTGGTCGCAGCAGAGTGTCTCCGCTCAGCAGCCGACGCGCTGGCCCGCATCACGGGCCGGGGCGACAGCGGCGACGTAGAAGAGGTATTGGGGGTCGTTTTCGAAAAGTAAGTCGTCACGCTATCCCCATCTCTTTGTGTTCCTTTTGCCACTCCGTCCCGTGGTTGCAGGCCGGCCAGACTTGGCAAGGCGTTCTGTTACCTTGGCCCCATTTCCCCTGTGCGTCAGACGGTCCTCTCCCGGAAAAAAGGGGCGAAGATGGGGGCTTCGATGGGGAAAGCCACGACGGTTATAGCAGGGTGCATGTCTGTGCGGTGGTTTTTGTGCTGGCGCTTCCAGCGGTCGCGTAACCGATGGGTTTCTTTCCCCGTTGTGGGTCCCGCTTTACGTGAAGGGCATGTGATGGGACATTTTGCTGACGATGCCGCTTTTGTAGGTTTTGCGTCGGAAAGTAACTTGTTACTTTCATGAATTCACAGACCAAGTACGAGTGAGACATGGATACGTTGTATTTGCCGCTCTGTCTGGGTAAAGAAAAACCACGATCTAGCTAACGAAAAATACACGAACAAGTTCATGAAACAACACTGCAATATGGGTTGAAAAGATAACAGCAGAAACAAAGTCTTTGATTCCAGGTTGAAAAATTGTGCGCAACAATAAAATCATTCCAAACGCCATAGTCCCAGTCCCAACCCTGAAACCCAGTTCAAGAACCCAAACTCCATGCTTAATATACCCATTTCATCCATCTGTTTGCCCGTAACCCATAACCCATGATGCGTATACCCATAGCTCAATGAAGAGCAGTTCCTGGATATCTCAGTCTTCCGATCTAGTAGTAAAACGCCGTGCTAAAAAAGAAACCCATGACCGAATCCCAACCCGATAGACCGATGGGTCTTGTGTCCCTGAACTCCGATACTTGCTAAATGCTTTAGATGAAGAAACGATATGGTGATTGTACATTGTGGTGAATAGGAAATGGAGATAGAAATAGTGAAGTGGGGTGGTGGTACAGTGGGGAAAGTAGAAAGAAATGTTGAATGGATGCTCAAGTGGTGGGGTGAGCTAAGTGGGAGAGGAAGGTTGGTGGTAATGTGATGTGTTGTGGTGATGGGGTATCCATCGTTCGAGGCGCTGTGTATGGGTGATGTGGCGTGGGTGGTGGCGGTACTGGATGGCGGTACTGGGTTGACGGATAGTTGCCATCGTGAATCAAGCCACGCCGTAATGTCACTGCTGATGATGTTTCAGAGTGCGGGAGCAGCCGTTGGGCTTAGTTGTAGCCGCCGCGGCCCATGCTGGAGAACTCTTCCTGGGGGTTTGTTGGTGGGGACATGTTGGTTCTTTGGAGTTTGTTGGTTCGAGTATAGAACGGTATGGTGTGTTGGACTGGGAGATGGGTTCTGTGTTGTTGATGTCGTCGTTTAGTTGTATCCACCACGGCCCATTAGGAGATAGAGTGATGTAGTGTTGGTGTGGTAGTAGTCTCAGCCAAGAGGTGTCCTGGAATGAAACAATGCTGATGAAGGGGCGAACAAGTATACGACCAAGGAGTGGCAAGTGACTGATGTTGCTGATGAAACAAGGGACGATGATGGAAGAGTGAAGAAAGGTCGAATGTGGTGATGTGATGACTGGAATGAACTGACTCAACGAGAGAGGCGACTTGACTTAAATGAAACAAGAGGCCGACAAAGACACCCAGACTAGCAAGATAGAAACCCGGACTAGAGAAAGAAAGAAAGGGCGTTCGTGTTGTGACTAGACTAACTGACTGTTCTTTGCCTGCTTCTCGGCCAGGCATCCAAACCGTCTTTATACCGCACTGGTCACATTCAGGGCTCACAGTTCCCCTAGACCATCCAACCACAACGGCGGAACGGTGGCGGCCCTCCCTGGCTCAAGCCACGCACAAGGCATCTAGTCATCAATCCCGTTACTCTCCGGACCGTCTGCGCAGCAAGCGATGTCTTCTGTATGGATAGACAGGAATAAGTTCCAGGGTCCGTGGGTGGGTGGGTAGCGTGGCAGTGAGAAGAAGTAGGGCCCGCGGCGGGTGGGAGCTGGGGCATGGAGCCGCAACGCACAATGCACGGACAGACATGGAATAAGAAATGGGCGTGCGCGGCTGATGAGCCCCGGCCGCTTTTGCTTACATGGAAACATACGGAATCGCGACTCGAGTTGGTGGATTGGTCGGGCTGCGGAAATGCGATTGCAAAGCAGATGGAGGTGGCATCGGTCCTCGTGGTCGGTGATTCACAATCGACAAGATGCCGGTCGGAACGTCGGTCGGTACTTACTTCTCGCGACGACATGTGTGTCTGCCTGCCGCCCAGAGCGACCATATTCCTCTTCCACCACGCTGCATCCTTACTTTCCCCCACGCCATGACGAACGGGTCGCGTACTGTCTTGTACCAGCGCGGTTAGACTTTCCATTGCATGTGCACGGTACAGTCATACAAGCATCATCACGCCCAGCATCTTTTCCTACATCAGATAGCGTACCTGCGCATTCACTCCAAATCGCAACAACCCTCACCGAAAGAATGCATCCAATTCATCGTTTGCGATATGTCGTTCTAGATATGGCAACGAGAATCTCGAGTCAATTATCGCATCGTCGTACTGCTACTCGTCACTCCACTATCTAGCCAACGAGTGCTGTGCCGTACCTCGCTTCAGCGGGGCTGCATTCCGTGGACGAGGCCCTTGCCGTGTCACTAAGTACACTAATGCCTGCAAGCCATGTGCGAGCGCAAACTACTCCGCCGTGACGTTACAACGTACCGTTCCAAACCTGAGGCCGCCCCATGGGCCTGGTTCGTCTGAAGCACCGAATCGAGCAGTCATACTGGCCGAGATTGCTGTTTCCAACCCACCGGGGGGTACAGTCCATGGCGTAGCGTTTGAGCCTTACCCGAACGCCCATATGCCTGCTGCGTCTTCGACTGGGACGCTCGACTCATATGCCCGACCGTTGGTGCCTGGATAATGGGTCGTCCTTCGTATATGCAGCTGTCTCCGACATGTGTAGCCACACTGTGAATGGCTCCGACTACATCGACTATTGAGAGAATGCGCAGTTGACTGTTTTCCAATCAAGGTTAGCTGCCGTTGTGGGATACCAGCTTGATTGGAAACGCCTCCACATCGATATCCTATGATGCAGGAACAGACCTGCTTGTGCACCTGCTGAAAACCGTGGTAACATCAACAACAGGGCTGTGAAGTCATGATTCCCGATGACCATGTGACTCGCGTGGGGAAGCGAGAAACGCTTGTACATCTTACACTACGACTGGGCGATGAGAATGACTACATTCACTCTGGTCGCGCACAGACTTCATTCACACCAATCCAATCAATCTTCGGACAGCGAGCTACGTCGCAAGATTTACCGAAGCCATTGGGCTGCAATAATCCACCTGATACGCCCTATCATTGCAATTGCCTGGGCCCACCGTTCAGCAAAAGGCAACATGTGAGACTTACCCAATACCTCATTCACACCCACTCACGTTGGCTCGGATCCCCGGTCCCCTTCGGCATCGGGAAATGCGCCACGTTAGTGTAACCGGCAAGCTGCCCAGCCCATGAGCGCGAGCCTGTATTACGGGTTCCCGGCACCGTGGTCAAGGATACTCCTCGCCAAAAGAGGCAGTACGGCTGCGAAAGAACCACCCCCGAGGGTGCCTATCTATGGGACGCCGAACGACCTACGATCGGTATCCGGTGCCATGGAAACCGAGGTAAACGAGTGGGTTTATTTCCCAAAGCAGACATGACCTTGGCACCACAAGGCACAAGGCTGTCCTGCAGGCGCACTTTTGATCGTAGATACAAGTTTGCAATATCGCCAAAACATGCTTGACAACGAATCAACGCGATAGGCGCATATCCCATCCCTCGCTATCCCGGATAAATCGGTTCGGTTTCGGTTCCAGCGTCTTGCAAAATAGATCCCAGCGTCCAGGAGAAATAAAATACAACATATTGTTGAGAAAGAATGACTCTCTCAGTCATGGCATGTAAGTGTGTCAATTGCTAACTATACAAAGCTCGGCTAATATAGAGCGGTGTGGGTCATGTGACTTAGCGTCCTCGTGACAGGTGACCGGAATATTCTCAACACATATCAATAGAACTATGTGTTTTTTGTACGCGCCCGTCTCGCAGCATGTCACTCTCCCGGCGATGATTGACCGACCGTTCGAACAGACTGCAAGGCTCATATTCTGCAGGTCCCGAACATCTAGCCATGTACGAGGGCCCCAAAAATAGGACCACCTTATCCACACCTTACACACATACATCCCACGTGCAAAAATGCATCTGGATGGACAACTTCAAACAAGCGCGACAAGCGCTTGTAGGGCTTATAGGGCTGACTGCGCCATAAGGTCATGTCAGGTTCAAGTCAGCACCTGCACCTGCATTCTCCCAATCCAGCAAGTCCGCCAGCCCCCCTGGTCCGATATGCTTTTTCCATTGGACACACGGTGCTGCAGGGTTAAGGCTCGGCTATGTGGGTATTTTGGGATCTACATGTGTCAGCTGCAGTAGGATTTTTGCCTCTTTGGGTGGTATTTGGGTGCATCTTAGGTTGGGCTGCGGGGATGGAGACCGAAGATGGGTTATTTTAGGGTCATTTTAGATGGACTGATGGATGAGTTTAGCTAGGTTGGGTTTGAGCACGTGATGGGTAGGCGGTAGGATTGGTAACCTAGAGAGAGTGCGTGTGTATACGTGGTCGTTGGGTTTAGACTTGTTTGGATTATTAATCTATGGGGACAATTTTGGTCCATCGTTCTATCTGTTCTCTAAATCTACCTTTTCGCCTTGGAAAGTTTCTGCCTGAATCTCGCATTACTTGGGCGTTTTTGGTCGTACAAAATTTCCATTGCCTTCTCAAAACAGACCATTACATGTCGCCACTAACCTCTGACCACTAACCACCAACCCCCTTCCCCCTCTACCATCTCCATATCCATATCCATCTCCAGTTGCCTTCCTACCTTACTCTCCGGAAAAAATCTGCCTGAAAACGCCCTCCCTCGCACCTACCCCATCGCCCATGACCCATCCCACAGCCTCACCCACCGACCCACCTACCTCTTCTGTACAACAAGCATCCAACCTGAAACCCTCCGCACCCCCAAAATACAAATTTTCAAACACGCGCCACACCTGAACATAGTCATACCTCTTGCACAGCCTCTCATCTACTCTGTCCAGGAAAAGAACAAGAAAAATAAATGATCGGCGTAGGGCTGTACAGGGCGGGTGGTGGTGTTACACAAGGTGGGTGAGAAAAGTAAGCAGGCTGGGTTTGGGCGGGGTTCTGTGTATATGTTATACAGAGTAAACTATAATGGTGGTGGTGGTGGCGAAAAGGAAGAATTGCAGGCAGCTTTGGATGATGGGTGTGGGTATGGGTTAGGGGAGGTAGATTGATGATGATACATACAGGGATGATTAGTGAGCAGGCAAGAGTCATAATCATGAGTTCTTTCGACTCATATTGTATCAAGACTTCTCAATGCCTGTCTGACTTTTACGTGTTACACACTCCAACTCCTCATGGTGCGAGTACTGATTCTGTTCCTCGCATACTCCAACCCTATACATGCATGTATCAAGCACACTGTATGGTAAAACAAGCTAGTTCTCTAATGAAGATGAACATTCTAGTACGCTAGCAGAAACAAGACCATCTACCATATGGGCGTACCTGCGCCTATCCAAGTACGCAAGCACCCTGATGAGGAAGCGTACTATGTTCGAAAGCGAGGCATGTCTTATCACACACGTCTACCACACCCCATTCCCCTCATATCCCTGGTCCATCCCCAATCTCATCCTAACCCTTGCACCCGAAACTCCCGCAGATATCCCCTTCTACTCCCTACCTCCCGGTACCCTCCGTCCTAGATAAACATCGAAAGCCCACCCATCCGCCTCCCCATACCACGGTGCAGACCTAAAGTCCCACCTATCCAGCCCCCTTGGGAAGCTATGCTGATGCAACATCTTCACCCTATTCGCCATTGTATGTAAATCCACACCGTGTTCCCTCGCCACAGCCACCGCGCGTGTGAACCAGGGTGTATCTCTATCCTCAGGTGAGATTTCAGGGGGCGTATAATCTTCGTCGTAAACCGGCCAACCTTTACGTTCAACGTCTGCTAGGCAGATAGCTTCTAGCGGCCGTTTTGGCTCGCCTTCTTCGAGATATCGTCCTGTGACTAAGCCAATCACTGCGTTCTCGAAGCCGACTTTTGCGTTGGGTTCCCAGTGAATATGCCTATCTGCTAGGCCATCCCAGAGAACCAGTACCTCGAGTGTTTTCGGGAGACGCAGGGCGAAGAAACGCTCAAGCCATGCGCCGTCTGTCTCGTCTTCCTTTTTGCCAGTTTCGGCTTCATAGAAAGCATCGAGCTCGGTGTCTTGAGTGTTCATGCAGACCTGTTTCAGGGTTGTGAACTTCTCCAATTCTGCTGGGCGGAAGGCGTGGCAGCGGTAGCCGCGGATGTGTTCGCTATTATCGTGATTGGAGCCAAAGCCGTAGAACATGAGACTTTCCAGTGTGTGATTTTGGTAGTATTCGAGTGGAGTGATAATCATATCTGCGTCTTCGAGGAGAGCAGATCCGGCGCGGAAAGCGCATGATATAAGGGCTGATGGGGCAGCGAATAGGGCGTTGCAGAAAGTTTGGCTGAGTGCGGAACAATTGTCCAGGAAGAGATGTTTGAGGCTAGAGCTCTTGGCGGGAATGATGGTTCCCCAGGGCCTTTGGTCGTATTCTTGTGATACTAGGTCTCTGAAGTATATCTTCTCTATGCTGGGTAATTTGAAGAGATGGGCAAGGATTACGGTGTTGTAGGTTTGTGTGGTGGGATCGTAGACACTGTCCATCCAGGTTTCAGAGATGACTCCGACGGCGATGTTTCGAAGGTTTTGTAGACCGGGGGGCCAAGAGGTTCCTTGGTTTTGGACATGATCAATCAGAAATCCCAGATATCTGATACAGCAAAACCCCATCATCTCGTAACGCGCTGGCATAACAAGCTTGACGTCCTGCAGTCGCGGGCAATTCGCAATCAGGTTAGCTTTCAAGTGAGCATCTCCACCGGCCTCAATATTAGAACGCGCTTCAAAGACGCGAGCGAGCGAAGGGCCAGCCCAGCCTTGTCCTAGTCGTTCCAAATAGTCATCTGTTTCACCTGGGATATATCCCCAGGATATTGGCGACGTATTCGTGTCTTGGTCGATGGGAATATCGAACTTTAGTGACTTCCATTCCCACCAGTGTTTGCGATCATACCAGATCTCCAGTGATCGGACATGCCATGCGAGGATGGGATCACCATAGCCCAATGCGCTTCGAACGAGGGTGGGTACGGTGATGGGATCGATGTCAGACGAGACGCTGTATCTGTCGTGCGCGACATGATGGCGTTCAAGTATGTCTGAGGAATCTGCGAAGATCTTTTTGCAGGTGCAGGCAAAGTCCAAATGTGATGCTGGAGGAATGCGTTCGATTATTTCTTGTATAAGTTCGGTTGCAAAACGGGTGAGAAAACAGGGGCCGTGATGATGCGGTGTGTGAAGCCCCTCCAAGCGGGGAATTGCCGGAGTGTCATCAGAAACACCGCTCATCGTTGACCAAAGACGGTTCGTAGCATATGCGATTAAAAATGCAGTCGGAGTACGTAGTCTCTTTAAATTACTCTAAGCTTTACAGAAAGCGTGAGGCGTCGGGTCTGGATCAGTAGCTAAAGACTAGGCAGTCTGCAGGTGCTTTAGGCTAGTTAGCTCCCAGTTACCGTCTCTTACCTACCGCCTGTCAGTTGCAGCTTCCACCCACACCCACAGTTGGGACAAGGACGGGACCATTTGCGGGGAAGTGGCGATAGACAATGATTCTGATATAATCAGCTTGACGGTCGAACAAAGCATTGTAAATACAAAAGCGTGACAGTTAGCAAATCATCAATTTTATATATTCGAACTTCGCGTGAGTGGTATCTAGAACGTGACTCGTAAAGACGCAAACCGGAAAAGTTATGGCCTATGCGCTATAAGAGCTGATGAAGTACTACTTTCATGTGAGCTGGGCTTCGAGAAGATAACAATCAAACATACCGTAAGAACTGACTCGTCGTCCCCGTTGTCATTGGGGAGGTATACATAAAGAATCAATGCGTGCTCGTGGCAGAAGCCTGCTGCTCATTAGGATCGTGATTGAAGAGATGATGGTGCCCGCTTACACGCAATAACTCTTCCACCCAGTCTGCCTACACTCATGACCTTGCCCCATTCACGTCCATCGATACGGACCGTGGCCCAACCCTCCTCGCTACGTCCATCAGCCGAACCTAGCTGCTTCATACGCGTACTCGGATGTTCTGCGATACCATTTTCACCTCCAGCAACATGGCCAGGATCCAGCTCTGGATTGTTGAGGTCCGTCCATACAGACGATATATTCATGGCATCGGATTTAATGCTCATCTTAAGACAGCCATGCATATTCGCCGACACTTCCAACCGTGTCCTGGAGGCCGCGCTGCTTGATTTTGTATCTGCCAAAGCTATTTTGGTAAACCTGTCGCTGATGCTCTTGAGCTGCATCAGAGGTGGCAGTATGATATGCACGTCTGGTTCTCTACACGCTGGCTCGTGCAAATGTGCTACTGTGTCGGGTGGAAGCACTCGCACGGGTATCTCCTGGGTGACAATAGTCTCGCGGTTGCCCGCACCAAAGTCGTTATCAAATGCTGCATCGAACCCGTCGTCGTTGTTTGCCGTGGCGGCAGGGAATGCGCTATACGTGTTCGAAGACGTGGTGGTAACGATAGTGAGGGCGAGCATAGGCAGATTGTCCTTTTTCGTAAGGCGTATATGAGCCGACGTCGCGTTGAGTGCCGACTTCAAAGCGCGATTAAGGGATGTGAGCGGAACCTCAAGGTTGATGACATTGTTCGCTGCCGACTGCACGCTGATTGTCTCGAAGATTGAGTCCTGCGCTACGTATTAGCCCAGGACTGGAGAGACGATGCGGAAGGCTTACAATTGAGAGAACGCTAAATATGGTTAGATGGTATAAAAAATGAACGTATCTTCAACTCACGCCCATACTTGGGTGCCCTGGTCTGGTATAATAGTGAAGCATACCTGCTCTTCGCTGAGCTTCACCCACGCAAGCGGGCCGAGCGAATTGAGCGACGCAGTGAGCTCTACACCTTGTCAATGATCCAGAATTAGTAGTACAGGATACACATACTCGTAAAGGTTGTGATATTCTGTATTGACGCCTTGAACCGCATCGTGTCTCATCTACCGCTCGCTGCGGGCCAAATATCGCGACGCGTCGAGGAATGTGGAGGGGAAGATGCGCTCGGCCGAACATCATCGAGCGCTCCTGCAGTATAAACTACTCCCTTCCACCAACACCACACATTGCCCTAAAACCAGTAGCCATCATATAAAGCCATATCCCTTAACCATACATGATGCGTGGCCTTGAATTTGGGATGACTGCAATCTGTTCCTGGGGAAGCCGTGATTCAGTGCGCACGCATTAGCACGGGGAATTTATCAAAACATGGTCAAGGTATGCAACTGTATAGCAAACAGAGGTATTCTATGGCATAGGTGCTGCTTGTCTCAAATTTCGTCGTATTCGAGTGAATCTAGCATCGCATGGAAGGAGTATTAGATTATATGAATAGGTGGCCAGGATGGCTTCTAATACTAATAAGCTAATATTTATTGTCGAATGGTATATATAGATAATTGGGGACCCATGAAGGGATGAGTAACGATAAAACGCATGATACAACATGCTATCTAAAGCGCTTAAGGCGCTGAAAATCTACTCCGCACACGATCTATCCAGTGGTGACACAAAGGAAACTTTCAAAGAATGTCAAGATCGGACGCGCGATATCCAATCTCGGGCGCTGAACCGCTTAGGGCTCTCACGTTCGCCTTCACTTTCGCGAAGGTCGCACATTGAAACATGACGCGAGCGTATTATTGTGACCTCGCTTGAGTCTGCTTCGCTCTGGAGACTGGCCCGATGGCCATAATGTCTCTCCCCGCGAGGTTCTTCTGGCTTGGCGCGTGTTTCTGTGGGAGGGCATGTACATCCGGCTATGGGTTGATCTTTGTTGGTGCTGACGCGTTCCATCTCGAAGCTATCAGGAATACTTAGACGTTCTCCATCAATTTCGAGAAAGATCTGGGGTATGGAGTTGTGCTTCTTCTGTACGGTCTCAACTTCCTGGTCGCTGTTGTCGGACTCGACTATGGTCGCAGGATCCCAGATACCCAAACTGCTCTTTCTTTGGAGACCCAAGCCCTTCATGACCGTGTCTACTTCTTGTATGCTAACCCTGGCCTTGCCACTCTTCTCCCTAGCATTGTCCGAATCCGACCCACTATCCGTAAAGTAGGTGTAGCCAGATAGCTGTGACCAATCACTGACCCTGCGCGTACATGTTGTGGATCCGGAGAAGCGTGAAGGTGGGCAGGGCTTGCTGAGTTTACGTGTAGATCGGATAGAAGGTGTCTCAATATCGAACTCGAGGTTGGATTCGTCGTCATAGAAGCGTGTGATGCTACCGTTGCTCTCACCATAGCTAGTATCCTTTTTGCTGTTAGGGAAGTATGCCGTGTTTGGGCGATACACGATAGTTTGACCCGAGTAAGTATAGTTATGGGAGCGCGGATAGCTGGTAACAACGTTATCGACGTCACCGTGGGTTACGTGCACGACGCTGCCAGCTACAGGTCCGGAAATGATACCGACACGGGGGCCAGGGGTTGAGGCTGGGGCTGGGGCTACAGGTCTGCTGATAACTTTACCCAGAGGCAGTAAAGTTGGTAAGTTGACCGCTATTATAGTTGATAGGACTTCGACGAGGCCCCAAGTAATGTATGATAGGTTGAAGTTGTTGCGGTAGCCTATGTCAACCCAGGACGTGAGTACCAAGTTGGTTTGGATGACGGCCGCAGTGCATGCACTGTAATAGTCAGCTAAATGCACGAATCACGATTGTTCTGCGATGCGAAAAGCTTACAATAGTCCGAGGCAGACTGATATCAAAAGATATAGCTCAGTCCAGATTTTGAACTTTGATCCAATGGCATTTGCCAGAGCAAATATTAGTAACAGTATGCTGGTGATTGCATTGATCACTGGAAAGACAGTTAGAAGAAGCTTGAGCATTGGATAGTGCTGATACTCACAATGGTTGGCCAGGGCCCAGTCCTCCGACTGACTTAGTGACATGCATTTCGCTTTGTCTCCATACGAAGAATCCCATGCTGCTGCGAGAGGAAGGCAGTGAACGAGTACCGATATGAACCATTCAAGGCTTTGCCAGAACACAAGCACTGGGTGTGTTAGTTCATCTGAGTATATTGCGTACCTTGGACAGGCTTACATATGAATCCAATGAGCACAACACCTCGGCTGATGTGCAAATAAGGATGGCATCTGGCGTTAGTTATAGACATGAGACTGAAAGCAGCAGACAGCTTAACAAAGCCCAGCCCAAGGATGTGAAAGGACTTCAAAGCCCATATCCATGGACCCAGCTTCAGTGTGTTACCTTCAGACGAAGATGATTCGGCATATTGCTTCCCAACTCCTAGCTCTACAGCGCCGGTAAAGGTCACGAAGATGCCAATTGAGCAGAGCTATCACAGTATTAGTTGCGAGAGTCTCACATCAATAAAGAAGATCAACTTACAGTTGCCAGGAGCATGAAACCATCGTCGGCTCCGAAGGAGCGCAGGAGCTTTGCGCGAGTGAAGAGGCGTAGCGAATAAATCAAAAGAGCGAATAGGACCAATGTGACAACAATTGCAAGATAGATAGGGCCCCGGTCGTAGACTAGCGAGGGCAGAGACGCAGCGAAACGAGTGACACTGCCATCGGCATCCATGGCAAGCTGAGACTACAGTATGTCTTGATGTTTCCTCGACGAACTCATGCAACTCGGCCAGAAGGGCGAAGAAGACGGGCTATGAAACGACAAATGTTCGAAGAGAAGAAAGGAGCGTGATATGGAAAGGTGATAGAAGGTCCGGGATGATTAGAAGAGGGCGTCCTGTGTAACTACATGAACATGGCGTTGAGCCGCAGTGCCACCGCTCATGCATGGCACACGGCTCCTCGCCGGAATAGATACGGTGATCTTGGAGCATCACCTGCACTGTGCGGGTCCAACCCAGCTGTCATTGCGAGCATGTAAGGTACGCGAGCGGGGAAGGCTATGCCGTGATACTACATTTGGATTCGTCATTTAGCTGCAGGGCTGCTAGTCTCTTCTGATACCGCCTGGGCACTCTAGTGATGATGTTTTTTTGCTTGATCAGGGTTGGTTCATGGCCTTCGCTTTCTTGATCTTAGCGATAAAGTGCTTTTTTTCAGGGTGTGGTTATCTTCCCCACCAGCACTGTCAAGATACTACTGATCTACTCCTTGGAAAGCAATTCTCCAGTACAAATTATGACCGATAGATATGCCGGCAGTCGGCTCCCGTGAGCTAGCTGATACAGCTGTCATGGTACTGTCGCGTGGAGAAGGCCTCAACTCATTCGGGTGCACGTGTCTTTCTCCATATGTACAACGTCAATAACAACTTCACAAGCTGGTGGCTTATGTCTTCGAGCAAGGGTAACGCTGGACTGCATATTGGAGAAGGTTATGGAAAAAAGGATTGGTAGTTGCAAAGACTGTTGCGCAGGGGCGTAATCCTCTTCTCCTGGGTAGTGCATATAAAGACCGGATTTTGGTCGAGAGGGGCTGAGTACACTATTGTTTTTCCCTTGATATTCCGATTAGCGAACAGACATTGCGGATCAACGCCACTGCGATTTTCGATAGGCAGGGAATCCGTAGAACGGTGACCTATGGGATGAAATACGAGGTCGCCCGCTCACGCATCAAGTTAAATCGTGCCTATCTGGTGCGTACTCGCAAGTGCTGATGCCTGCATATTAGCGGGATGAAACGCGCTTCTCAAAAAGCAAGACAGTGTTGAGTGGTGGTTATGGAGCTAAGGAGGAGGGAGGCTTGGACGACGGTCGCGGGGAGGTTCCAGCGACGTGCCGGTCTTGGCACGCTAATCTGGCTCAACAGCACCCTCCCATAAGCACAGTACCACTTCTGCTACAAACCATCGCGAAGCTAACTTTATCATCCCGTGTCCGACACCTCCAGACCAACCCTCGGTACCCTTTCATAAACATCATCGTCAAGCACCGATCTGTGCCTGGGGCCGAACGCTCCCGTGATCGACGATTCCGACTGCCCCGTATGCGCCGCGTCTCTGTTCAGTTCTCGGTCATCGCCGTCGAAGAGACCGCCTCGAGATGACTATGGCGGAATTCGTGTGACTGTGGAGAAACACCATAGTCACACAGACTATTATGGGAAATTACGAGCAATGGGTACAGCCGGGCCATGCTTCAACGAATCTACGGTATTTCAGAGAATCAAAAAAGTATCTTATACACGGCGGTCTGGACTGTGGCTAGGCGACAATTGCAAATCTTCTTCCAATCGTGCTTGTCGTTACTCCTTCCTCTGAAAGGTCTATCAACCGCGCTTTTCGACCCAGATGGCGACTACTGCAATTACTACCGATTCCGTGAGCCGCCCTGCGTCGGGCCAGTACATGATTACACCAAGACTATGCCTTGGTGCATCTTTTTCGGCTTCTCGGCTTCTTCCGCCACGTTGCCGGGCGCGACACATGCAATTCCAGTCTCCGTTCGTCCCCGGTAACCGTCGCCATGATGACCGGAACATGTCGCTGGTTGAATAAGACTTAGCATGCAAGCCTGCTAGCTTTGAGACTAGACTCGGGATGTGCAGCCTTCATCTGTCGAAACCGATTACAGTCCGGAGCGTTAACAGCCGTTGGCGAGGACAGGTTGCAAGTTAACCCGAAAGGTCTATCAGACCTACTGTATCACTCCATTTGCGACTGATTCCATTAAGAGTAGGGCTATTCAGATACAAACAAACCCGCGAGCTCAATTAGTGGGTAGCCACGTGTCTTCAAACTGGTCATAGCAAAATAGCAGATCGCCCGGCTGTTTTCAACGATTGGAGTTCGGCAAAAACTCCCGTGCAACTACTTGTTCTAGCCGTTACTAAGGAAATTGTCCCAACAGTATACATCGGATTCTGAGATCAACATACCATGGCCATTGATTTGGTAGACAACCTCTACCGGATGCCCACTGATTGCGAAATTCCAAGGTAACTGAAGCTTCATCTAGAGACGTACCTTGGGCCATGAAATCTCCTAAAGTGAACAAGGGGAACCGATTTTAGTCCAACTCAACAACAGTATAGGAAAATGGCTGGCTGGTAGCGGTCAGAGCTACTAGAGGCTCGAGATGGGAGCCGAGCTCTGGTTTGGGTGTTGAAAAACTAACTTCCATGGCATTCTTGCATGCTCTTCTAATTTCGCATACCCTGCCATACATGGGCTTCTCAAACCGCATTGTATATTGCTACTTCCGCATATAAGACACCGTGCGAGTGAGATGGTTTTTCAAGACCGGCAGGACCCAGCCTCTCCATCTCCATCAGTGCAGTAAGACTATATTTATAGTTTGACAGGAGTGTTTTACTTGGTACACAGGGTGTAGCAGCCGCGCGTGCAGTGATGATCCCAAACCTTCGCCTGGCCTGAGTTCGCTATGGTTCACTTAGCGTTCAATCATGATTCAGGAATAACCCTATGGTCACCTCGAAATATGGTGTCGCAACAGTCCTATTCATTTTCCCCGTCGCGGCTTAGTTTTCCAGTAGACGCGATATCTGGAAGCGCTTGGTTCTGCCTGCATGCTTGTAGCATTAGGTACGTAACGGGAATGGTGTACTGATCATCGCAGACAAGTGTACCCGCAGACCTTGGGGGCTATGCTGGCGGCATTATCATGTTAGCAGGAAAAGCAACTGTGAGATCGGATCCACTGGTTTCCGTGATGGGGAGTTCCGCATTGCATTCAAGCGGATTTGCTTCCCCGCGTCATATAAGACCCACGAAAAAGAGTTCAAGCTTTTTATGTAAGCTTCTGACGCTCACGAACTCCCTTTAGAGATCAACCAATCGACTGATCTAAATATCCAACTTTTGTCAAGCTTTCCGGTGTTCTGTTGAGTTGATGCCACTGACATCCATCTCACAGCATGACAACTCTGTCATCACCAGTCGTTCCACTGCTATTGAGCGGACTATTGCAGGGTGTGGTTTACTAAATTGAGAAAGGACGACTCTGTCCTCATCAATGCGACCAGATCTGCTCAAATCAGCAGCCCTTACTTGAATGGTAATACATTCATTGTTGACTGTACTAGCCGAAGGTTGGTAGGTGTACTACCGCCACCTCTGCACAATAACCGTCAAAACTCCGATTAACTACCATGAAGAAGTCCAGTGTGTCTCTAAATCGCAATTGTTGCCACGATCCGTGAGTAAGCGAATTTGTGAAACTGTTATATCGCGCATTGAGATATCCAGATTCTTAGCACTCTGCAACAACCCATGACTGAACGGCAGGATGCATCCACCTACAAGTAGAACTCAATTAATCCTCCCATTCCGCAAGTAAAAGCGTCACGATGCCATGCCCCCACTCTGAGATTATCGGTTCAACCAAATGCAATGCTTAAGCCCCACCATCAAACCCCCTCACTAGCAAAAAATCTGTCCGACATGACCCCACCCCACCAACCCATCTCTCACCCCTCCAAAGCCAGCACCGCCTTCCAATTCATTTCAACTTATCTACATATACCTATCATTTCCAATTTCTTTCATCATTACTAAGCAACGGCCTAATGGCCCAATGGCAAGGCGCTTGACTACGATCACATCGAAATCAAGAGATTCCAGGTTGTAAGTTCAACCCTTCAATGCCTTGCATTCGAATCCCGACTAACACTCTTCCCAGCGACCCCTGGTTAGGTCAGCAATATTTTCAGCATCGGTGGTTTAGTGGTAAAATTAGCCGTTGCCATTCCAGTTTCGGCTAGCCCCGGGTTCGGTAAGTTCAGAGCATTCTGAGAGACAGTGAGCAGTTGAACTAACAGTTGAAAAGATTCCCGGCCGATGCAACTTGCAACATTCTTTTTTTTTGCGAGAGGGGAGGGAGAAGGGGAAAGAAGATAGGATAGACGCTTTTTTTGTAGCAAGGTAGGTAGGTGATATAGTATGTCTTATTGCTGTAGCTTTATGCTATGCGTATAATAGGCTTTAAGGCCCTTCTTTGTGACTATAAGTCTAAGTTGTACATTGTAGGCTGTGAAGGTATATACGCATGCTTGAATGACAGGTATCCCTGCCCCTCTCTCATCCTCACTTGATAATCATTGTGGCCGCTTGGGTGATGTTGCTGTTGTCATGAAGTGCTACTCACCGGTGAATGTCGATTTCTCATCCTCATGTGCTTGCGCATTCACCGACGATAGCTTAACAACGGAAGGAAGCAAAAGAATAAGTTGGCGGACCCAAATCCTGTGATCCTACACCACACTACTTCTTTCACGCAATACACAGCCATCGCCAAAAAAACTCCTTTTGTAAGTCCTCTCCCTCAGCAGAAGACCGCCATGAGAGCTCTGGATAGCTCTCGTGTTCTTTCCACGGGCGTAGCATACGGCAGCCACTACCTCGTCACAGAAAATGGTGTCTTGGATGCATCTTCATTACCATGGCTCCTGGCTCCTACAACCAAAGCTATTTCCATCGCAACAGCAATGTCAGCCTCTATAACTCAAGCAGACCAGACACCGGGTGACCACGTCACAACCGCGTTGAGAAAAAATGGACCCAAAGAAGCCAATTCCTGCGCGCAAGCCTTTGACGGCCAAGGAGACTCACGAAGTGAGAGCAATCATTTTCGACGTCATAGTTCGAACTCATCATGGCAGACACTGCAAAACTTGGGCTTCACCAACCCCCTGCGCACCGTCAACAACAGTACAAGAGATGAGGGCGAGCTCATTTCAGACATGACACCGACAGACGCCAATGTCGGCAAGCCCACTTCGATCAGGGAAAGCATTGCTACGGCCATGAGCTCCATGCACCTGCCCGGGCCCAAGCCCAAGCGCTCGGCGTCCAACGAGCTTCTGAAGATTGACGACCTTGAGAACTACCAGCAAGCATGTACCGAGTACAAGCAGGCACTGAAAGAGGGTTGGAGCAAGGAGCGACTGTTGGCGCTGGTTGATGCCTGGCAGAAGATTGACGGGGGAGGAGGCCGCAAAGGATAGGTGGGCTAGAGCTCACTCACCTACGGGATTTGAAGGTAAGAAAAATGTCTTTGAACTTCCAGTATATCAATGTGCAGGTTGGCTAACAGTAATAGGGTGGTCTGCTTTGACATGTTTGCGTTTGTCGCGAGACGATGCGATGAACGTTCGGCGAGGCTGCGTCGATACCCACGATACCCACGATACCCTCAGACGCGCTGGAGAAGCCTAAAAGTTTTTGTTTACTGGAATCGTGCCGCAATCAACTGCATCGGAAATTAGGGAGGAGAAAGGCGTTGCTGAGCAAGGCTGGGAGCATTGCAAAAAGCAAAAATCATGTCATGTATTTGAGCGCAACAGCGCGAGACCAGAATACAAAAGCAGAGGCGATAAGCTGAATAATCGCAAACCTGGAAACCCGATGGAAAGAAGGGCCGAAGTGATGAACGTTATGATGTGCCTTATGACGATCAGGAACGCGGACAAGGATTTTGGCGTAATTCGGTCGCCCCTACGTCATCGCTCTGCAACCTAACATAACACAGCTGGTTCTTACTCTACCTCACACCACCAACACAAGCCATTGAAACTCTGCACAACACTCCAACTTTACCCATTCACATCTAAAACTTCTCACATTCAAATCACAATGGGTTGGTTCAGCTCCACAGAAAAGTCCGCTGCGGCGACTCACCCCGTCAACCTCGACGTCACAAAAGAATACGGTTCAGCAGCCGAGCAAGACCGCTACGGCCAGCATTTCGCCTCCTCCACCGATGCCATCCGCCGCGGCATCGACAAAGGTGTCGACAAGATCCAGAACGCAGCCAAGACCGCCGGCTCTGGTGCTGAGCAGGACCGCTACAGCGAGCACCTCAGCATTGGCGACCGTGGCTACAATGCCTTGAAGGCCGCTGCCATGTACAAGGGTGATGGCGCAGAGCAAGACCGATACAACAGCCACTTTAGCCCAGCTCTACACAGCATCGACGCCTTCAAGGCCATCAAGGCAGCAGGAAGCGTTGCCGCAAACGGAGAGAAGAACGCTAGCTGGTATGGATTGGGATACGATGGTCAGCAAAGGGCTAAGCTCTTGGCTGGAGGTGGCATGGGTGCTGAGCAGGTAAGTCAATCTTCCATCACAGCGACACAAGGACCATGTTGACAATGTTGTAGGACCGCCTAGGACAGCACTTTTCCTTGAGCAAGGACGCTGTTGCCAACGCCGCGCAGAGAGTACAAGACGGTGCAAGGGATGTACTTCACGGAAGATAGGATGACGTTGTAATATGATAGTTGAATGGAAGTGGATGAGCCTCAGATTATGAGGCTGATGATATGTACAACACTGAGATTGTATCAAAACAAAAAACATTCACGAGACAGAATTTTCGATTCATGTCTTTGCAGCAGTAACATACAAGTCAATCCCAGAGACTGTCATGTTGTCATAATCGTATGAACACTCGTCAACTTGACGATGAAGAGAAACATGATGTCGGACCGGATATGTGTTTGTCCTAGCGTCATGAGGCGGGATCCCATTCGACGTCAACAGTGGGCCATCACTGAGTCACTTCTCACTTATTCCCTCGTTAATAGCGTTGCGGTGTTTGATTAGTGACGTAAAATTCAAGTAAGGCAGGACGGAGGATTTGCTAAGGTAAGATGAGTCGTTGGAACTCTTTTCTTTATATACTTATGTTGGCTTCAGGGTTCGTCAAGATGTATCTGTACTATACATGACCGGTCGCTTAGCCATTCAAGACGGCAGGAAGTAAGTCATACTACGCCAGTAATGAAACCCAACTGCAGGACACCAAACTACCATCCCCTCTCCTTGCACTCTCATCATGAAGTCCCTGCATATAGGCAAATTCCCCATTTCCAGCATTCTCTCTCACTCCACACCTACGCTCTTCACTCTTTGCTCCACTCAACCCTCGACATCTCCTTCCACCAACCCACTCGTCACCAATGTCTATACCCTAAATGCGCCTCTCTAGCCAGATTAGCAAACTATCTCTTATACTTTACATCCTCCCTTCATCCTGTGTAGCACCGGGGTGCAACATACCATCATTACCATGCAGCTTCCGGTAAGTAGCCATGCGGCCTGTAGCCGTAGCTAGAGAAGGAAAGTCGTCATTTTCGAAGTTGATCTTGGATACAGACGCTCCAGTAGAGAAGATCTTGGCCTCGGCGGGCTTCTCTTTAAACGGAGTCTGGTACCCAGGATTCGTGGTACGGCCGGTGCGGCGACCCATGGGCGGCGCGACATGGAAGGGAGGAACGTTGAGTTGGGCATTTGTGGGACGGTGGCCTGGGGGTGCGAGTTGTCGCATCGTGGGGAGAAGAGGTTGGTACGGGGGAGTTTCTGGGCGCTCCATGGGAGGAGAGAAGGGTGCGCGAGGTGAAGATGGGCGAGAGACGTTTGAAGAGGCCAAAGTGCTTCGAATGAAATACTGGATGCAGACGAACCAGAGGACGATGAAGAGCATGGAGGCTATGACGATAAGGTTGTGCTGGCCCTTGGGATCTAGGAACCAGTACTCAAAGAGCGTGCCGTGGAAGACGTCGTAGAAGCGATCTGCGAGCTCGTTGAGCGTGGTGCCGACGTAGACTTCTAGCGGGCTTGCCTCGTGGTATCGTGGGGGCGTCCAGATGGCCATATTGGTGGCATGTGTCGGGAGTTTGTGGACAGTATGTGGGTGACTGGGGTGGTGGGTTGAGTAGAAAAGAGTCGGCGCACTTGGTTAAGAAAGAGAGGAAGAAAGAGAGGAAGAAAGAGAGGAAGAAAGAGAGGAAGAAAGGTAGGCAGTGTTTGTGTTCCTATTTACACTAGCGTCGCGTGAACTGACGGGTGTTTCTAGTACCCCTCCCACATGGTCCCTGGGGTGGTAGAGTGAAAGAATAGCGCCTAGGCTGCCGCCAATCCAAACCAATTATTAGACATGGCAAAAGTCATCCAGACATAGATACAACAATTCGCCCTACAAGTCCTAGCAGCTCCCTGTACCACGCGTCTCAGTAATTCTCCGTCCATCTAAGCACCCTCAGGTTTCCCAAAGTTGGTATCAATCGTGACACTACCCTTGTACAAGCTGTCCTCTGGAAAATCCCACAGGTTCCTCCTAATTCTCGGCTGTTCCGCCACCTTAACTTTTGGTGCAAATATCGGACAAGGTTCCTTACCCAGAGCGCGCCACTTTGCTTCTACTATGTCAATTCCCATGCCTGGGGGGTATTGCGATGGCACCTTCTGGTGGTGGGTGGAAGCAATGACATTGGGCGGTAGTGGACGTCGTGTGGTGTTGCGTTTGCGTTTACGCAGGCGTAAGAGTGGAATGACTGTGAGGAAGATGAAGAAGATGAGGGCGTGTGTGAGGTATGGGTAGGTGGTGTAGAAATCAGATAGAGCTTTTGTGATGGTGGTCTTCTGCTCTTCGTATGCATCATGTGCTTTGTCGAAAGAGAACAAGTTTTGGAAGAAACTGGACTCATTTTCCACATGCGAGTCTTCGGAGAGGCGCAAAAGTCGTGCTGCTTTTTCCAATTCCTCAAATTGGTTCCTGATACGCTCCTCCATTCCCGCGGTTGTGGGGCAAGTTGATGAAGTAGGGGAGTGAGAGGTAACGGAGGTGAAATGTATGAGACTGCGCGTGAGAGCAGTAGATATATCAACTGGTGGTTATTCTAACCGAGAACGTTCATGAACGCGCTTACACTGACGAATGAAACGCTAACTCTTTTGGGTATCTGTAGAGTCCAGTATCGCACTAGTGGTGAAACTCTGGAACTATACGTTCTGAATCACTCTAGAACATGCAAGTCACTGAAATCACCTCAGCAACAGCCAGATATCACAGAACCTACACAAGAGTTTTCCAAAACACCCTCTTCTTCTCCCTCGTCAAGGTCGCGCTGCTCACGCAGGCCGTGATCTTCGCCATCGCGCTTGTCAAGCAAGAGGTGCATGGTGGCCAACGCCGGCACCGGTCGACGGGAGGGTAATGTGGCGCTGTTGTGCCGTTGTCAGACGATAAGGAGACAATTCGTTGGGTTGCGGAGGAGGCGTAAGAGTTGTTGTGACATTTGATCCGACATCGTTTTGTTCGACTCGCGTTCCGCCTTCCGTCTGCCATCTTTTCTTCTTTGTTGTAGTTCCTACCACATACATGGCTTCTGCAATTGAATGTTCTTTTAGTAACCTGTATCTCTATTTGTCTCTGCGTGACATACAAGTTTGAGAGGCCTTTGTTTAACAGAGTATCCCACTCCATTGCCTTCCCACGCTCAACGTCCTTGTTTTCTTGGATCTGGCGCGTAAATCTTTGTCCCTTGAGGCAACTTCCTCCTCCGCTCCTCCGTCCCTGTCATACTAACATCCTGCATGCCCGTCGTCAAACTCGACACCAAACCAGATGATCGGCGCCTTACCAACCCCTTCTCATTCCCTATAGTCGTACTATCCTGCCTCACCAGACCACGGACCCTCGTCTCACCACCCCGAGTCGGCGCGTGCGATCCCTCCGGTACATCTAAGCCCTCGTACCTCTTCCGCAACTCCACAAGGCTCAACTCCATTTGTCCGATGATTTGCTTTTCTTCGTGCATCACTTCGCAGAGTTCTTCCCATACGCTTTGTATTTCGGGGGAAAGCGGTGTGCGCTGGGATGATGGCGGTGCCGGAAATAGAGGTAAGAACTCTGGTTGTGGGTGTAGGAAGACTTCGGGTGAGGGGGGTCCTTCCACATGCGTGTAGAGGCCGATGCCGGTAACGTAGGGGGTTGTGCCAGGTGGGACGTGGCGCTTGAAGGCGTTTATGAGGTCGCCGTTCATGCGGTGTTTGCGGACGGCGGCTACATCGGGTGGGATGGTGTTGTTGGAGGATGTCATTTTGACTGTGTGGGAAGTGTGTGTTCTGGTGTGGGTTAGTCTTTGTGGTTGCGTGTGATAAGTCACGGATCGAAAATGTGAAAGAGTGAGAATTGCATAAATTGCAGTGAAAAAGTAGATAATCAGAAGACGACAACCAAAAGGGAAACCCCGATCATACTGGCCTCTCCTCTTGCCAATAGTGCTCATGCTCACCTGTGTGCTGCTCCTTCGCAGAGAACTTTGTCATGCACTTCTCACATATTCAATGCTACAGAAAACGTACTTTCTGAATAGGAATGCGCAAAGTGATGACCTTGCAGTTCCAATCCTCAATTTCAGTGTGCGCCTACAAACAACGTGTCGTAGTAACAGCTGTCGCGCGTGTCGTATCGATAAGCTCCACTACTAACTATCCCCAATCGGCACTAGCTCCTATCATCCCCGCTACCTACTAATCCGCCATATCCAGACCACCACCATCCATCATCAACGCGTCATGTCTAAATACACAACATGTCGATCCGGTCTCGCTCCCGATCGAACTCCACAGTCTCAGGAACGCCGCTTTCTGGGACGGGAACCCTAAAAGTGCTGACATCAAGGTAAAATGGCATTGGCTGCTTTGTCCAAAAAGCAAACGTCACTGTGGACATGTGGTTGCATATCCATCGTACCCCCATGACCTTGGATCTGAGTAATCGGTAGCTACTTCTGCTTCTGTACAGTGACATAGGCCAATTAGTTGTTAGGTCCAGATATGCAGTCTTTACGGTTATTTAGGTGTGCGAGTTCCCTTCGTTCTTGTTGCTTTGTTAACGCTTCTTGTCTCCGTCTGTCTCAATCTTCATTATCATCTCTACGAAGTTACTCCTCCTCCCCTGACAAGACAAACACCGACCGCCTCAAAGGCCCCGTCTCAACCCCCTCCTCTTCAACCATGCAAACAGTCAAGAACACAATCGCCGAAAACCTCGGCAAAATCGTTTCAAACGCTCATGACCTCGCCCCAGCAGACCAGCGATTTTCTCTCGAAGAAACCCCTGACCTAACGGGCAAAGTAGCCGTCGTAACAGGTGGCTCCGAGGGCATTGGCTACGGATGCACGCACACCCTCCTCTCCCACAATGTCTCCAAACTCTTCATCCTCTCCCTCTCCTCCGACATCGCCACTTCAGCCATCGACGCGATAAAATCTGAAATGGGCGAGGAAAAAGCCTCGCGCGTAAAATGGATCCACTGCGACATCTCCGACTGGGCCGCCGTTGCAAAAACAGCGTCTGAAATCGCGAGCAAAACAGACCGCCTCGACATCCTCATCAACAACGCCGCCCGAGGCATAATGACATACCAACTCGCCTCCAACGGCGTAGACCTGCACATGGCGCTCAACCACATGGGCCACGTAGTTCTAACATCGCACCTCCTGCCCCTCTTGAAGAAGACCTCTGAAAAAGGAGACAAAGTCCGCATCGTGCAACTCGGTTCAAACGCGCATGAAAACGCGCCCAAAGACACAAAATTCGCTTCCCTAGAGGAATTGAACCAGGATCTAGGTCCCATGGCACAATACGGTCGTACCAAACTCGCAACTATCCTCTACGCTAAATACCTAGCCCGCCACCTCTCGTCCTCGCACCCGAATATCCTGAGCAATGCGACACATCCCGGTTTCGTCGAGACGCGACAAAGCGTCGATTTGATCCACGAGGCGTATCCGCTCGGGGGTTATGCGATGAGTGTGGGTATGGCGCCGTTTAAGAAGACGCAGTTTGAAGGCGCTGTTAGCACGGTTTTCGCGGCGACCAAGACGGAGGGGAGTGGGCAGTATATTTGTCCGCCGGCGATTGTGGAGAAGGGGAGTGAGCTTGCGAATGATGAGAAGCTGGGTGAGCAGTTGATGGAGTTGACGACGAGGATTGTGAGGGAGAAGACGAAGAGTGAGAGTGAGGCTAAGGGGTGTCCATTTAAGACTTATTAGGTAGAATAGATGGTGTAGACTTGATTTGATCATAGAGTAGTATCGGTTCGATTTTGGGTTCAACCACTACCTCCTTGATACAATGAGAAGAAGAAGAATAAAAAACTTTACTGAGTCATAATTCATGTCATTCCGAAAAAATGACTATGGTATCGCTCAAACAGCGCCTTACAGAACCATCAAACCCCCAAATACTAGACCAACCAAACACACAAAGTTAAAAAAAGGCCTCCCAACCTCCACCACCTCTTCACTACTACCCCCAAATCACAGTCCTAAACAACACCCTCCATACCCATGGGCACCTGAAACCCACTCAACCCCTCGCCCGCACTCGTCAACCTCGCACACAAACTCAAGAAAACCACAGTCTCAGTCGCCGCCAAATAATTCAACGTATCCAGCAAAATCTTAAGATGCCGTGTAAAGTTCTCCTCGTACTTGGCCAGCATGTCAAACATTTTGTCTACGCGCTGGGGGTCGTAGACAAAGTGCGTGGTGGGGCGGTGGGTTGCTGATAGGAGGGCTGGGACGGGGGCTGATGGTTTCGAGGAGGAGGATTTGGAGGGGGGTGGAGGGGCGAAGGAGGCGTTTACTTGGGCGACGAGGTCTGGATCGCCGGTTACGAGGTAGCGGGAGAGAGAGTAGGTGAAGGAGGCGAACATGCTGCATGTTGACATTATTTTGTTGTTGATCTAGGTAGGTGTTAGTGTGGGGAGTGGGTGGATGAGTGTTGCGGGGACTTACTCGGAGCAGCTTACTGTTAGTAAGCATGCACTCTTTCAAACAAGTAGCAAGAAAGTCAACGTGGTCTTGCATTAGTTCGTCCACTGTTCGCTTCACTTGGGGAGCGGTGCCTTCTTCCTCTGCCGTCTTTGCTCGGCCTTTTGTGTCTTGCTTCTCCTCACTTATGCGCGACATCAATGATGTCCAATTGGGCTCAATGACTTCCGAGGTGCAGTAGTATGTGAGTTGTTGTACGAAGACGAGCATACGGGCGCGAAGTGTCCAGGCTCGGCGTTTCCACTGTTCGATACGCGGGTTCTTTGAGCGATGTTTCCAGGCTGCGTTCTTGCCTTGTTCGCCCCAGCACTTTGCGAGATCGGTCTCGAGGTGTTTCAGGCTGAGTAGGTATCGGAATAACAGCTGATATCGGGTGAGTGTGACTCTGCTGACTACGAGTGACAGCGGGAACGGCATCGCATAGTCGAAAACTAGCGCTTGGTAACCGGTAATGTTAGTATCGTCGGTAATGGGCGCTGAGTTTGCGGAGGTGTATGTGGATAGACCAGCAGTCGCGGCATCTTGATCAAGACCCTGGACATTGACAATCTTCATGAGCCAATTCGTAAGTCCAGTGTCATTGATTTGAACCTTGATATCCTCCTTGTATGGATCTTCTACAGCGACTGATCCAGCGTGACGAGTGGCGAGATCGAGCAGAGATTGCAGCTTGCCGACATTAACGTGCTTCGCTGGCTTCTTAAGCTCGAGCTCGCTCATTTCGAGGAAGTATGTGAAAAAATCGGATCGATCGAGGAAGAAGTAGTGCTTTAGCGAGCGTAACCGAGCGGGTAGTTGGTGTGTTGTCAGTAGCAGGTTGAGGAGCGAGGAGTTTGCGTAGGCGTATGAGGCATTGACATTGTCCAAGAAGCGTGGGTCATCGAAGCTTGTTGGCGCATCCTGCACAACTTTGCTAACGTCGACGCCGCCGCACTCGCGAACCACGTTAAGGTATTTCCCCGCTAAAAGGACTTTGTCTTTGACTGCTTCGAGCTGTGGTGGTACAAGCGCATCGCGTATGGTATATCTCTTCTCCCAGTACTCATCAGTATAGTCTTGGTCTAACCGTTCGCGCTTGATACTCCTTTGCTCTTTAATGAGGAACTCGGAATGTGGGTCCTTTATTCCTCCGTGATGTAGCCACTCGTTCAACATAGCCATGTACGGTCTGCTAGCTTCTCGGAGTAACGTGGTCAGTAATGTCCGCGCTGCAGGATCGCCTGACATTGACGATAGTCGCTTGGTGATGAGTCCCAGCACGCTGCCACCCTTGCATAGCTTCTTGGTTGTGTTTCCACCCTCCCGCAGCGATTCCAGAATGTTTTCGAAGTCGTTGCTGTCGTCGTCGGCGGAATCCTCATCTTTCTCATCCTCCAAGATGCCGTTCGCCTTCAGCAGTTCAATCCCTGTCGTATAGAGCTGGAAAAGCATATGACTCGTTTGTTTGGTGTGTAGGTTCAGTACGTGGAGGGTAAAGGAGTCGTTTGTCAGCAGCTGGTGCTCGAGTTGGGCAACAAGTGTAAGGTAATCCTTTAGTAACCGGCGTACCGCAGCGCACAAAGAATGGTTCACCGCACCGTACTCTTCCCTGCTCAGAACCTCAACACAGGTCTCTATAGCTATGTAGTGTGTGGCCGTCTTCAGCATCGATTTGGTCAGGTCTCTCAGACTAGGATCCAAGCCTGGCATCAGCCGAAACTGTGGCCCGACCAAGCGCTCTTTCTCTTCATGTGGATTGTAAACATCGCTGAATCGAATGTACTGTCCCTCAAAGCCCATAAACACGAACAAGAGATCCTCCAATATGGCCCTCTCCTGGGCCTCTAATGACAGTTGTGCGAGTGGTGTAGGTTGCAGCGACACGGGAGCAGTAGAGGCTAGAGGAGGAATAGAGATGCGGGTAGCGAGTGGGGCGGTCGTGTGTGGTATTAGAGAGGCTTGGGGCTCCCATGGCGGCTGGGGTTCCTGCTCCGACTTTTGCGAGGCGGCGCTCCGAGACGGTCTCTCAATGTCTCGCGCTTGTTTCTCGGCGCGGGTTCGAGCATTCCGACTCTCACTCGAATGCTTCAACGGACTCCTCGTGCGCCGTGTCTCCGTCTCGCGCTCCCGCACCTCTTTCTTCTCAGTGCGCCGCTCACCTGAGCCGGCTTGAGGTGCGCGCATAGAGGCCGACTTTGTCCTCGCATGCGGTGCTGTTGTGGTGCTGCGACGGTCGATTTCCTCGCCAGAAGCGACGCGGGGTCGCGAAGTCGTGTGGTTGGCATTGACAGAGCGGCGATCAGCTGTGGACAGCGACTTCATTGGCGGCACGGTACGGGAGGACATGTTGGCGAGGAAGGCACTCCATGGAGCCCGAGCACGTAGTTGTTGATAGTCGTTGCGCTGGGCCCATGTTTGGGCTGCAGTAGCCGTGTTGATCGGGGTCCCGCTTTCCTACGCGTCAATTCACGCTAGCCATAACCGATTCCATGACGCAGGCAGCCGGTTGAACCACCACTACACTGGGTTTTGGTATCGCGCAAGTTGGTCATCACGGTGGTGGCGGGTGACATACCAGTATGTCAGGTATTTCACGTCACCCGGATGACTACACTCTTTTCACTGCTTCAGCTTTCCTTGCAGTTCATCCTCACCACTCAACGTATCTGGCGTATACAGTGGCATTTTTACACCAGCATGTAAAGTATTTCATGTCACCCAGGTGGCTAAACTCTTTCTACTGTATCAGCTTCCCTTGCAAATCTTCCTCACTACTCATACTTCTACTCAGCGTATCTGGCGTATATAGTGGCTGTTATACACTAGTATGTTAAGTATTTCATGCCACCCGGGCGACTACATTCTTTCCGTTGTATCAACTTTCCTTGCAAATCCTCCTGAATATATGTATTTCATGTGAAGTTTCCGCGAGTTGAAAAAGAGAAAGCTATAGATAGAGATCGATACAGGTTGACACCCTCCATGTCATATGCGAAATGCGGTAAAAGACGAGTTTTTTAGAGCTCGAGCTGCTAAGCCTGAGTTCTGGTCTACGATAAAGGTTTGGTACCAAAACAACACACACACACAACTAAACACCAATAGGCGCGAGCCCATTGGGAGCGACCCATGGGTCGCGAGGGCACTGAAAGCACCGCAATATATGTATACAATGAGTCAACTTACATACACTGTCGATACTACATCAAAGAACTGAGATGACATGGTAAGGAGCTTGATATGTGCCAGAACACGTTCACTGGATTTCTACTATACATTGTCCTGTCTACCACACCAATGTATCCATCAGCGTCTCGTATGCACTATCTAGCGGAAGTGAGTTCCAATCTTGAAGCTGCCATCTTGCTCATAAGCCCACCCAACATGCCCACCCCCATCCTCTGTATCCTCCACATCCTCCTTCACACCCCCACGCAGGACACCCTTTCCGTTCTTGTCGTCGCCAACATCCACTCCCTCTTGCTCCATATTCTTCGCCCACTTGGCTGTAGCAGCCACAATATCTGCATTGACTGCTTCCAGCACCTCGGACTCGTCACCCTCGCAGCGCGCATTCCCCTCAGCCTGTACGAGCTCAACAGCCTCCAAATGCCGGCCTTGGCTCTTGAAGCTCAGTGCCCGCAGTTTGTCCGTGAATGACCTGCCCCAATCGAGAGGATGGAGGAGGGGGCGGCGGCTGCGGCGATCATAGCTACCCTCTTCCTGACGCGGTGTGATTTCGGGCGAGAAGATGTCGTCGGCATCCTGTAGCTCCCAATTTTGGATGATATGGGAGATGTTGTGGGTAGTCTTGCGCGCCGCACCGGAGCCGGCCTTGGAGCCGTGAACGTGCGAAAAGGTGGGCTCGACGGTGTAGATGATGTTGGGGTTCATCTCGTCGTAGTGAAGGCGCGCTCTTCGATTGCGCACCGAGTCGTAGATGATGCACTGGTTGCCGTCGAGGTTGTTGTCGAGCTCGGAGCTCAAGACGATCTGCAAAGCCTCGTAGATGGCTTTTTCGTCCATGCTACGTTCAATGTAGGCTTCAAAGTGCCTTCCATGCATCTGCAGAATGATGATTTTGTGGTCTTCTATGTCGTTGATGTGCTCGAGGTATTTGCTTTGATAGAAGAGTGTGATGGTAAGAGAATGAAGTGACGAGGCGTTGGAAAGATATACAGGCATTTCGTTGGCAGCCGACACAGCAAACGCTCAATTGCGCTTCACCGTCAATTTCACCGCCAGTAACATGTCTCTCACCTGAACCTACAATGTAGGAGTGCAGGCCAATCAACCGTGACGTTGAAGTTGTCAAACAGCCGGTGTTTACCTTCTTCACAAAACAACGGTATTCACCTTTCAACACATAACTCGACTATATCTACTCCAATATTCAACTTTCTTTATACTACCCAGCAGCAGCCAAACACACCTAAAAACATCGGTCCGGTTATCAGCATACGAGTTGGGGGTGAGTAGTAGGCGACCACATCTTTTTGTAGTAGGTGACCCATTCTTTTTGCCCTCGTTCGAAACTCTGTAGGTTCAGTCTTTTTTGCCTCACTTAAGTAAGTCACTGCGCGCTTCTCGCTGTTTACTTTGTTTACGTCTCGCTTACCGTTGCCACCAGACAACACGGTATTTACCTCTCAGCAAATGCCCACAACACAATGTATTCACTTTTGACATTTAGGCCATGTATATCTACTCTAGTATTCAACTTTCTCCGTACTAACCAGCAGCAGCCAAAGACAATGCTTAATCCCGCTACTCGGTTATCCGAGTGAGATTGGTAGTGGGTAGTAGGCGACCCATTCTTTTTTTGCAAGTTTTTGCCCCACGTTCGATTCTGGGTTGAGTCAGGGTGACTCCACGTATTTTTGCGTTTTTGGAGTTGGGGCTACTCTGTGTGGACAAGGGCGTGTACGCTGGCATTGACGAGCTGGTTGTGGGCAGTGGCATGTGGGAGTCTTGACACGCTGAAAGGATGGGCAGGCATGCTCTAGTATTCCGACTGCAACATCATCTATCACCCTCTTCTCTTGCAGCATCTCACTCACAATCTTGAACGTGTACATACCCCAGCCGCATATACACTCCACACTCGTCCCACAACTACAAATCTGTATACACCAAAGCAAACACACAGTAACATACCAATAATTCAATATAAACAGCGCTTCCATAGCTACAAATACAGCCGGCGCTCAGATAATACATAATCATACTCTATGTACAGCTTCCCATGTCGACACCACCATACAAACGCCGACTCGTACAAGCATATCCCCTTTCTATCAAGACAACACCCTCTTCATTAAATAATACCGCATTTAACCATCGCCCATCTATCCTAGGATTTTGCAACAAAATAGCATTTCATCTGGTTTAACCAAGCCCTGTGCCCCGTCTTTCCATGCCTGGTCGTCCGCTACTCACACTACCTCTATGTACTCTGCCAGCACCACCGTTACCGCATCCATGCATCATATCCAAATCGACCGGTGTGCCCGCCCCGAGCGCAAAGCCATACGTCTCTGGTCCAGGCGCGAAAACGCCATCGTCGCCCAGACTGTGTTGTGGAGGAGGCTCAACGTTGAAGGGCACAAAGTAACTACTCATTGGATCGAAGAAGTTATTAGTTGTGGCGTTTGGACCGAGGCCCATGGCTTCGAGGTTCCAGAAGGCGTTGTTGAAGTCGCTGGCTAGGTCGGGGAAGGGGGAGAGGTTGTTTGTGTGGGCCGAGTGGTCTAGTTGGTGGGCGTGTGGTACGTGCATCATTGAGGGCGAGGTGTTGAGGAGGGGAAGCCCGGAGTGTTGTTGGTTTTGGTGGTGTTGTGAAGCGAAGTCGGCGAGGAATTGTTGCGAGGAGGATTGGTGGTGTTGTTGTTGCTGTTGGGCGAAGAGCGTGTTTGGGTCGTAGCCGGCGGCGATGGCGGCGTCTATTGCGTCTTGCGAGGTCATGTTTAGGTGGTTCATTTGTTGTTGAGCTTGTAGTTGTGCGGTGCGGGATTGCTGTGAATGGCTGTTGTGGCGTTGCAATCGTGCTGGATCCGTATGGCTCGACGACGATATATCGGGTTTCGACACTGATTTCGACTTGTTCTTGCGAGCGTGTTTGCGCTGTTGGTCTGATTTGGACGGCGGAGATAGCGAGGCGAAGAATTCCTCTACACTTTGCAGATCACTCTTGTGCCCCAGAACCGCATCCGTGCCTGCCTCTTTTGGAACTCCTTCTGCTGCGTCCTCGTAGTCTGTTTTCGAGACCCCGTGAGGATACCTATCAAACCAGTCTCCATACTGGAAGATGCTACCCTTCTTCTGCTCACTTGCATTCGACCCTTGCAGTTGAGCGTCGGCGTGTTGTCGGTACAACTCCTTCAAGTTCTCGGCGATATAGTGGAACATTCCCCAGTACTTCTTCATCTTTGTCAGGTATTTGAGATTGTATGCCAAATACTTTTTCGATTGCGCTTCCAGCTTTGGGTTCTTTGAAAATACGCCGTGAATATGTACGGTCGAAGAGAAGAAGGCGGAATATCCAGCGAATGGCGCAACGACGTTGTGATCCATGGATTCGTGGATAAGCATCGATATCTGGTTCGCAGCATCGAGCGCTGAGCGGGCGGATTCTGTAAGGAAGTCGTGCGGCATGTCCTTTGGTGGTCTGCTGCCTGCTGTTGAAGGTAGGGCGAAGCGGTGCATGAAGAGCATGATTTGCTGGTATAGGATATGGAGGTACAGGAACGAGTTTGCGGTTTTGCCAACAGCGTGGCTCTTGAGGTTCTCGGGGCTGAACACCAGCATCTCAGGCAATGCTGCCTTGAAGTCCTTTGCCTCCTTCTTGATCGCGTGATATGTCGAGTTGGATGACCACATTGGTTCGTCTTCACGCTCTTTGCCGCCCAGGTTCATGTACTTGATTAGTTTGCCCCATGTGCAGACCAAACGTATCGTGTAAGCCGCAACGCCCATGTTTTCGCGCGGATCCGACAGGTGCCCACTGTCAGGCGGAACTGGGTTTGGTACAGTGCCTTCTAGGCTCTCGGTCGGCGCAGGTATCTCGTGAACGTATAGATGTTCCTTGACTGGTAGTTGCACTTCGATATATTGTTCATGAACAAACAATGGCCGGTCAGTACCAGAAGAGTTGAAGCGGTCCATCAGGAAGCAGGACCACATTGTCCGCCGCCGTATCTCTCGGTCTGTAGCGCTCAGGGGTTTCCTGTCCTTTTCGCTGACCAGCGGGTCGTATTCGTTTTCTTTGTGCAGTTGCAGTGCGTATGCCATTCTCTGTGCCATGCCGCCAAACATCCAGCTCCGTCCGCCCTGGCATGTGCCGAATTCATGAAGACCAAGTAAGAGATAGACTATCAGAATGGTGATGTTGGGTGTATCGTATCGTTTCAGCGAGATTTCTCGCGCGCGTTCCGCCCAGTGATCGCCTCGTAGGAAACATGGCTCTGTCCGTAATTGGGGGTGTGTAGAGAAGCGTGCTGATATAGCGCACAGCGCTAATATTAGTACTGGCGGAACCTGGCCCGCTGCTAGCTTTCTAATGAAACTGGGCTTGTGGAGAAGCGGATAGCTTTGGCAGTACACAAAGTCAAAGTACACTTCAGTTAGATGCTCTTGAATTTCTTTTGAAGGCAGGCTCTCGGCGCCTTCGGTGAGCAGTTTGCTCTCGGCTGATTCCTTGGACCGTGATGTCGAGCCAGCAATGTCCGGGTCAGGAACCTTTGCCTTGGACCACTCATCGAGCTCGTTGCCGAATGCTTCTTCGGCTGGACGCTTCTTGTTCGTGGGCGTCTTGGGCGGGGCGCCGGGGATAGCGGGCTTAACAATGGACCTGCCCACATTTGCGACAGAAGGTAGGCTTTCCTTGGGAATGAGTTTGACAACGCGGTCTTCCATGCGTTTGAGTCTCTTGTCCAGCATGGCCATGTAGTCGGTCCGCGGGGCAGCCTTCCGTGTGGTGACTTTGTAGACGCATGGTATCCTGCTTCTCAGACAGTGTTTGCATGCGGGCTTCTCACCGGAGCAGCGGATCTTCTTCCTCCGACAGGCAATGCATGCCAGTGGTAGCCTTTTCCTCTCTTTGCCAGCCTTTGTCTTCATCTCGCTCCACAGTGGCGGGTCCTGGATGTCGTCCTTGCTCTTTTTTGACGTGGTCGAATGGCCGTCTGTGCCATCGTTCCCGCCGAGCTTCATAGCAAGGGCCGAGCCTTCACTCATGGTATCCCCGATGGCGAGCATGTCCATGGCAGGCGCACTCCCCGCTGGACTGGTATTGGACCCATCAATTCCTGGGCTGGCACCAATGCTCAGCCGGTGTGGGAGGGCACTGGCGGCACTCATGGCCTCCTCACTCATGTTCCCCACGCTTCCTCGGTGGTCAGCATAGCCAGGCTCGATTTTTGGCTGGATGCCGTCAAAGTCGGAGCCAAAGCCTCGGTTCGGGGCAAAGGCCATGTCGAAGTCGGAGTAAGAGGCCATCATGTTAGTAGGACTCATACTGTTGGAATTCGGAGAGGCGCGCAGGTCAGACAGGCCAAAGTCGTTCAAAAGCAGCGAGTCGTCGTTGTCGAAGCGCGCATGCGAGGATGTAGCCACGGAGGTAGCGTTTGCGCCGGAGTCGGCCATGGTGTCAGCGGCAGCGTCTATTCTGGTGGCGCGTTCCGGTAGGGCTGACGGCGACGTGCATCAAGTTGCAGCAGTTCTTACTACAAGTCATATGCGCGTGTACTCGAGGTCTCCAACCAACATGGCAGGCGGAATTCAGGCGTCGGACTTCCAGACGTTCGTGTGTGCTGTGCTGGACCGGAGCGCCGGCCGAACAAGTGGATGGTAAGCTCCGGATTCTCCACAGGATAGTCGCGGGCCTTGGTTCGAGGCCAGTGGGGCGCTAGTTGGTATATCAAAGCGTAGTGCAGGTGCGTATGTGGGGAGGAGGAGAAGAAGTGGAAGGGATGTATGTGAGCGTCAGCACGTGCAACAAAGAGGAATTGCAGCAGCAGGATAAAGACAAATGGCGGCACACCAGCAATACAGCACAGGACCGCGCACCATGACGGTGGGTGATGTTATGAGGGCCGTCTACAGCTGGCTGCAGCGCGGCCTGTGTCTCCGCCCATAGTCTGGCAGCCATGTCCATGCGGTATGCACAGGGGACGGAAGCATAGCGATGTAATAGCGCCTACAGGATTCGCAAGCTTGCCTCCCGTCGAGGTCCGATTAAAGCTCCATCAAACTCACTGGCCCACTCAAGTCACTGGCCGCATCTTGGCCGATGCAAGCCACATAATCCTTCGCTCCCCCACATGGCTTAGAGAGAGCGCTGCTTAATCAGGCATCACAAAGCAGGAGTCGCCATGTCTATACAAGCCACTGGGTCCCTGTGGCTACCTCACCCAAGTACTGTGCCGTCATAGAAGCTGTTTCTGCGCATCGCGAGGCTGACTTGTTGTCGTCGACGTTGTGGCGGGGACCCCTTCTCCATCACAGCAACAGCGACAGCTTGTGTTTTGCGGGGCGCCCGCCTTGTCAAACATGCAGACGTTGGGCGCACACGAGGAATATATGAACTAGAATTGCGACCTGCACCCCAATACCGCCCATATTCGCCATCCTATGTTCCGATTCGACCGCCTGCACACATCTCGCGGCCCCGCGAAGTAGGCGGCCCTGCTCCGCGCAACGGCGCGCCGGTCGCTTAAGCTTTGGTGCTACATGCTCCTCCCATGCTCTCGTTGAGTGCATCACGAGGCCAACGTTGATGATGGCGCTGGGACTTGGGCGAGTTACTCTCTGCAAGGACGCCCACGACCGGGGAAAAGCGTTTCACTCCAAGCCTGCGCAATCTCATACACAAGGCTGGGGGTGCGTCATTGATGTTTGTGACTGACCTGACGTCTGCCCGCCGCTCATCAGTCCAAACTTGGCTTCCAGAAAAGCACCGCTGCACGGCCCTTGTTCCACGTATCCAGAGCTTATCCAGTCAGTCTCTCACTGTCGGTACTGATTACTGATAAATAAGTAATTCCATTTGTCGGCGCGAATCGGCCTCGCCGAAAGCCAGCCCTCTGGTCATCCATCTGCATACGTCGTTCATCACCGCTTCTGCGCAGGAAGACGCCCTGCCTTTAGCCAAATATGCCTTCCGTCAACCTACTTTACACCACATTCCCTTTTACCCCGCGTAAAAAAAGTAAAACAGTCACACACACACACACACACACATATCTTTACACAGATTGCTCAGGAACGAAAAGAAACCATGCTAAACCTACCCAACCACTCGCACATCACAGCGACGATCCTACTCATATATGACAATACGAGTCTATCTCTCCCCATCACACCCATCATATCTCATTCCAACCCGGCTTCTTTTCAAACACCCCTACCCAAGCCAGCCAGCCCCAGCTCAGCCCATCCAACACTCAGCAGCACAAAATCACCACCACCAACCCAGCCCGTTCGTCCGTCCACCACGTGTCCACTCAGCCTAACGCCCTGCCTCCAAGTAATTAAGACTCTAAGCCCTACAGCACGCACGCACGCAGCATTACTCGTAATGCCCTTTTCTTTTACTCAATCCAGATGCTCACACAATCGTGCCCATAAGGCTCTAACCGGGATCACCTTTTAAACACTGCACGGCATCGGCCCTTTTGTTAAAGCACCGGGCTACAGTGGATCCCCTTGTCTAGAATATGGGCTCATTTCTCACTGCAGCGACTGCACACCACGCGATTTCTTTGGCGTTTTTTGCTGGGGGTGATCCCGCCGGTCGTCTTTTGTTGGGGGCTTGCCATGCCTCTTGCCCTGGACTTGGGGGTGAGCGTCCGGGGTTGGCGTGCTTGTTAGGGGGCTGGTCCGGCGTGGGAGGCTCGGTGAGTTTGTACTGTAGTTTGTGCGCTCACGTGATGGGCGTGGTGCGGTACCCGAGGTAAGCATGGTATGCGAGATGAGGGTTTGTGAAGGTGTGGTTGTGGTGTATAATGTGTCATGGATGGTTTTATAGCGTGTATAGGGCTGGAGACAGTGGTGATGCTGTTTGTTTCACTGGGTAATGCTATATTGTGAAATCCCTATACTACCTAGTGCATGAATGACATCGAGTTCCGGTGACAGTTTAGAGACGCGGATACACGAATACGGTACCAGGCTCAATCTAACTGATCAATAGATCCTGGACCACGGATTGTTATCAAGGAGCGGTGTATAGTCAATACCAAATATCATTCAGCTTTTCCCCATCCACCACTTCTTCTCACTACCCAAAACATGCCACATTGGATGTCCCAACAAATCCAACAAAAGAGCGTAAAGCGCGCCAAAGCATCGCCAACGATAAACCAAACAACCATCTCACCCCCTCCTTACTCACCCAACCAAATCACCACCCTACTGCATTTTCTCCACCCCTTCACCACCACCCGCAGCAGAATAATGCCCGTACTCCGTATAAGGACTGCACGCCCCGATCAGCAAACGTCGCCATACCCTGCCAAAGGGAAAAGAGAACATACTCGTAGATGTGATACTTGTCATCGTTGTCTGGGAGCGACTCGTGCGGTGCCTTGCGCTCTCCTGTATCAGAGGTAGAAGGCATGTCACGCTTCTGCATCATGGTACCGTCGTCGTTGTCGTCGTTGTCGCTATCCCCTTTTGTCATCATGGTGTCGTCGGCGTCACCGTTGTCCTTCATCATCTTCATCATCTCCTCGTGTGTCATCTTCATGTGGCGTCTTGCCATCATCTTATCCGTATCCATCTTGCCGCCTTCGTCATCCACAGCCTCAGGGTACGTCCCATGCGAATCGTAGCGAGAGTAACCGCGCTTCTTCATATTCGTTACGTCTTCCACGGAAGCACCAGGGTAGCAGCCATAATTGCTGTGAGGCGTGTATGTAGCCATCTTCGTCCGTTTGGCCACGCCTTGGTCCGTCTTTGCGTAGTTTCCGTAGTCTGTATAGTAGGCGCCATATTCGGCGTACGTCTCTACTTTGGGCTGGACTGCGTCGTGTGCCATGTTCATGGCTTGGCCATCTGTTTGGGCGTGTTATGAGGTGGGTACACATTGTTTATGGTGGAGACGTACCTGTCATATCGTGTGGAAGTGGGACTGCGGCTGCAAAGCCGGCGAGGCTGATGAGCAGGGCTGCGGGATGCATGGTGAGGGACTATCGGATATGGGAAGTAAGAGATATCGGGAGTAGTCTGGACTGAGAGTAAAGGAGAAGTAGAAGCTGTGATATATGCCACTCCCACTACGCGACCCACCCTTTTGTAGACAGCGCTGAGAGGCGAGTATCAAACCCAATCATGGTACAGAAATCGATCATGGTGACGATTGCGTAAGGTTCCATCCGTATATACAATATATTGTGATCATTCGAATTCTCTTTTGTTGACTCCGGGAGTCACATATTGACCACCTTGCGGGAATAGTGATGTTGTTGCTTGAGGTCGTCCAGAGACGCATTCAGTGTCGCGTATTTGACCGGAAGTTCTGTGGAAGCCACAGCTTAGATGCTCCACACGAGCGGGTGCTAAGTGTTGTCTCCGATGAGATCAACCATTGGCTTGGTGTTGAATTCCGTGAGAACAGCAAATCTGTACATCGTTACTGCGAAGACTATAAAGTGCACCCGGGCGGGACTGTCACAGTCGGCTTAGGCAAGTTTGCTCACTGCCGTCTCAATCCAGAAGTGGTGCGGGCTTCTGTGATGGATATGAGCGCGAACGAGTCAGAAAGCCGGTTCATGTTGACATTTGGATATCACTATACAGGTTCCTCAATGGTGGTGTGATTGTGACTGGTCAGACAACAAGTACCCCCATAGACGTCGCTAGAGCAATTACTCTGCCAGTTGAGTGGTATACATGTTTTCTTGCACTACATGGCCAACGTGTCTGACATCTATGACAGCCATCATTGTGTCACAACTTGTCATGAATGGCTGGTCTTGTCGTACGGGGTATTTATTCGTACTGTACGTCCTACCTGTGACGAGAAAGGGAACTGCCGACGGCAGGCACAGGGTTTTGACACTTTGGTTGGATGTAGTTTACTTCATCGTTCTTCTTCCCGCCGCGAAATCAGATCTGCTTGACTTTTGTCGCTTGTTCCTTCGACTTCGATCGTGCGGATTTGTGTGGAGGTCTCATCATGTTCAGCATCTTTCACCGTCGTTATGAGCACACCCGTTTACCCCAGCGCGACTCAGAAAGCCACGACAGTGATACCTTGCTACCATCCTCTTCTTCAACTTCACTTACTCTGAAACCTGCTGTTAGCCGTTCAAGTCGCGATGTTCAGGTAGCTGTAAGGACACTCATCCTGTGTACCATATTATATGTTGGCGCAGCAATATGGATGGCTTTCGGCATGAGTAAGATCACCTTGTTAGCCAATCCTGATGAATTCTGCATTCATCATATTTCACGATATTGTAAGTGGAAGAAGATGGATGTCAAATGCAATTACTAATAAGCTCAGCACCGGTTGTCAGAGACGTAAAGCCGAACTGGCATACACAGCAGTTCAACGGAAGCTTTTTACATCAAAACATATATCGACAACCAGCGAGTCCAGAGGTCGACGCAGCGTGGGCGGCGCTCGGCGTGAACTGTAAGTAACGCCGACCTACAGAGGGCTTGATTGACTGGTTCTCCAGATCGAAGCGTGGTCGTACCCGAGAACGAAGCTGGACAAATGGGGCTGCGGCCTGACCAAGTCAAAGTGAGCCAAGAGTATGGTGGTGGATTCCCAGCGAATGTCGAAGGCCTGCATCACCTGCATTGTTTGGTAAGTACCAGGAACGGAATACCCACTGAATGTTGTTGATTGTTTTCAAGGACCTCCTCCGCAAGACGCTGCATTGGAACTACGACTATTACTTGGCCAAAAAGCAAGGACCTTTCGTGAACAGCGAGTATATTGTGCGCGTGCACACGACACATTGCTTGGATATCTTGCGACAAACTCTAATGTGCAACCCGGATATCGGTGTGTTCGGTCAAGTGTGGTGGCAAGCTGGAGGCGAGTCGGAGCCGACGCCCTTTGTCGACTTCAACTCAAAGCATCGATGCCGGGATTTCGAGGCCATACGCGAGTGGGCAGAGGCGCATCAGTTGCCACCTGAGGCGACAGTGAATATGAGTCGCTTCTACGAGAAGCCAAAACCAGGGGATTTCATCTCCCCAGAAATACCTTAGGAGGGGGCAAGCGCTGATGTCAGTCAGGCGTAGGATAGTTCAGGGTAATCCATGGCCAAGTTACTTTTTCCTCAGCTACATGCTGCTTTTTATACAAGCATTCGCTTCGAAATCGCGCTATGCACTGTGATGAATGGCGCAAAGACGGCACTGGACAGCAAAGCTCCGTTCAGTTCTGTCGCGGCTTGACGACGCCATCGTGGACAATGTAGTAGACGACTGTGCTGTCCGAGTCTACTGTCGCTAATACGACACGCTTTGTTGTCCTCCAGGGATTGGCTGTGTCCCCTCCAGTATTTGACGAGCCTGTTGTAGGCGGGACCATACTGATAACATCGAACACGCCAGCTAGCTTACGCAGCGTCCACGTCTCGTTCAGTCTGGTAGGCAGTACCCATTCTCGTTCAGGCTCCGCTTTGACCTCCAGTCCACCTGCCTCGCCCGCAGCGCGCGCTTTCCTTTCGCGGTCGGCCTTCTTCAGCAACTCCACTTGCTCATCGGGATGAACGTATAAACGTTGCGGTGGTAGGCCAGAGACCAGCGGACGGGGTAGAAGGTCGTTGGTAGTCGGTGAGTGCGTGTGCACCTGCAGGTCCGACCAGTAGTGCTGATACTGGAGGTTGTGCAGTATCTGGCGGGCGAGCGATTGCTCATTCGGAAGGTGCGTGTTGCCTGCGGGCGCCGATACGAACGTCTGTAAATGCGCCGGCGCGATGGTATGTTTCAGGTCCGCTCTTATTGAGATTGCCGTCATAGTGAAGGCTGGGCGACGACGAGCGCTGCAGGGCGATTGGTGGTGCGTGGCGTTGGGGTGAAGGAAGCTATGCGGTTGCGGAAGGAGCGAAGATCTTGAATGCCACCCCGCCAGTCATGGGAGCACTGCCGAGCAACCACGACCGCTGTGAATGGAAGGAGCAACGCGGCCCAGGCAACAAACAAGACTTCTCATTCTTAAGCCTCGTCCATTCTGATCTCTCCGACAACACTCAGCGATAAAGACTACTGAGTTTGGCCTTTTGAAATCACGCTACAATTACCAGAAATCCATCATCATGCTCGCATCACTCTCCATCTCCACACTGCTGCTTTTGGCTAGCGCTGCCGCCGCCCAGGACATCGTCGCGACCTCGCCTTTCGTCAGTCCCACGCCTACGGGCGAGGAAGCCTTCACTATCCAGACGTCAACACCCGCAGCGACGCCGGTGGATCCTTGGCTGTGCTATCAAGCATGCTTGCAGGAACCGTGCCCGTCATGTACGATCTTCATCAAACTCTCTTCTCGCATTGAGACTAACCTGACTAGGTCCGTCTGGTAGCATGATGAGCATCCTGCCAGTCTCGTCAGAGTCTGTCGTCACTGCCATCGACCCCTCTCTCTCTACCGTGACGGGTATCATGTCAATTCCACCTCTCAAGACAGGAACTGTTGTCGTCTCCATCATCACCGACCCATCTCTTTCAACCGTGACGGGCAACATGACGATTCCTCCTCTAGAGACGCCCGAGTCTTCTGATGGTCTCATGTCGATTCCCGCCGGCGAGACGCCAATTTCGACAGATTCGCCCACGACTGCGAGCAGTGTCTCGGCAACAAGGTCTGCACCGGCTCAGGTGACGACGAATGCCGCTGTGTTCATGACAAAGGACCTTGGTATTCCGTGCATGGTTGCAGTTGCAGGTGCTCTCGCGCTTCTGTAGATGGAGCTTGTCTGTGTAGCATGTGTGTGTATGGCAGGTTCACATGCTTCCTCCATGATGAGGTTCGGCCAAGTCGGGACTACTCCGGTGGCCAACTCTATTCCGCCACACCACACTCACTGAAAGTGATATGTCATAAGTTCAACAGATAGTTAGAGTAAAATCAAACAATATTCATCAACTCATCATCTCCCAAGTCTTACCAAGGCAAATGCTGCAGCGTAATGTATTGTGGCGGAGCCGTCATACGCGTATTTGTATCGAGCAAGCGGGTTTTTAGATGCGCGTTGTGGCTGGCGGCTGCACATGTGTGGCTCGACAACTGCGGCTTGTGGGTCTGGTCGGGCCTGCCTGGGGTTCCTGGGAGCCGCCACCCCTTCACCAGTCTAGGCCGTCGCGTCCTATGCCAACAAATAGTGGTAGCTCCTTGTAAACATGTCGCTCCTCATACAGCTGCTGCTTTTATTCAAAGCAGATTACTCTTCACTCCCGATTTACCCGCCCAAGTGACGCTTTGCGAAAAGCAACGGGATCGTCCAGTGATATTATTGAACAAGCTATTAACCGATTAAGCTGGGGCATTGTGCTGCGGGCGCTGCGGACCGGACTACTTACTCTACAAAAGAAGGCACCTCCAGGTAGCTGTCTTCAACAAACATGGCTTCCAATAGCAGCATACCAACGCCAGTGCCGTTCCCACAACCTGAAGGCATTCGCAACCCAAACCCATCGAGCCCTGTAGCAGAGTCGCCTTCGACAAACCCACGCGCACGAACCTCCACCGGTGCGTCATCGATTTCGAGTAAAATACGTACCGCGACGGGAAAGTTGATCGAGGCAAACCCTCCACCTGGCATGTGGGCAGCCACTGGCACGACCGCAGCCAGAGCACCCTCAATATCGGACATACGGAGAGGTTCTTTTGGATCCACAGGATGGTGTGAAGAGACACAACGGAGGAGAGCAGGATCAAGAACAAGTCAGGGGGAGGACTCTACAAACGTGGAGCTGGCAGAGCGATCTAGTGCTCAACGGAGAACGTCGTCAGGCAACGTGCTAGACGGCGAGCCTTTCCCTGCCTTGGCCGAGGAGGATACACGAGAAGCAGCTGGATATGATGGACAGAAGGACAGCTTAACCTCTGGCATGCGGTCAAACCACAGCTCTGAGACAGTAGGAGAGCACCTCGATAACGCGCAGCAACCAAAGAGGACAGCTTCAGGACATGTTTGTCTACCCATGTTCCCCTGCGTCAACATACTAATGCTGCGATAGTACGCCAACGGCTATATACCACCACCCAAGCTGCCATGGAAACAGTCATTCGCCATCGGTTTCCAGGGCTTCTTCAAGTGGTTCTTGACCCCCAGCGGTTTCCTCATTACTCTCTATGGTCTAAACGTTGTTGCTTGGGGTGGCATGCTCTTTCTCCTACTTTGCAACGCTGCGCCAGCCATGTGTACACCCACCTGTGATGACATCAACTCCCCACGGCGAAAGTGGATAGAATACGATTCGCAAATTCTCAACGCACTCTTCTGCGTCACAGGTTTTGGTCTGGCACCATGGCGCTTCCGCGACCTATACTGGTGGGCATGGTGGAGAATTGGAGGCGCAAAGCGCACAGAAACAGGCATCCGACGACTTGCAGGCATACATCGAGGATGGTTCAGACTTCCCGGCTCAGACGAACTACCTGACGAAGCCAATGCAACTGTCGTCGATCCCGAAGACCCCGCTGTACCTATTCCAGTCAAGGCAATTCCGGACCCACCACCTACTGCAATCCGTGCCCCACCCACAAAGAGCTGGAAGATGGATTTCGTCATCTGGATGAATGTGTGTAATACATTTTGTCAGGTTCTTCTCTGCTTCTACATGTGGCATTACAATCGCATTGACCGACCGTCATGGGCTACGGGGCTATTTGTCGCAATCGGCTGCATTGTCGCTGCTGCTGCCGGCATCCTGATGTGGCACGAAGGCAAGAATGTCAAGAAAGTCGAAGGTGTGCCTGTGCGTAAGGCTTATGGGGACACGGAAGCACAGTCGAGCATGCCCTTGGTGGCTACAGCTGTGGCGACAAAATCCTGATGGCGCCCAGCTCTTGGATTGATGCTCATTGGAGCGGAGTGCCCTATTTGTCTTGGCATACACACCTTGATACGTTTGTACACCTTCAGTCTTGCAAGATACCCAGTTAACATTCTACTATTTCAACCAAAGTTACTTGCATTCACACTATATTTTCTTTTGAGTCAAACTTTGTTCATCAAGTTTGAACCACGTCAGCAAGACGCTTTTTCAGCGAGAAAGAAGGTTTCGGCTGCCCCCTCGGACTTCACCATGCATCACCGGACCCTGTCAGCCTTGTGCTGCATGCTTGCCGAGCTCCCCGGACAGGCCGAATGCAAAACCCAGGGGTTGATCTGTTGATCAAAATGACGTAGCATCGTCGCGCAGATTATGGCCTGGTGATGGTTGCGCGGAGTCTGTTGGTATATATTTGGCCAAGGCCTTGTATCGCATCTTCACTCTCCTCATGCTGATTACAGAGCACTAATACCTTTTGCGACCGAACGATAGATACGAAGACATGGCAGCACAGGAATACTACCTGGGCACGCAAGGTGCACATGAACTTCCAGGCAACCACTCATACCCACCACAACCACCAAAGCCGCCACAGTACCAACAACCACCCCCAAGTCCCTACAGCAATACTTCAGGATACGCAAACACACCACCTCCAAACTACTCTCCATACCCCCATCCACAACACCACCAACCATACCTCGAGAAATCACCACATATCATGCCAGCGCCCTACCCCCAAACACCACCATCCGGCTACCACCCCTCCCAACACTACACAATGCCCCAACCCCACCATCAACCTTCGCAAACCAACAATAACAGCAACTACCTCGGCGTCTCCACACAACAACCTATAAGAAGCCACTCCCAACCCCCCACGCGCGTCCACTTCACAGACCACGACTCAGACACCAGCACGAGTCTCGGCTCCATCTCTTCCAGCGACGAAGGCCCCGCTTCTCCCCCACTACCACGCCGCCACCACCGCTATCAAAGCCACTCCCGTCCTGACCGCGCACATACACCAGATCCCTACACCACTACTAGCAATTACAACCACCCCTACGACCGTGACCGCTCCGATGACAGACACCGCCGCTACAAGCATAGCAGCGACAGGTACAGCGACAAGGAAAAGGATAAATCACATAGCGGCGCGCATAAAACTAGGGATACTTTTCTCGGCGCGGGCGCAGGCACGATTATCGGGGATGCGATTTTTCCTGGGCTGGGTACCGCGGCGGGGCTTGTGTTGGGTGGATATGGGGGGAGGAAGTATGCGAGGGAGAGAAGTCGGAGTGAGGTTGGGGGGAAGGATAGGGATGGTGAGAGGGATGGGGGGAGGAGGGGGAATGGGAGTAGAAGGATGGGGGGTGAGGAGTGGGATGATAGGAGTAGGATTTTTAGAAAGGGTGGAGCTGTTCGGTAGATGCAGTTGTGATAGATGATAACGTTGATGATGATAACGTTGATGATGATAACGTTGATGATGATAACGTTGATGATGATGACGATGATGCTTATGTCTTGGTTGGCTGCTGGACAGTGAACCACTAGGATCCATCTACAATATAAACCTTTTTCACTCTTCACTAGCACTTGCATCATCGTTGTTAAAGAGCAAAGTAGTTGATCACCTACTAAACATTATATTCGGCATGTGCGTCTTCAATCACGTGGGCGATAGCGCTACCTAGCCTTATTTCTACCTTCGCCCCATCCATCTAAACCATGCATGTCTTCAACCGCCTCCTGGCGATAGCATAGCACTGGCTGTGTATCCCTTCCCCCTCACCCCTTCTTTTGAAGATGTATGTCTTTGACCGAACATGCGGTAGCATTCCATCCTCACCCTAACATGACAGTAAAATTCGACAAAAATAAGAATTATACCGGGTGTACGTCTTCAACTACCGTGATGGCAGTAGCATCACACCCTCATTTGCTATCCAAGCAGATGAGTGAAAAAACATGTTCGAAGACAAGCCCCTAGTAAATACCAGGGACGATTCTCCAGGGAACAAGCTCAACGTAGCGGTCCCAGTCCTTTCCGTACTTCCTCCTGCACTTCTCCTCGTCGCGCCTCTCGCGGTGGACGAGAAGAATGGCAAAATAGACCATGAAGAAGTAGGTGAAGATCATGCCCCAGCCCTTGGCCTCGTCAGGTACTACGTATTTGCCGTAGGCGTCCTTGAAGAAGTAGGCGTCGGTTTGCGTGGCGGTGATAGGGTGTTGCGCAGAGTTCTTGATCAGGTATCCGGACATGGCCGTGGGAAGGACGTAGGACCAGCTCATGAGCCAGTCACCGAGGTAGTTGATGTGACGTGCAGTTCCCCACCATCCGCTGATGAGAAGCTTGGAGCCAGCCTCGGTCTCAATGTACTTGAGGTGCTTGACACGCGGGTCGTCGGGGTTTGTCCTGAAGCGGTTCTTCTCGTTGTTGACAGCGCGGAAGATGTAGTAGCCAATACCCTGGACTGCGAGCACGCCAGCGACACCGTAGAGACCGAGATCAACGGGGTAGACAGAGAGGTAGCGTGTTTGGATGGTGTAGGTGAATGGGACCCAGACGAGGTCGCCAAAGGAAAGCATCATACCGAAACCATCGGCGATGATGTCAATGGTGGTGAGAATGGCAGGCTCCATGTACAAGGCGTCGAAAGTGTAGACAGCCTGTGCAACGGTAATAAGAATAATGGAGTCTGTGACACGGCCAAAGTTGCGGTATTGCTGCACGATGAAGGCGAGATCCAGAATGATCCATCCCAGCATCCCAGGGCGTAGTTCACACCATGCCTTGATGTCTACCTCGCCGAAGATTGGCAAGTCGACACGTGGGTTCAATTCACGGCCGATGAACCAGTCGTAAAGCATGTTGCCAGTACGACCGCCAGCTGCGAGCTCGCGCATGGACGGATCTTTGGGGTGCTTGACACTGAAAGAAGAGACGTAGCAGTAGGTGGCCAGGAAGTAGGAAATGAGAATGTTGCTGGTCAGAATGCCGATGTAGTTCTCGTGGATAAAAGTCCAGACAGGGAATTCGGCGCCGTAGACGGCTGTACCAGCTCCAAGCATGGCCATGATGAAAAGGGCCGAGTTCCAGGCTGATATGAATTAGCGCAAGTTACTTATTGTATATGATGAAAACATACCGTTGAACCTGTACATGAGCCTTCCACCAGACCTGAGCTCAGTGCCTGCAACCTCCTGTCCAGGAAGGAATCGGTACAAGGTCAAGCTCAGCATGTAGTAACCCAGGGTGCCGAGGAAGGCCTGCGTGTTAAGCAGACCAGAAAAGCCAGTCCATCCCACTCCTTCTTCACTGTTCGAGGCTGAAGCTGTAAGGGTGAAGAAGAACAGTGCCGGGCATCCAGAGATGTCATTGCACAAAAACGTAAAGACATAGACCAAGACCGGGAGACCAAAGGAGATGATGAAAGCTCCAGGGCTGAGAGGAGATTAGCGCCGTGATCGTCAGGGTCGCAAAAAAGACATAACACTCACGGTCCTAGAAACTCATAACCATGAGGCTTCTCATCGAGCGACTTCTTCTCGCTCTTGACTTTCGACATGGTTAGATATCGATTTGTCGCGTTCCCTGGCTCTTGCGATGTCGAATATCCAATCCCGTGGATCCGTAAGTAAACAGACTGGTCGAAAAGGGGTTCGTCGCGTCCCTTTCACAACAACAACAATGCCTCAGCTCCTTTCGATCGATAGTTTACAGCGCGCCTGTTCCGATGAGCACCGCGGATTCCGTCTCTTATAAGTTATTCAGCTGGGGCTGAGCACATTGGAACGATGGGACGATTCTTCGGAAAGGTGTCAACCGTAATGACGCGCACGATCCAGTCTTGGCCGCGCTAACCGCCTCGGCTCTACGGGCTGGGTTCCTGACAAGGGTGCGCGGCCCCGGAAGCCAACGTGTTGCGAAGATTAGCAATCGTACCATAGATGCATGGATCTTCAACCTTCACTGTCACCATCTGCCCGCCATCCCAAACTGTATAGCGCAGTGCGCTCGCCCCCTCGACCATGATAGCCCTACTGTACTCGCTTTTGCTGCTGGTAGCATCATCGACCTTTGCGACGGCTGCCTCGGACAAACCGCTCAAGCCATGTACCGTCATCTCGCCCACGTCGGAACGCTTCTTCGACTTGAATCCTATGCGCCGCCTGCCACCCTCCAAGGAAGACGGCAAAAAAAGCAACAAGAAAGAGGCCGAAGAGGGCAGCTGGCATGCCCGGGGCTATGATTACAATGCAAACTTCACCATCAACTTCTGTGGCCCGGTTGTGGAGGAATTGGATGCGGTACAAGATTTGGACAAGGGCATGTGGAAGAATGTTAGCGCATTCTACGAAAAAGGAAACAAGCAGTGGGCTATTGGGTGAGTCTCTATCCCAAGCAGATCCTGGGTGGCATAAGATACTTGACACGACAGTGTACAAAGACCACTATAGGCGCCACACATACCTATGTGCTTGCCCACACTGTCAAGTATTTTATCTCACCCAGGTGCGAGAAAAGAATATGGGGGAGACGAGCAGACGAATAGTGCGGACCAGGCAGGAGGATACCTTTGAGGCGCAACACTAACACTTTCTCCCCAGACTCGAGAGCTCTGAACCCATCTTCCGCGGTCGCAAACTTATTCTAAACTACACTGGCGGCTCTCTATGCCCTTCGTTGAAATCCAAGCGCTCACTTGAGCCCGCCTCGCTCGACACCCGAGAGATCATCGACGGCGATGACGACGACGACGACAAGAAGAAAAAGCCCAAAGAAGCCGAGCGCCGCAAGACCACCGTAATCTCCCTCCTCTGCGATAACGACCCGCTGGCCAAGACGTCCGTCTCTTTTGTCGCCGCCGTAGACGACTGCGCATACTTCTTCGAAGGCCGCTCGCCCTTTGCATGCGGCGGCGTCCACCAAGAGACACAAGCGCTCGGACCGGGCGGGGTATTCGGCGTAATAGCCATGATCGCGGTGCTCGTATATTTCGCCGGAGGTTGCGTCTACCAGCGCACAGTCATGCACCAGCGCGGGTGGAGACAGCTGCCCAACTACGCCATGTGGGCCGGCATATGGCGTTTCTTCTCGGTGAGTCTATTCAGATGCTGTCGCGGGCGAAGCAGGATCGGTGTTTGATGGACGTTTTTCTCGTTTCTCGCCGCAAACCACTCTGGAGTGCTGACGTTGTTCAAGGACATGTTCATCATCCTTACGTCTTCTTGCGCACGCTTCATGCCCGCTCGCAGGGGCTATAGCCGCGTTTCCCTCGGCCAGGATAGCAGTCGTAGGGGGAGGCGGAATGAGGATGAGGACAGGCTGATAGATAACTTGGATGAGGAGTGGGATGATTGATTATAGCGTGGCCATTCATCTTGGCTATGCACGTATGATATGGGCATTTGCGGCGTTTGGGTATGGGTGACTGGTCGCTCAGGAGCGTCTTCACCGACAGGCATACCAGTGGAATGGGTTACCGAAATAGACTTCCACAACATAGTACATGATACATATATTTACAAAGAAACATCAAGGAACTCACTGGCATGATTGTTCTGCACCGAACTTGTATGTAGTCATTTTGCTGCATGTACTGACTTCCTTTGCGCCTTTCTGTATTCTTCATCCTCGACTAGCATCCCTATCGAAGCGTTATCATAGCGATACCACTTATGAAAGAAAAGCGCCTTGTACCGTAGAAAACAGGTGACGCCTAGTTCCGCCAACATGGCATATGCAAAATGACTGAAAGAAACACCAGTACCTCAGCATACAGCTAGAAAGCTGCGGGAACATCCCATCAAATTAACCAGTCCGTAGATGGTATCCTTGCCAGTCCCGCTCCACAATATGACAAACACCATAGGGGCATAGAGCAGTAATAAAGAAAATGAAAGGGGTATCGGGAATTAGGGTATGTGTTGTCCATGTGGAAATACTCGGGCTGGGTTCTCATGCTTCCATGGCAGTGCTGTCGTTGCCCATGGGCTTGCCACTGTTGATGGACTCGTTGACGACTGTGTTGGGCTTGAAATTGTTCGTGGCCTCGACGATGATTGAGCTGCCGTTGTCTGTGGGCTTGACACTGTTGATGGCCTCGTCGGTGATTGAGCTGTCGTGAGCGCCGCGGATAGGTTCTTCAGCAGATTCAGACATATCAACGTCTTCTACATAAGCATGAAGCGGCTTATGAGCTTTCGAGCCGTCTCCAGTGTCACCGTGGTGTGAACCAACATCTCCATGGGCGATAGGCTCCAACTGAACAACGATGCTGCTCAAAGCCTCTCTAACCTCATCCCTCAGCTGGCTCTCTTCTTCCGACAGCAAAGGTACGGGCTGGTCGCTCGCAACACCGCTCATAACACGCATGTAGTCAGTGCCCATCCGCGCAGCGAACCACTCGGCCTTTTCCTCCATCGCTTCACGCAATTTTGTGCACATGTCATCCAGATGTTTTTCCACTTTACTGGTTGCTTCATCAAACATTCCGGGGCTTTCTTGCTTAACGTGATCCTCCATGTGGTCTTTCATGCGCTTGTACGACCCTTTGCCATGCTCCATAGCGCAATACTCGTAGGCATCATGCATAGCCATCGCAACGCACGGTGTAAAGTCACGGTTTGCCTCACGTTGGAGCTCATTCATCTGGTTGATGAGGTCCATTCCGAAATCCCGGAGGAACTGCTCGTAATGGGTGAGCTGTCCCTTCAAGATGGATATCTTAGCCAAGCTCATGCCACTATCATTGCCGCGTTCTTGGATGGCTTCGTGAAACTTGTGAAGAAGCTTTGCTGAGTTCTCGATATGCGTCTCGATCTTTCCGGGAAGGTGAGATTGAAAGGTCCGCTCCCAGGGTGTAGCAAGGCGTTTGAGGATCGGGTCAACACTGTACTTAGTCAGTATCACAGAGCTCGCGTGTTTGCTAGCAAGAAAGACGCACTGCACTAAAAAAAAGCAGAAAGTGATCTCACAAGCACTTACAGATCAGAGTTGAAATCACGATGACCAGCACTCATAGAGCGGTAGACACCGTCACGTCGGACGACGGCCTTGTATGTTGACCACGGGAGACCACCTTGATCTTTATAGCCCCAGGCGTACGCTGTCACGGGTGCAGCTTTCACAGCTTCGTTAATGAGTTCCGGGTACTTGTCGTTCACCTGAGTCTTTACACAATGTCGCATCTCTTTGAAGCAAGCGCGGACTGCTTCGTTCAAGCCCTTTGTTAACTCGCTCAACTTCCGCCTTAGGTAACTGATTCCTTCCCGCTTACTCTCCTCGGTCACTGGGACGCTAGTGCCATCATTTGACAACCATAGCTCAAACCTAGTCAAGATTTGGGCTAGGTTTGTCAAGAAAGCGCGGCTAATTCGGAGACGCCCAGCCTCTGTAAGCTTTCGGCAATGAGCCTGAAGTTGGGGAATTTCAGTTTCATCTGGAGAAACGAATCCTGGTACTGGTTCATCCTTCAGCATGCGTCCGCACATCTTTTGGTATGCGCGGCTGCTGACGCAAAAGACTGGCAAGGAATTGGCGACTTGAGCATAATCTCGAATCTCTATATCGGGATTGAACTGATCCTCGTCCTCCTCAGCAGCGTTTTCCTGGTCAATTTCTTTGATGCCGTCGGCAAAGTCTTGCTGGATAGCAGTCTTGGAATAGTAGTTGCGTCCAGCGATACAGATACGACTCGCCTTCGCCTTCACCTCGTCTTGTCTGGCATTCAGCTTACGAATCTCAGCCCTCAGTGCCTCTATCATCTTGTTGATTTCGGTACCTTCGCTTCTAGCAGTCTTCTTCGTCTCTCTGAGGTCCTTGAGCTTGGATTTGACGTCCGTCTCAGTGAGTTTCTGTCGTGCCACCAGAATCGTGACGTCATTGTCGTCGCCCTCACTAGACTTATCCTCATCAGAGGCGATGAACTCATCATCTGAATTTTCCTCAAAAGTCCTGGGCTTTTTTGATGGGCGTCGATCCAAGCTCGTATCCTTGCGCTTGCTAGTCTTAGGTAAAGGTGCAAAGACAGGTATGCCGTCCTCGATTTGCTCCTGGAAGTCTTCCCAAATCTCAATGTCTTTGGCTATTTCTGCTATAGCAAGCTTGTAGACCTGTCGGGTCTCCTTCAGATCCTCAATCTTGGCATGAACTTGGCGAATCTGCTCATCGCAATGCTCGTATCGCTTGTTCAACTCCGAGACTTCGTCCTCTAACCCAAGACTGTCACTAGCCTCTGTAACGGAAATATCATCTGTCTTTGAGCAGATAAATGTCATATTCGAGAACCCGCCGTCGTATTTGAGTTGACGTTTGAACGAGTCACCGAGGAGGGTCTTGGCAGCCTTGTCGTCAACAGCACGGTTGATAGGAGCAACAATCCAGAGACCAGTACATTGCTTCAGGTAGCCCTGAGCAACAGCAGCTCGTGCAGCATTACTATCGTGGACGCCAGGAAGATCGACAATGACAGCGCCTGTCGACAGTGCCGGACTCTTTGTATATATCCTCACGACTTTGATCAACGGCCAGTACTCCATCACACGCGCTGCCTTTGGCACCGAGATCTTGGGCTTTTCTTTGTCTTTTTTGGACACCTTTTCTTTGCTGTCAACATATCGCTGTAGCTCCTGATGGAATCGCTCTGGTTGGGCGGCGCGTATGTATTTCACGGTCCCAAGAGTGTTGACGACAGACTGTTTGTTCACAAGTTCGGTTATAGTGTGCTTCCACAAAGCGTCCTTGGTGACGCAGGGATAGACCGCATGGAATTTCGCCCAAGCAACTCCCGCTTCCGAGTTAGGGTTCACTGCTTCGCGAGAAAGCGTACCGTTATCCGTGAATTCCTGCATGAGCACTGTAAGCTCCCGCTCCCAGTCCTCTGAGCTGATGAATTCAATTTCAGCGCGGTATTTGGAGGACGGATCGACATCTTCGTTGAAAGAAATTTCAGTCACAACTGCAGTACAGGCACGCATGCAATTTGTCGGTACTAGGCGTTCTTCGTCAAGCATAGCGTTAATTACACTGCTCTTTCCAGCACCAGTGTTTCCGACAACACCAACAATGGTACGTGTCCGGACTGTTTGCTGAAGAACATTCTCGATTGCATTCATCCATGCCTTTGAGTCTGCATTAGATTCTGCATACTGCGAGAACTTCTGTCTCAAGCGCTTGATGATCTCTGTCGACGCATTCACGCCAGCTTCGAGGATGTCCGGATCTCGCTGCTCGATGATTTGGCGAAGAACTGAATCATAAGACGCACCCTGTGCTTGACGGATTCCATCTAGAGATCGTTCTCGGTGGAACACATTATTGGGATCGAAGGCGTTTGCCGCTTCTTTTGAAGTGTCCTGAACGACCGATGGGACAGATGCGTTCTCTTCCTTGATGCCGAGGCGTCCAGGCTTTTCGATACACCGCTCCGGTGAAGTCCTGGTGAGCGACGCCGTTCGTATGGTCAGTGTACTGGTAGATGACTCAGATATCTCGCGAGGTTGTTGCTGTGACTCATGTTCCATGGTCGATCTCTCCCTGTGACGCGCTGGTTGAGAGTGCTCACTGGATTGTCTGGCTTGGTCGACCGTAAAGAATACCAGATCGTCGTTTGGTGCAAGATAAGAACTGACGGAATCATTCTGATCCACTAGCTGACCTTTGAACGAAAGGCGCACGGCGGCAAGATCGAAATGCTGTCGGTATGCTCTCTGAATTTTCTCGATGGAAACTCCCTGTGTAGGCGTTAGTGTACTAGAGAGGATGGATCGAGCGCTTTGGGATAGCTGGCGAAGAGAATACTGCACTTACGTGATTTACTTTTATCCAAAGAAAGTCCGATCCTTGCAGGATACTCTCTGGGAGTTTCTTGTAGTCAAGCACCCCAATCAAACAAACTCTGGGATCAAGCGGGGTCTTGGGGGCAACACTCCTCGCCTGTTTCTCAAAGCCATCCCAGTCCATCGTCGTCTCCATGTGAGCCGAAAGCTCTGACTATGCAGGTGTAAACTACCTTTTGGCTGGCAGCTGCAACTGGGTTGCGAGGGAGTTGTGTCAACACCGACGCTGAAAAACGTCAACAGATGTAGGAGGCTGTGAACCGTGCCACTAACTGCGGCAAAGTTCGGGCGGTGAAGGGCGAATGGGTAGAAAGGACATGTGGGGTTGACAAACGCTCATGCCATGTTGGGTTGTGGCGCTAGCACGTGATTGGCGTTGGTCATGATGGTATGCCTGTTACCTTCCCCGCACAAACTCGCACCTGCCTCCCAGTTATCGATTATCAAAAATGTCATTGTGGCATTTGAGACCGTCAAATTACAGCAATTTCCTCCAAAGACGTCTTCTCAGCAACCTATCAAGCATGTGGGGGCAGCAATCGTTTGTCGCTCTCTAATGCTCTATCTCCCACCCGTCATGTAGTGCGATGTCATGGAGAGTCTTTACGATTGCATCTATCAGTGTTTCATCACGGTAATCACCCATAGGAGATCCAAAAATTCCACTTCTCAACGAAAAAAGAAAACGATTACAGCTACAGCTCGACCCTGATCCGAAATTGAGTGCCTCACCCTAATCAGTTTGTCATTGCTTGCCGTTGCATTTCTGATCAGTATTTATGTATTCCCGTTCTCAAACCTCTCGTCAAACACGTTCTTGCTCTACCACACGCCCTCTCAGTGACTATCAAGCAGCTGATCCAGCTGTTTCATAGGTATACACTATCAGAGATTTGAGCCGCTCCGAACAACCGTGTAGTAAGGCCTTCCGAATACGTCCTCTAGCTTCTGTCTCGGAAGTTCTGTCTCAGCGTTCGTCTTTCATAAGACGTGTTTTTGTTTTTACACTGTCATCGAAGGACCTAAAGTCTCGATTGTAATTCATGCACAAGGGCTTCACAGCGTCTGGCTTACATTCACAGCGTATTGCCTAACATTTCGATAATGCTTCTCGAACTTCTAGTCACAATGCATTGTTTCGCCTTTGTTCTCGAAGATACTTCCTTATTCTGCATCCATTGCCTGTGTTGCTCATACGTCTCAGTGCTTTGTCTCATTGTACCCTCGCGACTTTCCACGATGGCCTTGTGCTCAATACGTATACTGGGATGGACTCATCCGAATATGGTATCACATATCTTAATTTATTATTTGATAGCAATGGCCGAACAAAACTCACGAAGTAAGCGCATTGCCCCTGAGACCTGTTCGGGCATCAACGGACTTATCGCAACATGCAACAAAAACGATCGCTTCAAGCTTTTGGAGGACGATAGCGTCCTTCCAGTGAACTTGAGCAGCCCTATTCACCCTCTATTCAATTGGTTCGATACCGAAGGGCCGATGCGTCAGATGCTGCAACTCGCCTCGCAGTTCATCGCCCATGATTCTCTCCTCGTCTTCTTTGTACCCCTCTTATATGGACGCGAACTGACCAGCACGATTAACCCTAATAACAAGACTCATCTTTCAGATCCCTTGGCTGATATATCTGAACAGAAGCGCAACGAATATATATGCGGGGTACGCGACGCTCTTCATTGCCTCAGCCACAGCGTCACTTTTCAATTCCAACCGCCTGAGAAGCGAGTATACGCTCAAACACTGCTCAGCGATCAGAGACCAACTCATTCAACGTCATGTTTCCCTGGTTTTCAGCGCAAGCATGCATGCAGGATCGAAATGGCTGATTATTTTCGCGATTTCTATACAACAGGTCAGTATGCAACGTCGTCTCGCTGCGCACAATTTCGACACGATTTCTTATTCGCAGCAACGCTTATACATGAGATTGTGCATGCAATTGGTGTGATGAGGCGAGGTAACCTCAGTGAGCCACATATTAGGACGGATTGTCCAGAGACTGAGTGGGGCTATGGCTGGGAACATTTCATGTTTGGCTGCGTTATAAATCCCCAAGACAGGACAAGACCTGGTACACATCTTCTTATGCGCAAGCTATGGGCAGGCCAAAGGATGGCCGAAAGAGCTGGAGGAAAAGAATACACGGACGTGCCGATGTTTTACATTGCGCAGTGGTTTCGCACAGAGACATGGGATATCATAGCGAAACAAGGGCCAACCGCCATCGCTGCGCCCATTGCTAACTTCAAGATTCAATCTTGCAATGAATTGAGCGCTTGGATAGTGAAAAGTCACCACCTAGAGATCAAGCAGGATTTGATTACACTTCAATCACAGTGGCAGCAGGAGGTTCCTTCAGGTCACTCACAATCGTCGATCAGTCGCGTGCGAGCCAAGATACTTTGGAGCACTGTGACAGAGAGACGGTTGCAAAAAAGCAACGTGCGAACACCCGCGCGCATGTCGCGCAGCTCGCAGCATTGTTCGACTCATGTTTCTGGCGCACTCTCTGCTAGCTCTCGTATTTCTAAGAAACGCCGTGCCGACTCGCTGGATGAGTGCGACCGCGCCAAAAAAGTTATAATACGGACAGTATGAGCAGCAATTGCATACAAGCAGAGAGTTTACTATTTCAAGTGTCATTCGCATAGCGTCACGACTTCGCTTAGTTTTTTATCAATTTGATGTACCAGTACCAGCGATATACCCTATAAAACCCTTGTCAACGTAATAAGATAGTCTCACAGTAGCAAACCATTTTAGTCACATGCGCAGTCTCAAAGTTGTTTGCCCCGCCCCGTGGAAGCTTCTGCGTAACTCTGATATAAAACGTTCACCGGCATTCCCTGCTTCGGCATTCATAGCAAGCTTTACACCAGAACCTCAGACAACTTAAAACCACATGTCAACTCAAGCAGGCCTTCCCAGTCATGCGGAGTACATCAAAAGTCTTATACCCGTCGCGATATGCTCGGCAGCAGGTTCCTGTCCAATATGTCAACTAGAGTACGAAGAAGGCCACTCACCAATCCTCCTCCGTGACTGCGGACACATCTTTGGTAAACCATGCATCCTCAGGTGGTTTGAAGAAGGTGCAAATACATGCCCTTTGGATAGGAAAACGCTCTTCGCCTCGCACATGGATCACGAACAAGACGGGAGTTCATCGTTAGTCCCCCTCGGGTCTACCCAGAACCAAGATATCGACCTTGGCTCAGACTCCCGCAGACCAAACCGGAGACTACGGCGAGTGCGTCATTCCTACGCTCAATATCGCTGTCTCTACTTCGGCGGCGAGATTATCGGGGTCAACGGTCGTCTCACATCTCCAGGGTGTCGGCTTGTCGTCCGCGATCTCTGGTATTATGCAGAGCTTCTAGCCCAAAGGATACAGTTTCATCCTGATGATCTCTGTTTTTGTTCCGTCAGTGAGGACGATATCATTCGACTCATAGAGGATGCGCTACCCAGGGGCGTTGACCCAGATGGAAATGAGCACATTCGACCGCTGTTGAGCAGTATAGCGCGGACGATGCTGAGTTCACAGGAGGAGGCCTGGTCAGAGGGCCGTGGAGCCACGATCCAAAGAGAGGATCTGGAGCGTTGGAGTGGGAGTCTTTGGGAGGTGTGTGGCGGCTATGATGAGGATTGATGCTGCCTTGGTGTAGAGAGGAGGCGATATAGCTGGGGATGTATAGAAGGGCGGATGAATGATATGGTCAAGAACTGGCAATGTACTCGTTTACATGACCTACTGCTTCTTTATCCGGCGCATGGCTAGAAAACGCAATATGCAAAGTCAGTACGCACACCATCTTTAATGCGCTTTTCTAGCACAGCCGTAATGCCAATTATGTGCGCACCATGATACGCGTTGCATCAAGTTTTTTGCGTCAACACTGGTTGAGAGTTCGAAGTGGTATTTCTATCCGACTCGTGACACTGCCACTAGCACAGATTATATGGCTCGATATTCAGGTAAGTAGCCATTGAGAGCATGCCGTGTGGGTTCGAGCACGGAAAAGTCTTATTCCAAACCTCTGAATTTCCACTATGTGCGGCTTTTGGAGATGTGTGACGTAATTTACCGATGTGGTTTTTCTCCCACGAAGCTGCGGGGTGCTCCGGCTCTCCTTATAGTTTCTTACACCCGGGTGATATGATATACTCAAAATCTTAGTATAAAAATCTTTATAGGCGTCGAATACGCTTATTAGCAATAGAATAGCGGGTTCTCCCCGTACTGTCGCTGTAAACCATATTATGTCACCTAGGTGCTCGCAACAATCGAACATCTGTTTTCATTACGGTTGTTCCTCTCGCACCCAATAATAACACCAGAATCGACATCTCATAGATATATGGCATTTGGGAATCCCAATACAAAAATTTGCGGGAGAAACTCCGAACGTCAAACAGACGATGCTCCTCATCTACAAGGCCACGATCGTATTCCAGCGTGCCCGGATGAATTGATGTTTACGGGCTAGGCTCAGAACGCTTCCTAAATGTATGAATAATTGAAGATACCTTTTTGTCCCTTCCTCTTGCTGTTGTGTGGTGTGTGGCAAGTTTGTCACATGATGAGGTTAGAACGTTCTGATGTTTCCCAGAAAGCTACGGAATTTCTGGAACGAAGCACGGGCTACTCACCCTCGCCGTCACCAACTCGACCCCCACTTTTCGCATTAGCTCATCAGTTGACTCAAATCTGTTAACACACTGCACCAAGCATTCCCATAGTCCTTATTGCAGGTTGATCCAAACACAATTACTCCACACTCAATTTGCGTTGCGCGGGCGCCTCAAGCTCCGTTCAGCTCCGGCCAAAGAGCCCTGTCGAAAAACCCTCACCGCCAACGTGCTAGGTCACACAACCTGGAAACAATAGCAGCTCCAAGAGCTTGACCACTCTATTGACTCACGTTCACCTCAGTCAAAACTTAGTCATCAACAAATATATTCCTGTGACAGTCGCAAGCTTTGTTTAGTCCTTGCCACCAACAGATCAACTCGCCGCAGCCAAAACACTTTCACCATCACGCGCAACCATGGCTCCACATTCAAATATTCCCTACAACCCCGCCGACCTTGGCGCATCAAACACGCTGCTGCCAGAGGATGTGTTTGGACATGTCGATCTTGCGACTTTGTCAGACATCCACAAGTTCCTTCGCGAGAGCGAGATGCAAGACGACATTGAGCTCGCCGCATGGGTCCAGGCAAACTACCTACACGGCCAAATCGAAGATCATTCAACGGCGATCATTCGGACTGCCCAGGGATTTGGCCAACTCGACAGAGCTTTTCGTCGGGTACGATCTCTCACCAACAAAGCCCAAGAGAAGTGGCCATTTTTCGACAGGAACTTCAAGCAAATGTCAACGACAACAGTCCGCAACAATGCCCGCGGGGAGGCCGCCCCAGGCGTCAAGTACTCCATTGAAGCGAGCAAAGAGATTTCGATGACGGCAGCTGGACAGCAGCATATCTCTGTATCTAATGGATTGGACACCCCCAAAGGTAAGTGATACAGCATTCAACCTAACAAGGGCAAGCTAACGATAATATCAACAGATTCTCCAGTACCCCAACTCCAAGTGCCGTTTGGTACAGCAAGACCGAGCCGCTTTCAGGCACGTAAGAGTCAGTTTCCCGGTCCTGCGCGACGATCTCGCCTTGCTTCATCCGACTTGCCGCCAAAACCTACTCAACTACCTGAGCCGAACCAGAAGTCTCAACAACAGGAAGTCATCACCCCGCAAGAGCTGCCAAATCAGACCGGTACGTTGCAAATTCCCTCACTGCGCTAGACCTTTCTACAGCCTGCCATCGTACTAGATGGCTCACCGACCTCTTCAACCCCCCACTATATTTCTCTCAGTATATACACTAACAAAGAGACACCAGATATCTCCTCCGAGCCAAGTGTTCAAGCAATGAAGCAGCCTGAGGCCGTCCAGGCCGAGGCCACTCAGCCTGATGCACCTCGAGTCGAAGCAACGCCTGGTGCGGACTCTGTGATTGGAAAAGAGTCGCCCCTTTCAAGCCCTCCCATTGGTTCTCAGTCACGTGATAGCAGTGCCATGCTCAGTCAAGAACAAGAAGCAGACACAGTTCGCGATACTAGCCATGGTAAGGTCCGTGGCCCAAATGGACGCTATCTACCCAGCAACGAAGTTTCGCCTGCGACCAAGAAAGTAGCAAAGCCGAAGAAGCCGAAGAAGGGTGGGCGCAAGCCAGGTCTCAAGCCTGCAAAAACAGAAGAGCCTCTTACATCAAAAGCGGTTTCCGGAGAGTCTGCAGTCGAAGGGACCGAAGAAAACGTTTCCACAAACACACAGTCTTCTTCATCCACGGCCTCTACTGAAGAACCTGAGGGAACTGGCGAGATCGTTGTCCAAGGCACTGACACTGTCACGTCTCCTGACATCAAGAACGAGGAGCAACAAGTGGAGACAGGAACAACATCCGATACAAGAGTCACCGCAGCATATCTTCTTGCAGCAGAGGCAGATGCGGTTCCATCAAATCTGGATCGACTACCCCCCAGTTCACGAAAGACTTACAAGCGGAAGAGTGAGCCGACTGCTCCTTCAAGTGCTCGTAAGCGCGGCAAGTTTGGCGGAATTGTAGGTCGTCCCAGAAGGTCAGATCAGCTCAAACTCTCCCAAGAAGAGCCGGTAGCAGAGACACAGCAAGAACCTCAGATGCAAACGCGACGAAAGACTCGCCACTCTGCTGCAGCCAACATGGGAAGTACTGGAGTTGCAACCATCACACCCACACCCAAGGCGAATATGGAGTTGTCTGCTCAGGAAGAAGGCGTCGTGATGAGTGGTGCTGAGGGAGACATGCACGCAACTGCTGGTCATGAGGAGCCTGAACCTGATGCTAGCAAAGTCTCCGCACACTCAGCAGCTCCTTCGCCACCACCAAATTCCGAAGTTGACATCCTGGACGCGGCCCTGACGGCTACTTACTCTCTCGCTCCCTCACAATCAGTCACCTCCAGTGCGTCACTTGCTACTCCTGACCCTGCCGTAGCCGACGGAAAGGAGGCCGCATACCTACCGGGCCATGTGGAGCTGATTGCACGCATAACAACTGCTAACGGCAAGATGGAGGTACCCATTTTGGAGGACCAGGTCAATACCGACGAAGTGAAGATGATCAGGAAGTATGCAGAATGGAATGCAGCGGAATCGGCAGTGCCAGTCCCGTATGCTCAGTTCAGAAAGATCTTCTCTTTTGTAAAGGATTCTTGATTCGGAGTCAGAATAGGGGAACGTACTTGTAAGGAGGGGTATCAGCATAGCGAAAGCAGACTGCAAGGGTCTCAATGATCTCGGTGGTCTCGAACTACACTAAAAGTTCTACAAGCAATTGATATCGACATGCGCCAATTAGTCTAGTCATCTCGGGATACCTTCTCCCTATTCCTTCATCCATCCCCTGATTATTATTCCATCTCGCCGTTAAATCTTACTCACGTCTCAAGTCTCATCCGCTGCGGTACCCTTCCATCGCGGAGTTCACAGCTGCCGTTCAGGCTAGGAATTCTCTTTGATCGTGAATTCGCTGCATCGATGTAATCTCTTGAAGTCTTTGGATGCGGTAGGTTTGGGTGCCTCGGGTCGACTGTATCATGGTAACCTGCCGTTCAATCCACCTTCGGCATGGCCGATGCCAGAGCGTGGCTATGATATGTTCTGCAAGGTTGTCGCAATGTCCCGGGCAGCCCGAGTAGAATTTCCAACGTAAATAGATATGATCAAGACTTAGAAAGTCTCGTCATTGGACGATGATGCGGGTTGTTTACCGACGCCGTATAGTATGTCATACGGCGTCCCAGTAGGAGTTTTGCGCAGTCGCTTCTCCTGATGAACGGCCGAGACTGCTCGCCTTAATCTTGAGGCCATGTTTAGTGCGAAACCGGCAACTTATCGTCACTCCGACGCTTCTAATCTCGTATGGGCCGAATCTGCATAGTGGGGCGTAGGCTGTGGAGAAGCTTATCTTCCCTTAAAGAGGTAACATTTGAGAGCGCTTATAATTGGAGCGAAGAAGAAAGACAGACTGTGCTGAATTTATTCCACCGTTCGGACGTGTGCAGGCTTCAGAGATGTTTGGAGCGGCGATGTATCGTCGCGGGGTACCTAAGCACTTTAGACTAGGTAATGGACTTGTAATACCGGCACCTGGGAAACATGAAATACTTCACACCCTGGTATACAAAAGCTACCATAGGCGCCAGACATGCGTATTAGGAATATAATAGCGGGGTATATTGGTACTGTCGCTATGAAGTATCTTATGTCACCCAGGCGCTAGAACCCTCTAGTGTAGGTCCTTGCAGTCTTGTATGATACCAAATAAGACTTCTGAGGCAGTGAGCAGTGCTAGAGTGAGCAGTGACGAAGGAGTCTGCCTTGTTTGTAATATTTAGGCCGGGATATAGGAATAAGGACATCAAGCTGGTTTTGCTAGTACTAAGCGCGGTACAGCCCACACGGATTCATCTATGCGCATACAGGCTAGCCTGGTCAGTCGACGCCGTTATGTTCCAGGCGTTCTCATCAGGGATGTTAATGAGCGAGCTTCTGGAAGAAAGACTTTGAAGAAAAAAAAGGTTACGTATTGGCATTGCCTTGGCTGAAGGACAAAGAAAACAAAGGTGTCAGGCAATTTTATTGTTGTGGAGTACAGCATCGAGACACAAAGGCAGACTACCTACCCAGGAAGTTGCCCAGAGGACGTAGATTCTGGACGGAGGTCCAGAACGGACGAATGAGTGGCATCAGCAGCTAAGTCGCGAGGTCTGTACTTTGTGAGCGTCACATAAATTGTCTGTCTAAGCTGTTGATCAGTTGTTGGTCAGGTGTTAGACTGGCGCCATCGTGCATGTGTCAGTGTGAACAGCATGCCAAGATAGGGGCATGCAGCCTCGGTTGCTTGTCGCGATGAAGTTTAGCGCGCCATCCACCTAAAATTAGACCGGGATGAGGCAGTGCACAATCATCATTCACATCATTTTTGGATGATCGCTTCTCCCGATACCACCGCCACCGCTCGACTCGTTACATTGGATGCTTAGAGTAGGATCAATACTGTTTGCGCATTCCATCCAGCAGTATGATTCATCTGGCGCTGAAAGCTGAGGCGAGCGGCTAGCTAGACAACGGTCGAGTGACAATATACCACATCGAGCCTGGCCCTTTGCCTCCGGTACCCATCAGATCATCGTGTGCGGGGCGTCGAGAGGCTTCTTGGTGGCCGTATCCGTGTTGATTACGGCGACTTTGTTGGAGCTTTGGCCTGAAGCATTAGGCCAGCAGTCCGCCTCAACTCTTTTCCAGAAGATCCATAACGGCTCCTGGAACTTGCGTCCATTTCCGTCGTGGCTTGACTTCAGCTGGAGACTCTTTTTGGCCTCCGCCTCTTTGAATTCATTGTAGCATGCATTAACCCAGCAGCCTGCGGGCCTTTCTGTAAGAACGCTCCCTTCCGACAAGTACAGGATTTCCGCCCTGCCCCTGCGCCCAACAGCACCACTGCCACCCGCCACCACGCCGCACTAAACGTCTCGTCCATATACATTGCTCCTGTCCTACCTAGTAATACCACATACCCGGGCCCTCGGAACCATAGAGGAATTAGAGCTGTCAGAACTGCGAATCGGCTATCAACGTCGTCTAAATTGGCTCTAATACTACAGCTGTGCAGTAGCGCAACACCACTACGCTGCGACTAGCATCCATTTCAACACCAAGCTTTTGAGTCTGGCCTGCATCCCTGTTTTCAGCCTTGGATACTTCTGCATACCGAACAATCCCTTTAGCATGCAGTTCGACGCCCAGCTGCTGACGATCCCGACCATATTTTCAAACTATAAGCCCGAGGACGTGCCGTCTAGCATCAAGTCTGTCATCAATTACAACTTGTCCTTTCAATACAACGATATCACCCCAGCGCATAAGGAAAGGACACGTCACATGGCAAATCACAACCACAGGTCCAGTCAGTCGCAAATAGAAAGCGAGCTTTGGCTCAACATGCCAGCTTCTGCAAGGCGATCGCAAGAGCAAGATTACAGATTAGAGCAATCGGCGTATCAAGCAACTTCGCATCGCATTAGTACACACTCGTATGGCTCAGCTTCATCGCCAAGAAGACCTGCCATTGCTACCAGCTCGGATCTCAACAAGCCACTACCGCCATCACCTTCGGGTTCGCAGACACGATCTCGTAAACCGACACCGTTGAGTGGCCCCGGCCGCCACGAGGCTCCGACCCAGCTGAACCAATCCCATCTTCGGGCCGAGCCTTACCACCACAATCAAAGGTACACTACTAGCCTCCATCTGGATACAGATAGTTCTCATCACCATGACTATTCTCGCAGCATGCCCAGTTCGCCCTACGATCATAGCCAGTTCCTATCCGCCAACCCAGCTACAATTCCACGAGCCCACTCCTCTGCTGCCGACTACTCAGAACCTACGCAGTACCTCCCGTATTCTATGTCATCAGAGCAACAGTCGGCTCGTCCTCAGCAACAGCGCGCTGTTTCTATGAGCCCCTACTTCGACACGACAGCACCACTCCGATCTCGCACCCATCCCGAGCCTACTCTCAGCCCCACAGCACGCGAAAACATGTCCATCCGACCACGTCCACATACGACATATCTTTCACCCACAGAGAATTTTACAGATATCACGCAGTGGCATCTCTTTGCAGAGGCAATGACCGGGTTACCAACCAACTCAGAGCCTTTTTCGCCTACCGGAACTCCACAGCTTCAAGGCTCGCTCTTCGCTAGACGGAGCGCCAGTGATACGATACCCATTCCGCTTCAAAATCCGCAACGATCTTCGCAGAGACTACCAAGAGACAACTGGCAATACTACGAATCATCACGCACATCGTCACGAGCAGTGACTACACTCAACCACAGCTTACCGGTACCAAATCCGCCTCGTGTGGCATACCAGCAGTGGCAACCGCCACTGCACATGAATGCGGTCACTTCGGAGCTGCAAATGCTTGGACTGAACGATGCTCCCGAATCCGATGATGAGTTACCGGATTATCAGCAGAGTCAGGCGGAGATGGAAGCGAAGAAAAGAAGAGAAGCATCCGCTCGGGCGAGAGAATTGGAAGCAAGGTGGAGAGGTGCTCGCGGATAATTACCATACATATAAATTCACGTACTTAGAATTTGCAAATGCGGAGGCTACGGAGAGAAATACGCATTCACCACATGAACGACGGAACCTTAATACTATCGATTAAATCACCCCCAGATTTTCTGCATTCAACAAAGAGAAACCTCGAATATTAGTCAGGATAATGTGAGTGTACATACATGGCTCTCCTGACACCTAGCAAGACTACTCTACTGTCACTAGGGGTGAATAGCAACGGCATGCGCACGCGAGGTCAGCACAGCCCTACACACATTACCGAAATATGCATCATCATGCGTTCGTAGTGTAACGATCTACACCCTTGCTTCCGTGTCAACGGTGACATTTCCTAAGTATCGGAACCTACACTACACCGAGTTTTTGGCCCCTTATCCAGTAGTTCGGCTGGTGTGCGCGGGAACGCGATGAATAATGGGTTTGTATGAGGTAGTAACACCTGTTTGCCGAGATGGCTTCGGAGATGATCCGCCACAAGTTCAGCGTACCCTTGTTAGCGGCAATAGTGAAGACTTCTCGCGCCATGCCGAGTGTCACTGTGTCGAACGCTAGGAGACTCTAAAGGGTGCTTTGGCCCCTAAATTCATTAACGTTCCGTGTTATAGAAGCAGTTCATTCCGTTCCAAGTATGGTGGCGGCTCAGGTACGGCCAACTGCCATACTTTGACAGCCACGTATTCCGCGGAGCGGAGTGTAGGCACTTGACATGCCGTCCGCGGGGTGTCCGTTCGCACGGCAATTAGAGCGGTAGATGCTAGAAGCAAGCAAAATATGCCTTGCGGAGTGCCTCGAATCGTGCGGAGATTTGATGCGGGATGTGTACCCGTGATGTACTTCGATCAATCTGGGGATAGAAACAGATTATCATCGGTCAAGACGCGGGGTGCAATCTTCAAGTAGTAGCAGAGCCGATCTTGCAGGAGTCCAAATATGCAACCAACAAGCATTATACAGGCCCTGAGTAGATTGAACTCAAGATATCATCGGCTTTCTTTCTTTGATATACTCAATTGGAAAGATGTATCAGTATACTTACTTTATCCAGCCAAGTCCCCGCAGCATGTGGTCACAATCCTACAAGACCCACTATCGGTCGTACTAAAGCGCTAAAACAATGCATAAAAGATATGCACTCTTCGACGACATGACTTCACATGCAGGGATTGGGGGCGGAAAAGCTTATGTCCACATGACTACTCCCCGCTTCATTATTGTAATTTCGACTATACTCGGGGTAGGAACCATGGACCAAGGCTTCAGTTCAGTAGCACGCAACACCATGCCGAATTCATTGCGGAAGAATGCTGCGTGTTGCCCGAATGGTGTGTGTATGCATGTGACGATACAACACGCCATAGCTGCACTCATCCATCGAAAAGAATACAACGATGCAATAATCATCTAGCCCCTTTCTTCACCAGGTAACACTCCTTCTCAAACGCTCTGCAGGACAAAGAAAATGGTGGGTTGCCGTCAAAAAATCTGTGTAGGCTGATCATATCCGGCAACCCTGCAAAATGAGGCTGTGCATGCAAGTCAGATGCACCTGCGGGCCGGGACGATCACCAGCTTGCGAAAATAGCAGATTGTGCATAATCAAGGAGTCTGAGTGAGATTGAATGTGGAAGGTGACAAATGGGTTGTAATGTCAAGACTATGCGCTGTAACGGAGTCTTGGGATGGTTGAATGACGTGGGTGCGTGGTGGTGCTGGTGTGGGAGCGTGCATAATTAGGTGATTAGCTTGCAGCTGCAGGTCACCATACATCGCAACTGTGTGGATTTTGGCTTGGATATAGGTTACATGCAACAGTTACGATGGACTGTAGGACTTATTTATTTGGCGCATATAATGTTGATGCTGAAGTACAAGAGATCTCAATGTGTTGGACTGTTCTAGGGAAGCAAGATCTTGGAAGGTGTGATGTGGTGTGTACTAGAAGTTTGTTAAGGTATAGGAGAAGACATGAAAGCTAAAGAAGCTTGATGGAGCTTCCTTTAGATTAGGTAATCCAGGGGGTTTCGGGTTTAATGTATATGATGATGTCCGCAAGCGCGTTTCGCTGGTAATGTAACTGCTAGCTGGTGTTCGCCTTGAAGCTAAGTTACCTAGGAGTCGGAATGCTCGGAACGATCCGAAATGTGTCTTCCACATCTCTACGGCTAGAATTCCTCGCCAACACCACTGATATAATGTTCCTTTATTGCACCAGCCTCTTCGCAAGGTAGCGTATACGCTCACGATAAAAAATTCTCTTTGATCACGATTTAGCCTGTTGCTTGAGCCTCGCACAGCCACACCTGTTCAGCCTCGTGCTTCAATGTTACCACTACAGGCGATCTCATTCGTCCTGTAACGACTGAATGTTCAAAAGCGTATCAAATGGTCGAGTTATCTTTGCAAGAGTTCTCTTGTGGAGGCAGGGCTAAGTAAAGGGCTTCTACCTAGCTCTCGCTGATACAAGACAACTCCTAGGGACAACCACATCGACTTTGCAGCCTCAATTTCATGATTCTTGTTTCCAAAGTTTCTCGCTACGAAAATTTTAACTCATTGGTAGTGGTCCGGAACTACTCAACACAGCAGATGTCAACTACTTCAACACCGACAAATCCCAAGGGAGGTTCAGACACTTACTAGAGCGACCGAGACCTCTGAACTCGGGTCATTAGTCCCAGAGCCGACGAAAGGTAGCTTGCATCTGTATCTGCATCTTCGGAAAATATGCTTTGCGATTCTTACTTCCTACGCAAACCATACTACCCCAATGTACCTACTAGAATGAGAGGATATGGCGAGCCGTTCTTTGCGGTGATGTACGAAAGGTACAGAATAACATAAAGGCTAAGTATGAGCAGAATTCCGATGAAAGGAACGATACTGGTCATGACAAGGGATGGTGAGGGGCATTACAAGCTGACTATGTGACAAAGAACCATTTAGTGAGGGTAACTCACAAAGCGCAAGACCATGAGGAAGGTTGTACACATGTACCAGCATTGCTACGTGCTCATCGAACGGGTCAAGACACGGAAGCACAAAGACTTTGCTATCCATGTGGGCGTGGGCAGAATCGAGCCATCGGCATGGGAGGAGGCAACGGCAGTGGAGAAGACAATCATTCTAGGCTGAAGTTCGCTGTTCCGCACAGATGAAGTATTCTGGACACTAGAATTCCGAATTTTGCAAACTGCTCATGGATCCTAGAGGCCATGATGATATTCTGATATGAATGGGGATCTGCGCGCAACAGTGAAGTGGAAGGACAGATGCAACGAGCGAGTGGATGAAGGACCCTCAATCATGCTGGAATTAGAAATCATCATATCGACCCCCCCTCCTTAGACTACCTAAGCCTTGTAAGCATATGAAGTATTCTTCACCTACATGCAAGGTATAGGAGAATAGCTAGAGGCTGTTGACGTCAACAAAGAATTATCGTCTTTCACGATATATAACACCTTATACAAACTGCTCGAATAGTTTCAAGAAAAATGGAAATTGCGAAAGACATGCACTTGTCGATAAAGATAGCGTGGTGGTTCAGTCCGACGCATTTCGACCATCGTTCACGCTAACGGTCAAAGTAGACTAGCGCCTCGCTTGGAACCCACGCTTCAAAATCGAGAGATGCTGCGACACGACAAACTTTCACGACTTCGACCAACGACTCAAAGCCGCCAAAATGTCCGCCAACGCTCTGAACAAGATCGCGCCCAACAGCCCCTCGAGGCAGACTCCCTCTGAGATTGAGACCAGCATCGCCAACGCAAGTTTTCCCCGGCAATTGCGCACATTGGCGATGGCAGGACTAACACACGACAGGCGTTGACTGACCTCGAGAACAATGTGCCTGACCTGAAGGCTTCTCTGCGCCCCCTACAGTTTGTCTCTGCTCGCGAGGTATGAAAAACCCGAACACCACGATGCGCTCTCGAGCGTCGCCTACACACCTACAATGTACAACTGAAGAGGCGGTGGGCACTGGGCAGCAACAATAAGCTGACACCAGGATTCTTAGATCGAGGTTGGCCACGGACGCAAGGCTATTGTCATCTTCGTCCCTGTTCCCCTTCTTGCCGGATGGCACAAGGCCCAGCAGCGGTATGTATTTTGTCTAAAACGGCTATCTAGCATTTACTAATTCGTTCAGTCTCACTCGTGAGCTCGAGAAGAAGTTCTCCGACCGCCACGTCCTGATCGTTGCTTCCCGCCGCATTCTCCCCCGCCCCAAGCGCTCCAACCGCTCGCGCTCTTCCCAGACCCAGAAGCGTCCCCAATCGCGGACTCTCACCGCTGTCCACGACGCCATCCTGACCGACCTCGTCTACCCCGTCGAGATCGTCGGCAAGCGTCTCCGTACCCGCGAGGACGGCAGCAAGATCCTCAAGGTCGTTCTCGACGAGAAGGAGCGTGGCGGTGTCGACTACAGGCTCGACACCTACAGCGAGGTCTACAAGCGCCTCACTGGCAAGGGTGTCAACTTCGAGTTCCCCCAGAGCCAGCAGACCGACTACTAAATGTAGATGGGTTGTTGGGTTCGGTCTCGTTTAAACTACATGGTTCAGGAGTACGGCAGGGCTTCGGATATGCATCATGTACCGGCATCAAAAAGGAATGAGATGATATGACTGCCTTGAATAGGCGCCCCTTCAAGATACCATTGCAATTGATTTCTTTCTTGTGAAAGCTGTTCTTGGTGCGACTACTGCAATGTCTACTGCCTATCCAGTTCCGGGTAATGTCTGAATATGCCCATGCCATATGGCTGCCTCCTGTCGCTTCCCAAGTACTCTTTGATACCCTTTGCTTCCTTCACACTGTCATAGAATGTGCTAAACAACAGGGGGTAATCCTTCTTCCTCGCCTCTATTTCTTTTGGGAAAGCAAATTGGAGCCCGTCCAGTACCTGCCACACGCTTGTATCCGCATAGGTCAGACTGCTACCAACAAGGAACTTGCCCTGTCCCTGTGCTTCATTGCCCTTGAGCACGCGCTCGAAGAAACCAAGGAACTTGGGGATGCGCGTCTGCCTGAAATCTTCGGACTTCTTGAGCGCTTCTTCCTTTTGGTTTTCATAGTAGTCTGCGACGGCAATGGGGTGGTGTGTGTCGTGCGCTTCGTTGTTGAGGTCCAGTGCCGTCAATGTGTGCGATAGGACCCAGGCATTCTCCGCCTCATCTGCACCGGCGAGGTCGAGCTTATTGCCCAAGTAGGAGAGGATGGAGGGTGTTTGGTAGATGAGCAACGGAGCGCCGCTCTTGCCCTCGCCAGGGATACGAAGAGCGGGTGGTGCGAAGGCGGGAGGGTTTCCGTCGGACCCGGTGCTTTCTTGCGATATGAGTGAGGTTATCACCGTCATACCTGTGTCAGTGTCAGTGTTAGTGCCAGAGCAGCGCATCATGTGGGCAATGCTACGGACCATCCTCAGACTCAATGGCAACATCTTTGTAGGAGACGCCTGCTGCTTCAAACGCCAGACGGATGAATTCGCCGCGCCCAGGGATGCCAGGCCAGTACAGCAACTCGTACGGAGGCTGAGTGCGGGCCTTCTTGTTCGGAGAATTGGCGAGCGTATATGGTCGCATCGCAATTGAGTTCCAATGGTAGGATCTAGCGAGTTGGTGGAAGCTATGTGAGCTGTTTAAAGGTCGGAAGCAAGTGCGAAGCATTCAATTGCGGTTGGAGCGATGCGACAATGTCACATAAGTCGAATGAGGCCGTACTATGTCATATTATGTCATACTATGTGCCAGTGCCGCTGCAGGTGTCTGGCGTCATTGTGGGGTAGCCGTTGGTTCCGTGGTGCTGACAACATCCATGCGGAACCGTGTGTTGCCAAGACATTGGTTTTGACGTAACTTCCATCTTCGTTCGGATGTTTACATGTTTCTCGGAGAAACTTGGAAATGGATTCTGACTAGTTGGACGGAGCTGCAGTAGTACATAAGTGCATTAAAGTTTTGGGTCTGCTGCTCCTGTCGCTGGCCCAAGTGAGTCGGTCCGACAGATCAGGACCCTCGTCAAGATTCGCGAATAACTTCGCTAACACCGGGGTGGAAGAGAAGTCGAGCCGATTACAGATGGCAATCGGCTCATCTTTTCTTTATGTCCGGCGATAAATTGCATCCCCTGCTACACATCACCTTGGCGTTTAACATATCGTGACATGACACGACCATGGAGCCCTGAGCACATCAGATTGCATGTCTTGTCAGGCAAGCCTTAGCCTTGGAACTTTGTATTTGGACCATTTTACTAGATTCAGCACGCAGAACAACTAGCACAATCTCCGCGCGTAGACGCTTATGTCCATGGGCTTATCTCCATGTAGTAACATGTCTGCCCCGACGAATTCCGCTATACGATCACGATCCAAATAATCTAGAAGGTTCCTGTGGGTGGCTGTGGACTGTCAAACTTGTGTGTCATAGTACCGCTTTCGAAAAGATGAATGAACCAGCTGCATACCACTGCTATAGGCATAGGCGCAGTCTTCATAAAGCCCTGAAACATAAGAAGACGGCCCTGTGCATTGCCGACCACGCCCCAGTTTTCTCTGTAAAGGGGGTAATGTAAACCACAAGGCGATACGCTCGCCTGTGCCTCCGCATTGCTTACGGTAGCTCCTGCGCACAAAGGGCTGTGCCATGTCCACGGAAGAAGCAACACGTTTATCTACATAGCTGCGCGTCATGTTCGTCCACGCCTGCCCTCTCGTTGTTCGCAATATCTCTGCAATACCAATCAATCTTCTTATCCAGCAGTATTTATGCCAACTCAAGACAATTGCAGCATCACATTGCTGTTCTTGAAACGTGTGATCGCCCGCCCTAATGTCACTTCTGGTCTAGACCTCCCGCCCGGACCCATTCCCCCACTGCGACGCTAATTTCATCGCGACGAGGCCTGGAGTGCTGCCTTCAGTCAGCTTCACTGACACACCCGAACGACGATCGACAGTCATTCCACCACAACTTCAACCACACACCAATATGTCCGACTACAGTGATTACGCACGTTTATTGCATCAGATGCAGAGTTTTCGTGCATCTGATGAAGCCCGCGAGCAATTCGTTAGCGTACGTCGCAGTGTTTATGAGTCCCGGGGGTCGCCTGTCGCCTCGCTCGCCCCGATCCAAAAACCTACCATACTAACCCTGGTGTCAACAGGAAATCTTATCAAAGTACCAGGCCCTGGCAGAAGAACATGCCAACTTGAAGAATGATTATTTGAGTGAAAGAGATATCAGGAGAAATTATCAGAGGACTGTTGATGAGAAACAGGCCTTGGTGGGGGAACATGAACGCCAGCTCGTACGGCTGCTTATCTGCTGAGCCCAATCTCAGCCTTGTTTTGTGCGCCTTCTGACCCGAGTGTAGCAAGCCAGTTCCTTCGTTTTGGCACTTATTGATGGTGATGGGGCTATCGTAAGTCCTCTCTTGTGGTTCAACCCGACCGTGTCGTATCTATTGCGGCCGTTAACCGGTTGTGTCTGTAGTTTGAAGACGCCTTACTCCAAGCCGCTGGTGGCGATGGAGGCTCCGAGGCCGCATCCCGTTTGTATCATGCGATTCGGGGCCATGTTGCGTCCCTGTACAACAACTCGGGCAACTGGCCTATTATGGTTCAGATTTATCTAAGCCTTGATAAGCTGGCGATCAAGTTGGCCTCGGTCGGCCTGCTTCGCTCTCCGCAGGAATTTCGAGCTTTTGCGCAAAGCTTTAGCGTGAATCAGCCATTGTTTAGTATTATCGACGTTGGTCAAGGCAAAGAGAGAGCCGACCACAAGATTAAGGGTACTAGATCTTCCAAGATCACAAACGATCTATGCTAACGCAAATGCAGAAATGCTTCGTACATTTAGCGATAACCCTACCTGTCGACACATCATCTTCGGTGGCTGTCATGATGCAGGCTACCTTCTAAACCTCGAGCACTTCAAACATGACATGCTTAAAGCAAGTCAGATCACTCTTCTGGAAACTACCCCAGCGTACAGAGGATTCACCGACCTGAACAATTTCAAGCGCGCTCGCTTCCATGACGTTTTCAAGAACGAGCCTTTGCCCGATTATGCACCTCCCATCAATGGATTTGGTCAGCTGGCGGTACAATCTCCTGTACAACTTGCAGTACAGCCGCCCATTCGTTCGAATACGAACAACGTCAGCACTTCTCCTACTATTATTTCGAGGTCGGCGACGTCGCCTTCGCCCAGTGTAACTCCACTATCATCCACCACGCCGGGCGAGTCTAACAAAGACTCTTCATGGGGTAAGTAAGACTCTGTAGGTGTGCATGACACACTTTGCGATCTCATTCTTACCGCATCATTCATCCTTAGACCCCACGAATGGCTTTCTTATGATCTTTTCTCATTTCAATCTATAGCAGTACTAACGAGTATGCTAGCTACCGTAGGCAAGACGGGTGCTCCCGCGAATGGTAGCATTTCGATTGCCCCGAATACTACTGCGACCACTAAGAAAAGTAAAAAGAAATACGCTTATTACAACAAGGCTGAGCAACGTCTCGATGAGCCTCTCCCATCAAAGGATCCCGCTGCAGCAGCTTCGCTCGAAATGCGCATGAAGAAAGTGGGCAAGAAGGTGTGCAATCATTGGTATGTACAAGCGGAAGAGCACTATGCCAAAACCCAGGTCCCCGTTTTTTTCTGCGTTGTTGCCTCGTGTATCTCTTGCATTGGAAGACAATTGTTCGGCAAATGGGTAAGCTGACTCGTATCACAGGCATCTCGGCGGCCATTGCGAGAACGGTGCCTTTTGTAACTTCCAGCACGAACCAAAACTTACCGCAGGTGAGCTCAATGCTCTACGTTACAAGACCCGCAGTTTGGCTTGTAAGAACAGATACTGTGAGAATATCGATTGCTGTAAGTTTGGCCATCGGCCACAACCCTACAGTTCCCCATTGATGCTAACTTTCCATCAGACCTTGGCCACCAATGTGCTCTTGAACGTGACCAGGGCTTTTGTCCGTATCCCGAAAACTGTGAGTATCATCCTTGCATTGGCTGCGTGTGAGCATATCTAACTATTCGCTTTGCAGGCCACCTACGTAGCACCCACGGTATGGATAGGGTCAAATACGTCAGGTACGACAAAGATGGCAATGCGGACTATGCCCCCTAGGTACTTGAACACTGTATGGGCGCCGAGGGATGCAAAGTTGTTGGATGGTGTATTGCATATCGAAAATGACCATACCATTCTGGTGGCCCTAAAATGTCAAGTCAATTTTATTTGGTAGCATCTTCGAATAACCACCGAGTAGTATAGTCGCATTGTGAAGAGCTTCAAGCTATGTGGATCATGCACTGCTTTGATGTGTGATCTTGCAAAAGTATGATGTAGACGAGACTTGTGTTCAAAGGGTGAAGCAGGCATCCATTTCGACCTAGGCGCAAATTGACCAGTGCGTGGACGAATGAACTTCCCGGCCATGAAGTCATGGGACTTCCTTCATGAGCGGCGAACATACGGATTCGTCAAATTGTAACTCCTGCGCGAGGTGACACTGTCCGGATGTGGTCGGTTCAATTTGTATCGCGACAATTTGTTCCGATTGCTTTCCGGCATGCCAAGATCAGGGTCTACCAATGCCTGTCACTCCTCGCACCCCGACCCCGCCGATACACATCTTCATCTTATTTCCCTCCTAGAGCTCCAGCTTCCATCACGCGACATCTTTCGGAGGCAGATTACGAACCGCTCCACCCGTCACAGGATCCCGATACCAATTCTCTTCTGGATCGTTCAAGCACTCGCCAACTGTCACCATCTTAAACCCATATTCTCGCGCTTGATTGATCATGAATTGCGTAAAACCATGCACCGTACGCTCGTGAGTATCGTGCGCTATGCCCAGCCAGGCTCGGATGCCGAAACGATTGGTCGGAGTCTTCAATCTGCCGAGAAACTGTTCTTCAGCAAAAGTGTAGTTTCCTGCCCAGTCGCGTGGCTCGATGTCGTTTGAAGTCTTTCGTAGAACAGTCAGTTTCGTTTCTGTGTTACCGGGGGTTGAGTGGTATCTTGTCAACTCACCACATGGTACCCTAGCTCACCCATGTCGGCCTGACAAGCGGGGCCGCATGCGTTGAACGGTGGGCGCATGTATGTCGGGAAGAAGCCTAGGATATCATTGAGCGCAATCTCTGCTTTTACCATCTCATCTCTACGTTGTTGCGAATCCAGCGCCTCGTCCATGTTCTTGTGACCCCAGGTATGTCCAGCGATTTGGTGTCCTTCATTGTACATCCGCCTGATGATTGCAGGGGTCTTGTCGCTGCGATGATTGACCAGATCTTCATACAAGTGGATGGCCTTGATAAAGAAGGTTGCTTTGACGTTGTTGGCTTTCAAGATATCTAACAAGTCCGGAGTCCATTGCGAAGGGCCGTCGTCGTATGTAAGCGCAAGCGTGTCTTCCACAGTGCAACTTGTGAATCTCTTTCCATAGGGAACGCTCCCTAGCCTTGGTCGGGGAGTAGTTGATGTGTTGAAGCCAGGGGGCCATTGAGTGCCATCGCATGCTAATCCATACTCAAGAAGGCAGATTGGTGCGCCAGCTTGGTCTGGATTTGACATGCGGTACCCCTGCCGGATCAGAGTCAACAAAATCGAATCCAAGAACACCTAATTATACGTACATTTTGCGAGCAGCAACAGTTACAAGATGGTTCAAGAATCCCTGGTTCACACCTTCCATAGGTGAGGTTCACAACGCTGAGCAGTGGCTGTACTACCGGACAATAGTTCCCCAAGGGATAGTAATAGAACGGATCCAGAGCTCCTAGCGCACTACTCATGTTGAACTCAAGATTTCAGTGACGGATATTGGGGCATCGAATGACTCTTTTAGATCTTGCTCTCCACAATTTAGACCCTGCATCGCTCTTGCTAATATCAATCACATATAAAGAGATCTACGGTACACCGGTCGTAATGCAAAACATCACCGCTCGTATCGACATGTGACGAATCCACTCGTCGAACGAGAATTTCCACAGAAGGCCCGATCCGGAAACATGTTGGCAGGAACTTCCGGTCTTCCTGCGCTGATAGCGGCAATATTAGGGTACTGAGTTGCGCGGACCGAATAAGACCCACCATTTGACTAATTTCCAACAAAAGAAACCAATAGGGTTTTTGACCGCAGCCGAATCCACTATCAACGTTGCCAGACTTCCACCCGAACCCCGGTCAAGCTGCGCAATATGTCGTAGTCTAATGGAGGTTGTTTCACAGCCACCACGATTGCGTTGAACGATTCCAGAACATCTGGCTTCCAAAGACTGTCTTCCAACTTCTGGACTCCACGTATGGACTCCTGACTTACCAAGGGGTCGCAGAACATCAAGTCTACCTCGCCCGAGCCGCGCAGGAAGTTCAATAGCTGCAGGCCAGGCGAATGGGACAGATCTGACTGACCAGCTTTGAAGCCGAGACCGACCACTAGCACCCTTGGTCGATGAGCAGCACCGTGCATCCTATGACTTTCGTCCAATATCAATGTGAGAAGCTGGCTGGCGATACGGGAAGGGCGCGTCATCATCCTTTCGTGGGCTTGTTGGAGGAGTGGTAGGTTGCAAGTCGACATCAAGTAAACCGGATTGACCGGGATACAATGGCCCCCGATGCCTAGTGAGGGGTACATGGGGAGGTATCCGAAGGGTTTACTCGCGGCCGTTTGAGCTACTTCGAAAGGGTCAATACCCAGCCCTTGGCAGGCGTCGGCCATCTCGTTGGCGTAAGCGATGGCTATTGTTCGTTGGCAGTTTTCGTATAGCTTCGACATCTCCGCTACCTCGGGCTTGCTGACCGGGACTACAGTATCGAACACGGTCTCATAAAGTTGCGTGATGGCTCTCAGTGATCCTGGGACTATGTCGTCAAGCCCAGAAACAACTTTGGGTATCGAATTGGGCGGAGGGTCGACTCGTCCAGGATCGATACGCTAATTGAATGTCAACATTGGTCGTTCTTTTGCTTTACTGGACACTCTCACCTCTGGCGACATCCCGGCCAAGACACCAAGTGATCTAGCCAACGGCCCGAGAAACTCCCTCGTCATACCAACTGCCACTGTGCTTTCTACCACCACTATTGACCTGTCGGTCACGTAGCGATCGAGCATGCTTATCGCGCTGCGAACATATGAAGAGTCGACTTGGCCATTTAATGCCAGAGTAGTCGGAACACAGACGAGGAAATGCGACGCGTCGGTCAAGACCCTTTCATCGTTTGAGAACTTTACGTGGTCTAGTCGATGGTACTTCTTGCGCAATTCTTCTATCCGCGAGGCCGACACGTCGTAGCCAATGACCTTGAAGGCGGAAGAGAAGACTTCCATGAGGTGTTCTCCGACATAGCCCACCCCGATGATTGCAACAGTTGTGGATTTATCGGACTTGTTCAAATGACAATTGAGAGCCTCCGGTGAGCTTTGAGTCATTGTAGTTGTGTTAGAAACCATGGTGAAATTGATGACGATGTATGAGCTAAGAAACACAGCGAATCTAAAGAAGTAGAGCGAATATGCTAGTTTCTGCATATTTAGGCATGCCCGTATATCAACCTCTTCTATGGTACAATTTGACTCCATATTGGTATCTTAAGCCTCGATGCCGATTCGTGCCAGGATTTAGCTTCGGTACAATTAAGGTACCGGTGAAGCGGACGAATCTCGGTTTTACCCCTGGATTGCTGCGACTGCGACGTTGATATTGAGCGCTTCTCGAACAACAGGAAACAGTTTAGCCCGAGCGCGAATGTGAGTTCTAGATCGAGTCATGTAGCGAGGAAAAGAGTAAAGAGTGACACGCCGCAGTCGCGACACGGTTTGGGGGATGTTTTCTGCTGTTGCTGCCATTCTCTACCGTTTGCGAATACGGTGTCAGACTCATGAAAGGTAACATTTCTATTTTTAGGGGGTCGTATTGTGCTGTCAGATTCAACATACTCTCTAGCATCTCAGCGTCAGTGCGTTCGATATGCAAACTGAGGTTCGCTATAGCAGGTCCTCATATATGGTGAAACAACGGACCATATAGGTCTCCGCTTTTTCGGTCTTCTGCTCAGAAACTAATGCGACACTCCGTGGGTCCATATTTTCCATCGGTTGACTTTCTGCATGTATAGCTCTTGGCCTACACCGCTGTCACGCACCTGAAAAGTATGCAACATAACTAAGTAGATACTTCAAATCGTATATCTACCCACGCCAACATTCATCTTTCCAATCAATTAGCCAATAATCCTCAACATGGATATCATCGATACCGCAAGCTCGGGGGCTCATATCGCAGGCGAACTCAAAAACACCCCTGTGAACTTGCGGAAGAGGCCGCTCGGAATACCCTCTCGGACGCTGCGTAGCGCACTCGAACATTTACCCTCCGTCAATCTGCGTAGGCTGCGGATTGAGAAACATGTGGCGCTTTCTATCCTCATACCAGTAAAGTAAGTAGTAGAGGTCCCCTCTTCACTCATCCTGTGAGACCTCGTTCGCTAACTACCGACATACAGTCTGACCATGATATACATGTTCACGGACTACACTAAGTTCTTCTGGTATTTGTTTCCGATCCTTATTCTTCGCTCGTGGATGGATTTTGTCGAGATATCTCTCATCATCATCTTCTACATCTACCAATGGTTATACCCGCATACTCCAAAAATTCCACACAGATTAGAAAGCTTTGTCTACTTGTTTTGCTGCTACAATGAGACATATCCTGAGCTGATGATCTCACTGGATTCGTTGGCTGAGCAGAAACAACTGGATGCCCATAAGAAAGCTATTATCGTAGTCTGCGATGGTCGGGTACGTGGCAAGGGCATGTCCAAGACAGCCGCAGCCCATCTGAAAGAAGACATCATTGAGCATCCCACAAGTACCCTTATGTCTGAGGCTTATACTGCATGGGACGGTAGTTCGATGGATGTCGAGATTGTGAGGGGTGAATTCAGAGGTCTCCCAGTCATCTGCCTCATCAAAAACGAGAATCGGGGAAAAAGAGATGGAATTATTCTAATCCGGTCGTTCCTGCACAAATTCAACCAGCGCGAATCAAAGCCCTCGTTGGCAATGCTCTCGCCCAAGCTCTTTGCCGAACTCACAGGCTTCGTCACGGGTGCATCCATCCGATCAGTGGACTACGCCGTCGGCATAGACGCGGACACAAGGTTTGATCCCGAGTGCGTCTTCAACCTCATCCAGGCCATCAGAGAAAGCGACCGCGTCATGGGCGTAACTGGGTACATCCGACCAGACCCCAAAACCCTGGGACCATTCTCCATCTCTTACCTCTACCAAAACGCCGAGTACATGGTTGGCCAGCACCGTCGTCGGCTACGCCAAAGTCTCACCAGCGGGAGGGTAACTTGTCTACCCGGATGCTGTCAGATACTGCGGGTGGCGGAATGTACCATGGGCGATGACATCTTGGGGAAATTCGGCTACTACCCCAGAGACACCGACGGCCTGTTCCGAACAGTGCGGTCCATGATGAGCGAGGATAGAGATCACGTCTGTCTTGTTCTCGCGGAAAACGCTCACGTCCAGACGCGCGTATGTCTCTCTGCGTGGGCGTTTACAACTGCGCCCACCACCCCTTCGGTCTTCCTGAGTCAACGCCGCAGATGGACGTTAGGACCACTTACAAGCGATAGTTTGCTTGTTAGTCGCAAGTCGACAGGCTGGGTTGAGAGAGTCGCAGCGATGTCTTCTTTGATACACTTGTTGGTGAATCCAGCACTTTTCCTTTCAAAGTTCTACCGTACGTTACCGCTACAGCTGCGTTTGACGATACTGCTCTGACATTTGGAACAGGACGTGTAGATCCGACGACTAGGTATTATCTGTTCTTCTTCGAGAACTACCGCATGGTTTGGGACTTGTTGGTTATTGTCGTATCCATGGGGTCGCCTACCGAGGCCGTTCAGTTGTTCGTTGGGTCTATGATGTATGGCTATTTCGCCCCGTTGGTCAACTTCATCACTCATCTCTACACTTTATACAAGCTGGATGATTTTCGATGGGGCAAGACGAGAGTGGTGGTTGCGCAAAAGGCGGAGACGTGATTCTGCTGCTATATACCGTAAAACATCTCTCATCTTCTTTAGGTCTGAGCCTGAGCCCTTTCAAAGCTCGACTACCTCTCCCTGGTCAAAGCCATTCGATTGCGCAAAGTAGTAACCACGCTGATTTGTGACGAGTCTGGTCCGGTGAGATTCGTGTTCAAAATCACAGTTGAAATGCGTGTGTCCGAACGCCCACACCGTCACACGTTCCGAGGAGAAGCAAATATCCTGGGAGAGATCAGTCATGAAGCCAGATGAAATATTACTGCTCTTGTGTTTGGGATCGATAGCACGAGCATCTTCGGTCGGAGAGTAGTGTGTCATGATAACGATCTTGCGGTCCGATTCGTCCATGAGCTTCTGAGTTTCAGCGTTGAGCCAACGAAGCTCGGATTCGTGCTTCTGCACGTGCTCCTCCACGGTCCAGTTCTCGATGTGGTAGAAATCATTGAGTCCAAAGTTGACATAGTCTTTTTGAGCAGGTGTGATGTTGGAGAAGAGCGTGCAACCGAGAATAGATACCGTTGGCGAGAGATCGTACCGGGTTTGGTCAAGGAGGACGAACTTGCCACTTGTTTGTTGTTCGGTTTCAGCTTGGAGCGTAAGGAGATGTTGTTTGCTAGCCGCATAAGACGAGTGGTATGACTCATGGTTGCCGAGCACATAGAAGATGATTTTGAATCTAGCCAGGTGTTTTTGAAGAAATTCGATCAAACCGACGTCTTTGGTATAGCCGATGTCCCCGAGCAGCGCAAGGTACTCTGCTGTTGGAGTAATCTCAAAGACATCGTACGCCGCTGGAGCTTCCAGATGAAGGTCAGACAGGATTTTTATTTTTACCATGCCTGTGGTGGTTGATTGATTGAGGTGAGGATGCACAAGGTTACTTGAGCTGAAGGTTGTGACGGGGCGCTGCGCGAGGTGTAATTCCTGCTAAGCCTTATTTAGTTAGCGCTATTTGCGCAGCCAGCGCTTAATTGCCAGCCCGTTCTTTCAACAAAAGCATCAAAACACGTCCACCTGTAATGTTTTGAACAACCCAGACTGCGTCGCTGCTTATTGAACAGCTACTTTCAATACTTGAACAATGGCTGAAGGCTTTGTAAAGGGGCAAGGCGATTCTGAGTGGCTACATCTAGACGATAGGCCCGTTGCATTAGCACAAGTTCGGGCTTACAACGTAGATAGCTTGATAGCTTGTATTTTGTTAAATCCAATCTTTCTCCACACTCTTGATCGATCCCTCACACTATACATGTTGAAAAGATTATTGAACTTAATAGTAGCAATAAGTATAAGGAAGGCAGAGTTCTGCTAAGAGAGCGTTGAGACAGCCCTGTCTATATTTCGGTAGTACTTCGGTAGTAATCAAGACACCCCTGTCGGCAAGAACTTTTGAAAGCCACCTCCGTACACACATCATATCCCCCGATGCTGCCCAATGTACCGCCTCGATCCTACTTCGGTCCGACTCGCACCGAGCTCAGGTATACGTTCGTAGCACCCACGTTCATAGACAAGAAGAATACCAATACACGAGATTATCTTAGTTACCGTTATTCACCGTACGATCGTACAGAAGCCTACCAACAAGTTCAGATGGCGGATTTAGAACACTAAAACACCAAATCGACGCGCTCACGATCTAATAAACTGTCTAAACTCAGCCCAACAAAACACCAAATACTTGCAAATATTTGCTAATATTACGATCTTTATGCTTGTTTGTTCGGTAAAAAAAGCTACCCGTGTTTAATTCATGTTTGTTTGTTGCGGAGTGTGCTACCTGCATGACGGAAAGCGTTAGTCGCTACCAGGTTCTAAAGTTGGTGCTCTCGATTCGAGCGCATTGTTTCGTGGGAGGAAAGACAAGGCTAGGCTTGTAGAAGACCGTATCAGTTCTAGGTGGGTTGGGAAGCTCAACTTAGTCTGCGAGTTCCGCCTGCTCATGTGTCAATTCCCAATGTTAGCCAAGCATCGAGCCCAGAATCATGAAACGCACTCATAGGATCGGATGTTTGACAACAATGCGATAACATTCGTTCCCACCGATCGATATGATTCATACTAGCGCTGACAGTGGCTGCAACCGCTACGCTGATCAAGGCGTCTAGCACGAAGAGCTCGGCTCTCACTGCGTCAATGTGCAGCTTACAGGACGAAGTAGAAACTGGTGTATTCGCTTCTCGAGAGGGGTACGAACAGCTAAAAGTGGTGCAAGTCATCAAGCTTGCGACGACGTCTCGAAAGAAGCTAGTCATATTGTTAGACTCCGCAACAATCAATTCAATCCGGTCACTCTCCTAGACCCACTTACCTATCTAGGTAGGGCTTAAACTCCTATAGGTAACTACTAGGCTTAAAGCGGTAATCAATCAATCCAATCTGAACCTTCTAGGACCCACTTAATTGATTGTTGCGGACTGTGCATATTGTGACGGTTATGAGGAGAAGCAGATCACGTGTGCCACGTGGTGGCGATACGTCATGTAAACAGACCCTTCTGCTGCCTTCTTAAAGGTCAGCATGAGAAACAGAACACGACACAAAAAAATATAGTCTGATTACTGCCTCGCGCGGTTACACCTTTAAATTATTGCATTCACTGCAACAAATATACATAGGGATACAGGAAGTAGAGGGACTAAGTATAAGACTGGCCTTTACATCCCTAGAACATGAACAGCGCTACGAGCTCCATCTACCTTTTCCTTTACTAACTTCAACTCGGCTTCCACTCGGCTTCTAAAGTCTGGGTCTCGTTCGCTTTCCAATACTGTGTTTCCATCCTTGAGTATCTGTAGGTCTGCTTCTATAAGCTGAACCTGCTGTCTTATACTTTCATTGACCTTCTTTTGCAAGGAACAAGCGATGTCTCTAAAATCTGCCTTGCAAGCTCTCCTTTGATCGTTGAACATGTGCACAGAGCCAAATGCTCCTGTCATTAGAGTTTTGCGACGGCGGTCGCTGCCAGAGCCTGTAAATCTTCAATAACTGCAAAACTTGGAAATGAAGACCGGAGTATACGAGCTTACCATATTCCATGTTTGCTGCGTGATATGTATCTTGCATGTACCTGCCTATGAAGGCTGTTTGGACGGGGGCCAATGCATCTGTTTTGAGTTCGAGAAGCTTATCGTGAAACTCTTCGATCGCATCTTCAGTACCGTAGAGTGCGAGGTCTTTGCGATGGTTCAGTGTCTCGAACAACGTTTGTACTACTGGTCGAGGAATATTCGCAACATTCGAGTCAGCCTCGTCTTGAGACGAAACAATGCCCAGGACATTTTCAAAGGCATCTGCAATTGCGCCAAGCAGGTCCTGCACACGCACTTCCAGGTCCAACGCGAGATTAGTCCAGACATTCACCATATCAGTCTTCATGTGGTGTATTGCCTCTTCATTCCAACAACGGTAACCTATAGCACCGGTGGAGTAGTCTCCATAGTTGGAGCAGAAAGCTTTGTACGACGAATGATACCACTGTTAACTGATTAGCCAGCTTCTCGTATCCCGCTATTACGCACATACTCCATGCCAACTCATGCTTGCTTCTCTAGCACTGGTAGTCCATTGTGTACCATACTGTCCTTCTCGACGATCAGCATGTAAAAGAACACTGTAGGGATTATACACACGCATGCATTTGTCAACCTGGTTACCGAATTCTGCTTCCACATCTCGAGAAATATGATAGATTCGAGACTTTGAAGACATGATCTACCAGTTCAAATCAGCAAGGACATTCCTGAGAGGCTCAAATCCGTATCAGGTGCGAATTGAAAGCTTATCTCAGTTCTAATCAAGAATGTATGTGTACAGGAAAGTGCACTACTCACCTCATCTAACGCATTTTTGATCACGTGAACTGTACCTAGTATCTGTTTTTTTTTCTCCGCGCTTACACTGCTGGATCCAGCCTCAACCCAAAGCTTCACGGACCCAAGAAATGCAGGTACTTTAACCTTGATGACTTCTACGCTGACACGAAGCCGACTGTCCGCGACAATTCCAATGCAGTACTTTCGAAGCCCTATGATACCGCTCTCGACGAGATAAGGAATCGACGCCAAGGTGGGCTTCTCACGATGGTCCCAGTAAGTTGTGTTGCTGACACAGAATGTTCTGAGTGTGGTAGCAATTGGATGCTCTCGATATTGCTCCAGTAGTCCATCAGAAACTTTGGCATTCCGTAATCCGATGACCAGAGTGCGAAGCTCGAATTCATTATTTTCCTTGGACCTTTGCGCTTTGCGGTACTCACGCTCCAGTTGTCTGAGGTCATGTTCCTCTTCCCGAGTAAGGTTCGTCTGGTCTCGCTCGAAATTATCGATATCTTCCCTTTTGGAATCTACCTCAAGCCCATAATCGTGGATCTTTTTCTGAAGTTCCTCAATTCTTGCTCTTTCTCCTATCCAGTCGTGCTTAGCTTCCCGCATCTGGACATCTTCAGACCTCGTGCAAACCACGTCGATTTTCGATAGGTTCGCGCGACGTGCCAGTTCGAAGATCTCTTTGATGCTCTCATCTGTCATGGCTCGATCGATCCGAGTGACGGCAAAGATTTGATGGCATTGGCGAACGTACCGCTCTGTGATGGCTTTGCGAGCAGAATTCTGATCACGGAGTCCTGGAAGATCCGCTATGATGAGTCCTTTACTCAAGATATAAGCGTTCAGGTACACACAAATCTTTCGGATGAATGGCCATCGTGTCTGTGATACACTATTGTTCGATGGGTCAATCGAATCTGATGTTAGTTCTCTGAGCCGTGCAGAGCATCGCTCAATTGTGCCGAATGATTGCTGGCCTTGCAATCGAGGCAGCAGCGCTGACGCCCAGTCGACCATCAAGCCTACAGCACGATCAAATTCCATAGAAGAAAGTGCATTGGGGTTCTCGTGTAGCTTTTCCCTGAAGATTGCTTGGAAGGTTTGCGTCGCGAGATCGGCTTTCCTTCTTAGCGCCTTTCCCCCACTCTCGCCTTCTTCATCTCCGCCGTTGCTCTTTGGAGCCTTGAGAAGCGATTGGTAGTCTCGGTGTGCTCTTAGTAGTTCTTCGAATTGTCTCCTCAACTCGTGTAAGGTGAAATAGTCAACGTGGATAGTAAAATCGTCCCTTTCGTGAAACATGTATTCTGTAACAGCAGACGTGCAAGCGGTACCATTATTGCTCTATTCACGAAGGTTAGTTATGTGGTTTTAGCGAGTCCGAAGTAATCACTTACCGCTCTAGCCAGATCCACCTTGTCGAGCAATGAATTGATGAGGCTACTCTTACCCACACCAGAATCTCCGATCAAGCCAACGATCCGGGATGACGGTAATTGTAGGGCTGCCAGGTCTAATGCTTGTTGGTGAAGGCCCTGGATGGTAGATCCATTTTCGAGATGTAATTTCGAGCTGGACAAGACTTGGGCCATTCTCAAGACCTGAGTTCTGACATCAGAAAGATGTTGTTCGACTTGGGTCAAGTGGGCAGGGGGCTCTTCGTCTTCGACTCGATGAATTCTCCGGGTAATACCAGATCCAGAGCGACGAGGACGGGCCGGAGAAGGAGAGAGAGTTTCGCATGACCGTGACGTCACTGGTATAGAAGCCGTGTCATGGGACCCTGTCTGAAGATTCTCGAATTCTGCAACCAGGCTATCATTTCTGGACCCACGGTCAATTCCAGGAGTCAATGGAGTGACGTGAATCGAGGGCGTCGAGATTGTCCGCTGCAAGGGCGTTTCTGACATATTTAGCGATGTTAGTCTCAGGTCACGGACAGCATCAAGCTGCTCTTGAACGTAGTCTTGATCATGAATCTGCTGAGTAACTCTTTCGTGCATGACAGTCGAGGACGTGCTTGGCGTGGTTTCGTGACTGCTGGTGGATAAGATCTCGTGCTCCGTTGACGGTAATGCAATATCCGGGTCATCATTGCAGTCGTCCCTACGACGAGAATGCTGTGGTGCAATCTCAGTAATCTTGTGCGAGAGAATGATGTGTCGCTTACTTTTCTCATTATGGTTCTGGTGGTAAATTTGTGGTTACTTGAAAACTGGATGAAGATCTCCCCTAAGCTCCGGCTGCAATTTAAGGGGCATGGACTTGATTTACGGTGCACTCAGAGGTTGGCTAAGCGCCCTCAGGAGCGAGCTCTGAGGGGTTTCTGCACCACTGCGGCACAGTTTATTGATCCTACCAATGATCGCCGCATCACACACACCAAAACATGTTGGAAAGTGGACCAAGATTGCGGCATCAATACTGTGATAAGCATGAATGAAACGAACCGCCCCCAAGTAAAACACATCCTTGTCTGGGTACGTAACGTAGGTGGACACGTACCGGTATCGCTATCGCCGTCGCCTCTGTCGCCTCGCAGAGCTCTCATAGAGGCATCCCAGGCTTCAACTTTTGAGTCGCAACTACCGGTAGGTACCGTGTCCGTGCGCGCAATGCGCGGCACAACGCAATGCAATGCCCCGCCACCAAATGACTTTCACCGTCACCACCCATAACTCCACCAATATAGATCCGATTTTGGATGCGATTGCGGCAATCGACGCGCTAAAGCCAGGGAAATCTTTTAGTTATACTCAGATTGCAAAAGGTTTGGTGTTATGCCGTTAACGTTAATTAGAAGGCACAAGGGGCTTACGCAACCCCGCTCTATTGCACATTAAATTCTTTACCTACAACAAGAGTTAGAGCTTGTACAGTATATCCAGGGGCTTACAGCACGTCGTACACTACCTGCACGAGAGATAATTAAGAATTCTGCAAGTTCTATTGCTAGAAAAGGGGTTAGTAATAGCTAGGTTTCTAACTTTCTTAACAGAAACCCTAACTATCTAATCTCACGTTGGCAATCCGGCATAAATCGCCAGCGTCACTAAGCTAATTCAGGGGTTTAATACAGCATGTACTTTAATCTGTTACACCAGAAAACTAAGGAGTACAAGGTTAGGCTAGGGGATATCTATAACATAGATGAGAAGGGCTTTCTCACAGGGGTTACCGGCAGATTAAAAAGAGTGTTTAGCGAGAGCATGTGGGATAGAAAGGAGGTTACTGCTGGGCTTTAAGACGGATCACGTGAATAGGTAACCCTCTGTCAGATTGAGGCGAGGTTTTGCTCCATGATCGAGCCGATGGTGGTTGGGGAAGGACATGAGACCCCCAAACCAGGGCTAGCGCCGGGACTTAGCACTGCCAAGCCCGAGGCGAGGCCACCTCCCACAGACAGAGCCGTAGACAGACACAGAGAATACACACTTGATCCCATCCATAAAAATCTGACAATTAAGAGTCTCACTGCCTGTACCGAGTACAGAAGAGTCAATCAAAGTTACTTTATACTACAAATACCGTCAATACGACGATCCCCACGCTACAACACGTAAGCGCCGAACCGAAGAGTCATCAAAACTCATCGACAAGATGTCTGTACTATCAAACAGAGATCCAACAGTGATCCTAACGGATTATACCAATTGGGCTAAATGGTACCAACAACTACAAGCGGAATGCGCCGCATACCAAGTGTGGGAAAAGGTAGATCCAAAGCAACGTGGGATCCCTCTAATAGAACCACAACCACCACTAGCTCCACTTATCGGAAGCTATCAGCCATCAACTGCAGCGACGAATCTGCACGTTACCCAATATCGCCAAGCGATCGGCGACGATAGCGCCGAAGCGCCAGCCTACGTACCGGTACGACCCTCGGACCTCGCGACGAACGCGAAGACGTCCTATAAAGAAGATATCGATTATTACCGAATACAACTAGAAGAGTTTAAAATACTTAACCAGAGATATCAACAAGAGCGGACCGGACTTGGAAAGCTCACCGAGCACATAAGGAAGACTGTGTCACAACACCTCTTCTACAACTGCTGCAAGGCAGGTCTTTCCCATCGGCAGTGGATTGAAAACTTAGCCGCAAATGTTGGGATTGACACGAAGGAGGAACTCAAACGTGCGAGAGAACGTTACCTCGCGGCCCAAAAACCGATGAGGTTGTTAGCACAGTGGGAGACCTGGCTAACTGAGATGGACCATGCAATCACGGAAGGCAAGGCCCTTGGCATACCTGAATGCCAAGACGAAGAGTTTATCAAGGAGGATTTCGTCAAAGCAGTTCTCAAACCATCACCAGAATGGACTACCGCGTTCATGGCCGGTGGAAATAAAGACCCACGTGTCACTGTACGGATGATGATTAAACAGTTCCGAGAGTACGCCTCACTGTTGCATCCGATCAAACACAAGGTCCCGAAGGCCGCCTTTGTAGCAAGTGGACCTCAACTGAACGGCGAAGACGCAGATGACGCCGCCGAGAAGGCCCCAGGAAAGCGAGGTCGCGGCAAAAGCCGAAAGACTCCCGGACCGGGCAAGGATAGGAAACAATGCAAGGTATGCGACCAACAGCACGAACTAAAGGATTGTTGGTACGCGTTTCCGCACAACGCCCCTGTTTGGTGGAAGCCACGTGAAACACTGAAGACGATGGCTCAGCACCGAATTGATAGCGACACTGATCTCGAACAAGAGATAAGGGGAGCCAAGAGAGCTAAATTAGGGACACCCCAGATTAAGAAGTCACAGAGCACTCCGGTAGAGGATACTGTCGAGTGACCAGAAGGCCGGAACATAGGCCAGATCAACCTTATAATCTGTGCCTCATCATTTATGGCAAAGGAATCTAAGTACCCACTTCAACGCTCTTACATAATGGACTCCGGAACCACTATACACGTCGGCAACGACCTCGGACGATTCACGAATATTCGACCGCCTATGACAGGAGACTTCCTCTGGGCAGGCAATACAAGGGTGTGGATTAAGGCATACGGTTCAGTTACTCTGAGAGTAGATAGCGCAGACGGTCACCGTCTCCTCTACCTCGAGCAGTGATCGGAATGGTCTGGTCTGGTCTGGTCTGAGGGTACAGACCAGACCAGACCAGGTGCTTACATAAGGACCGGTCCGACCAGACCGGTCCGACCAACAAGACCGCCAAGAATGAGGCTGAAGCAAAGAAGGAAGCCGAGGAAATGTGTTTTACTACTGACTGTCAATCTAGTCGTCTTCGTTCTCACTATCCTCGATATCGCTGTTCCCCTCAGCTTGGGGCTTTCCATACCAGGCCCGGAGACACTCGCACGCTTCTATAATATCTGCCTTCAGCCTACCACGGCGATCGACGATAGTAAGCTTCGCGCTACTAAAAAGACGTTCGCATTCATCCGACATAGGCGAGATCGCAAACATGTCTAGAGCGAAGCGAGCGAGATCTCGTTGGGAGTCGTAGCGAGATAGCCAGTACGCAATAGCCTCATTGCAACCTGCCTCTTCGTTATGAAGCCGGTCAGTAGAGATGTATTGTTCATACAAATCAGTTGTAGAAACTGGAGCGTCTATTCGAATGCGCTTATGTTCCCGCTGGCGATCAAATGCTGGGTCAGGATCTCTCTCCTTCCTGGCTGGTGGTGGCAGCATCTCGACAGGGTACCTTCCCTTATACTCTGTCTCCCAGAGATGCTTCACCGCTAATTGTGCGTTTTCAAACCACCTCTTCTTCTCTTCGTCGCCATGAAGAACCCACTCTTGCCTGAACCATCCCCACTTGCGATATGGATCAAGGATTTGAGCCGCATAATATGCCGGTGGAAGGTCAGTATCTTCAGGGAATCGATTTTGCCAATTCAGCTGCTGATTGTTATAGTACTCAACGCACTTTAACCAAGCAGCATCAGCGCAGCCTTGAAGGTACTTCCATGTAAAGTTGTTATCGTCCTCAGTGTGGATGTCGTGGTAGTGATCCTTCGTCTCGCTTATCTCCCGGAGAAGGCAGTCCAAAGTTGAAAACCAGTCCGCAAGTGACGTCTTCTTACCTTCAGAAAGCAAAGTTGCAGCATAGAAGTCTTTGAGAGCGAGTTCAATCTTTTCAAGCTCAAACCAGTGCTGTCCATCAAGCTTAAAGTTCGCGATCCCTACGGAGCCCTTTCCAGGTACATGACGAGCCGAGAAGAGCTCTAAACGTTCTCGAACATTTAATGCACGTGTAATCGAATAAAACCATGAGTTCCAGCGGGTCGAGTTGTTCTGGATAAGCTCAAGCCCGTCGAATTGCGAAAGATCTCCGCCGATAATAATTGTAGCAAACTCCTCACGCCGTTGTGGAGTAAGCCTGATGTATCGCACCAGGTTGTGAAGACGACCCAAACATCCGAACTTCTTCCAGAGCTCTTCCACCTTCGTATAGTCGCCACGTTGATGATGCTTCTCCAGCTTCGCAAGATACTTCTCACAGTTTCGCCCCATAAGGAACGCCTGGCAACAGAGGTTGATGACATGGCCCAAGCAACGCAGCCGGCGATGACGACGTTGTTTTGACTTCATCCATGGGCAGAGATCCTTGAGTATAAACTCAACAGCGGTATCATTTGCCGAGGCATTATCCAGCATAAAGTATCCAATCTGATCTCCGCTAATGTCGTATTCTTCCAGCAATTCAAGGACCACCGATCCAAGATTCTCTCCAGTATGTTCGCCGTATATACGTCGCATACCTAAAGCGGTAACACGTCGCATGCCGGTAGTATCAATCCACATAGCGACGACGCCTAGGATAGCGTAAGGGTTTGGTGAAGTCCAGAGATCAAAGGAGATAGAGATCCTACTCCGTGAATGGTGTAGGTCCTCCCTAAGCTGTTGCTTCTTCGATATGAATGCATTCATTACCCAGCTTCGGATAGTCTTCGCAGCCTTCGGGAGGTGGTTGAGTAGTGCCGGATTTAAAAAGAGGAGTAGTTCACGAAAGTACTGGTTCTCTAATTGAAAGAAGGCGATATGGCAGTACACAATCCAACGAATTAGAAGCTCTTTAAACTTCTCTACTGACTCCTTCCAGAAAAAGATGCTGGAAGCAGCCCCATCCTTTTGCTGGTCGATTATAGACTTCCGTACAGAACCCTTTCGCTTGATGCCACTCTGGGGATCAATCTGGTGCTTCTGTTCCAGGTGATTCCGGATCCTAGAAGTGCCATTGATGACAAACAACTCTTGCTTGCTCTTCCCAACCCTGCACTCATGGCAGTAATACACCTCTTTCTTATCGCTATCTCGAATGTATTGGAGTCCGTACTTCCAGATGTGTGATGTACCTTGACGGAAATCCTTCCTTGCAATTATTGCACGTTTCACGTACGTGATACCGCCCTGCACGAACTCATCTGGAGATTCGTGATATTGAATAGGAGTGGGTGATAGTATAGGGGTGGGTGATGACGTGGGGATAGGAGATGGAGTAAGAGACGTTAAATCTAGTCTTATAATATTCGATGGGGACGGTGAGGTTGGTGTTGAAGGCTCCATAACAATAGTATATAAGTAGGTTGTTAAGGACTTGATTGTTCTATGTAAGTAGAAGACTTACCTTGATCTTAATGACTCATATTGTGCTAAATTTTCTGGCTAGATTAGTCTAAGATCTAGTCACGTGGACCTATTTATAGCCGGACCGGTCCGATCATCTAGACCGGTCCGACCACGGTCTCAAAAAATCGCCAGACCAGACCAAGTCTTGGCGGTCTAGACCAGACCAAGACCAAGTCAGACCAGACCATTCCGATCACTGACCTCGAGAACGTCGCCTACTGCCCTGACCTACACTGCAGTCTTGTCTCCTTCCGGATACTCCGCCGGCAAGGTCTTTGGTGGGACACCAAATCCGACCCAACAATCCTCCGACGGTCCGACGATAGCGAACTGGCAGTACTACACGAGAAGTACGGACAATGGATACTGGAACTCAATGACGCTGAGGCGCGAGCAGCGTTTTCAACGCAGCAGCCAACGCGCAGGACAGCCGTACGAAAACGAGCTGAGGCTATAGTCTGGCACAAGAGACTTGGCCACCCTGGATCCGACGCCCTAGAACACCTAGTGAACCAATCTGAGGGGGTGAAGATCGTCGGGGTCCCCACAGTGAAATGCGATGCCTGTGGGATATCAAAGTCGAAGCGAATGATACGACGGACGCCCCGGACTATTTTAGAAGGTCCGGGAGAGCGAGTTGCGATCGACTTTCACGACTACGAAGCAGAAAGTACGACCAAGGAGAAGAGTCAGATGCTTATTAACTGCCGCGTTACGGGATACATATGGGATTTCTATCTTAGTGACAACCGAACGGCAAGAGTCATCCTTAAAAGCCTTAAGATGTTCGTCACCTTTATGATGAATCAATTTGGTATAACGGTAAAGGTTATTGAGACGGACAACGAGATATTTTCCGTGAAGCCAGAGGTCGCCAGATGGTGCAGAACAAGAGGTATAGTACTCGAGCCTTCCGCCCCCGATACGCAAGCGCAAAACGGAGGAGCCGAACGCTCAGGGGGTGTGGTAAAAGAAAAGGGTCGAGCAATGCGACTCGATGCACATCTGCCGTGGGACCAATGGCCGGAAATCGCCCGGACCGCCGTCTACCTACACAACAGGACGCCGAAATATCAGAACCGCTGGAGATCTCCATACGAGATGTTCTTCACGGCAATCGCTTTCCAGAATGGAGTTGTTACATCACCACGCAAGCCCAACCTGTCGCATTTACGAGCGTACGGCTGTAAGGCATTTGCGATGACGGATGACACGAAGCGAGGAAAAGGACGTCTACAGAGATTTGACCCGAAAGCCTGGATAGGGTACTTAGTTGGTTACCGTTCGACGAACATATTCCGAATTTGGGTACCATCTATAGGCAAGGTCATTAGCACTCGCGACGTTGTATTCGACGAGGAAGTCGTATATAGTGGAGAGCATAAAGAGGTTATGGACAATCTTATGCATAGCACTACAGAGGAGATAGCAGCATGGATTCGAACTATTGAACTGCCCCCTGACCAAATCCCACACGGGAAGAACTTGGAACTTTCTACGAAGATGAGACCATTGCTAGAGCGCCGGAAAATGGGCGGCTCGAGTATGATGAGGCGGGAAGGAAGGTAG